AAGTTTCTGGTCTAAGGATATGTTAATAATGTAATATGCAAATAGGTCCCGGGACCAGGGCGCGATTGGAGTCTACTCCGGAGGAGAACGAAGAGCGTATCAAAAAGCTTTCTGATGCTGTTAGAACCATTCTGGAATGCGTTGGAGAGGACCCAGAGCGGGAGGGTCTCAGAGAGACTCCCGAACGGTACGCAAAAGCCATGTTGTTCTTCACCAAGGGCTATGAGGAGAACGTGCGGGATCTCGTGAATGGAGCGGTCTTTCACGAGGACCATGACGAGTTGGTCATTGTGAAAGATATAGACGTGTTCTCGCTTTGCGAGCACCACATGGTCCCCTTTACGGGAAAGGTATGATACAAACCTACCCTCGAGCATGTGTTAAGCATCGATAATTAACACCTGATTACGTTACAGATGCACATTGGATATATCCCCGATCGTCGCGTACTCGGTCTCTCGAAGCTGGCTCGTCTGGCGGAGATGTTCTCCCGCAGGTTACAGGTCCAGGAACGTCTCACAAAGCAGGTTGCTCTGGCAATCTCGGAGGTTCTCAAACCACGCGGTGTAGGCGTGGTCATGGAATCTTCTCACCTCTGTATGGTCATGCGCGGTGTGCAGAAGCCTGGAAGCTCTACCACTACCAGCTGTATGCTTGGATGCATGCGGTCCAGCGCAAAGACGAGGGAAGAATTCCTTACCCTTCTGAATCGGAGATAATGTGATCGGATAACCATTCTCGGATGTTTCGGGTTTTGCTTTTTTTCTTTTCTTTTTTTTTCCTTGCCCACTTTTTAACATGGACAGATATCATGAGACCGGAGTTCGGTGGTGACCTTTCAACAGGTTATGGCGGGGGATTTTTTTTCTTCTTCTAGTTTCCAAATTCGTTTCGTGATGGGTATTGCTTAACCTCGCCTCATCTCTCTCTTTGCTATTCAGATTTGATGTATTCACCATTAACGCATGGTTTCCTTACATACTACTTTTCTTCCCTTCAACGATGTGGAGGCCTTACTCACTGGATATATCTCTTCTTTTTTTAAAGGTTGGGATGGCTTGCTCGTTTCACCGTGGCATCCAGAAAATGCCCGAAGAGGTCGACTTTCTATAAGGCGGAATGGAATGGCTTCAACACTTTGTATAGCACCTCAATGTGTGAACAACTTTCCTGTGTCTTTCATCTATCAGCATGAGTACAGCTTAAACAGACATTCATTGTTTGAAATGAAAACCCAGCTCATCTTGCATGAGTGTCATCCATTCAATTAAGGATCTTGTCTCCCAAGAATCATCTGCTCTTGTATTTTTTCCCCTGTATGCCAAAGTGTTATCCACGGATCATCATGCAGAGAAGAGTAGATATCCTTCGACCTAGCACTCTCAATGTCTCTAAGAGTCGTACTGGAAAAGGTTAAGCTTAGCTGTAGGAAAATTGAAGGATATAAGTTTCTCTTGTATTTCTCGGTAAGAATGGTTAGCAACTTAGTCAATATGAAAAGGAATGTTGGATGGTCCCCATTTAGGTAGCAACCTGGACACCCTTGACAATTTATCTCTTCTTCTACTCTGACCCTCACCTAGCAACCTTTCCATCCCGGCAAGACAGCCCAGAAAAAAGGCATATCTCTAGTCTTCAGTCCGAATCCTTTGCTAGTTGATTCTGATGGATATTCTTGTCTGGTTTATCTAGGTCTTTCCAGAGGAACACATCACTAGGCCCACGATGGCAGAGGACGAAAGCCGGTCTGAAGCGACTGAGTGTTCGCCTCAGCCTGACGAGTCTTCCTCCGTGGAGAATAACAACCAGGAGCACAACGATGGCCTCTCTGGAGCCAGAGAAAGCACAATCTCAGCCTCAGCCTCAGCTGTACGAGACCTTGGCAACGATGACAACTATGTTGGCACACAATCGAGACAGCAGCCTTTGCAAGCAGGAAGAGGACGTATGCCTCCCCAGCTAGCGCTACAGGCGTATCTTATCCGCCAGCAGTACATTGCAGGCATTCCACCCGATCAGATGGTGTCCATGACGGGCCGCAGAGCCGGTGAACTCGAGCCGCGAGAAGGAAGACCAGCCGGACAAGCGAGGGTGCCGTCCATACTGCAGTTCAGTAATGACGGTATTTTTGTGCCGCGCATCCCTCCTGCACGCTTCAACGGGCCGCTGCGCCCATTACCAGATTCGTTGCTTGGGCTAGGAGGTGTGACTCGTTCGAGCGATGGCAATAGTGCAACCAATATCGGAACCACGCAACCTCCCGGGAATATCTTGACCTCTACCCAGACCGAGGAGACGTCTGATTCTGTTCGAGGCCTGGTTCTAAACCCTTCACCGAAACTGGAATGCACGGATGACAGTGAATCTAATGGCCATAAGGATGGAGATGGGATCCAGTCCACTAGCCCTGACTATGCGATGTTGTCAAGCTTGGTGAAATGTCCGGACCTTTTCCCCAAGATTGCCAAGTGGCTTGAACTTGAAGATATTAAGAATCTCTACACAATCTCTAGGGGGCTCAATGCCTTTATGAATGAGCACATGGCGCAGATCGTCGAAGACCAAGCCGCGAAAAGAAACCCCCTAACCTCCCAGATATTCCCCTGGCAGTGTTACAGCAAAGTACGCATGCCCATTGCACCCGAGAGCGAACAATCCATGGAGAAAGATGCTCTGGAAAATATCGACCAAGTGGTACCTACATTCAAGTGGCTCTCAATGCTCAGTCACCGCGAGATGGTGCTCAAAGACATCATGGGTCTCATGACAGCAAGCGGGAATGCGCTACCACCGTGCTGTGAAATGGTTTTATTCAAGATTTGGTTCCTGATGGACATACCGGATAACGCACGACGACAGTGGACTGTGCGGAACAAGAATCTTTGGACCGACGACGACATCTTCTTTGCAGCGCTAATCTTCGTGAGGCTCGAGCTTCGTTTTGAGGCCAGTCTCGCTGGGCTCCAAACCGACGGGATGCGACGCCTGCTCATGGCCCAACCTGGACTGACACTGCTGTGGAATTCCCTGAGAACGACATCACTACAGAGTCATTTCGAAACCCTCCGTGCATTTGTCCGCTGGCGGTACATGCCGACTCCAAGTGAGGCGGGTATGCCTATCTTTGGAGTCCCCCTCGAGGAGATCGGCACCCTGCAGTATGAAGGATACGGCAAGAGCGAGAGTAAAGTGCGGCTGCAGAGACCAGATCAGATCATACTCAAGGAAAGCCGTCGACGCCAGATTGATATGCGGCGGTTGTATACGGAAATCGAAGTGCGTCTACCTAATATATTGCGGCCTGACAGCACAATCCCTCACGAGCCAGTCCCTTCCTCTGCTCTATGGATCCAGGGAATTCTACAAGCATCTGAGCGCACCGAATTTACCGAGTTGGAAAAGATCACATTGGATGAGTGAGACAAGTCGAGGATCAGGGGGCTTGCAAGCTTCAAGTTCTCAAAGTCAATAGTCAATACCTACCTTGCCACAATAGCATATAGGGATAAAGACGAAGCTCTACAAGTTATTAACCATTGGAAATGATAGAAAAACACTGCATCTAGCTATGTAGAGAAACGCACCGCATAGGAAATTAATACCTACAGTAGCTAAGGTACCTACTGATATACCCCGGAAATAATTTATAAATGTAGGCAATCACATGATCCTCTGGTCCCGCCTCGCCAAGTGGCCCAAGCCCAACTTCAACCTGACATCAAGAGCGCACGGCATTCACTCCACGCGCGCTGGCAGCCCGCGAATTGCGATTTTCTCTGAGACTGTCGGTTATGATTAGAAAGCCTGTTTGCTGCCTATGTTTATTTCTACTTTATTCGCTCGCTTGGGTCTACTTGTGCTGCTCCCTGTCATTTGTTGTACGGAGTACCCAGCGACCACACTCAACGTCCAGCCAGCACACTCTCATCCAAAGGACATCTTCAGAGAATGATGGCAACAGTGATAGGACATACGATACTGGATAAAAGCACTAGCTTGTTGGAACCGGGAGAGTACAGGCTGGTAGACGTCCTCAATCGCCAGCAGATGGCTCCTCTTGTGCCTCGGCCTTGGAGGCTTTTCGCGCATGTTTCCCCCTGCCGATATTCCCCATTAGTGGCGTCTTGTACTCTGCTCAGGTATGAAATTTCTCCGCTACCTGCTAGATATAACGCCCGCCGCTGTCGAATGCTGGACGAGTGCACATGAGCTGTCGAGATATACCGCTCCTAAGCGTTGGTGATGGTTGCTTTCTCTGCCCACCCATTGGTCTAGACTGGCAGCCTCTCATTCCAATTTCCGACGATGGCTCATCTCACAGTAAACGCCATCTGACTTATAGTTGACTCGTCAACTTGCAACATGTCTTTCAACAGAGAGCGAGGGACCTTTTGAGTCACCTTCGGTCGCAGACTTGATCGGCCAGGCAGTTGAGCACGGAAGTCCTACGATATCAAAAGCAACGAGCCAGCGGGCGGTTCTTTTTGGAGCTTGCAACCAGTTGCGCTTCTCTGCTGCTTCATTCGGACGGAGTTGTGGTCATCATTCTGTCGTCGATTTACGTTCTTTGCCGTGTTGCATCCCGTAGATAGATTCCGTGTCGTCTTGATATGGCCACGTCCTTTTGAGAACAAAAGAGTCGGGCAGGATCCAAGGTGGACCAAGCTCAAGCAGACAAGAAAGAAAAAGGAAAAGAAAGACATTCTGAGGGGGAGGGGAAGAAGAAGTGTGGGCAAATCAGCCGTATCAGAATCCCTCTCTGGATCACCAACCGCCAGATGATCAATGGAATGGCGAGGAACAGAGTGCGACAGAAGATCGCCGCAGCTCCATGAAGATACTGGATGCCCCGGTAAGAGGAGGAATCTGGATTCCACACGCTGCACGACAGCCTCTTTTGCTGTCTGTCTGGCGACCGATTCGTAGAGCCGCACTTCACAATGTGTGGCAAGTGCTTTGGGACTGACTGCGGTCCGGGTGGGCGCCGTGAATAATTTCTGGGAATCCCACCCGCAGTCAGTCCTCTGCTGCTCCCCCCCTTACTCTTACCACCGCCTCAGCAGTAGGACCGCTTGCGTATTATTCCTTCCTATTTTTTTTTATTCCATCCACCAGGTACGTGCAGGCACTCTGAAAGTCCTCCTGACCAGTTGTTTATCCAACTCAGCGCCAACTTATCTGTTGCCCATCCAGGCGATCGTTCCAGGACTTCGGAAAAACCGACTCTCCGCAGAGAAAGCCAACACGAACTAACGGGCCAGCCAGCACTGGAGGACGCGGCCGACTCACTACTAGACGACAACAGGCTCCACCGGCACAACTTGCGCTCGCGCCTTGGATCTGACTGTTGGAATCGGCGAGTCTGATCGCCATCCTCGTCTCTGCAAACCACCCCCCTCGTCTCGTTCAGCCAGATGCCGTTGGAGGAGTTTACATGGCTGGGTCCCGTTCGAGTCCGGTGTTGAGAGACCAGTGGAGCGCCGCCAGCAACCCAGGAGACCGACGGTTTGAGCGCGAGAGAACCGGTTCACGTCGTGAGGGGTTCAAGGGCAAGCCCAACGAGCGAAGCCACCATCCGTCACGGGGAGGTACGGACAGCAAGCATCGACACCGGTCGCCACCCCCCTCCCGTTCAACGTTCCGACCGAGTCGAGAAACGCCCTACGCTCACCCGCGCCGTGAGTCTTCTCCAGGCGGTTCGCATACCTCCTCGCGCCCCCAACCCTTCGAGGACGACGCAGCAAGACCCGGCTCCCGGCGCCCTGCCTTTGCGGCGGAGAATTTAGATTTTGATCGATCCCGTCCGTCGGGGGCAAGAGTGGAGCACAGATCTCCTCGACGAGACGATTCTCCATCAGCGCCGCCTCCGTCGAAGCGCCAGAGAACACGAAGTCCATCGCCAAGGGGTCAGAATTACCACCATCCTCCTCCTCCTCCTTCTTCTTCCCGCCACCACCAACCGCACCATCGGTTGTCGAGACACGGAGAACATCGGGATCGAAGCCCGCCGCAGAATAAGCGAGGGCGTCTGCCCGCCCGGGGAGCATCTGGGCGACCTGCACCGCGTCGAGGCAAACCTCGTCGTGACTTTGACCCGGGTTTGCGTCGGGGGAATCGAGGGAGATATTCTAGGCCATCGGCGCGTGGCGGACGGAGAGTTGCATCCCCGTTTTCACGCTCACCGAGCCCTGATCCGAGGGATCTTCCCGACCAAGGGTCCCGCCATCGGTCCCTTTCCCGTCATTCGTTCCAGTCAACGAATTCCAGGATCTCGTCGTTCTCTCGTCGAGACTCCCGAAGCAGTCCCATGATGAGTTCGACCCGACCCATCCAGTCCGTGGTCAATGAATCGACCAGGTCGCCCTCTCCGCCCCGGCCCATCCCCAGCTTCGACGCAGAGAATTCCACCGTGGCACCAGACGGCGAGGCTTTCCCTATGCATGGTATGCGTGTTTCAGACGCTCACAGTGGCCAACGCTCTCGCCCTCCGCGTCCGCATGGGGGTAATCGACAATACTCAACCTCTCCCCAATATGTAACTTCGAACAGTTCTTACCAGGGATCTCCTCCGCCTCATTCGCCATATTCTGGTGGCCGGGGCAGCTGGAATGGCCAGTCATATCACGGGCAGCACGGGTAAGTGGTGTTTTTTCTTTCTTTCTTTCTTTCTTTCTTTCTTTCTTCCTTTCTATCGATATTCCAAAAGTGACTTTAGCATATTTTACTATGAAAGATATCTAATACTGTGTGGTCTTTGTTTTTTCCTTATAGGCACTCTCCACCTTATCGACAGAACAGTTATTCTGCACAGGGTGGCTCACAGAATTCATACTATCAAAATAACCAAAGCTCTTACAATGGACCTGGAAACTCTACCCAGCAACCATTTTCGGGGCCCTCCTATCGAGGAGGGCATTCAAATTATCGGGGAAATCATCCAAATCAAGGTCCTGATCGCAGATTTGGGACCCACGGCTCTCAAGGCTTTTCCAATGGACCTCCGCAGCGAGGTCGTGGTCATTTCAGCAACCTACAATGGACTGCCTCGGGGTCTCGCGGCCGGGGTGACCAGCGCAGTCCACTCACATCCCATAACCAGCCTCCTGCAAGCCCCTCTCAACCTGCTTCCTCGGGTAACAAGATGTCACCCAGTCTCGATGATGATGACCGTCCGTTCAGACCTTCGAGTAAAGATTTACCAGTGGAAGAAGAAGGGCCCAAAACCACCCAAGACTTAGAGAATGGAGATGATCTGAGGATACCACCGCCAGTTCAGCAATCCAATCAGTCAGAGACCCCGAACAAGGGAGGGAAATTCAGCTTTGCGTTCAAGGCCAAAACCACCCCGGTTGCCGTCCCCAAGCCGGTCCCAGATCTGGCTCAGCGGATGCAGGTCCGTGAACCCCCGCCTCGAGCCGCCGAGCCGCCACAGCGCAGCCGGATGCCCTTGGGGCCGCCTCCTAAATTCAGGCACGACACGCGTTTCGACCCCAGAGACCGTGATCGTAACCGTGACCGAACCCGGGACCGTGAACGTGACCGGGGACGTGAGAGGCCGCCGCGAGAGAGGGAAGACCGCCGTGAATTCCGGGAACCACGCGGGCCCCGTGAACCCAGGGACAGACGCCACCCTCGGAGAGACGATCGCCGCTTCAACCAGCAATTTGAAAAGAAAAATGAGAGACGGCACGAAATGCCACTGGGTCGTCACCGGGAGCTCTCGCCGGAGCCCCCGCTGGAACCAGCAAGGCCGACCAAGATCCTCACGCGAGTCAAGCCGCGACCAACCCTCTCGGAGGAATTCTCACAGTCGGATTCGGTGTACTTCCGAAAACCTGGAAACGAATCCGTGATCGGTGCTGGCACGTATGGTAAAGTGTTCAAGGCCATCCACATCTACACGAAAAAGATGGTGGCCCTCAAGAAGATCCGGATGGAGGGCGAGAAGGACGGGTTCCCTGTCACGGCGGTGCGGGAGATCAAACTACTCCAACATCTGCGCAATCCGAATGTCGTCAGTCTCCTCGAGGTGATGGTCGAAAAGAACGAGTGCTTCATGGTCTTTGAGTATCTGTCTCATGATCTCACGGGGCTGATCAACCATCCCACCTTTACGCTTACGGAGGCCCACAAGAAGAATCTGGCGCAGCAGATGTTTGCTGGATTGGAATACCTCCACCACCGGGGTGTGCTGCACCGCGACATCAAGGCCGCCAACATCCTCATCAGCAACACCGGTCTGCTCAAGTTTGCAGACTTTGGATTGGCGCGGTTCTTCTCCAAGAGCCGTGAACTGGACTATACCAACCGCGTGGTGACCATCTGGTATCGGCCGCCGGAGCTGCTCCTGGGTGAGACCCGGTACGGCCCCGCCGTGGACGTCTGGAGCGCGGCGTGCGTGTATATTGAGTTATTCACCAAGAAGGCCGTGTTCCCCGGGGAAGGCGGCGAGATCAGCCAGTTGGACAAGCTGTACAACTGTCTCGGGACGCCCACGCGCGCGGAGTGGCCGGATATCGTGGAAATGCCGTGGTTCGAGCTCATGCGCCCTACGGAAAGAAAGAAGAGAATATTCGAAGACCTGTACCGTTCTATCCTCAGCCCGGCTGCCCTGGACATGGTGTCCCAAATCCTTAGCTATGATCCCGCCAAACGGCCGTCGGCTGAGCAAGTGCTGCAGCACCCGTACTTTGTCTCTGAGGAGCCCAGCCCTCAGCAGGCCATCGAGTATGCTTCTCCCTCTCTTTTTTTTCCTTCTTCCTTTTCTCTTTTTAAAAAAATTACTAATGATTCTCCAGGTTACAAAATATCGAGGGTGACTGGCACGAGTTTGAGTCCAAAGCTCTCCGCAAAGAGAAAGATAAGGAGGCCCGGCGGGCTGAGTATCAGAAGGAGAAAGAAAAACGCAAGGCAACGACGGGAGCAGACTCGCAAGGGGAACGAGACTCCAAACGGGCGAAGCAGGATGCAGACAGCTCTCAGCATGTTTGAAGAGATCATATCATGGCTGGTTTTAAATGTATCCCCCAGTTACAGCATAGATGTATTACCGGGTTTGATTGATCTGGGCATTCTTGTATAAAAATTTTCCATTCCGGTGTCTCATCACCCTACTACCTAGTAATTGAGGTCAAGTAACGTAACTCCTACAATCTAGGTCGAGACGTTAGTCAAAACTCCGCAAGGACCAGCAAGAAAACCAATGGAATGACGAAACAGTCAGACTTTTTTCCACTTGACCTCATGCTCAACCAGCTGGTGCCACAAGACGGCTAAGCGGCTGAGCTCTCGGATTACCAGAGTATGTTTATTCTCTTCATTGATAGATGATGGGTATACAAACACGAAAAGAGGCAGCCAGCCAGACGTACCAATAACTATAAACAGAACGATAGTATTGCTATCTGGGGAGAATATTGGATACAGTATTAACAGTATTTGATTTAAAAAGAAGAATGTCCCGTCAATCAGGTCATCAACGCATCATGGGTAGCTGCGAAAGCCCTCGTGATGATGGTTTTAGATGCGGGTTCGTCCATAAAATATAAAATCCCGAACGATTGCTCTCGACACACTCATCGGAATCGCCAGTGCAGTGGAAGCGGTATGCGCGCAGCCAGCGATGATTTGAGTCGGTGGTCTTGGGTTTTGTTAAAGAGAAGAAGAAAAGAAGAAGAAGAAGAAGGAAAAATTTTCGACGGCTGCAGAAAAAGGGCGGAAGTCATGTGGGCGGGGAGCGGGGAGGGGCTGTGATTGGCTCGACGAAGCTTGTCCCAAGACGCGAACGAAAGAGAGCGAGTGGCAGAAGGTGGGAAGTGTCAGTGGACAGTAAGTGAAACTGCTTCTAATAACCTCCAGCCCAGTCGACTTATTGAGTGCTATTTTTGACTATCTGATCTTATTGCGAAAAAAATTAATATCCGTGTTCATTGTCTGGAAATTTTCATTCTCCCTGGTTTTGTTCCTCTGTTGCTGCTGGCTAGGATCGAGTGCACAATTCTTCGACCCGGTCCCCCTCTCTCTATGACGGCTCAGTTCTGAGCAGCCTCACCCAGTGTCTCCCTGATGGATAACGCTAACCTGTGGACACGGAGACCCAAGTAAGTGATTTTTCTTTCTTTCGTATTCATGATTGGAGGTTTTTATTGTGTTTTTTTTTTTTTTACTGTTTCTTTTCTTTTCTAGCGACTAATCTGTTGCTCTGGCAGCTCCTCCAAGCTGTCCCTCTCCATGGCAGGGACGGATAGCAAGGACAGTGGTGGCGCCAAAGTCGAAATTCCCCGTGGACACGCTGTGAAGCGATTCGGACCGGACAGCTCGCATGGCCGCTCCAATCCGTTCAATGCCATCTCCCCTCTTTCCGCCGGCGGCGGCGGCGGTGTCTCCTCCCCCTCCACGAACGCCTCGTCCGCCTTTGGCCTGGGGTCGGGCGCATTTGCCTCCTTCGGCACACCCAAGACCCCTGGGTCTGCCACCGATCTCTCCTCGTCAAAAATCCTCGGTGACGGCAAGCGGGATGGGCAGACGACAGAGCAGGAGCAACACGCGGCGGCGGGGATGACGGGGGTGGCGGCGGCTCAGGGTTTGAAACTCAAGGGCTCGGTCTCGTCTCTGTACGCTGCCGCGGTGGCTGGTCCCAAGGAGCATCCGCTCAAGTCGACGTGGATCATCTGGTACCGGCCGCCGACCCCGAAATACTCGGACTACGAAAAGTCGACGATCCCCCTAGCCTCGGTATCGACCGTCGAGCATTTCTGGACGATATACTCGCACCTGAAGCGGCCGTCCCTGCTGCCCACGGTGTCCGACTACCACATCTTCAAAAAGGGTATCCGCCCTGTCTGGGAGGATGAGGCCAACAAGCGGGGCGGCAAGTGGATCGTCCGGCTGAAGAAGGGCGTCGCCGACCGCTACTGGGAGGACCTGCTCCTCGCCATGGTCGGCGACCAGTTTGCAGAGGCCGCCGACGAGGTCTGTGGCGCCGTCCTGAGCGTCCGGAGTGGCGAGGATGTGTTGAGCGTCTGGACGCGGATTGACGGCGGCCGCAACATTAAGATCAGGTATGAAACCCCCCCCCCCCCCCCTAAATCTTTTAATTTACAACTAATATTGTTTCAGAGAAACGATCAAACGGCTGCTCGCGTTCCCCGCAGACACCAACATCGTCTGGAAGAGCCACGACGACAGCATTGCCCAGCGCTCGGCGATTGACCATGCCCGTCATGAGAAGGCGGCAGGCAATGCCGGTCACCACCATCATCACCACCTGGGCGGCGGCGGCGGCGATCGACGACGGCCTACGGCGGGTGACGACTCCATGGGAGAGAAAGGAAAAGCAACAGTAGCCTCCTGATACGCGCTCGTGCTTTTTGTATCCATCCATTCCTTCTCTCTCCCTTCCTTCTCTTCCATATGGCCCTGTATAGTAACAAAAAAGACATCATTGGGACGCGTTTTTGGGTCTGGGGCTTTAGGCGAATATTTTTGCGTCTGCTTTCTGTTCTCATGCGACTCGGTCATGCGAGATGTTCTCCAAGAAAAACAGAGAGTATAAATCTACCTAGAAAAAAAAAGAAAAAAAAAACTAGGTAGGTAGGTGGTACCTGAGGTAGATTATTCTACCAGGCGGTGTTTTCCCTCTGTCTGATTCTTGGCTTTTTCTCTTGTTTTCTGTTGGCACGGATTGGGGGTCTCATTTATCTAGCATGCAATGACATTATGAAGTCTATAACTATAGGTTTTCTACAGTTTTATATACTTTGAGTAATATTCTTTATCTATCTACAGGTAGGCCACCAGCTCAAGCAATGAGCTAACTACCACCTAGTTATAGTTATATTAATATTTGATTCAATAGGTTAATCACTCTCTAACTATAACTACTAATAGTTAGATATAGCTAGTCTAGCTTCTGCTTCAGAAATGCAGGGCAGAAACGCACCGCCTTCCATCCCATCAAGACGCCGCTCTGACATTTCAAGTCTCATTCCACCGGAAGAGACGGTGCGTGCCCCTCTTACCTTCTCTGTGTGCATACAATGCTTCAGGAGGGAACCACCTCGCTGCCATTTATCTTGAAAGGAAAAGCGGCCGTTTGGCCTCTGCTGCTGCTGAGGCTTTCTCTTGTCTCCACACCTTCCTGCTCGTGGTGAGCTCATGCTATCTCCGCCCAGCGACAGCGGGCCTTGGACATCCAGCGTGAGGTAGGCGATTGATTGTGCTCTACAATTTAAGAAGGGGTTCTTGTCTTTTATAGACTTCTGAAGGAGGGAGACACTCTGAGGTAGATGTACTAATTAAAAAAAAAATAAGGTAAATATCTTTCCCTATCTCTGGGTTTCTTTTTTTGGGTTGCGACCTTTTTTTTTTGTCGTTTGCAGTTTTGTTCTAATATGCAGCTTTTTTTTCTCTCTCTCTTTAACCATTCATGTTGTTTTTGCTTATTCCATTACCTTTGTATAATTGTTGAATAATGGCTAATACCTTATAGTCTTCAGACATGCAGAAGAGCGCCAAATTCCTGAAGAATCTTGATCCATACGTCCCATAATTACTGCAAGCTGCTTCCCAGTCCCGCTGAGGGATGAGTCGTCTGTAATACTACCCTTCCCCCGAGAGTGTATCAACATGGAATAAAATGGGGCTAATGTCCTGCGATGCTAGAGTGGGCCGGGCAAGGCAGATGTTCAGTCGGAATCAACGCCCCAGTGCTGAAGCGGAAGATGAGAAACGGCTGTTTCCTAATTTTGAGTACGTCATTCAACACCAAGGAAGCTGGACGGACGAAACTGACACCCTTGGCTATTGTTTAGGGAAAAAACAGATGGAGTGCCGATCATTCCTGGACAAACCTTTACCCACAAGGCGAAGCGGTCAAATTTGGTATGTCAGACAGAGAGAGAGGGGTCCTTCCTCTGGTTAATATCGCTGACCGTCCCATTTGATAGCTTCAATCCCCTTTCAAACCTCTGGACCGAATCTCACAAAAGGCGAGGGAAAGCGGGCCGGTGAACTCGAAAGCGCGGGCGAAACAAACTGCCGCTCGGCAGACTGTGAACAACCCCCATCGCCTCAGTACCAGCATTGCCGAAGAGGAGTTCGAAGAGTCAACACGTCCCTCTAAGCGTCAACGTCGCCAAGGTCCAGCAGAGAGTTCGGCCAGCGTCGTGGACCTCTCATATGAAGACGCGACAGAGGCAACGTCGCCCAATCTACAGCATTCCCCGCGCTTATCGACCTCCTCCAGTCATCATTCGACCAAGGGCAGGAAGTCCCTCTCCGGTCTCAGCAATGTCGAGGAATTCTGGGATGTAGAAAAGATGACCAGATGCGGATACCAGAACAGCCCTAAGTCTAGCCGACATCAACCCTTGTCCGGGACCTCGCACCCCAAAACGCTCAGCAGAGCGCAACAGTCGTTAGTTTCCATCATGGGTGACTCCGATCGTTCATATGCCAAGCGATCGAGTCCGGCCTCCACAGCCCGAGTCTTTGATCGGGTTCAGATATTTGTGCCACCCGAGGGAAAGGAATCAGCAAACCATTCAACTCTACAGAAAAAATTTGTACCTACGGATGGGAGACGCCGCTCGTACGATCCGAGGGAGAGTCCTGACGAATTGCAAGGTGAAGCCACTGTGCCGCCTCGTCCGGCTAATTTCATCGTTCGTCGAACCAGGGCCCCTGAGCATGGACAAGAAGCTTCAGGCAAAACACGCAGAGAACCTAGTCGATCGCCTTCACCGAGGGATATTCGACCCACCCGCTTCCTGTCAGGTTTACAACATGAACCCCAGAAACTCACTCAAGGCACACCAAAACCAGAGAGGATCCCGCGTGCCAAAAGAAGATACTTTGACGCGAAACTCATCCGATTCGGTTCAATTGATCTGGAGGCTTCTGACAAGCAACCTATTCAAGTTCAAGTAGACAACACAAAAGAGACCATTGAGTTGTCTGAGGCTTCGCGAGAACCCGGGAGCAACACAAGCATTCCTATTCAGAAACTTATCGTACTGTTTCGAGGGACAGAACCCAGCCAGAAAGTACGATTAAAGCTGTCAAAGAGCAAAGACGGGGGCGACCTGATCGATTTGGAATTCTTAACCTCAAGGGATAAAGAGGATTTGTGCTCCCTCCTCGCCCAGAAGGGCGTGAAGGTGCAGGAAAAGTCATGGTCAGTCTTCGCTTCCCTAATTTAACAAATATGCTACTGACACTGTCTTACACTAGTGAATGGATGAACAAGGCCTTTCAAATCTACAAACAAAATCAAACTCGCCAATCATCCGGAACAAAACGCCCTTGTGTGGAAAGCGTGCCAGAGCCTGTTCCTGCGGCCACAGTTCAAGTGGTCAAGCGGGCTAAACTCTCTGCTTCTCTCCAGGAAGCCGTGGAAATTCTTTCCAAGGATCATGTCCCCTCTGCACCAAATTCCGCATCGCCGACGTCGCCCAACAAACGGTCCGAAAATTCCGATTCTGGGGCCCATAGCCATCCCCGGAATACACGCCCTGATGACGAAATTTTGATTCCTGTGAAGAAGTTTGAGCCAAATCCATCCTTTGCTCGTGAGACAAGATCAAAGGCGCGTCGAGCGACATCACCAGTATTATGGTTCGTCCTACCCAATGTCCACTACGAATTACTTGCCTGGGCTAACCATAGTCAATAGTGATGACGACGATAATGCGAAAGTACAAACAACACCTGAGCGAAAGGGCGGCAAATGGAAAAAGTTAGTCTCTGCCTACCTGGAAGGGCTATTACTGCAGCTTTATACTGATGTTTTTTTTAACCAGACCCCTTGTGTATCCACCTCTTGGAAAGAAGAAAGCGGAAGTGGATTTCAATGATCGCGAGCGCCTCAAAGAAGGAGAGTTTCTCAACGACAACCTTATTGGATTCTATGCCCGCTTCCTAGAGGACCATCTAGGACGTACTCGTCCGGAAGTTGCCAAGCGGATCTATTTTTTCAACTCGTACTTCTTTGCGACGCTCACAAATCTGCCACGGGGTCAACGCGGGATCAACTATGAAAGTGTGCAGAAGTGGACACGACAAGTGGATATCTTTAGCTATGACTATATCGTGGTCCCGATCAATGAGTCTTATCATTGGTATGTCGCTATTATCTGCAATCTCCCGGCTTTGCAGATCACACCTCCTGCTACTTCAGAAACGGAAGCGGGCATTCAAGAGAATGAAACAGAACCCCCGTCTCAAGCGCAAAGTGAGGTGCAAGAAATACCAGAGACCCCAGAACCAGACGAGCCCGGTGAAGGGACAAAGACGACTCTCGACCACAAAGCCGAGCCAATGAAGGAAGAAGTAGCTCGTCAGTCATTAGCTTCTATGACCTTATCTGATAATGATAAGGCGGAGGGAGAGGATGACCAGGGGACAACTCAGAGTACCAGCGATGGGGAATGGCCAGAAGGCGAAGAAAACCCAACATCAGCCTCTACGAAGTTCGCTGAGTCGAATGAGAAGGTTGACAAGCCCGTCAAGAGCGGCGACAGTGTCAAGGATGAGCCTCGGGCCGCAAGGTCGTCGCAGAAAGGCGGGAAATCAAAAAAGAGAGCGCCCCCTTCGTCGGCTAAACTTGACGCTCAACAGCCGGTTATCATCACTTTTGATTCATTGGATTTACCTCGTTCGCCGACAATTAAGCTTCTGCGCGAATACCTTCAGCAAGAGGCTTCATCCAAGAAGGGAGTCGAGCTAGATACGAGTTTAATCAAAGGCATGAGGGCTCGGCAGATACCGTTCCAGTCCAACTTCTCTGACTGTGGGTTGTATCTGCTGGCCTACCTTGAGAAATTTGTCCAGAACCCTGAGCAATTCATCACCAAACTGCTCCGCAGGGAGATGCAAGTGGAAAGGGATTGGCCTGTTTTAAAATCAGGGTTTCTGCGAAGCCGTCTTCGCAAATTTTTGGATGAACTGTATAATGAACAAGAGCAACAACAGCAACGAAACGGCCGAAAGCCAACCAACAATGAGATCATGGCTGATCAGGAAGTTGTTTCTTTCCTTCTGGGCTCCCATGAACTGAATGAAAAAGAAGCTGCCGAAAAAGGCGAGCAAACGGAACAGAAAAAATCGGAGTCCAGAGTTGATCCAAAGGAGGGCCCCATTGAGACGGGAAAAAGCATGGAGCAGACCCTCGAGGGTGTCTCACAGCTGGAAGGCTCATCCTCGTCCAAGCTATCGAACTCACCTGAGGGGGAAAATACTGAAACTGTGGCAATGTCAAAGCAGGCCCGGAGAGGTCGCGCTGACGGTGCGGTGGTTGAAGTTCCAGACAGCCAAGAACAAGAGTATGGCGATGTTGGCCAAGCCGACCTTCGTGCCAGCTTTGAGCAGGGTCGTGACAATGAACACCCAGTACAGACGCCTCGTCAAGACACTGGCGGCTCCACAGTTGAAGTGCAGATCCCCGGGACTCCTCCAAAAAGCTCTCCCCAAGCCCAGAAGTCTGTACGAAAGAGTCCGAGAAACTCGAAAAAAGGGGTTAAGAAGATGGTACCGAATGATGTCGAGATCATCCAGTTACCTGATACTCAATGAAAGATGGACGCAATCGAATGTTTTTTTTTTCTTTTTCATGACCAAGCTATCACTATTGATTTATTTACCAGCGGCATTGATATCTGGCGTTGAAGGCATAGGAACCTGTCCACACTTTACGATGTACCATATCATACCCTAGACCTACATTTCGTTACATAGCGTTGAAATGATACGATACTTTACTAGATGGTTCTATTTTCACTGTCTGCAGATAAAATTACCACTCGCTCTCATCCGCATTCACCCACCACGCCATCTTATCCCGCTGAAAGGTCTCAAAATCCCACTCAGCATCTTCTAACCGTTCCTCGCCGGCCACCCACACGTACGTTATGGCAACGACCTCGTCCGCTTCGTCCGCAAGCTGTGCCCTTGCAGCCTCCAGCACGTCTCGAAGATGGTCGCCCTTTGCATGGTCTGCCTCGTTGCCGTCACCAAGAACACCACCCGTGCTGCCGCCCGCCAGCAAGTCCCGCAATGTTCTCACCTTAACGGGGCGCTTCTCGTATTCTGAGCCTTCGAAGATGTCGAGCCGGTGGACATCCCCGTCTGTGAGGCCGGAGACGAGCGTGCCCAGCACGCATGCAGATGACTCCTCGGATTTATCTGATGGAACTATACCAGGGTAATCTGCCTCTCGGACTCGATGGCGCTGGAACCCATGCAGAATAGCAGGTTGGAAGGTGAGCAGGGCCTTTTGCCATGGTTCTGGTTCTGGGCGGCCGTGAATCACTCGGTAAAGGATTTGGGGGGCCATGAGGGTTCCTTTTCTTATATAAATAAATTTCCTGGCTGTTAAGCAGTAAAGAGACTCACCGTAGAAGAAGAGAGTATGCCCGCTCATAGCTAGCTGTTATGCGGGGTTTCGTAGATAAGCTGGGGGGAACCAATACTGAGGACCAACTTCAGGATAACAAAAATTAGTAGGTAGTATCGTGTACTATGTATACTCTCAACCCAAGTAATAAGATCAAAGAAACAAAGATAAACAGTCAATTGACAATAGATAATACCTAATGGATAGTAGGCACTCCGTAGCTACCGAGTAGTTATCTGACTACAGCTTATCGATAAGCACCGCCACAAAGGGAAATGTGGCTTTACTCCGACTTGTCAACATCTCCAGAATCCCCTTGGCTGGACCCCCGACAAACCCTCCCCCAGCAACTTTCGCCCCTGAAGCAGTCCACCATGCATTCCGCCGTGAACCGCGCGCAGAGCGTCTTCAGCTTCTTCACCACCGTGGCCTTCGTCTTGGCCGGGCTGACCTCCCTCACCGTGCTGCTGTATCCCGCCCACGATGTGACTAGTTCTGTCCAGCTGAAGAACGTCCAGGTGTACGACCTCCATTAAGATATATATTTGATGATCTGATACTGACATCTTTAGACTCAAGGGCCGTCCGATGTACTACTCGACCAAAAAGGAGGACTATGCACAGATCAAATTTGATCTAGATGCAGGTACGATATACCATGAACGGGACTCACGATATTGGTATTAATTCCTGTCTAATGAAAGACCTCACCCCCCTCTTCAACTGGAACACGAAACAGCTCTTCGTGTACGTGATCGCGAGCTACTCCTCCGCCTCGCCCAAAGACCGCGAGACAGTCCCCTACACGGAATCCATCATCTGGGACACGATCATCCCGGCGCCCGAATCGGCGTACTCCCTGACTGCGCTGCGCGAGCAGTACTGGCCCGCTAAATCGACGAAACGGTCCACCACCAAGAAATCCAATACGAAGAAGCCCAAAAAGGCAGACGAGCCGGGTGTTCTGCGCCTGCGCAACCAGCGGGCTAAGTACCAGATCACCGATATCACGGGCAAGATGGCTGAGCGCGAAAACGTAACCCTCACCGTCGGGTGGAACGTGCAGCCCTGGGTCGGGGCTTTGTGGTGGAGTCCTGGCACGGGTGCCGTGCCGCATACCGCTGGTGGTGCGGGGAGGAGCGAGGCGTTTGATTTCCCTGCTCTGAAGGGGAGTACCAAGGCGGCTACTGGGGGGAGCCAAAAAGCGTAGATGGGGAAGAAGTTATTATTTATAATAAAGGCGCATTTTAAAAACCCCGATACGAGTACAAGTCATGAAAAGCTAGCATAACAGAAAACCCAAATCATCACACACATCATGCTATTTAAAAAAAGAAACAGAAGAACCGCCTTTCTTTCATAGTCTTGGTAACATTTCACATGGTCCCGTAACCCCGACCGGAATGGCCACCGTTCTGGATTCGTTCCGAGTACACGCCTGGCGCATTGCGCTGCATTGATCGAGACGCAGGATCCATCTTGCTTCGTTGGTAATAGATGTATTCCAGATAAAATGCATGGATGTGGCCAGGGAAGTATCTATATGTGTTAGATTTCGTGTGTAAAGGGATAGCGTAAGTAATACATACCCTAGAATCGTGAGAAGGATGTTGATGCACAAGTCGGTGCTACATCCTGAGATCATGAAGACGCCGAGAGGCGGAACTAAATAATCAGCATCAATGTATAGAAATATATGCAAAAAAGTAAACTGGTAGAGAGTTGTAACTGACTAAAAAGAGTAACAATGATCAGACACAGCATAGAACATGTGTCAGCCATATTGAGCGACTAGTTATCTGCTGCGAGTTTGGGAGGATCTTTTGAGGTTTCCAGGCAGTACCAAGGAAACTGAAGGGTAGTATGGTAGTCAATAGACCAAAGATATATAGGGGAAGGCTGTTCTCTTTTTCATTCTAAATGCGCTTCATTGGGAACCCCGAGCTTAAATAAGGGTGTTCAGACGATCCACAGACGTCAGCGATCAGCAGATGGAAGGGTAGCAACACGATGGAATACTGGGAACAGGCGGATCCAGCAAGCGCTTTAGAGGGCCACAGGCGACTGGACTGGGGTTGGTCAAGACTCGTCCTTGGTGGGAACTTGACGGGATCGGAATGGTCAATCTCACACCGTTGACGTCATACCACGTTAATAGTGATGCGCACCGCCACATGCATCTGCGCCCGCCACAGCGGTTGAAACGATGTGTGGCGCACCATTGAAAAAGGTACAGTTGCGTTTGATGTAAAATCTCCCCGGACAGCGCTCACACTGCGTCAATGGCTGCTCGTGTCGTGACCTGCTCGTTCTTATTCCCGAGCTTAGAGATCTGCAGGAAAGCGTCCACTCCGTAGCCTTCCAGGCTGTGCAATTCGAGACTGCCCGCCCAATACTCGGCGTACACGCGGCTCATAGGCAAACCAATCCCAAGGCGCAAGTTTGGAGGCCGAGAGGAAAGGGAGTCAAGTGAGCTCTCTCGGAAGGTCTCCTTATCGGCATGTTTGCGCTCCTTGGAGACGGTGAGTTCCTGCATGGTGGCCGCCATAGCAGGGACCTGGCCGAGATTTTCAAGCTGGGACTTGGAGCGAGGCCCTTTGCTGAATGACCACAGGTACGGCAGCAGATCTCGAGGAATACCGCCACCCTGGTCGGAAATCCGCACGATCACATGTTGTGGTGCTTCGCAGATCAGCACTTCGATGGGTGGCGGCGGCTCCAACAACTCCTGGTACTTCTCGTTCACAGCCTGGATTGAGTTGCGAAGCAGCTCGCCGATGATGTACTCTAGGTGGCTGAGAATATAGGGGAAAGTGGCATCCAGGTGGCCTTTGATGCAGATGTCCGGGATCTTGTCAGACCCGGCACATTGTCTAAGCATGTCCTGGGACAGCTTGCCACATCGCTCAATTACCTCCTTCGCGTTGCATCTGAGAAACACCTCACCAACAAATTCCATATTGCTGTCTGACCGCGTGTGGGAGTCAGGGAAATGCCAGGGAGAGTTGAACGTCTCTGTTAGCGCGAGGTGCTGTTCGGCAATAACGCGTCGGGAAATTCTCTGGTTTCATGGGCCAATCCGTCAGCTGGTGATGTCTTCTTGTAAAATGAGCTTTGGCAGTCAGCCTTACCGCTCGGAGGAGTGTGTTCATGAAGTGGTCCATCTGGTCCGGCGGCATGAGTTCTCGAGACTCCAGCACCCCCATCGCCAGGTTGGGTATCACGACTAGATGCTCCTTGAGTGTGTGGCGTAGAATATCACAGAATTTATCATTGTCTGCCAATGTTCTGATCTCGGGCACGACTCGGAATCTCTCAAACGCTTTGTAGTACAGCTCGTACACCATCGACAGGTGGGGATTCGCAACGATGACATACGGGAGCTTCTGGATCTCGCGAAGTCGGTGCGCAATTCTAGAGTCCAAACCAGTCAGAAAACGCCTTCTCAGTGTCCTTTAGCAAGTAACGTACCTAGTAGGCAGCTCGGTGCGCACGTAGTTCGCCGAGCTGATCAACCGAGACTCGGTCAAAGTTCGACCAAAAAAGGTCAACTGGCGGAGACTGATAGGCCGAACATCACGCTCTACCCACCTGTTTATATTAGCCAGCATCCACCAAAACAAACTGCCAGCCGGGCGCGGAGGGTGGCTCATACTCATCCAGGGCGGAAGCAGGCCGCCACGGCGGGGGTGAGTGTGACTGTGACTGTGTGGAATATCGCCGGGACAGCAGCGAGCGTCGCCGACCAATTGTCCACCAGTGTCGAGCCGGCTGAGTCTGCTGCATTGTGTGCTGCCATGCACTGGGAGCAGAGAGAGTTCCGAGGTCGTATGTTGGTACTCCGTACAAGAAGAGAAAGTGGCAACCGGGAAAACCCTTGCAGATAGAGCTTCAATAGTAACTAGTCGGGATAACTAGTAGTTAAATATTAGGACATCACTTCCTGTGAATCTTTCATTCAGACTAAGAACCAGTGTCGCTGCTTCATTCTGTCATTCTTCATTGCTTGATTTTTGCTTTTTCTCTCTCTCTCTGTTGCCTGTGCATAAAATCTGGGGTGTGGGCAGATCATTAGAAATATTTCTTCCAGGCCGAACTAAGCTCTCTAGTCTTCGTGTTTTGATTAAGGGCGGTGAAAAGCTACTACAGTAGAGCTTTGAGGCATGTGATGGGCTCAGTCTGCGATTATTTTTCGCACAAGATGAGATAGAGGCTGGTTTATGTGATCTATTAATTAAAATATACTCTGTGTAAGTGTTGAAAAGTCTACTGGTACAGCTGTATGTTGCATGACATGGATTTTCTTTGGCCCTGGGCATGGGGTTGAGTATTGGCTGAAGAAGCAATCTAGATATTATAAGAACAAAGCTGTAGTTGTTAGGATTAATCAGATAAAATATTTCAGATACAAATTACTGCAGTTGTATTGGTTAATTGAAGCAGTTTCTTGAGATCCGAATGAGCTCTATAGAGCTTCCTTTACCTAGGTAGTTATATGCGGCCGAATCCTCAGCAATAGACCGTTAAATATAAGGCTAGAAATGCATATATTCTTTATTTACCAACACTACGCAGCCTGTCACACCTACAGCCCTCTTCACAACCATCACAGCCATCAGTATCTCAACACCAGGGCGAGCCGAGTCATGTCAAGATTGTGATATCACTCTGGGCTCACCAGCCTGTCTGCCTCCCGCAGAACCCCACCATCGGTTTTGTGGCCGACCGATGCCTGCACTGCGAAAGAGGAGGCCACGAGGGTGTCGAGAGAACCGCCAGGCCATTCCGGAGTCCTGCGAATGACTCTCTAGGCGTTTTCCCGAGTGAAATCCAGCCCAGTCTCGCCGAGGAATGTCTCTGACTCTCTGTCCGGCTACGACGTACGTAGTTCGTAGTCAGCGGCCGTCGAGGGTTTGGCCTTCGTAATTGGATTTTTGCGAACTCCGCCACCGCTAGCTTTCCCACTCCTCCAGACCTGGCCATTATTTCCTCTTGATTTGATCTTATCCACCACTGCTGCACAGCGTATCCGTGCCGAGCAAAGGTGCTTCTTATCCTTCTTTTCCGCCCTCGTTTCTCCTGTTTCTTTTGCCTGATCCTTTTCCTGATTCACCTGCTACCTTTTTCTACCCGGTCCTTGAAAGCGAGCGCCTTCGGCTCCGGCTGCGCGGAGGTACCTTTCTACATGGACAACGTAAGTCGTGATCAGAGGATGTGTTTTGATTCTTCCCAGGAGTTTTCCCGTACTTACCAGGTGATTCTTTTTTTTTCCGGTGGATAGCTCGCGGATAATGAAATGCTCGTCGACGAATACGAGCAGTATCACAATGACAGAGCCGACGTCGTCGTTGTCTCCCGCCCCGGCTCGGAAGACCAAGGGTCGGAAGTGCTTGCAAATGACTGTGCGATAATCTCCATTTTCTCTCCCTTTTACATCATTGGATCGTGTCCATCTCGCTTGCGTTCCGAGGGTGCACCTGCGGGGATACGCTCGCGGTGGAGGAAACAGGGGCTATACATTGCTTATCATGCGTTCTCGAGGCATCGATCTAACAGCAATTATGATATACAGACCCGGCGATGATGGCCCGAATCTTGCCCAAGGATCCCGATCTTGAAACAGAAGCGGAGGCATATCATACCTGGCACATCCAAGACTGGCGCAAGTTGAAGCGAAAGGAGCATGGCCCTACGTTTCAGTGTGGAAATTTCCCCTGGTGAGTGCATCTGCAGTTCTAGGAAGCGGCTTGGTTCTCACAATTACACCAGGCGAGTTCTGTTTTTCCCGTATGGGAACCATGTCGAACATGCATCGTTTTACCTCGAACAGGCCTGGGAGAAAGAACCGCCGACAGATTGGTATGCGTGCGTTCAGTTTGCTCTAGTCTTATGGAACGTCAATGATCCGTCAATTTACGTCTCTCATGGTATGATATTGGTAACCCCTCCCCTCTTTTAATTTCGTAAAAAGCTCATCGCAGTCCTCTCTAGTTGCTACCCATAGATTCAACGCAGACGAAGGCGACTGGGGTTTTACTAGATTCTGCGACTTGCGGAAACTCTTCGCCATTCCATGGGAAGGCAAATCAATCCCTCTGGTAGAGAATGATGAAGCAAAAATCACAGCATATGTCCGTGTTGTCAAAGATCCGACTGGAGTCCTTTGGCATTCCTTTCAAAAGTCAGTCGCATCATTTTGATTGCTCTCTCTTCGTGCGGATTGTACTGACGCTGCTACAGCTATGACTCGAAGAAAGAGACGGGAATGGTTGGGTTAAGGAATCAGGGTGCCACCTGCTACCTGAATTCGCTTTTGCAGTCATTATATTTCACCAACGCCTTCCGACGGGCCGTCTACCAAATTCCCACAGAGGCCGAGGCATCGAGAGATAACAGTGCTTGGACTCTCCAGCGACTCTTCTACTCGTTGCAAACAAACGAAAACCCTGTCTCGACTACTGAGCTTACAGCCTCCTTTGGTTGGGAGTCACGACAAATCTTCGAGCAGCAAGATGTCCAGGAACTGTCTCGAAAATTGATGGAGAGGCTGGAGGAGAAAATGAAGGGAACCCCCGCGGAGAAGGCACTGCCTGAACTCTTTGTGGGCAAAACCAAAACCTATATTTCTTGCATAAACGTTGACTACGAATCGTCTCGGATCGAAGAATTCTGGGATATCCAGCTGAACGTGCGAGGAAACAAGACGCTTGATGACAGCTTCAAGGACTATATACAGGTGGAGACTTTAGAGGGCGAAAATAAGTATGACGCTGGTCAGCCATTCGGTCTTCAGGATGCCAAAAAGGGCGAGATCTTCGAGAGCTTCCCACCAGTCTTGCACCTACACCTGAAACGCTTCGAGTATGACATTAACCGCGACGCGATGATGAAATTGAACGACCGTCACGTCTTCCCTCTGGAGTTCGACGCCTCGCCATATCTATCCAAGGATGCAGACAAATCAGAGTCTTGGGTTTATGAGTTGCACGGCGTTCTTGTCCATAGCGGCGATTTCAACGCTGGTCACTATTACGCATTCTTGAAGCCGACCAAGGATGGCTTCTGGTATCGGTTCGACGATGACAAGGTGATCCGGGCTACAGAGAAGGAGGTCCTCGAAGAGAACTATGGCGGAGAGTACGAGCTAGCAAACGGTGCTACTGGCGTCCGACAACCATATACCCGTGCGTTGTCAACGAAGCGCTCGATGAATGCCTATATGCTGGTGTACATCCGGAAGACAAGATTGGACGACGTCCTGGTTCCTATCACCAAAGATGACGTTCCCTCTCACATCGGTATGTGATATGATTTTGCTTTTTTTTTGTTTGGTTGATCAGCACAGGTTCTAACCTAGCCACAGAGAAAAAATTGGCCGAAGATCGGGCAGAGCTGGCCCGACGTAAAAAGGAGCGGGAAGAGGCTCACCTCTACATGAATGTTGGCGTTCTGTGCGAGAAGACTTTCCGAGAGCACCACGGTTTCGATCTTACCAGTACCGACCTGCCTTCCGGCGATCCCGCACTTCCAAAGTCATACCGGGTTCTCAAGTCCAAGAAGGTCAGCGAGTTTGCAGAGGAAGTCGCACAAGAAATGAATCTCAATGTAGAGCATATTCGTTTCTGGGTCATGGTGAACCGTCAGAACAAGACGACCCGTCCAGACCAAGCGATCAGGGATCCTGACATGACTGTTGAGGAAGCCTACAACCGATTTGGCACCAAGGGAAACGCATTTCGAATGTGGCTGGAGGTTGGCGAACCCGCAGCGGATGGCACAGTGTCCTGGCCCGATAGCAACACATCGGTGCTTATCTTCTTAAAGAATTTCGACGTCCACACGCAAACCTTGTCCGGGGTCTCAGCAGTGTATGTGCGCAAGAATCAGAAGGTCTCCGAGCTTGCGCCAGTCATTCTAGAGAAGATGAATTGGCCGGCTGGTACGGAATTCATGCTATTCGAAGAGATCAAGCATACGATGATCGATGTGATGAAGCCGAAGCAGACGTTCCAACAATCCGAAATTCAAGATGGCGACATCATCACCTTTCAGCAGACGGTCAAGGAGTCGGACATGCCGCCGACCGCCATCTACGCAGATGCTAGAAACTACTATGACTATCTTCTCAACCGTATGAATGTGAACTTTGCGCCGATCAAGATCGGCGAGGGAGAGGAATTTTCTTTGACTTTGAGCCGCAAGATGACCTATGAGCAATTCTCCAAGAAGGTTGGCGAGCACCTCAAGGTTGATGCGACACATCTGCGCTTCGCACCCGTCATGGCTAGCACAGGGAAACCGAAACCGTTCCTGAAGCGCAGTATCAATCAAACATTGTTCCAGATTCTTACCGGCACCTATGGCACCTACGGATACAGCATGCACCGGCCAGATGCGTTATACTACGAAATCCTAGATACCAGTCTCAGCGACTACGAGACGAAGAAGTGCCTGAAGGTGACCTGGTTGACCGAAGGGATCTCGAAAGAGGTAAATCCACAGACACTACGCCCCGCAACTCTTGGCTGCAATTATAATATACTGATTCTTTTGCCAGCAAATGTTTGAGGTTCTGGTACCGCGGAACGGCACTATTTCTGATCTCAACGCCGCTCTACAGAAGAAGGCCAATCTCGACGACGAGACGGTCCGGTATCTGCGTGTTTACGAAGTTCACAGTGGCAAGATCTATAAAGAGCTTACGGATGACTTCAACGTGGCCGGGATCAATGAATTTGTGACCCTATACGCGGAGCGAGTGCCTGAAGAAGAAGTCAATCTGGAAGAAGGTGACCGAGTTATCAGTGCCTTCAACTTCGACAAGGAGCCCGCCAAGCCTCACGGAGTCCCATTCAAATTCGTTATCAAGCCTGTGAGTAACCCCCTCTTTATTCCATTCTCATAGCGACAACCAGGTCTGATAATTGCCAGGGTGAAATTTTCAAGGAGACCAAGGAGAGGCTTTCCAAACGCACCGGCATTAAAGGGAAGCAATTCGAAAAGATCAAATTTGCCCTTGTCCCTCGGACCATGTATTCTAACCCACGATATCTTGAAGATGGTAAGTTTACGTCGGTTCTTCTTCCCTCGGAACAACACCAACAACAATAACAACAACATACTAATATGTTTTGCCAGATGATATCCTATCAGATATAGTCAGCGATGCCGACGACCTTCTCGGCCTCGACCATGTAAATAAGAACCGGAGCTTTTGGAACCGAAGCGAGTCTTTCTTCATTCGATAGATGAGATGGAGTCCTGCCGGTCTGAAAATTACCTTACCATTTACTTTGAAGCTATTACTCTTGGAGTGGAGATTTGATTAATGGAAGAGACAATAAGGACTTTGAAGATTATACCACAATATCTAAGAAATGAATCATGAAACTTGATTAAACTACAAGGTAATCTTGTTCTAGTTATGAAATATTATAATGATATTGGCGCGAATGGGACCATGGCCCATGGGTGACGGCCCACGGGTGACCACTGACGGGTCGGAGTAGGTCACATGACCCATAGTTAGAAATAGATGCAAACAGGTCAAACAGCGGAACAACAGCTGTTCCAAACAACTCTCTCCTGAAGGCTTAAACGGTCAACACCGCACCAGCAAAGGCGCAACTACTATTTGCTTTGCCTCGAACCTGCCGCTTTGACCATCGGAATCGCTATGCGTTTCGCGGCTTTGCTCATCGGCCTGCTGGCCACATTCGTCTCGTCCGTCGCGGCTACGGCGCTGACGTACAAGCTTGAGGCGAACGAGAAGGCATGCTTCTACACGAACGTGGAGCAAAAGAACACCAAGGTGGCTTTCTACTTTGCGGTATGATCTTCCTCCTCATCGCCTGAAATATTGCCTATTATATTATTATATGTTGAATGGTGGCTTATCTGCTCCAGGTTCAATCGGGAGGATCGTTCGATGTCGACTATGCCGTGCTCGCACCGGGCGACAAGATTGTCTTGGACGGAAAGAAGGAAAGGCAGGGCGATTTCGTGTTCACGGCACAAAGCACTGGAGAGTACAAATTTTGCTTTGATAATGAGATGTCGACTTTCGCTGAGAAGATGGTGGACTTTGAGATTTCGGTATGTGGAAGAGAACAGGGGTGACGAATAACGGGTGCTACGAGCTGGGGTGGGGGGGAACCTCCCAAAACCCAAAAACCATGCACATGGATTGATCCGAAAATGATTGTATGGGCCACTGACATCGATGTCCATCTAGGTGGAGAACGAACAACGCGCGCAACTGCCATCCAAGCAAGGCGCCAGCCCCGAACAGGCCACTGCCCTGGAAGAGTCCATCTACAAGATCTCTGCCCAGTTGTCGACCATCTCGCGCAACCAGAAGTACTTCCGTACCCGCGAAAACCGCAATTTCAGTACTGTGCGCAGCACCGAGCGTCGTATCTTCAACTTCAGCGTCATCGAGGGCCTGATGATGGTCTCGATGGCCGGCCTGCAGGTTTTCATCGTCCGGTTTTTCTTCCAGGGCGCTCGCAAAGGTCCGTTAGCCATTGGCTTTCCGATCGCCTAATTCTTTTTGCATATTATCAGACTGACGTATACCTAGGCTACGTGTGATGGACCCATGAATCATAATGTCATTTGAACAACATTTCTTTTTTTTGGCGTGTACAATTGTATCCATTTTCTGAGTTCTAGAATTATCTACGATGACCAAAAGGCCGGTAAATGAAATGTCTTGAGTTGTTGGATTGCCTCGTACCGGGTTCTTTCTCTTTTTCTTCTTTCCTGCTTCAGGGTAGACCTGAGCCTGATAGCATTCCAGGGATCATTTCGGACTCGTGGATTAATGACGCTGGTCTCCACCAAATTTCACCTATCGATATCAGTGTTAAAGAAAAGAACCATTTGCTCGTTCTTTTCCCTCATCATACAAGATCAGACTGACGACATATCCCAGTGTTTGAGGCTAAAGTAGGTTCCTTGAGCGATAAGTACTATTGATGATTTTCCAGGCTTGTCTACTCGGTGCAGGGAGGCTACGAAGAATGTACATCTGTCGAATCTAAACTTGATACGCGTCAAAACAGAGCCATCCGCCCCGGGCACTTGCGATGACGATAACAGCATCGATATTACTGAAGAATCGCCACGATTGAACCGAAATGAAGCTCTCTTTTTATCGCCAACAACGATCAAGATTTTCGGGCCGATTATATGATACATTGGAAAGAGAATGACGGCCGGAATTCCCAGGGAGGCAGGGGGGCCTAGCCAGCATTGGATGACGTCCGGAGGCGAAGCGATCTGCTCTCCACACTACAACCACAATAGTCAATTATTCAATTGTTATTTCGGGCGAATACAGGTCATCTTAACACTATTCGCTACGAATAACGACCTTGGATATTGAAGAATCCCCCACGCTCGTGGATATGATGATGGGTTTGCCTCGTAGCTCTCCCCCATTTTCTATCCTGGATCATATCATATCATAGTGGATACACTGATCCATCGGTCTCTCCCTCCTCCCTTAATTCTCGTGTGCAGGGTGGAGAAGTAGCTTCCAGGACCCAGATCTCTTGTTATATCGGTGTAGAGGTAATGTCGATGGCTATCTTGGTATGTTCTGATGTCTATGTCTGGTCATTATCGACCCCGTTGACGGTGGAATTGCCACATTGGTCGCAGTCTGGCAAATGAAGTTCGGCATATTGATTAAGATGTCGCCTCACGTTGTTAATTACAGTTATCTGGGATTTGATAGGCATGTCCATGAAGTCACGTCCCGTCGGATTTATAGAGAATTGGTTTGAAGGTAGTGTCCATAGATCCCATTCCTGTTTCGTTGAGATATACTATAGTGCTACCATGACGATAATCTATATTGTATTATATCTGGCAGATCTCTAACTCAGAATAAGATATTCTTTCCAAGGTCTACCTACTGCTGACAAGTTATTGATATGTCACCGTGCGTGGAGATAAATGCCCACTGCAGTGGCAACAACATGACGTCCATCTCTCCTATCCCAACCACGCCGCCGAGGACGACTATCCTCGTAACAGCTGGCCGTTTGACGATCCCAGCTACTAGCGCTTTGGCAGTGGCTATCTGGATACAGTGCGAATTGGTAATTCGGCCGTAACCCGCAATTCTTATTCCACTCCTTCTCTCGCCAGCCGATCTGCAGGGACAAGGTCTCTCGACGCTCGCGGTGACCTCATCTGTGCTCTCCAGCAACGCACGCTGCTGGGGAAAGACAAAGGTCTCGCCCCGTGGCGTTGAACCTCTCGCCGCCTTTCCGCTGGCTTGGCTAACTAATGGTTTCGATGGCCTTCTGTTTCCCCCAAGCCTTCCCACCCCCCCGGTTTCCCCTGAAGGGGGGGCGTGGTGCGAAGGGCTGGGAGGCCCCATGACATCATGCTCTTCCTCACTCGATGACTCCCAATCACAAATCATACAGCATCTGCTGTGATTTCATAAGACAACTCCGAGGGGGAAAGTGACATGGTCGTTCAGCGTGGATGCGTATAAGAGACCACGGTTGGCCGAGACGAAATCGATCTGAGTATTGCCTGCCACCTTTGTCAACCGGGAGGATTGATAAACAAACGAATACGCCTGGAGAATTCCCATCTATCATTTTTCTGTCTTGTCTACTTTTTTCTACCTTTAGACGTGTCTGTCGCCTCGATATAACAGGTGAGCTTGCCGATTCTGAGTATCCATTGACCCCTCTGCAAGACGACCATGTCGGAGAAGACCACACACACTCACAACCGAGCCCTCCATTATCTCCTTTTTGACGATCATCGACAACTGCGGGACGATGAGGGAAAGGGAGAGACTTCCACTACACTTGGGCCGTTCCACTGACATCCATACTGATGGTGGTTCCCCCCTTAGATCCTTGCTTTGAAGTGAAAGAGAACCAAATATGCCCCATCTGTCTTCTCCAGTCGAAACCTCCGGGAACATGCACGATATGTCCCCCATAGATGGCGGGGGCGGTGATGATAGAGGAGGGAGGGGATTCGGGTACCCTTCTCCTCCGGCCGAGACCCATCACTTCCATATCACCCATTCTCGATTTGATCCTCGTGTCTCCCTAGACGACTACAACCGGATCATGCTGGAGTACACTCAACGGCAGATGGCGTCGTTTGTTGACCAGGATGGGGACCGCCACCGCGCCACCAGCACGCGCAGCCGCAGCAGCAGGAGCAGTGATACCAGTGGCCGCAGTGGCCAGTCGACCAGCGGCATTTTGGCTGGCCATGCTGCGGCGCCTGCCTCGCATCAAGCCTATCAGCCGGCAACCAGAAACCCCGAAGGTCTCAAGGCTGGCTTTTGAAAAAAAAAATTAAGCCGTGAGCATACCACAACCACACTATCCGGTGCCCCCAAACTTTGTGTTACTCGCTGCTCACAAGACAGCAGGCAAACCTAGTAGCCAAGTATATTATATACATACTGAGGTGGATCTGGATATCCACGGCTACATTTCATACAAGAAGACCATGATGATGAGGTGTCTTGAATAGATGCCATACGTTCGTTACAATGACTTAGCGAGTAACTGCAGTTCTAGCGACCAGCAGCGAGATATTGCAGCCAGCCTTTTTTGACTTGACCTGACCCTTGGCCCTTCTGAACCTTTTGACACATATTTCCTCGCTGTGGGTACAGAGTTACAGTGCCAGACCTACAATCTAGCCCCCTTCACCCCTTGTTCGACTTTTACTATCAACCCTACGGCAATCTATGTATCCCCTCATGCGGAATGCGCCAAAGATTCCCAAACCTTCCAATTTGACAGGACGCCGGTGGCGCTCTTATACACGAAATCAAGAAGACAAATCGAAAAATCGAAAAATAAAAAAAAAAAAAAAAAAAAAAAACAAATGGGAAACAACAAACCCTTTCTGGCTTTCTCTTCTCTATACACTCGTTTAGCCTCTTGACTATGTATCTTGCCGAGATAGAAATGGCAGGACTTGGTAGTACAGTAATCCACAATAGATATATGTAGACTGAACAGCTATGTAGAGTGAATAAATCAATCATCTGTTGATGTTTGTTTACAGGGTATCCCGTAGGAGTGCCCCTGGAATGTTGTTGCTACTCCTTGCATTCCTAACAAGCCGTATCCTCGATAGGGACCTGTCAACAAGACAAATATCAGACAGGAAGCATCCCTGGTATTGACTCCATAAAGTAGAACGCAGTATATAACCCTCTATCCACTACGTACCATCATCCGTCGTCAATACTTTCGTGATACTACCTACCCCTTTAAACTTCCACTCATACACTGGAGTGTTTTGATATAATTTCATTTCACTTCATTCCATTTCCCTACACGATTACTCATAATGCGTTCCACACTATTCATGCTGCTGACAACCCTGGCTCTCGCCATGGCAGCCCCAGCCCCAGCCCCCGCTCCTCTAGCATCGACATCTTCTTCACAAGCAGCCCCGTCTCCCGCCGCGACACCCTCGTCATCCAAACCGACCACTTGCCCCAAGGAGAGCTCGAAGCAATGCTGCATGTCCATCAACCAGACAGGCGAGCGGATCACAGAGCCCCTAACTCAGATTTTGCCCGTCGGGGGTGTCGAGCTGAGTTCCCTTGTTGGACTTTCTTGTATGTAGAGAGGAGAAGGGAGGGGAGAAGAAGATATGCTGAATACTAACCCCTTAGGCGTCCCGATGAGCGCAGATACCAAGGATGATACCTGCTTGGAAGATATTATGTGTTGTTCCAGTGGATCAGTGGTAAGACGACAATTTAGACGTCCTTTTTCAAGTTACCCTTCGAATCGTGCTAATTGATGTCTAGGATGGCTTTGGGATTATCAAGGGGTGTCAGACGATCCAGGAGGCAAACCAGGCGAAACATTCTTTGGAATTGAGCAGTGCTTGACGAACTTATATACTAGAATAGAATACTTAATACCACTTAATACCACTTATGATTAATACTGATTTCCATTATTTGATTCATACTCTATGTTACCTCCAATTCCGCCAGCCTGTATGAGGAGGCGGGAAGTGATGAGACCCCGGAGGCATAGGCTGGCCAGGTGCGTTCGGCGGGGGACCCGGCTGGCCTGGCGGGAGAGGATGAAACGGCACAAATGGCGGAGGAAAGGCAGACTGGCTGGTTCCTGGGTTCATCGCAACGGGCGGCATCGGCGGCGGGGGAGGCCATGGTCCATGGTAGTTGGCTGGTCGGGGAGGGGGAACTGGCATCATTCCCGGGGCAAAACCTGGGTGGTACGGTTGGCCGTCTCCGGGGGGGAATGGCATGGGGGGAACGTTCGGTGGTGGGGGAACATTAGGAAGAAGGTTTGATGGGGGAAAGTTTGGTGGTAGAGCCGGAGGAGGGGGGGGGTGAAGAGAAGTAACGTTTGCTGGAGGAGGGGGAGGAGGGGGGGGAAGAGCGTATTGGCCGGAAAACGACGATGCAGGACGCGGGGAATAAGACCGTTCACGACTCTGGGGGCTGCTGGATCGTGACTGAAGCCGCCGGCGACTGCGGGATCGCGACCGTCGGCTGTGCTCGCTGTCGGAACTGGCGCTGTACCGTCTGAGCCGTTTCGTCCGGGTATAGCTGCTGCTGCGGCTCCTGCTGCGAGTGCGACTGCGACTGCGACTGTGGCTGCGGTTCCGAGAATCCACATCATTGCGTTTCTTCATTTGCTCACAAAACGTCCGCGACCAGCCGTAATACGTCTCGCCATCCATGATCTCGCCGGTTTTGGAGTCCCGCACGACCGTCTGGCCCAGCTCGTCGATATCCACCACCGCGTCTTCCCGGTCCATAGGCTCGTCAACTCCGTAGATCCGGTCCACGTCTTTCAGAAACGTTTTCAGGGCCGTCACCAGCTTCTCGTCGGCCGGGCCCGCCAGGAATTGCAACGGTTTGATGGTCTCGGGCCGTAAGGGCGTGGTGGAGTCCGGGATGATGTGGTGCAGAAAATTTCCCGCTGGGAGATCATAGTACGGGGTGGACAGGTCGCCATGAGTCGAAGGCATGACAAAGGGTGCATCTTTGCCCGTCTGTTTCTGAGCGATGCTCTCCTGCACCCCCGTCGCTGCAGATAGAGGGACGGAGCCCGTAGACGCCGACGTCTTGACCACCTCTCGGAGCTTGCCGATGTAGTCAGAGCTGCAGTATCCATGTTGCTCCCAGATATCCAGCAGATCGTCCAGTCGCCGGTGCAGTTTGGGGTTCTTTTCTCGGTCGTAGGAGGCCGCGAGGCCGACGAGGTCCACCAGACAGGGCTGCAGAGAGCCGCTCAGAGTGGCAAATGCGACGGGTGTGTCGGAGTGATACTTTGCATGGTGGAACAGATCGTTGAGCAGGTAGAGGATATGAAGGCGTTTCCGTTTAGGGGACGATTCGCGGCGCGGAGCAGCGGGCTTTCCGTCATCTCCTGCGGCGGCGAAGGAGGTTGCCAGTGTGACGAGGTACTTGCCCCAGACACCGACCCTGTTGGATGACTGGACAATCCAGTTGAGAATCCATGTTTTACAGGTCTAATCCACGCGCGCAGGGGCATAATTTAGCATTTAGATTGAGAGTGGAGTGGTGTGTGTTCGGATCAGACCTGGATGTTGGACGGGGAACAGTGCGTCAGCACTCTGTCCAGAGAACTGTGCAGCGCAGTGATCTCATCGCGCGAAACAGAAGTCGGATCGGGGCGTAACAGCGCCGCCGACAGCGAGGCCTTCGCGATGGCAATCTGGTGGGAGGCCATGGCTGATCGACTTGGTGAAAGTCGAGGATCGCGGGCTGTAAGGTGGTGTTCACGTGATCTTCCGCACGTGCATCCTAGGGAGTATCTCAGTGCGTATGCCTAGGTAACTACTAGGTAGTTTTAACTAGAGATTGAAGGTGAATTGGAATTTGAATAAGTAATATATAGAAACACTGAATACAGCAGGTAATAGAATGTGGTAGCTGGCTAATCTTGTGTCTTATTAAAGAATTGAAGACTTCAACCACTAAAGAATAAGGCAAGTATAGGCCATTGACGATATAGGACGAGATCGAGGGGAAGCTCTTTTTGTACTGGACTGGAGGAAAAGCAAGCCAGGGAGAGATATAGGATTTTATTACTACTGCTTTATCAAAAAAAAGATATTAATCCTAGAAGGTATGTGGTGAGCAACTAAGAATCAATATCAGATCTAATATATTAAGGAATATGTACCTAATGGTTAGGTACTCCGTACTTGGCTATATTGGTAGAATAACTCCTTAGTTCTGTGCCTTATGGCTAAATATATCCCGGTAATTCTGCTAGTAGAAGATTCTTATGCTTAATCATAGTCAATTAATTGCTTTTAAGCTCTTGACAGAAATGAGCCCACAATTGTGGTAATCATGACTCTACTATTAATTAGCTGTACCTTACTCCGTAGTACATTAGGTATATAGTTATATAGGTATATAGGTATATATGTAGCTCTTCGAATCCAAAGCGGTAAAATGATCCCGAAACCATTTCTCATCGATATCACAAGCCATGGCGGAGATTAAATATTCAGCCACCGGCTGCAATATCCGGTAGTCGAGTCCATAGCAGAAAAGGGCGGAATTAAGTATCCATGGATGACACTAGAATGCTATTGTGGCATGATCTTCTGCATCAAGTACCGATACCACTAGTACCGCCCTTTATACTAGGAGCTCAACTCTAGATCGGATGATTCTCTCCCGCCATCAGGTAACCTTCCTTTGGGCAGGCAGCAGCACGCGCTCTGACGTGATGATGGGTCACATCCAACCCAACAGGGCTGTCGATCGCGTGTTGCGACGGCACAGAGGAGGAGTCGATTGTTGAGGATGGCGAGGGGTAAAACAGTCACTGGCGGTACCTGGTGATCCACTGCGCCCCGCAGGCACTCGGACGGTGCATGGTTCAGATGGCGTGAGAATGGGCGGTATGTTGTAGTAGATCTGTAGAGTATGGTGTATGGGTGTATAGTCTTCTATATGGGACAGGAGAGAGCCTGTTAATATATGTAAAGGAGTAAAGTGGGAGATGCAGGGAGTCCATATGGTATGATCTTTTGTAGGCAACTGCCAGGTACTCCGTACTATCAGTACTGGTAATACCAGTGTCATACTAGGTAACCTACCAGTAGTACCTAAATGTGTACACTGGTTCATCCGACGGAAATCACCCTACGGATGAACCCCGCAGCACAGTTTGGTACGATACAATACATACCGTACAGACGATCTGAAGCATATACAAAAGGTCTCGAAGGTCCTCTGTAGCATAAATATAGTCAAGCTCTTTGCTACATACTCTATCGTCTCTACTATCATCTCTATCACTGTCTTCTCATCAACTCTCATATTCATCTCTCATCATCTCATCATGGCCTATACGCTCTCTGCCCAGATCATTCGCCCTGCCGTGCGTCGCTTCTCTGCCCACCGTCCTCAGCCCAACACTCGCACTTCGCGCTTCGTGACCATGTCATGTCTGGTCTCAGCCGTCGTGCTACCCTTCATCCCTCCTGCCATCGAGAGCTCGCGCGCCAAGAGCAATCCCAATTACTACAAGAAGTGTGTGTTGTCCCGTATACTTCTCCAGTAACTACCTAGGTGGTTATATAATCAGAATCTATAGCTAACTGAACCTAGAGCCAATCCTCCGCTTTGCTTCCACGCGCGCTAGCTCGATAGCTAGATACAGATTTTCACAAGTAACAGACTTGGGGTTCTTTTTAATGTCTTGGGATTATGGGCGGCGTTTTTCTTTGCTTTTCTTCTACGATATACGTGCATGGACGGCGTTAGGTTGGGGTGGTTTAGCAACATTCCCTTGGTGGTGACTGCCTAGCAGCTGGACATGACCATCAAATCATTGCTAAACACAATTGAATTCTACTTATTCAAATTTGAATAACATGACTTTTATACCAAGCCTAGTATACACGAACCAAAGGCTCGACCTGATATCGCTTCCCCCCCCACCCCCTCAGTGATCGCCTCAACTAAGACGGTTTCCTCGCCGTGGTCGGAACGGCTCTGTAGCTTCATATTTCCCCTTCTCTTCAACCCGTTCCTCCTCCGTCATCGGCTCATGTCGAGTCGGGGCGGGATCGTGGCCTGCCTCCGCACTCGGAGAGGCAACGTCGTCCGTGGCGCTCTGGAAGCGCGTCATGTTCGCTCTCTGAAGACTTGGCGACTCGGACGGCGTCGGGGTTGGCGGCGGAATGGCGGACTGGCGACGGTGCTCGGCTTCCATCGCTGCCAGCTGCGACTTGCGTTTTATCTCTGCTTCGAATCGGGAGGCGCGGTCTGCGTTGATGGATTTCTTTGCGAAGTAGTATGCACCGCCGCCGGCTGATAAATTAGAAACTTCTACACACATACACACACACATATATATATAAAAGACTCACCGACGCAAAGAGCGCCCCATCCAATCCTTCGCTGGGTTAGCAACAAGCTCCTATAGACCGGGAAGAATTCCGCTCACCAGGTTGATCGAATCTACCGCCGAACCAATTGTAAGTCGTTTGTCTCGTAGAAAAACCATTCATAAAAAAGGACACCCCTTGACGTACCGTATTCATTTTTTGAGTGATGGAGTTATGCGACTCGTTGGGCACAAAGCAAGTATTGATGCTTCAAAGAGAAGAAAAGCAAAGTAACTCCCCGAATCGCCGACTACGTCAATGCTGGTCAACCAATTCGGCCGAGTCGGAGCCGACAAGCTTTCTGCAGGGGTGGCGAATCATAAATCGTAACACTTTAGGCGGTCGGAAACTGCCGGCTTTCGGCTGATTATGTCAGTGATTATGTCAGTAATTATGTAAGTGATTGCCTATTCTGGGCAAGTCGCCTTTGCCAGCTTCAACTTCAATCACTTTGTTATCATTATCATTCTCCTTCTTATTTACGTTCGACATCCATCCTAGCCACCAACGGCTAGGAACCAGCTAAGGCTTCTCGAGGCTACCGACTTTGCTCCGCGAAACAGAAAGCTACTGTATCGTTTGCTGGACAAACCGCTTCTGCTTCGCCTCCCTTCGAAACATCTCGAACTGTTGAACCTACAACCCATCATGCCTCCGAAACGGAAGGCGACTGACAGTATGGTGACATGCCGTCAAGACCCAAAAGTAGATAGAGGACTGACCGGGGATCAGGTGGTCGGTCCAGTAGAGCGTCGAAGCGCGCCACGCCTGTTCCAGACATCGACAGTAGCGACGAATACTCGGACTATGAGGAGGATGTGAAAGGGAACAATCTTAAAGGTAGCTTCAGTAATTTTTTGAAAAGAAAAGAAAGAAATGCAAAGAAGAAGGAAAGAAAGAAAGAAAAAAAGGTTTCGCTGGCTGACCCTAGTCAAGACGTCGTGGAGAAGTTCTCGCTCGAGTCTTTCAGCAGGAGCAAAAAGACCAGCCTTCAAAGAGAAGACCCTAATTTCGGATATAAGGATTTCTCGTCGCTCCCGCTCAAACCAGATCATGCCAACCGCCCGCTCTGGATCGATCCGTTGAAAGGCACAATCACCTTGGAGAGTTTCTCGCCGCTGGCGTCGCAGGCACAGGACTTTTTAACTACAATCGCCGAGCCTCTCTCACGGCCGACGCACCTCCACGAATACCGATTGACGGGAAACAGTCTGTATGCGGCCGTGTCTGTGGGATTACAGCCATCCGATATCATCAGCTTCCTGGATCGGTTATCGAAAACACCACTCCCCGATACCATCAAGTCCTTCATCATCGATTTCACAAAGTCTTATGGCAAGATCAAGGTGGTGTTGAAACATAACCGTTTTTTTGTCGAAAGCACAGACCCGAGCATGTTGCAGATGCTTCTTCAGGATGAGGTCATCGGGCCCCAGAGGCTACAAGGCACCGAGGGGATTATCCAGCAGGCCGCGCCTAAGATGGGAGGCCTGGTCATCCCCGGAACCAAAGATGCTGCGGGAGTAAAACAAACATCGGACGAGAAGGCGCCGGAAAAGGGCGCCAAGGAAGATGATATCCTCATGACTCTGCGAGAGGATGATGATGACGACGACCAGGCTCAGGTGCACAGCTTTGAGATCCCGAACGATGCGGTAGAAGCGGTGAAGGCACGCTGTCAGTCCATGGGCTGCCCTGCGCTGGAGGAATACGATTTCCGAAACGATGAGATTAATCCTACTCTGGATATCGACCTCAAGCCGAATGCGAGGATCAGAACTTACCAAGAGAAGAGTTTGAGCAAGATGTTCGGTAACGGCAGAGCGAAGAGTGGGATTATCGTTCTACCCTGTGGTGCAGGCAAGACCCTGGTTGGCATCACCGCCGCCTGCACCATCAAGAAAGGAACCATGGTTCTGTGCACGAGCTCCATGTCTGTCGTGCAGTGGAGAAACGAGTTCCTGCGATGGTCCAACATCGATCCGGGAGACATTGCCATCTTCACATCCGACAACAAGGAGAAGTTCCGCCGATCGACCGGTATCATTGTCTCGACGTACTCGATGGTCTCCCAGACCCGGGCGCGATCGCACGACGCCCAGAAGATGATGGATTGGATCCAATCGCGTGAGTGGGGTCTCATGATCTTGGACGAGGTGCACGTCGTGCCGGCCTCGATGTTCCGAAAGGTCACATCCGCCATCGCTACCCAGAGCAAGCTTGGTTTGACGGCCACTCTGCTGCGTGAGGACGACAAGATCAAGGATCTGAATTTCCTGATTGGCCCTAAGCTCTATGAGGCCAACTGGATGGAGCTGGCTGAGCAGGGTCACATCGCCAAGGTGCAGTGCGCGGAGGTCTGGTGTCCGATGACCACCGAGTTCTACTCCGAGTACATGCGCGAAAAGTCCCGCAAGGCAGCGCTGCTGTACATCATGAACCCGAGAAAGTTCCAGGCGTGTCAGTTCCTCATCGACTACCATGAAAAGCGCGGGGACAAGATCATTGTCTTCTCGGACAATGTCTATGCACTCGAGCGTTACGCCCTCAAGCTGAACAAGGCGTACATCTACGGAGGAACGCCCCAGAACGAGCGAATGCGGATTCTAGAGAACTTTCAACACAACGAGCAGGTGAACACCATCTTCCTCTCCAAGATCGGCGATACCTCTCTGGATCTGCCCGAGGCCACCTGTCTAATCCAGATCTCCTCGCACTACGGTTCTCGTCGTCAGGAGGCCCAGCGGCTGGGTCGAATTCTGCGAGCGAAACGCCGTAACGACGAAGGGTTCAACGCATTTTTTTACTCCTTGGTGTCCAAGGATACAGACGAGATGTACTATTCCTCAAAACGACAGGCCTTTCTAGTCGACCAAGGCTATGCCTTCAAGGTGATCACCCACCTGCAGGGGATCGAGAACCTCGACGGACTCGCCTACGCGACACCCGCCGAACGCCGTGAGCTCCTGCAGGAGGTCATGCTGCAGAACGAGACCTCGGCGGATGTGGAGAATGTCACGGACGACCTCTTTAGCGACCGCTCCGGCGGGTTCAAGGGCAAGGCGGGCGGCCGCGGGGCAGTCAAACGCAGCGCAGCCACGCTGAGCGGCCTGGCGGGCGGCGAGGATATGGCCTACATCGAATACAACAAGAGTCGCAACAGACAGCTCAAGGAGAAGGTCAACCACCACCCGCTGTTCCGCAAGCTGGAGCGCGAGCGCCAGCGACGCAAGAAGGAGATGCAGGAATTCCATTAGCGCTGGGTCGCCATAGACAACTCAAGTCTGGTTGCAATACATTGAACTTTTACTCTATCTCCATCGCTAATCGCAGCTAGTGGCTTACCCCAGGTTTTAGCGCCGGCGTGCGGAGAATCAATGCGGAGTAAATAGTAGTACTGCTAGATTTATATATACTCCGTATATAATACAGTTCTACTTACATTGTGTACCTAATCTACTCGGTTCATCGGTTACAGTACAGAGTAGTTCCAGTATAGGTCGTTCTCAATAAGAGACTTTTCAAGTTAAAGGCTGTCTACCGTGACGAACGATAACCGCCGCCAACCCTATCTACATACTACATACATCTACACCGACTCCGAGTGTTTACTCAGTCTCTCTTCCTTGTATTTGATCGACAGGGCAGAGAACAACAAGAATACAATTGATCAATAACAACCAAAACACAACAAGACTCGAATCAACGGACCGGATGCGGTCATCACGCTAAACCACATCTGGGTTTCTGTTACTCAACACAAACACCGTGAGTGGCGAGCAGCAGCACGCAGCAGAAACACGAGTTTCTTAGAAAGCTTGGAGAGAGAGAAAGTCGACTGCTTTCATTCCTGATGAGAATGGGGTCCGCGGAGATGGACAGTTGCTTGTCAATGATGCCTTTGTGGGCCACGATGAGTTTTCATAGTTACCTTGCCTACTACCACCTACATAATTGTTAACCCACCTGCCGAAGAAAAAAAAAAAAAAAAAGAAACAACCCATGATTTCCAGGTTTCAGGAGACAACACCATGGGTCAACAACATACCTGGCATACCCCTACACGCTGGCATCTAGATATCGACCACTACTTGAACCCATGGCTTCCGGCACCGCCCTGGCGACATCTGCCCCGGCTGGTCTCCCGTATGTTCGGGTACCGCGAGCATCCGACGTCTGTCATGGGCAACGTGGGCGTTGCCTTTTGGGCGCTCATCGGCATCTTCTGCGGGGTGGCCGTCGTGGCGACTGTCTCGATGCATATCCCGTCGTTTGAGGAACATGGTGCTCCTATTATTGTTGCTAGTTTGGTAGGTCCTTGCCCTTTTTTATTTTCCTGACACTTGGGTATTTGAATGCATTCAACTGACCGTTCAGGGAGCAGCGGCTGTTCTGCAGTTCTGCGCTATCGAATCGCCGCTCGCGCAGCCTCGTAATGCAGTGCTAGGCCAGTTGATCGCCTCTGTGGTCGGCGCGGGCATGAGCAAACTCTTTGCGCTGAATCCCTCGGCGCAGGCTCTACGGCAGTTGGGCGGTGCTTTGTCCTGCGCCATCGCCACCGCGCTGATGACCCTCACGCATACTGTGCATCCCCCCGCGGGAGCCACTGCCCTCCTGGCCGTCACGCAGTCTCCCGAGCTGGGCTGGTTCCTGATTCCCGTCATGATGCTGGGGAGTACTCTGATGCTAGCCGTCGCACTGCTTATCAATAATATCCAGCGTCGGTATCCGTTGTACTGGTGGACGGCGCACAGTCTGCGTCGGGAACCGGCGGGTTCTTCCGACGAGGAGAAGGGAGCTGCTGCTGCTGCCAAACGGGCGGATAGTCTGCCGAGTCAGTACGAGGAGAGTCTCACGGATGATCCTCCGCATATCAGTATTCGGCGGGGGGAGCTGTTCGTCCCAGAGAGTATCGTTCTCACGCACAAGGAGAGGGAGGTTCTAGAAAGGCTAAGCAGTCGTATATAGGGATGGACAATAATAAATGGCTTTCTTCATGGAACCTGATGTGATGGATGACAATTTATGTGATCATGAGATAAATAGTAAAAGGTCTGTCTCACCGAAACAGTTGGTTCAATAATCTAATAATGTTGTTCTCTGCAGAAAAAAACAAAAAAAGAAGTGGTGGTCCCAGTGGGGGTCGAACCCACGACTTTGGCGTTATTAGCACCACACTCTAACCAACTGAGTTATGGGACCTTGTTGAAGTTCGGGGGAAAATAATGCTCTATATTCCAGTACCTGTAATGTTCGAAAACTGTTCCCTATGTTAACTATGTGAGCTAATCACTCGGTGTCTTGTACTGGCAATATATATAATATATTCATCGCTGCCTAAATATATAGAAGAGGGATCTTGTTAGTATATCTTAATTACGACATTTTATTGTTACTTACTTGTTTATGGTTGCTGTCTGCCTTGTAGGTTATCTGTGGTGCTTATATATAACTGGGTTGACGCGGTGGATATGTATGTTTATTTTAAATTCCTGTTTAATCAGTTTCCTCTGGATATCAACACCAGAAATACGGGACGTCGTAAGTGACACCACCCCCACTGCACACTAGCTGATTCACCTATATAAAACAGTTTATGCTCCAGCATGCATAAACCGCCCCTCCTTGCCGAGCCACTCCGCTATATAACCGTATGCCCTCTCCGCGGTATCGCCATACTGGCCCGCATACTGTTCGCAGGCAGTGCAGGTGTCGAGGTTATGTTCAGCGCCCTCGACAAAGACGATAGCTGTATCATTGCTCCCCGAAGCGAGGTAGATCTTCTCCGCGTTGAGATATTCGTAGTGGCCCGTCATACCCATGGTGAGCAGCGGCACAGAGATGCCCGGCACGGCAGCGACGGGCACCATATGGCTGGAGAACCAATCGACCCCCACGATCCCATCCTCGGTGATGGCGTAGTCGGGCGTGGCGCGGATGGCAAAAGTGGATAGGTACCGGCGCACGGTGGTTTTGAGAGCACCACGAATATAGGAATGGGCCATGGAGTGGATGGGGGACCGACTGCTCGGCACGCGCACCGAGTGGACAACTTGCTCGACGATGCCTGTCGGGGTGAGCAGCGGCCAGACATGCTCAGTGTGCGCTAGCAGACGCGGGTCCTGCCCTAGAAGCTTGTTGTTGGGGCCGATGTACGTCCCGTCAGGGATGTAAAAGGGCTCGTCGTCGTCGAACAGGGCCTCCCCGGCCTCGATGGCCGCCAGGCGGTCCTGCGCAGTGGCGATCAGCTCCTCATTGAGGGCGTACACGCCCGAGAAGAAGGAGGAGGTGAAGCTGGCGGGATACTCAGCTGCGGACCCGTTGCGAAAGCCGTTGGCCGGGTTGAACTGGTCCAGTGCCGGGTTGACAGCCAGGCGGCCGCTCTCGGAGCGCTCGAGGGCCGGGTTGAGGCTCATTAGCGTCATGGTGGAGAGGCCGTAATTGGCGTCGATGAGCATCACCCCGTCTGCGGGCAACAGCCCGTCCATAGCGGACGAACACCGGTAGTAGATCTTCTCCGTGCCGTTACAGGCGCCAGCCCCGTTCTCGGCGATGTTCTGGTAATCGGCCATCATCGCCCCGCCGCCGCTGTGCCCAAACAGCACGACCTTCTCAATCCCCGGCTGGCTGCGCAGGTACCGCATCCCCGAGCCCACCATCAGCATCATCTCCTCAAACCCCAGCGGGGCCCCGAAACCGGTTTTGTCCAGCGCGTTGTTAGCACACAAGACAGTGTACCCTCGTTCCGCCAGCGCTGTACACGCCGAGAAGCTGGCATAGTTCACCTCCGCATGCATCACGTACACAGCGATTTTCGCCTGCGGGCTCCAGCTCGCCGGCTGGTAGAGACCCCCGATCACATCGCCTGTGTCGACCAGCAGTGCAGGAGATGATGTCGTACTCTTCAAGCTGTCGTCAACCAGCACGCCCGGTAAAGCACTGCTACCCAGCACCGAAAACAGCAGCCTTTGCAGGTTAACCATCTTGTCTAGATGGATTGTATTGATAGAGCGGGGGGTTTCTTCCAGGTCTGACGTTGTCGTTGGCATCAGACGCTGCTCTAGCCCAAAGTAGACTAGTCGACGGACGACTTTCATATCAACTAACAGCATTGAAAGGATGTTATTGCACTGTAAATTCTTACTACTGTCTACTCTAGCATGGAGTACATGCCTGTTTTCAATAGTTCTAGTAGGAAGGCTGCAAGGCTGATAGGGAGACTGTGATACTCCAACGGAGGATGACAGCATGACTATATAACAGATTCAAAGACTATTAAGATTAACATTCAGATAGATCTGTTGTAGATGCAATATCAAGGAATGTGACCAGTTGTTGGTGAGTTTAGATGGAGAGGTGGAAATGTTTAGATGTTCTACATGAGTGTAAATTGTGTAACCTAACTTAATACACTATTTTTCTCACAACTTCAACAAGGTCCCATAACTCAGTTGGTTAGAGTGTGGTGCTAATAACGCCAAAGTCGTGGGTTCGACCCCCACTGGGACCACCACTTCTTTTTTTGTTTCTTTTGCCTCTGCCGTTCTATTTTTTTTTGGTGTTAGGCCAATCGATGGAGTTGAGTATCGGAAGAAACGAAGAAATCTTTTCGATGAGCGAGCAGTGAACTGGAATCAAAACCATACTGCGTCTTAAAGCAATCTCTTGTTGTCTCGGTGGTGAGATCCCTCACAGTTTGCCTTTGAACCCAAGTTGCCCCCCATCAGAATTCGAAGCACCCCTCTCGTCAAGCTCTACCAGCAATACGCCCTCTGCGAGGTCTGCGTCGGTCTCATCCGGTTCCAGTACCCATTTGACGCGGCCTGATCGTGGACTGCGAACCTCCAGCTCCATCTTCATCTGTTTTACAAAGGCAAGGACCTGACCTTCTACGACGTCCTCCCCAGGCGAAACATTCAGTTCCACCAATTTCCCCGACAAGGGCAGAACGATGTGTCTAGGGTTACCTGGGTCTCCACGGCGATAGGTAGAAGACATTGATATTGAGGCAGACGCCGCCGTGGCTTCCAGCTGTATCTTGTAGGGTATCGCAGACCGAGGAGCGTTCGGCGTGGTGTATTCGATCTCTGCAGCCATGGAGGTTGGGAATCCGTTGCGAAGAACACGCTTTAACCGCAGATGGTGTTGTATTTGTTCTTGAACAGGCCCGTCGTCGAGTGGTTTGAGAGTGATGGACCACGCGTCGCCTTTACGCAAGAGAAGTGCAGAGGAGGACGAGACTGTGGATAGTTGAATAGAGTCCCTTTCCCGGCGAGGACCTGCAAGGGGCAAGTCGTGCGCATAAAACGACTGTGAAAGGCTGATAAGCTGGTCTAGATTGGATTCGAGCCATCGGGTATCGATTTTACCCGCGAGAAAGTCCGGATGCAAGACAATAGCTCGCAGGAGGGAGATGTTGGTCTTGACACCGCCTATATTCGTGTCAGTAAGAGCACGTTGTGCTTTCAGAACGGTTGCCTCCCAGGTCGGGGCTGTAACGATGAGCTTGGCGAGAAGGTTGTCGAACTCCGTCCCCACAGCAAGAGGGTTTCCAGTATCAACTCTGACTCCGTGGCCGGTGGGGAGTGTAAAGTCCTTGATTGTACCGATACTCAGAGCGAAATTATCCCGAGGGTCCTCGGCACATATCCTGAGCTGGATGGAGTGTGAGTTTGGGGGGATTTCTGGATCTGGAAGTGTTCCAAGCCCTAAATCATCAAGAGAAGCCCCCTGAGACAGGAGCAATTGCATCTGGACCAGGTCCACGCCTAAGATTGACTCGGTTACGGTGTGTTCCACCTGGAGTCTGGGATTGATCTCTAGGAAGAAGAACTCCTCCCGTTCTTCGCTGACGAGGTACTCGAACGTGCCTAGCGAACGATAACGAATCCGTCTCGCGATCCCAAGAGCCGAATCGATGACTGCACAGAGTAATTTGCGGTTTCTGATATTTGCAGGGGCTACCTCGATGAGCTTCTGAAACCGTCGCTGGACGCTGCAATCTCTCTCCCAGAGATGCTGGACTGACCCCGTCCCGTCACCAACGATCTGTACCTCGACATGGTGATATCCATTGACAGCAGCCTTCTCAACAAACACAGCTTGCGAGGGCGACTCTCTCACAGCCCGATTTACAGCTTCGGCCACTTCGTTTTCATTGTTTACTTGGCGAATCCCTCTGCCGCCGCCGCCATCAACCGCCTTGATCATCACGGGGTATCCCGCGTCGGATGCAAAAGCCTGAATCTCATTCACATTCGATGTTGGCGAAGTAATAGCCTTGAGAACAGGCACGCCGCATTCCATGGCTAGTTGTCTTGCCTGGAGCTTGTCGCTTGTTTGGGCTAAGATCTCCCGTCCAGGCCCGATCACCACCACTTGAGCTTCATCCCACATCCGCCATGCAAAGTCCGCGCTTTCACTGAGGAAGCCATATCCCGGATGGACTGTGTCGATGGAATATGTCCGTGCTAAACTGACTAGAAAATCGATATCCATGTATGAGGCCGCTGACGGAACTGGGATTGCATGATGGGGCCGTCCCAGGGTGCAGTGAGAGGCATCGTTCGGCGTATAGAGAGCAAATATCTCAATATCTGATGAAAGCTCCCGGGCTGCTTGAAGGATTCGCACAGCAATTTCACCCCTAGTAAACTATTGATTAGTCTGTGCCGAAGCATGTGGAAAAACACGAATCATCGTACCGGTTTGAAACCAAGAGTCGCTTGATGGGTCGAGATGGCGGAAATGGCATTATTCAGTGTGATGAGCGGTACTATGTTTTAGAAAGTCTCAAAGAAACCGTCCGTGAATGACAAAAGAATTTGTAGATTTGTTGTTTAATGAGCCAATCCCCATCTTCAATATATGGGGGATACTGCGATTCGCGGCCTCGGACCTCGGATACCCCTCATGAAGGTGATCTGGTACATAAAACATTGCCAGCCATTTGAGCATCTAGAAGGCGACCATCGATCAAGATCGCAGGAGAAGAGGATGGCCAGGAAACACGATAAAACCGGCACGAACCCCGAAGCCGCTGCTCAGCGTCTGCGTCAACTCTCAACGCATATAGTTCCAAAGGGCGATGTACAGAAAGGATCACCACCACCAGAGACAAGGAAGACCAAAGTAAAGCCAGAAGCCGCGGACTACTCCGATGTCCTATCCCAAATCACCACGCTCCGCTCGCTTGCCGCCACTCCTGACCCTCAAAACAGGGGCTATATCCGCCAAAAGCAAGCCGGGAAGCTTTGGGTACGTGAGCGGATTGACCTGCTCTTCGATCCCGGGACCTTTTCCGAAATTGGGTCTATCTCAGGCACAGTCACCTGGAGGAAAAGCGGTCCGCGACAGGAAATGCCAGAGTCATTTGTGCCCAGCAATAATATACAAGGCACGGGCAAGCTGTCTGGAAGACAGGTCCTCCTCACAGCTGACGACTTTAGCATCCGTGGCGGACATGCAGATGGCTCCACGTTCACGAAAACAATATACCTGGAAAAATTGGCGATTGCACTCAAGCTACCGGTGGTGAAGTTAGTAGACGGGAGCTCGGGAGGAGGGAGTGTGACGACGATCAAGAAGGCGGGCTGGAGCTACCTGCCGTACGTCCCTTCATATCAATATGTGGTGCAGCAGTTGAATATGGGGATCCCAAATCTGGGGGCTGTTGTGGGCCCAGCGGTGAGACGTCTATCTTTCTTGCCAGTTTGTTGGAATTTTCAAAAAAAGATTCTAACTGACGCTTTATATGTATGAGTAGATTGGCCTTGGTGCAGCACGAGTGGTATCATGTCATTTCTCCGTGATGGCTGCCGATATTGGGTCGTTATTCAACGCCGGACCAAAGGTGGTGGAAGGTGCTACTTTCGAGGAAGGGCTAGATTTCCAGAGCCTGGGAGGACCGATGATCCATTGCACAAACGGCACAATTGACAACATTGCAGCCAACGAGGCGGAGTGTTATGAGCAATTGCGCACGGTTTTGGGTTATCTCCCTAATTCTGGGAGTGACGCCCCGCCTGTGAAACCGTGTGACGATCCAACGACTCGAGAAGAGATCAGCTTGCGGAGGATTATACCTCGGAGGCAAGCTCGCATGTATAATCCCCGGACCATCATCACAGCGATCGTGGATCGGAATTCATGGTTCGAGATTGGGGCGTACTGGGGCAAGACGGCCATTGGGGGACTGGCTCGTCTGGATGGACACCCGGTAGGAATCATCACCTTGAACTGCGAGGTTAACGGCGGTGCCCTGGACGCTGGTGGTAGCCAGAAATTGACTAGACTGTTGAAACTGTGCGATGTAATGAATCTGCCTGTATTGCAGTTCATCGACGTCCGTACGTGTCTTCATTTCCCCGAGGGAGCTTTCTCTGTTCCCTTCCCCCTCCTTTACTTCTAAGATACTGACCTTTGTTCTGCAGCCGGATACGCCATTGGAACTGTAGCCGAACGGACTGCCACGATGCGTTGGGGCGTCGAGCTTGCCAAAACATATTTTTCCACAACCATGCCCATCTTCAACGTCATCACTCGTCGAGCGTTTGGCGTTGCAGGTGGTATCATGCTTGGAGCCCGTGACCCTGTCATGCAGGTTGCCTGGCCCTCGGGACAATGGGGATCGTTACCTCTTGACGGTGGAATCGAAGTCGGACACCGGCACGAGCTTCGTGAAGCAGAGAAGGAAGGCAACAAGACTGAACGGTACAAGGAGCTGGAAGATGAATATATACGGTTGATGAACCCGGTGCGGACAGCCAATGCCTTTGGAGTCGAGGAGATTATCGACCCCAAAAACACACGCTCGATCTGCTGTGCGTGGGCGAAGCATGTGTACGAGGCTTTGATGAGCGACCGGCTGGCTGATCGCGCCTGTGGGCGAATCCGGCCTGTTTTTTGATAGTATCTCTGAGGAGGACGAAGAAGAAGAAGAAGAAGAAGAAGAAGAGAGGAAGAGTAGCAGCACGTGAGAGGTAGTTGGGTAGCCTCAGTGGGTAGGATTAGCCCGTGACCTCTTAAAATCCCACCACTCCCACCACCGTAACTCTTTATTCAGATACTTACTTTCTTCACTACATTCTGTCAAGTATACCTAAGGAAATCAGTGTGTAAAGGCCATATAAGTCCATTCCCTTATGTGATTAAAAACATAATTCAACCACGAGGCTTACTCAAGATGAAGGTTTGAGATCACCGAGGCCGAGACCACGCACTGAACGTATTGCCAGACGATACAACCCAGTCTTCGAGTCACAAATGAGGATCGACTGCTTGATAGAACCCCTATTACAGCAATATATGAGATGGAGTATATCAAAGGCAGACCATGAACGTTGTTGTGCGTGTTTCCGAGCAGCAACGAACCGGGTTCAAGACGGACGAGAGAATCTTATACAATGGGTCAGATACTTGGGGAAGCTTTCTCAGGTGCCTAAGGCATATTGTATGTCATTGTAGACTGCTTATTTCCTAGGTAACTAATATATAGGTTACCTAGATGCCTACTAGGTAGTACCTTCCCATACTCCGTACCAACTACCAACATAGCCGAAAAAGGATAGGGCAGTCCCGTGACTTTTGTGCCCGATCAGGCAAGGCTGCGCCACGCCGTGCAGTGACGTTGTAGTGGCCAATCAGGCACCGATGCCGACAAGGCCCACCGTATGAATTTTCGAGGGCGAGTCTTGAGCTGTGCTGAGTTTGCACCTCGCCTCCCCATCTCCCTCAGGTTTTGCTACTCTCTGACCCTGCCGACTCCTCCAGGACGGGAATATCGCCGTGACTTCTTTGTGATTTGGCCTAGTTTCGGTGTCTGGCTGTTCTTTGTCACTTCTGAAACAGTATTAGTATTCCGTGTGGTTTCTATCGATAAGGGCTTCCCAGGAATCTTCGCTCCCCCCCCACTCGAGGTTTTCCCAGCGCCCCTCCCCCCGCCAACGATCCACACTCGTCGAGGCTTTTCCTCCTGCCTCGCTCATTTGCAATCTCCTCAGCGTTGGGTTTCCGTGTGTTTTTGCTCTTTCCCACCGTCCAGCAATTACCTTCCTTTCCTTTTGCTCCTACTCTCCGACAAGATGGTCTCCGCTTCCAAGGCTGCTCGTCTCGCCAAGCGTGCCGCTGATGGCGACAAGAAGAAGACTTCGCGTGTCTCGTCGAAAAATGCCTCCAAGGCGGCGTCGGTGAACGGCGATGAGAACCCTATGTTGGATGCCGATGGCAACCCTCTCCCCGAGGAGGATCAGCCCGCCACCACTGAGGAGAAGATGAAGGAGGTCGAGAAACTCACTGCACAGCTGGACAAGCATGGGTTGTCCGATCGAGTCACGACCGGTGTGCTTTCTTCCATGGCAGCTTCTCGCGACGTGAAGGTCACATCCGCTTCGTTGGTGTTCCACGGAAAGGTCTTGATCACCGATTCCACCCTTGAACTGAACTTTGGCCGCCGTTATGGTCTCCTCGGTGAGAACGGTTGCGGCAAGTCGACTCTGCTCAAGGCCATTGACGCTCGCGAGTACCCCATCCCGGACCACATCGATATCTACCTCCTCAACGAGGGTGCCCCCCCAAGCGACCTGGGTGCCTTGGAATGGGTCGTCACGGAGGCACAGAACGAGCTGGATCGCATGGAAAAGCAGGCTGAAGAAGTTCTTGAGAAGGACGGCCCTGACAGCCCGATCTTGGAGGACTTGTACGACGTACGTTTGGCCTTTGGTCTTTTTTTTCTGCTTTTTTCTGCTTTTTTCTTTTTTTTCTTTTTTTTTTTTTTACTATAAAAAAAACAACTTTTGGGCTGACATGGCATTTAGCGTATGGACAAAATGGATCCTTCGACCTTCCACACTCGTGCTTCCTTGATTTTGACCGGTCTGGGTTTCAACAAGACGACGATCCAGAAGAAGACCAAAGATATGTCCGGTGGTTGGCGGATGCGTGTCGCTTTGGCCAAGGCTCTGTTCGTCAAGCCTTCCCTGCTTCTGCTCGATGACCCGACCGCCCACTTGGACTTGGAAGCCTGTGTGTGGCTGGAGGAGTATCTGAAGAAGTGGGAACGTACGCTGGTCTTGGTGTCGCACTCGATGGATTTCCTGAACGGTGTTTGCAGCAACATGATCGACATGCGTATGAAGCAACTGCTCTACTACGGTGGTAACTACGACTCGTACCACAAGACCCGGGCCGAACAGGAGACCAACCAGATGAAGGCCTACACCAAGCAGCAGGAGGAAATCGCTCACATCAAGAAGTTCATCGCCTCCGCCGGTACATATGCCAACCTGGTCCGACAGGCCAAGTCCCGCCAGAAGATTCTCGACAAGATGGAGGCCGACGGTTTCATCCAGCCTGTCGTCCCCGACAAAGTCTTCACTTTCCGCTTCGCCGATGTGGAAAAGCTGCCCCCTCCGGTGCTTGCATTCGACGATGTCTCGTTCTCTTACTCCGGCAAGTGGGAGGACACTCTGTATGAGCACTTGGATCTCGGTGTGGACATGGACTCACGAACGGCCCTGGTCGGCCCTAATGGTGTCGGCAAGTCTACCCTCCTCCGCCTCATGACCGGCAAGCTCAGCCCCATTGAGGGTCGTGTCAGCCGCCACACCCACTTGAAGCTGGGTATTTACAGCCAGCACTCTGCCGAGCAGCTGGACCTGACCAAGTCCGCCCTCGACTTCGTCCGTGACAAGTTCTCCACGCAGTCCCAGGATTACCAGTACTGGCGCCAGCAGCTCGGCCGCTACGGCCTCAGCGGTGAGGCCCAGACCGCTCTGATGGGAACCCTCTCCGAGGGTCAGAAGAGTCGTATCGTCTTCGCCCTGCTGGCCATCGAGTCGCCCAACATGATCCTGCTGGACGAACCGACGAACGGTCTGGATATCCCCACGATCGACAGTTTGGCGGACGCCATCAACGCATTCAGCGGTGGTGTCGTTGTCGTCTCTCACGACTTCCGTCTCCTCGACAAGATCGCCAAGGACATCCTGGTGTGTGAACACAAGACCGTGCGCCGGTGGGACGGCTCCATCGGCGAGTACAAGAACTACCTGCGCAAGAAGATGATTTCAGAGGGTGCGGTCTAAATGAATGGGCGTTTTTCTTTTCCCCCCCCCCCACGCGGACAGGACCTGCGACTTTTGATAAACGACTGCAATGCTAGATGAGATGAGAAAAAGTTTCGCCAAGAATCCCCCCCCCCCCCATTGACTTGCGGATCATGAGCATGTTCCCCCTTTTCCCCCTCTTTTTCCATTTACTCATTGTTTCCTCCCCCTCACCTTTTGAAGTACTATATCACCTTGGGTGTTGTTTTTTAGAATTGTCGTTCCGTACTATTACCCCCGCCTACTGGAACCGAGCTTGTGGGACGAGGATGAATCTATTTTTCTACCAATTTTATATTTCTCTTTTCTTTCATCCTGCTCATTAATGATTTGAACCCTAGACGTCCGAGCCGGTTCAGTTTTCCCTAATGGATGGGGGGACAAATTCTTGTTTCCTTGTTCTAATGATTCTACGTCAAGTAGTAGAGGCTATAGCTTTTTTCATCTCATATAAGCCATTTGTCTAAGATTATCATCAACCCATCTATTAGTCCATAAGAAGAAGAGGATGATTATGATGATGTGTAGAATGAGCTCGTTCGCTACCCTAGTTACTGTAATGATCTCTCCTTGGTTCTCTCCGTTACCAGCTCCCCGCCAAAGATATCATTCGCCTCTCTTCCCTTCCGTTCAAGCTCGAGCTTCCTTTTCTTAGCGATACGTTCCATCTCGCTCTCCGAGGCACCCTCACCGCCCGCAGCAGCGATAGCGGCGGGCGTTGACGCCGCGGGGGAAGGATTGGCCGAGTCGCGCTTCTGGCCTGCTAGATTGACCTTTTCGGGGTTCTGACAGTGGTAGAGCTTCTTAGCGATGGCTTTGAGGCTTTTCATCTGCTCCGGCCCTGTAGAGAGCGAGGTATAGGCTTGTAGCAGAGCGGAGCAGCTAGTGATTGTGTGGATGAGTTTGGTGCGAAGAGCGTCGAGCGGGTTTGTCGATGACGATGACGATGATGTTGACGGCGGTAATGATGCTGGACTGCCGATTTTGGTGAAGAGGTAGAATTCAGCCAGGGGCCGGTCGGCGATGAACAAGGCAGAAAGCCATATCTGAGACGGCGTGTAGAGGAAGTACGCGTCTGTCATTTGGGCTGCTGTTTTGAGGAGTTCGCGGGTGTTGTGGTGGGCATGGGCGATGCGGTCCGTGAGAGATGACGAGGAGGAAGATGAAGACGAAGCTGATGGGTTTGGGGGGATCAAGTGTAATGCTCGGCGAAGGTCTTCGGGGGTTTGTTGGGGTAGATGAGGCGCTGGTTGTCCGAGGCCCTGCGCCATGGCCTGCAGTTCCATGATCCCGCCCTCCAGGCCACGGAAAGGGTGGCGGACATCAAACGTGAAGCGAAGGCCCTGCATGATTAGGTATTCGGGAGCAATAACATCCTCAGCGGTGGTGTTGTCACCGGGAATCCCGTCTGCGAACTGGCGAAGGGACATGTAATAGTTGTCTGTTTTGGTTGCGAGGAACAGTGCACACGCCATGATGGATTTCGGGTGGTAGGTCATCGGAGAGTTTGTAAGGTAGAATCGACGGAGATATTGAATCGCAGTGGCCTTGAGATCCATGTACAATTAGCAATTGAAGTGTTCCCCCCCCAGCACCACCAGACTCGCAACATACCCTGACGTTTGTGGGCAGCGGCGGCTTGTACGTCTCACCCAACTCGAGGGTCTTCTCGCAGTAGTATCGCACCAGTTCCAGCTCCTCCTCCGGATTCAGACATTCGATCTCCTTCTCATCTATTGCGGTCTCTGCATTGCTGCCATTTGGATTTACCGGCTGACGTGCCTGTCGAGCTCGCTGCAGAGCAGCCCGCACCCGGTCGCTTGCAACCGCATTCGTATTTGCCCGTAGATCTCGAAGAGAGCTTTCCGTATAGGACCAGAGACGGAATTGAGATGAGGAACGATAGATCTCGTCCTCGATCATGGTGGGGAGGATCCTGGTTCAAAAACTGTTCTGGTTCCTGCGCAATCTCGAGCACTCAAAGCACCTTTGGCACCGGAGGAAAAAAAAGAAAACGGCAGATGATAGAATATTATCTAATATCTCTATCCAAGCTCTTCGATGATGTAGAGCCCTGTCTGTCAAGGCTGCAGGTTGTCAGGAATAAAGAACGGGCAGATCAGGTGGCCGAGATCCACACCGGCTCTGCTTATCGATAACTCTAGCTGGTTATATAGCTAGTTAGCTACTCTAGCTCGGTTTACTTTTGTAGCTACCCAGTGGCTGTATATAAAAGCGTTTGGTATGCAAAGGCGGAGAAGTATAAGTATAAAGAGTTGAAGTGTGTGAGAGCTAAATGTAAAGCATAGGCTAAAATAACTGGAACAAAGACATGAATACTCATAGATGAAGGGAGCAATCCAAAATAAAGAAGCGGCATGAGAAAACTCGCCAGGCACCGTGCGTTTTGCCAGGTCCTACCCATATTGGAGTTGAGAGAATGAAAGAAAAAATCCATGCTCAAAATCGTAATCGCATCAATCATGGCTCCCCGAGCAGCCGTGCGGTGATATCCCCCATATATGCCTCTTCTAGCTCGTAGTCCTCCCCATTCATCCGGTCGATGCCGACGTACTTGAAGGCGGCGACAACGCGGTCCACGTCGAAGCCCATGTTGCAAAAGCGGTCGATCAGGTCCTTGTTGTATCCCTCATACCTGAAAGGGAGATAAGTTAGTATGTGTGAGAGCTCTGAAACGAGGGAGAGATGCATACTTGGCCAGGTCTTCTTGCTCCCGATCCTCCTTGTCCTTAATCTCTTGCAGGCGGAGAGACTCGTCTGTTGCGCCGCCGCTGCCTTCCCCAATATGCCTCTTGGGAGCGCCAGCATAGGTGACCGCCCATTCACGGGCCCTTCTTTCAAACTCCTTGGGTTTGCGGAGCAGCATGTTGGCCACCTCTGCGTCCTGTGGGTCCTTCGGCTCTGGAGTGCTGAGTAGTGACTGCAGAGAGAGCAGAGCAGACTTGATGGTGAGGACGGGCGACCATGCAGTGGAAAGTGTGTCCAGGCAGATAGCGCCCTAGGTTCGGCGTTAGACAAATTTTTTGCACATGGATCCATCGAACCATAGATTCTATCATTATCCTCGCTCTCCTCCCCTGGTGTGGCCACTCATCTGACTGACCGTTTGACTGCTGACATTTGGATGCCAGACTTTGGTCTCAAACTTCATGATAGGAGGCCGGAATGGATATTCGTTCGGGATCCGGACATCGATCCAGTAGGTGCCGCCCTCGTAGGGTGTCCCCGGCGGGCCCCTGAACGAGCCCCGGAGATGGGTGATATCGTCGTCATCGCCAACAGGATCCGCCGTCACCTGCGAATGTGTGTCCGAATGGATGTCCGCGATTTCCTTCGCAATACGGCGGGACCGGTTGGAAGCCATCACCACGGAGGCGTTCGATAGAGTCGCTTAAACAAAGACAGCGTGCAAGACACGAGTTATGTTGGACGAGGTAAAATAGTGGCAGAAGAGTCGGAAGCACAGGATGAGGCTGACAACGAAGCCCCACTGTTGAAGGCAGAGAGAGGCGCCTAATAATGACCGAGGGAGGTAGGCAGAAAGAGAGCGGCAATCACTGGACCGGTCTATTTGATGCACTGAAAATAAGATACAGAAGTATTAGTTGATATGTAAAAACCGAGAATTCAATATTTTAACATCATCTAAAACCATAGAGAGATAACCCGGTCACTGGAGATAGTCACAGTGGGAAGTGGGGAGATTGGTAGAGGTATCTACTAGGTATCTAGCATAGTATGCTGGAGAAAAGAGTTACCTGGGGAATTTATAAGTCATAGAATATTCTGAAAGATGAGAATAAAGTTAGTAAGGATGTCTGAGTCGGTCTTTGAAACCTCGAAGCGTTTCGGACCAGGAGAGGTGAATGTGACCAGTTCAGCCCATTATTATTACTTGCTGCTGCTGCTATTATTGAAGCCTGTGACGCAGTTGGAATTTGGGAGCTGGCCCAAGTCACGTGTTGACCGCGCATTCGCCCAGCAGCTCCAGCTCTGGGTAACAACGCAGCAATCTGTTGTTCTGTTTCTCCTCAACACCGCCACCACCAGCCATCTAGGATATTTGTGACCGTTGAAACTCTGCAGGAAGTCATAAATTTTACTTTGATAACTTTCGAGTGTTTTTAGTTGTTGCTTGTGGCCCTTCATCATGGTTGGTGTCTCCCGTTTCCCCCCCGGTTAAGGCTGCCCTCTGACATATGACTTTTTCATGAAAAACAGGGTAATCAGCACTCAAGTATGGGCGGAGGTCCCGGAGGGGATGGAAGAGATGATAAGGATAAGAAGGTATGTGTCTGGTGGTGTTCGTGATGGCTTTTGCTGGCCGATGGGACGCCGATGGGACTGACCGGTTCTGTAGAAGGAGAAGCCCCGATACGAACCACCGCCACCGCCGACGACACGTATCGGTCGCAAGAAGCGTAAGGCGGCCGGACCGAGTGCGGCGTCGAAGCTGCCCGACATCTATCCGACGGCACGATGCAAACTACGATACCTGCGGATGCAACGCGTGCACGACCACCTTTTGCTGGAGGAGGAATATGTCGAGAACATGGAACGTCTGCGTAAGGCCAAGGCCCAGGGAACGCAAGAAAACGTGAGCCGTGGTGATCTGGATGTCATGGACCGGAATGCGGACGAGAGGAGTCGCGTGGACGATATGCGAGGTAGCCCCATGGGAGTCGGTAACCTGGAGGAGCTCATTGATGATGACCACGCCATCGTCTCCAGCGCGACTGGCCCCGAGTACTACGTCTCGATCATGTCGTTCGTGGACAAGGATCTCCTTGAGCCGGGCGCAAGCATTCTACTGCATCACAAGTCTGTTTCGGTTGTCGGGGTGTTGACGGAAGAAGCCGATCCGCTTGTGTCGGTGATGAAGCTCGACAAGGCACCCACTGAATCTTATGCCGATATTGGTGGTCTTGAATCACAGATCCAGGAAGTTCGTGAGGCTGTCGAGCTGCCTCTGTTACACCCCGAGCTGTACGAGGAGATGGGTATCAAGCCGCCCAAGGGAGTAATTCTGTACGGAGCTCCTGGTACCGGAAAAACCCTTCTCGCCAAAGCGGTTGCCAACCAAACCAGCGCGACTTTCCTGCGTATTGTGGGTAGTGAGTTGATCCAGAAATACCTTGGAGATGGCCCACGTCTGGTGCGCCAGATTTTCCAGGTCGCTGCTGAGCACGCCCCGTCGATCGTGTTCATCGACGAAATCGACGCCATCGGTACGAAGCGCTACGATTCTACATCGGGTGGCGAACGTGAAATTCAGCGGACAATGCTGGAGCTTCTCAACCAACTGGACGGTTTCGATGACCGTGGCGATGTCAAGGTCATCATGGCTACCAACAAAATTGAGAGTCTGGATCCCGCTTTGATCCGTCCTGGCCGTATCGACCGCAAGATTCTCTTTGAAAACCCTGACCGTAAGCTCTCTATATCCCCCCTTCCCCCCCTTTTCCCTGAGACTTGCTAATTTTGCGTCTAGAAAACACGAAGAAGAAGATCTTCACACTTCATACTTCCAAGATGTCTCTGGGCGACGACGTCGATCTTGATGAGTTCATCAACCAAAAGGATGATCTTTCCGGTGCCGACATCCGCGCCATCTGCACAGAAGCTGGATTGATGGCCCTGCGGGAACGACGCATGCGGGTGCAGATGGAGGACTTCCGGGCTGCTCGAGAGCGCATCATGAAGACCAAGCAGGATGGCGGACCGATTGAGGGATTGTACCTGTAGTCCCGTCTTGCATTTCTGGAGCAAAGAGCAATACAGTAGTCTAGTTTGTATTCTAATGGGGAGCAGTCTTACTGATATGGCTCGTCCGTACCTGTAGTACCTGTATCTAGGTATGGGTAATTTCGTATCCCGTAATACATGCAAACAATGCAAACACAAGCATACAATATCTTGTCTCTCCAAGTCTCTAGAACTGTCAATCCTCCAACAACTGCATCGCCACAATGGATGACTTTGATGAGGAAGCGTTCAAAAAATTCTTCCCGACCAGCTTTGGTAAGCAAGAAAAAGCTACCGATGTGAACGCCCAGATTAACCGCACCAAGCGGGCGGAGGTATCGGTCAAGCCGAAGCAGGTGTTGCAGGACGAACCCGACGAGAAAGAGCGAGAAGTCGCCCCGCGGAGCGATGGCTTGGATGAATCTAGAGGCTCTGACGACGATGAAAGACACAATGATGACGATGACGATGATGACGATGACGATTCGGACGACGATTCGGACGATGAAGACGAGTTCCCCGTCTCGCATGAGCTGGTGCTGAAGACACACGAGCGCGCGGTAACAAGCATGACGGTCGACCCGTCTGGCGCACGACTTATCACGGGCTCGACAGACTGCACGATCAAGCTACATGATTTTGCGTCGATGACGCCGTCGACGATCCGCGCATTCAAGTCGGTCGACCCGTCGGCTAAGAAACAGTCGGCCGCACAGGAGACGCATCCGGTGCACCATGTCGAGTTCAACGCGCTGTCCCCCGGCCAGGTGCTTGTGATCCCGGCAACGCCGCAGCCGCGGATCCTCAGTCGGGATGGAGACGTGCTGACGGAGTTTGTCAAGGGAGACATGTACCTGCGCGATCTACACAATACAAAGGGCCATGTATCCGAGGTGACGGCTGGGACATGGAATCCGTCGGACTACAACCTGTGTGCGACGGCGGGCTCCGATAGCACGGTACGCATCTGGGACGCGAACACCGGGCGGTCGCAGAAGGAAGTGATTGTTCACAAGTCAAAAGTTGCCGGGTCTGCGGGACGGAGCAAGATAACGGCCGTGGCATGGGGCTCACCCAAGCAAGGCGGCCAGAATGTCCTCGTTGCCACTGCCTTGGACGGGAGTTTGCTAATGTGGGGTGGAAACGGGCCCTTTACGCGCCCCAGTGCAGAGATTCGGGATGCTCATGCCAGAGACACATGGACTGGTGGCCTCGATATTAGCCCCGACGGCCGGCTGGTCATCACCCGGGGCGGCGACGATACCATCAAGCTCTGGGACACGCGGAAATTCAAGCAGCCGATTACGACAGTTACGCACGTATCAACCTCCGCCCGCTATCCATCCTCGAACATCCGGTTCTCGCCCACAGGCACGAATGTCATCACGGGATCCGAGACCGGCCACCTGCACATCCTGAATCCAGCGACGCTGACTCCGGAGCTCGTGACGCCCGTGACGCCCGGGTCGCCGCTGATCACCGTTCTATGGCACGAAAAGCTCAACCAGATCCTCACGGGCTCGGCCAACGCCGAGACGCACGTCCTCTACTCCCCGACCCTGTCAACCAAGGGTGCGGCGCTGGTGCTCTCCAAAGCACCGAAGCGCCGGCACGTCGACGATAATCCGGCCTTCACGACCGATATCTCGCAGGGTCTGTCGGGCGATGCGGTCGTGGTCGGCAGCAATGGAGTACCACACTACAGTTCCGCGACATGGTCCGCGCGACACCCGAACGTCGGTCTGACAGCCTCGGGTCGCTCGCGCGACCCCCGCCGGCCGCATCTGCCGGCGCAGACGCCGTTTGCCAAGTCGCAGCCGGACGAGCGACATATCCGCGAGAACATCCCGCTCAGCTCGATGCGCGACGAAGACCCCCGTGAGGCGCTGCTCAAATACGCCGAGAAGGCCGAAAAGGACCCTATCTTCACGCGGGCCTGGAAGGAGACCCAACCTAAGACTATCTACGCCGAGCTCAGTGACGAGGAGGAACCTGAGCCAAACAGGAAGCGTGCAAAGCGATAGTCTTTCTAGTCACACTAACTACCTCCTAGTAGGGTCCAAGTTCCAGGTAGTACTCCGTACCCCTTACCACAATACAGTACACGCTCCAAACACCACGAGCGATGACTCCATACCCATCACAAATGTAAATATATATTCATAATAATCCTTTCCCACTACCTAGATAAATCTGAAATCATTAGAAACGTCTCTAGTCATGACGTGCGGTCAGACCGCCCTCGACATAATTGGGCTCAGTCCGCCAGCGACCGGTGCTGCACGGCCTCGATAGTCTCGCGCAGGGAGAACCACCAGCCGGAGCGAACGAAACGACCATGACGCTCCGTGGCTTCTCCGCACTGTGATCGAGTGTCCTCCTCGCGTCGCTAGTTCCGTCTCCCCAGGCTTGTGTCTTGTTCTGCTGGCGAGGTTTTTTCTTACTTATCTCGACGCGCTCGGTACGGATAACGGAGTTGAAAGAGAGACAGACCTGAACCTTACCTTGTTATCTACCTAAGGTTCGTGCTCGCTATTTACCTCCCCCCCCCCTTGTATGGAACGAGGAACCTGCGTACCTGAGGAGAAGAGTTTGACTATTCTACCGAGGGAAACTGACGGCTCAGTCTATGAACAGAATGCCGTCGCAGTCGGAAGTGAGCTTGTGTGTGTTGGATTAAGAAGGTACGCATTATTTGTCAGGTACTTCAAGTGGGCACGGAGCGATCGTCGCACTTGAATAAGAATGAATTAACCGGTCAGTATTTTGTAGATCCGACTTCTGATGGAGAATTCCCAGGCTGTCGCAGCCGGTCTGCTTACAGCTGTGCTCTCGTTGCCCTCGGTCGTCGCCTCGCCCGTTGTGAATCACAGGATGGCCATGTCCACGTTGGCCCCGGGATACGATGACGGAGGAGGAGGAGGGGATGGCGGCCTGCACGAGTGGTCATCACTGATTGGGATTGTGACCGCGCTGGTTGGGAACGTCTTCATCTCCCTCGCGTTGAACATCCAGCGCTACGCCCATATCCAGATCGAGCGGGAATACGAGCGGGAGAAGCTGCGAGCCGGAGGCTGGAGACGCGGGACGCGCGCTGCCTCACACCGAGAAGGGGACTTGCAGCATTCATACGGGAGTCTGCCCGAGTCACAGCGAGGCCGTATGGCCGGCAGTCCGATCGAACGATACCGAGACGAATCGCCGGAGTCGCCGGACTCGCCGCTACCGTACGCCCAGCGATACCGTGATCACCACGACGGTCACTACGACGATGATGAATACCACGGCGAGGACGACGATCATGAGGGACTACAACATTCCTTTGTATCGAACCAAACGCTGCACCTGGGAGACAAACAGTCCGGGCAGCCCGGACACCGCAAATCGTACCTCCGCTCGCCTTACTGGTGGTCTGGAATCGTTCTCATGTGTCTTGGCGAGGCAGGCAACTTCATGGCCTACGGATTCGCCCCGGCGTCTATCGTCTCCCCGCTTGGAGTCGTGGCCTTGATCTCCAACTGCGTCATTGCTCCCATCATGCTCAAGGAGAAATTCCGCAAGCGCGACTTCTGGGGCGTACTGGTCTCAATTGCAGGCGCTGTAGTCGTCGTCCTCAGCGCCAAGTCGTCCGAGGAGAAGATCGGGCCGCACGAAATCTGGACTATGATTACACGCTGGGAGTTTGAGCTGTATGTAGGCCTTACAGCCGCGCTCATTTGCGGTCTCATGTGGACCAGCGCCAAATATGGACCCCGGTCGATTCTCATTGACGTCGGACTGGTAGCTCTTTTCGGTAGGATTCTTTGTCCCCCCCCCTTTTTTTTCTCCCTGCTGCCGGCCATTCGTACTGATGATTGTAGGCGGGTATACGGCCCTATCAACGAAAGGCATCTCCTCGCTGCTCTCCTTTACGCTATGGCACGTCATAACCTTCCCCGTCACCTATCTCCTCGTCTTTATACTAGTCTCGAGTGCTTTGATGCAAATTCACTACATCAACCGCGCATTGCAGCGTTTTGATTCGACTCAGGTCATCCCCACTCAGTTTGTGCTTTTCACCCTCTCGGTGATCATCGGGAGTGCCGTGCTGTATCGGGATTTCGAGTCTTTCACGCTAGAGAGGGCGAGCAAGTTCATCGGTGGGTGCTTGATGACCTTTCTCGGGGTGTATTTCATTACAAGTGGCAGAGTCCATGCGGACGACGCATCGTCCCTTTCTATCGACGATGAGGAAGGATCCATCGGTCTGCTGGGCGCAGAACGCTACCGCGACAGAGTTGATATATCGCCGCCAGGCCAGCCCGCTGATCAAGTGACCAAACCCGCCCACAAGGAGCACGAACCCGACCGGAGTCTACAGTCGCCATCCGGGTCCCTTCTCAGTCACGGTATCGACGACCTCGATGACGACCAGTCCACCCCTCGCGGGGTGCTGTCCCCTTCGTCTCCCGGTGGATCATTGGCCGCTGACTCCCTGGTTGAGGCGACATCGCCAGAGACCCCCTCGCCCTTCCAGTCCAACTCCCTGATCACAAACCCCTGGGCGGAAACCCCTACCCCGTTATTCCAAGCCACCACGTCCGAACCGCATATTCAGCACCTTGATACTCCTCCCGTGGAGACCACGGCCAGCCAGACCCCTCCGCTCTCGACAGTTACCCTTCGCTTCCCCGTTGCGCCTGGGATTGGCGACTCGCTGCTCCCCTCGAACAGCCGCCCAACAGATGCCACCGCACCGGTTGGGATCGAGACCACCTTGGTCGCTGTGGACCGCAGCCACAATCATCATCGCACGCTTTCGGTGCCCCAGACCCCCCCGGCAGCCGGCCTACGCAACTCGATCGCCATGCGGTTCTCACCTGGCCCGTTGCTCCCGGCCCTGTCCGGCGGATTCAGTGCAGTGGTCGCCGAAACGCTCCGGCGCGGGGAAGCCAGCCCGGTCAAGGAGCGCAAACACAAACGCAAAGACAGCAGACGCAAACGATCCAACTCCCTCGCCGTTGACGGACTGCTCCGTGACCACTCCCACCCGGATGGCGATGTCCGTGAAACCGAGGATGAGGCCGAGACAAGCGTCGACGACGCCAGTCATGCGCGCGCCCAGTTGGCGACGGCCCGGCTTCGGTCCACGGGGGATATCTCCACGGCCACGGCTCCGGCGACGCCGCCGATGAAACCGTACGGATCATTGAAACGAACCAACGATAACAATAACAATACTGGCGCCAAGACTTCAGCAGACGAGGGCACGCTAACCCGCCTACGAAGCCTCAGCGACTCGCTGAACGGCGGACTCGCCTGGCTGGGCGGTAGTTTACGTCGACCCCCGTATTCACGACAGCGACAGTCTGTGACTCAGAATCAGAGTGAGCGGGAAGGAACAAACACCACGGGGCCCGATGAACGGGGGGGGCGTGAGAATGGCGAGAACGAACCGGAGCAGACATAGAGAGAAAGAGTAGACATAGGTGATTCGAACATATGGATATAGATCGGGTTTTGCTCTCTTTGTTTGTTTTCCCTCTTCAAGTGTATCGATTGACTGAGTATATTAGTGCATACCCTTAATAACTTGGATGATATCTGCTATCAGCGGCTTGAGCAATGATATTTTAGTTTTTGCCTTTAGATAAATATCAAGTAGGCTCTAATTACTAAAGATCGTGGTAATAACATGGTGGAATTGAGTAAGACAACAAGTACTGGAATCCATATGACTGAAATTATGTGAGGATAGGTAACTACAAGAAACACTCTGTCTTGATGCTTCCATCTATGGCGCCTTTGATCTCAGATCCTCGATAGTAGTCATAGGCTTTCGGGTCCTTGATCCCAAGGGACTTGCCAGCTCCTCCATGAACATAAGCCCGTGTCTGATTGTCGGTTCGAATTAGAAATCTTAAGAATGAGACCAATCTATTTGAATCATTAAATCAGCAGAGTACTCAATTGTGACATCGGCAAGATGATTGAAGAATCTTGACTGGATTGTATAGGGAGTCTCTCATTGTAAATACCTGCGTGTATATTCCCTCGACCCGCTAGGAAGCCCCTTCTACAAGCTCATTGACAGAGAAAAGCCGAAGCCTCGCTTCCTTAGTCCTTGTTGCTGTCGTTTCTCCTTGCAGAAGCAGAATAAGGAGGCAATCCTGTACCACTCCAAGGACGAGCCCAGGTGATATCGGTTGTTTTCGGAAGCCCGAGCATCCTCTCACGTACAGCCTGCTGTAGTGTAATCTGTCGTTCTTGCTCCTCCTCTGGCGACAAATGGCGAGACTGACCATTCCAATCGACAATGGTAGCACCGCTCACATCATTGTAGGAAGGTAAGGCATTGGCAGGACCTTTTGTAGAAGGGATGTTGTTCGAAATAGGATTAATATCATTCCAGAGGAATTGCATTTCTTTACTCTGCAGCAATCCTGTGTTCTCCGGCTCCGTAGAAGTTTCTCTCTCGCATTGATTTCTTGTCTTTCCATGTGAGCTGGCCACCTGGGAGCGAGGGGCGTTTAACGAAGGCGAAGACGGCGTAGTTGCTTCCATTAGATCTGCTGACCATGTATTTGCTGCGTCTTTGTCTCCTGGTCTCTCTTGACGCCTGTGCCATAACATGATTCTCTCTCTGAAAGAGCGTTCCATTGTGTTGATTGGTTGACGTGTAGCAAGGAAGAAGAAAAAGAAGAAATAAGAAACACCGGAAAAGTTGACAACTCTCAAGATTGCAGTCTCGCCTTGAAGCTCATCCGTAGTACCATTTCACCATTGAGGCAATGCCAGTACTGTGGTCCCTGTTGACCAAAAGTTGTAGGTGTTTGGAAGCCTAGGTAGATCTCTTGTTTTGCTCTGCCGTTAGTTAGGAAGTTATGCTAATAACCTACATGGACAATCCACTAGGGTAGAGGATTGAATAAACTGACTTCCGTATTCCTTTTGATTAGAAGATTACTCTAAGTTAGTGAGTAAGCAACTGCCTGTGTGATAGTCAAGTTCCCTTCATAGGAGGGAGTCAAGGCAGGGAAGAGAAATCTCGAGAATACCAAGCTTTGAAATACTATCTCTTACGCGTGCTCGAAATGCCGTGAAATCACATGTTTAACTCTCACCTCAGGCATCAACATTAGGAAAGTAGACCTCATATAGGGGGGCCTTCCTTAAACGGACTAGTCTGGCTATGGACTCTTCATCGTCAGGAACCTCAAGAGCTTCTACTCTCATCTTTCCTCCCACCGTCCAGAATGACTGCTTTGGGATTTGCGCTCCTCAGTTTGGGTTGAAATAAGCTATAGACGTCCATGATCGCCCCATCTGATATAGCTAGGTAGGCACTCATACTCCAATCAAAGCAACGAAAACAGCAGCGCAATCATCCACTTTGCCTTGAGGAAGAAAGAGGCTAATATCGAATTTTAGTCCACAGGGTGTTCTTTCCAGAGTCATTTATGACGTCAAAATGATTGCTCATGCATCTACTCCGCATTGCACATGATTTCCTCGGCCTGTTTAACCCCCAGTCGACCGCGAGCAATAATTCAGCTACGGGAACCTCGAATTAGTTTATGTATATGGGGACCTCATTGGAATAGAGAGACTGCAAGATGGATGATCTCATAGTGACGTATCATCATCAAAATGGTCGAAAACGGTGAGGCGGAGGCCATGAGACCTGTTAGCAACACCCCATGCCCCCATATGATCATGTGCGATGCCTTCTAGGCCTCCTAAGCTGGGGAGATCTACAGATGCAGACAGCAGCTCAGGCGCCTGCCTTCTCAAGATGCTTTCGCTGCCCAATCATGCCTACCTACCTAGATAAAGCTGGCGCAGAAGGTGTCGAATAATATGATACGGGCTCTGCAGCTAAGAGAGGATCAGGAAGTCGCGTTACCTAGGGATATATACCTTGTTATGCATTCCTATGCAACATGAATAGCCCCTCCCTGGTTGCCTTACATACAGACTGCTGCATATATTGACTACGAACCCCATCCTTTTACCATGCTTGAACCATGCTTGGACTATCCTTATCTTGATCACTTGTGAAGAGCACAGACGAAACAAGCGCAATGGATTTGCATCTACATCAAGACAATGAGATCCTTGTCAACATCGTTGATCGCAGAGCCAGAGAGTCGCCGCAGCTCTTGTATGCAGCGTTTCCTGTGTTGCCTACCTCTTATGATGCAGGGTATCGCGAAATCAACTACGCACAGCTTGCAAATGCCGTCAACGGCGCAGCTTGGCACATCAGTCGCCTCCTCGGCCCTGGAAAGAACTTTGAAACTTTGGCCTATATTGGTCCCAACGACCTGCGTTACAATACGTTGGTTCTCGGAGCTGTCAAGGCTGGATACAAGGTGAATTCGTACACGAAGTTCGAAGCGTTAGATAGACATACATACCCTAACCCAAAAGCTTCTAGATGTTTCTTTCTTCTCCAAGGAATAGTATTGCAGCCCATTCACATCTGTTCAAGCTTCTCGACTGCAAAACCATTCTTATACCAGACCCACAGCCGGCGGTGGTAGACGATATTCTCAAGGCTAGTTCGCTTCGTGCACTGGCTGCGCCGTCTCTCGCCTACCTGATCGATACATTGCACCCTGAATATCCGTACACCAAGACCTTTGAAGATGCAAAACATGAACCGCTTCTTGCATTTCACACATCTGGCTCGACAGGCCTTCCGAAGCCAATTACCTGGTCGCATGATTATGCGGCAGCGGCTATGAAGTGCTCGAGGATTGATCCTCCAGAGGGCTTTGAATTGCAAGAAAGGGTTTTCCAAGGAAGCCGCCTTTTTTTCATGCTGCCCCCCTTTCATGTAAATATCCCCTCGTTTGATGCTACTGGTGGATAAGAACACTTCTGACTTTATGCTCACTTTAGGCGGCAAACCATATTGCCTCTATTTGCTATGCTTTTGCTCATCGGATGATGTGCATCTATCCACCTGCCGGCGCTATTCCTTCTGCAAAAGTCCTCGCAGATGGACTCAAGCATATCAAGGCAGATTTGGCTTTTGTCCCTCCGACTGTTGTAGCAGAGCTTGGTAGAGATGCCACTATGCTCGAATTCGTGTGTTCAAATCTGAAAACGCTTGCTACCGGGGGAGGAGATGTTCCGACTGCCCTAGGCGATCCAGTCGCCAAGAGAATGAGACTGATGATGGTATATGGCTCGTCAGAAATGGGGATAATACCGCTGATTCGACGGGATGCAACGACTCTCTCAGAGGATTGGAAGCCTATAATGTTCACCCCTGGACTGGGAATCGTATTACGTCCTGTCAACGAAAATGTATATGAGCTCTATCAGGCTAGAGATCCTGAGATCGAATGGCGCCAACCTGTCTTCAAGCTATATCCACACCTCGATATCTTCAAACCTGGCGACCTGTTCTCCCCGCACCCTTCCAAGCCCGATATCTGGATATACTGTGGCCGCTCGGATGATATCATCGTCTTTCTGACTGGGGAGAAAACAAACCCGACAACAATGGAAGCAAGCGTTGCAAGCAACCCTGAAATCAAAGCATGCCTTGTAGCAGGTGCTCAAAGATTTCAAGCGTCCCTCATCCTCGAATTGGCAGACCCCAAAGAGATGTCGTTATCTCAGAAGGCAGAGGCTATTGAGCGAATCTGGCCAACCATCAATGAAGCAAATCGAGTCTGTCCTAATCACGCGAAGGTTTCTAAATCTCATATTCTCTTTGCGGACCCCAAGAAACCCTTTGCCCGGACTTCAAAAGGGACCCTTCAAAGACGGCTGACGATCAGCATGTACACCGAAGAACTTGATGCTCTTTATGAGGATGCAGAAAGGCTGGAGAATGCAAACGTCATCAATGGTAAAATATCAAAACAGCCCAATGATTCAGAAAGTCTCGGGGCACTCATTCGACAAGCAATCATGGGAGTTACCGGATGGAGTAGTCTTGAGGATGACACCAATATCTTTATTATTGGAATGGATTCCTTGCAAACTCTCCTCCTGACGCGCAATCTGAGAGAAGAATTGGCGATTGCAGAGATTGCACCAAGCACTGTCTACACCAATCCCTCTGTTTCTCAACTCGCCAGGGCTATTCTGGATCTTTCAGCTAGCCAGCAAGCTTCTCTTGGACATATACGCGAAAGCCGAAAGCATGCTATTTCCAGTCTGATAACACAACACCAATCCCTCATCGATGAACTCGCGTCTTCATTGGTTGTCGACAAGCCGGCGGCAAAGGGGGTAGATCAGAAACGCAATGTCCTCCTCACAGGGTCAACCGGGGCTGTGGGCTCCTATCTTTTGCAAACTCTCCTGCGCTCTCCGTCGGTATCTCATATTTATTGCCTAAACCGCTCCCCCAACTCTTCATCCCTCCAGGAAGAACGCAACAAAGCTCGTAAACTGGCCACCATTGCTCCTAGTGAGCGAGTCACTTTCCTCACAGTCGATCTTTCGCAGGAATTCTTTGGCCTTGAGCCTGAGGTATACAATCAACTACAGAGCAATGCCACCGACATTCTGCTCAATGCCTGGCCTGTGAACTTCAACATCCCGCTAGATGCGTTCATGCCACAGCTTTCTGGAATCACAAATGTGGTGAAGTTTGCCTTGCATGCACAGTGTTCACCCTCTATCTTCTTTATCTCCTCTATTAGCTCTATGCTCTCGCACCCTGAGTCTCCCATACCTGAAAGCATCATGATGGACACTTCGGCCCCTGCACCCATGGGCTACGGAGAGAGCAAATACATCGCCGAGCGTATACTCGACTATGCTGCCCAGAAACTCCACATGAACGTCAAGATCGCGCGTGTCGGCCAGGTTGCTGGCCCGATCCATAGTGCCGGAACCTGGAATAAATGGGAGTGGCTTCCCAGCCTGGTGATTAGTAGTTTGCACGTGGGTGCTCTCCCGGATTCTCTGAGCCTTTCTCCAAGCCAGGTCGATTGGGTCCCCATCGACACGCTCGCTGAAGTACTGGTTGAGCTTCTTCTTGGGTCGACACCGGCATCTAAGGCAGAGACAGCGACCGTCTTTCACATTGTGAACCCGTACGTGACGACCTGGGCGGCCTTACTTCCTACTTTGGTTGCGACACTCGAAAGATCCAGCCATGGCAAGAAGAAGATCGAGATTGTCTCCTTGAAGGCGTGGTTGCAGATAATCAAGGCAGACGCCGAGGCGAATCGCTCGGATGTCGAGAAAATGCTTGAGAGGAACCCAGCATTGAAAGTTTTGAGCATATACGAGACATTTTCTACGCAGGAGGCTCCTCGCTTTGAGAGCGAGAGGGCGAAGCGGGCAAGTCAGACCTTGAGAGAAATGGAGGCCATCAAGCCGGAGTGGATGGACAAGTGGTGTGAGGGATGGCTTTCATAGATTGGGGAGGAGGTATATTTTTTTTGGGGGATTAAGACTGTAAACAGAAATAATTATTAAGAATGATATTGCTATAATCCTCAGAGCAGGGGATATACATCTTAAGAAGTGAATCCTGTTAGGAGCCATTCCTGAATGTACTTCCCAAATGGGACGAGCCCCTTATATGATCTTGATGCTTAAGCAACAACAGACTACTGTGGGTTAATTACTGTAATTATGTCTTTATATCTAACCTATATATCTATATTATAGACTCTAGTAACAAGAACTATTGCTGTGGACTATAAATGGCCCCCCTGGCGTCGTCAAGCTAATGTTATAAATTGGTTGATCAAGATACTTATGACGCGCATGTTCTTTTAACTAACTATCTCCCATTTAGCAAATAGAAACCCTTGCTGTATAGACAGAGTTGACATGACTTCTTTAAGAAGATAATTACTATGATCCTAAAAAGCACTGGAACACCTGAGGATTACGTTGGCTAGACATTGATATAAGAAACAGTACTCCTAGCCAGGGTGCATGACGACAGATCACAACTCCAATTCTCTACCACATAGTTTAGCGCTTGAAATTATACTCCCGTTAATGCATACATTAGCAGTAGACTAGATCGAGGAAGTGGTCAGGCATAGGCTGGAGGCTGGCTGTACAGCGACTATTAATTTACGTGGCGTTACTGTCGTAACAGTAGGAAAGCCTAGGAAACAACTACCACCCGGTGAGACTCGCAACCTACTCAGCTCCTCGACATTGGAAATCGAACGTCTCTTGTTGACTTGTCCCAATGGTAGTAGATAGGGACCCCAAAGAGTCGAATCGAATAGCGGTCGAGAAGATGAAAAAAGGCGAGAAAAGAAGCAGAAAGAAGCAATTGAATTGGTGCCTTGGGTATTCCGCCACAGCCAGCCCCTAATGTCCTTCAAGGGGGTCACGATTTGTAGAAAAAAAAGTCTGGGTCCATTCGCGAATTGTGAGGGAGAAATTTCCTGGACTCTAGTGAACAATATTATCAAAAGTCCGAATGGGCGCCGCCATGAGTTCATTTCATTTCCTCAGTGTAACCTCCTCCATTCTCTCGAAGATAAGATACACCGAATTCCTCTTTTTTTTTGTTCCCATTTCCATATTCGTTTTTTTTCCCCTCGCGAGCGTCTCGTTTCATCTCGCTTATCTCAGACGTCTAGCTTCGCGCTCAGATTCGAGCAGGCAGAGGATATCATCGACACGGACTAAAATGTAGAAAAGAGAGGGAAACCGTTAGCCAAATTTTTCTTCTTCTTCTTCTTCCTCCTTTCCCCTCCCCAATTTCTGATATATATGATTCATGTCTTTGGTTTTTTTCGTACCGGGTCCCTTGACGTTGCGAATGATAGAACGGGTCTGGTCATCCATGAACTCGACGCGCACCTGGGTCACACCACCGCGAGAGCCTGTTTCGTTAGCAATTCATTTCTTTTCACCCAGGGGCCCTCTCTTTGTTCTCGAGAGAAAATCCGAATCTTAAAGCGCCGTCGGGGGGAGGCAAAGTCATACCGGTGCGGCCGAGGACACGAGTGACCTTCACAAGCTTAACGGGGGCTTTGGCGGAATCCATCGCGAAATGTTCGATTCTCGTGCTGTGTGGGCGTTGGAACGAATGGATTGGGGGGGGACCGAGTGCGACGAGCGTGGTGTCGGATTACGCTAAGCGGAGTGCCCTATTTGGCGGTGATATTTTCAAAATTAATTTTCAGTGTGATTCGGCAGGGTTTCCCGTCGTGGAACCCTTGGCTGCTCGGATAATCGATCTCGCGTCATCCGGATTAGTCATATATAATTCTGCCTGTTTATTCCGCTTTATATAGATATTGTATGACACTTTGTAGACACCCGAATAAACTACAAGTAGAGCTACTCTGGAGTCGGGATGCTATTGAGAGACTATATAGAGTATTGAATTTGGCAGTTTTGATTCATATACCCATAGAAGGATCAACGGCTGGGTCTCCAGGACTTCCCTCCTCAGTTTCGGCATCGCCTTCTGCCTGGTTGGATTGGGCATTGTCAATCGCCGTATTCGCGTCATACTCTTTACGAGAGTTCTCCGTCGTGTCAGAGGTTCCAGGCTCAAGAGGCGCCGTAGAACCCTTGCTCTCTGTAGCTTTGCCTTCCGCACGCCTCGTCTTGGCGCCCTCTTTAAGCTTTTCCCAGCGCTCTCTGTATCGCCCGAGGACAGTCCTGAGTTTTTCGTTCTCACGGCCGACTTTATCAAGCTCTTTCTCTCCACGTCGGACAATCTCCTCGAGTTCCTTGATACGTGTGTCCGTCTCGGCAGCGGAGGATGGACCACTAGGAAGGGGAGCAGGAGCAGGAGTAGTCGAAGGAGGTGCAGATGTATACCCAGCAACTTGCTCAGGAGAAGCAGCGCGCTGGTGATGCATTGCCTTGAGAGACTGCTGTAGAGCCATCGAGGAGGACTGGGCGTTGACTTCCCACATGTGCAACCGCTTTGACAGCGTGTCCGAGAGATGTTTCAGTGCTTGGTTCTCCATCTGTAACTCTTCCAAAGTCTTGGTATTCTGAAGGGTTGTCATCTTCTCTACACCACGACCTGGTCTACGCCTCGAGCTAGAGGCGCTCTGGCGCATATCCGGCGATGCTGGTGTCTCCCGTGCGTCAACAAAATCGTCCTCGGCTTCGTCTAGACTGCCCCTGCGCGCTTCCTTTTCCGCCCGGGTTAGTATCCCTGCATAAGAAACCGTCCCACCAGTGGTAGGCACGACGTAGAATGACTCGGCGGTATTTCCGGTCACGCTCCCAGTCGTATCTCGAATGGCTCGTAGGGCAGCCCGGGAGAAGAGTTTGTTCACATCTGGCTCGGCCAGTGAGCCAGACCGGTCGAGAACAGCATGGTGCCGGTCAACCTTGGTTTCAGCAGCTGACTTTCGACGGATGGATGCTGCTTGTTCGCTTGCCTGGTCCGAGCCGAGGGGGAGGCCCGCAAACGCCAAGGGAGCCGAGATCTTTGAAATCAACCCTTCAAAGGTTGAATAAAAACGCTGGAACGACTCGTCCGCAACCGAGGACTGTCTCTTGGGCTGTGGTGAGTCGACAACATTCGGAGGAATGATCTGTCGCGAGGTGACGTCGGTAGGGCTGACCGCCGGCGGGGACCAGGGTTGGTTCTGGGTAGACACACGAGCTGTGCGGTCTTTTCCTCCGTGACCCTGCGCACCGCGCAGTCTGGCCTCCCCCATTTTCAGCTGTGATGGCCCCTCAGTCATCTTTGCGCCAGCTTGCTGAGAGGACAGAGCCGGCGAAGCAGGCGATGAGCGCCGCGGCTGAGCCGGGATCCCTCGTGCTGACGCGAGATTACTGGCAATAGACGAGGTCTCCCGGGCCGGCACACGAAGGGCCCCTGCCAGCCGTGGAGGATGCTGATACTGAGCATCCTGCGGTGCAGGGGTCTTGACTCCCACGGGCTCTGCCGTCGGCGGTGGCGTGCCGAGCATGGGGGAGCCTGTCGAGGCCGCTTCCGTAGCTGTTGCAGTCGGGTGTTCATGCTGGAACCGAAGGATCTGAGCAAGCTTTTTGTGGTGGCTCTCGAGGAGCTGAAGAGTGCGTAAGGCCTGTATAAAACCATCCCCCCGGTCAGATCAGCGTTGTACAAACGGACAGACCAAGACTCTCTCTCACTTCCAGATCCGTGCTGTTCTGAGCAGCTGTGGCAAACTCTCCTGCTGCCAGATCATGTTCCTCACTGGCTGCTACAGGATTGGACTTCCGAGTCTCGAGCACTGCATTGCGAGCATGGGTATGCGCCTAGTAACCGCCATCCCAAGTCAGCAGGGGTAGAGAGAGGGCGCGGGGGGGGGGCTCCAGCATCTAGTTGAGGCGTACCAGCGTAAGAGGTGCAGCTTCCATGACTGCTGAAGGGACAGGGGGAAAGATCTATCTCTGCTGTGAATTATGAATCCCTGAAGCCAGCAGACTGGCTGTCTTTGTAAGGAGTGTTGTTCCCCTTCAATATGTACCTGACAGGGTGCCTGACGATAAGAATTCCGTGACGCCATGAGGGAAGGTGGGAGTTACGATACGGTAAATACGATACGGTACTATACTGTATTGTTGTATGGATTGTTTGCATCATTGCCCCAGTCCGGAGAGTCAGGAAGAGAGGCTCAGCAGCAGTGTCGTATCGGGATCGACAGAGAAGAAGATCATGGACTTACGGCAGTAGCAGACACTCTCGTTTACTATTCTGTCGGATCTTCGTTGCGTGACTCGAAAGCTACTACGAGTCTACGATCATCGTCTCCTGTGGCTGGTCTCCTTGCGGGTAAACCGAAACTCCCCCGACCGTCGCTCCAGCTGGTGCGGAGACGGAATCCCCCCCCGGAGGACAGAGTGTGAGAGAGAGGAGGGAACGACAACGACTAGGCGTGTTCCTGCAACCTACGGACACGACGCGATCAGGTACATATTACACCTGTCATATATTTGTTTGTGGAGCGCTTTATTAATATCTCCTGCCTCGTCAGTCTGTTGTCTGTGTTTTCTTTGCTGTCTGGAGCTGCGAGACTATCCACGGTCTGGACGTAGCGTCAGGAGGGGTGGTTCATCCACTCACTTATACCAGGGCATAGCGACTTACTACGCCTAGATGGATGCCTTTTGTCACTCAGCTTCCAGATGAGGATTGTTGAATTGTTATATAGGTATATCATGTTGATCTGCAAGCTCGAAGTGACCGACCATCTGTTCCGTTGAGACCAAAACAGATAAGAGACACTTTCTGTCTGTTTCCCCCCCCCTCTCCCCGAGACACGAGGTTTGCTTTGTCAAGCCATCGACAAGCACTGCGACTGAGATTACGCTATACACCGTCGGTCAGCCCGGAGCGACGAGAAAATGGAGAGTTCGAACCGGAGTGTTGGGCGGGAGTCGATCGAGTCTTCGTCGGAGAAGTCCAAATCGCAGGCCGGGGATTCAGTCGAGACTACAAAATCAAACACAAGTGGCTTATCCAAGTTGCTTCCGGGAAATCGGCGGAAACGAAAGAAGAAGGACAAGAAGCAGGCAGATGATGGTGCCGTTGATAATGATAAGGATCTGCTCCCAAGTCGGTCTCTAGACTCTCGGGATGGTACTTCGACGGCCTCGTCGATCAATGAGAACCCTAGTGTGGGGGAAAATGAAGTTGGAAACCTTTTGACGGACGATTCTGAGCCCGATAGGTAAGATCTTCATCCACTCACCTAATCTTTGCTTTATCGAATGCGGGCTAATGTAAACTGCAAGGACACCTCCGCTGACCACCCGCAACTCGCACGCTGGTTTCTACACGACCTCTTCTCCGTTGATTACAACCACCACCGCGGACGAGACTATTGCCGAAGTGGATGATGGAATTGAATCGACAACCTCGGTCGAACAGGCATTAGGAACAACCTCCGCGCTCCTAAGAGCTGCCACGCAACCGGCATCATCATTAGATGTCCCCAACGACCGCAGTTCAAAGAAAAGAAGCCCCTCCCCAGCTCGCCGCCTGAAGGACGCATTCAGCTCCAATCAAGAAAGGGATGATTCTGACGATGTTTCGGAGCAGGCCTCCGAAAAATCGGATAAAAGCAAAAGCTCTAGAAGCATATTCGGGGGCAGCAGTAGGAGGAACAGTTTGTCAGCGAGAAGAGCCCAGGCGAAAGCTGGCACTACTCCTGCTCCTGCTCCTGCTCTTCCAAACATCCGCACCGACCTCACAGAGCCCAAGCCTTACGACTTACAAGCCAGTCCACTGCCCAGAACGCCACCACATACGGCTATTCCAGCCCCTTTGACGAGGGTGACGCCGCCGACTCCAACCGATTCCAACAAGGGGATCCCCTCAATCCTATCCTCGGGGGTCACAGAGTCCCCCGAATCGATGGGGCCGAAGGACGCGAATTCCGGTATTGTTGTGAGTCCCTCTGGAAACATGATTTCGCATCGTCGGGCCCGGTCCACCTCTTCGGCGCATAAGCCTAGCAAACTCTCGAACTCAATATCTGCCCTGAGCCCTTTGGAAGAAAGCAAAGCATCGAGCTCCCGAGTCCCTTCTATTGCTCAACAGAGCGGCTTCTTTTCTTCTGTCTTTTCTGCCGCTCAAAGTGCTGCCTCAACGATAAGCAGCAGTCTCAACACGCAGGCACGACCTCGCAATCAGGCGGCGACAGCTTCTGGAACTAAAGATGAGAAAGTTCCTGAAACTGAAACCGATGATGGCAACCAGAGTGCAGGTGATGGCAAGAGCGAAGAGAGGAAATCCTTGGCTGTTGATACCCTTGGATCCGGGGATCTTGATTTCAGCCAGCTAGGTATCGAGATGCCATCCGGCGTAATCACAACCTCAGACGGGTTGGTCATCACGAAGCCAGATGTCCTATCGGAAAAACGCAAAAATATGGCTGTGTCACAGTTGGATGAGGAGGCAGCAATGCTTGAGGATAAGCATGCAGCACGCGCAGTATCTCTTGCCTACGAAAAGGCAACTGAAGCACGAGCGGCCGACGACAGTGGTGAGATCCAGCCCAGTCCAGCCCTCCCCAGAGATGGGAATGGCGATCAGACTCCTCCTAGCGGCAGTATATATGAGGGCGATACGAGTAGTGGATTGGCGAGGAGTGGCAGCGTACGGAGCCGCTTGGCTCAGCGTCGCCATCGGGGATCTTCTGGCGCAACCACCTCCACGCTTGGTGCTATTGGGGCCACTGCACTTGCTCTGGGTATCCCAGGTGCTAACTCCAGCATGCCGCGTTTGACTGGTTTCGCCGTCGCAAGCAAGAAGCGCAACCGAGACTTTCACCAGTTGTTTCGGAGTGTTCCGGAAGATGATTACCTTATTGAGGATTACAGCTGTGCACTGCAGCGCGAGATTATCCTTGCTGGCCGGATCTATATCTCAGAAGGGCATATCTGCTTCTCGAGCAACATCCTAGGTTGGGTGACAACACTGGTGATCAGCTTCGATGAGGTTGTTGCCATTGAGAAGGAGACAACCGCAATGGTTTTTCCAAACGCTATTGCTATCCAAACTTTGCATGCTAGACACATCTTTCGGAGTCTTCTCAGTCGCGAGTCGACTTATGAACTTATGGTCAATATCTGGAAGATCAATCACCCTGCCCTGAAGAGTTCCGTGAATGGAACGCGGATCGCGAATGGAAGTGATAATAAAACTGAGAAGGCTGAGGAGAGTGATGCGGAGTGCACAGAATCAGATGAAGATGAGATCTATGATGAGGATGAGGATAGAACTATTGGCGAAAGTTTCTATGAGCCTAGGGAAGGGAGCCTGCATGGGAGTGACCGGTCTTCGTCCACAAAGGGGATATCCCGAAAACCTTCTGGAAACCTGCAGAACGGAAGCGGTGCGGCATCAACGCCTGCCCTGAATGGCAACGGAGAGTCTAAAGGTTCCCCGAAGACAGGTGCAGGAGATGGTAGCCAAGACTTCCCTGGACCGGCTACTCACCCTCCCACTGAATACAATGATCCCTCTTGCCGATATGAAAAGCTGGTCAAGGATGAGATTGTTCCCGCTCCTCTGGGGAAGGTTTACTCATTGGTTTTTGGTGCTCAGTCGGGTACTTTCATCAGCAAGTTTCTGGTTGACAATCAGAAGTCGATGGAGCTTCAGTTTGAGGTCGATAAGAAAGGCTTGACGACCGAAAACCCGACTCGACAGTATTCTTATATCAAGCCTCTCAATGCTCCGATTGGGCCCAAACAGACAAAGTGTATCAGCACAGAAAACCTAGATTTCTTCGATCTGGAAAAGGCGGTTCTTGTGACACTTTCTACTCAGACACCTGACGTCCCTAGTGGAAACCTCTTCCTTACAAAGACCAAATATCTCTTTACCTGGGCGGCTGGGAATCAGACGCGGTTTCTCATGACCTGTACCATCGAGTGGTCAGGCAAAACCTGGCTCAAAGGTACAGCATCACGTCCAGGATTTAAATTCAGTGCTTTCTAACTCGAGTTATAGGCCCGATTGAAAAGGGTGCGATGGACGGGCAGACCACATTCGGAAATGAATTGCTCAAGAGCTTGAAGACCGCTGTTGTTCCACGCAGTGGCGCAAAACCCGCCAAGTCTGGCGGCAAAGGCAAGAATCGGCGCAAGAAGGGAGATACTGTCAGCGAGGAGGTGGTCGAGAATTCTGACCTGGCGACGGCCGATTCTGCTCAATCACAAACTGGCTCGTGGGGTATTCTAGAACCTCTTCACGGGCTCCTTGGACCCGTTGTCAGCTTGGTCAAGCCCTTACTGACCAACAACGTTGCCGTCCTTTTGATCCTCCTACTGCTGATCATGGTCTACTTCCGCTCGCCTACATCTTCGCACATGCTCCCGCACGAGATCGGGTGTCCTGCTTTGTCTCTACCTCAGCGAATGGCTGCCTACGAGGAAATGTGGCGGCACGAGGAGAGCGAGTTGTGGCATTGGCTGGAGGATCGAGTTGGTATGGACGGAATGAACTTCCCGACTGCTCGACGATCACTAGAATCGCATACGCGCCATAAGAGGCTCCTGAAGAACCTCCCCCCTGAGCGAGAGCTGGAAGCCAAACTCAACGAGGAGAAAATGTCAGATCGGGAGATGGACTATGCCATCCGTACTACTCGCGAACGCCTCGACGTCCTAGAGAAAATGCTCAGGAATCGAAAACCCACACACAATGAGGACCCGATTATAGTTCCCGGTGAGCTATAGAGAATTGGCCATGCGCTACTAAGATACCTCGGGCTCTTTCCAGTAAACCGAGGCTCAGCTTTGAAATCGTCTGCCGCCTGCAATCCTCACATCTATGCAACGCTTGACTGCTGCATATCCCCGACAAAAAAGAAAAGGGTGAAATATCCTATCTCTTTTTCTTCTTCTACTTCTGCTCTACTTTTGAAAACAAAATTATTTGAGCTGCTGGACCTGCTGGATCCCGCACCTGCTACTTTTGCTTCTCTCCCTTACTTACCTGTCCATGTCTTTTGTGTGTACATGAGCGCCAACTAGCTGTCTATACTTGTATCTTTTTTTTTTCTTACTGTCTATTTCCTATCTCTGTTTCTTGTTACCCAGCCTCCCTTTCGTCCTGCCGCATGGCGTGTCTGTCCCTCATTGTGTTTTCTTTTTTTCATATGTAAGTTTGCATCTCCTGTCCTTTTCGCTTACTTTCATTCTACCCTTCATATGGTTTTACCATTGAAGAGAGCCAAAGATATTGTTTGTGTCAAATAAATATAATGATGCATTACAGTGATCTATGTTAATATCGAGTCGAGCCACCGTATGCTTGCAATAGATTCGTTTAGAGGAGCTATAAAGAAAGCCAAAACACATGGCGAGTGAAAGCCATGTCACCAAGTCATAAATCGAACTCCGGCCAGAATTAAATACAATATTATAAATCTCAGAATTAGAACATGATTCGTGTCTGTCTTGGGTAATGAGCGACCATCGTAAGGTCGCCAGGGGATATAAAATAAACAAGGGTAAAATGGTTGTAAATGGTCGTTTCGTCATGAGATTGGGGCTGGGAAGACCGCTCGCGCCACGTGATCCTGCGTTGAGATGTGCTCGTGGACGGGATCCAGCGTAGAGTTCTGCTGGTGAACGGGATCCGGAACGGTGTCCAGCTCCTCAGCCAGCTGGAGCTTCTCCTTACGTTTTTTCTTTTGCATTTTCTTCATCGCCTCGCTGGTGAGCTGTTGGCGGAACATCCGTTCGACCACTTCCTTCTTACGGGTTCGTCGATCGCCGATCATGATCAGCACACCGCCGGTGATGTTGCAGGTGATTGAGCAGCAGAGAATCACGGTGGTCAAGGCGAATGGACGGACGTGATAGTTGATGCTCCAGGTGCATGTTCCGAGGGCGATCTGGAAACACGAATGCAGGTCCAACAAGACGATGATGGCGATGAGCATCCGCATCGGGAAGGCGTGGTGGGTAATCGTTTCGTGAGGCTTGTAGAAAGTGTGAGACTTGGAGAGTTTCATCTGGTGGTGTTCGAGCCTCTGTTGCTGCTTAGGGGTGAGAACACTGAACTCGTGCGTGTCTTCTTTGTCAATTTCGCCGAGGTCGGCCTCAAGGTCGGCCTGGCTGCGTCCAGGAAGGTCATTCTTGTCCTTTAGGCCGGGCAGGGCACGTTTGTTGCGAATCTTCCAGGTCTTGAAAGTATAGTGGGCGATAAAAGCCATGTGATAGGTATCAACGGCACGGAAGGGGGCCAAGCCGTCGCCCATGACGGCGAAAAGGGCGACAAGGACGTTGTCGATGACGTTGATCACGTAAAGCTGGCGTCCACCAACGTTGATCCAACCTGAGAGTCCATTAGTACAGTGCCATTTCAATGACATGGAGATGGCTGAACAAACCGATCAAGAACAGAACCCAAGCCAGACCGAAAAGTGTGATGAGGGTTGCATATAGGGTGACAAGGAAGCCCAGTGCTTTTGAGTTGGTCAGCATCGACTTGGGGGTTGAATACCCTTCTAGAACAACTTACGCTTGCGGACATATTTGCCAAACCCCTTCATGCTTCGTTTGAATTTCGACCGGCGGGAGTGCAGCATATGCCGGACGTGATCGTTTAATTCTTCGATGTCCCGCTGCGACCACCCGTCCAGTGTATGGTCTTCTGGCAAGACGGCGTACCGAACGCCATCCGAGGGTAACGCAGATGAGATACTGGAATACATCCGAAGTTGGTCCAAGGTCGGACGTTGTTTGAGCTCGACACCCTGATCTTGGTCTTCATCGGTGGATGTTGTCTCTTCTTCGGAAACCCTCTCTGGTCGTGTCAAGGTGTATGTAGGCATACGGTTCAGAATACCGCCCAGGTCCGGAATGAAGAGCGAGTTCTGCACGTTGGTAAGAGTCGACAGGGTGGAAACTTCCGGGTCTGCAGCGGCATCTGGATTAGAACAGGACCAAAAGTCTCATCTGTCTCGGGGACTTACCAATCACATCAAGCAAATCAACAATCTGCGAGTCATATTCCGTGATCTGGTGGCTATTCGTCGGCGAGCTACCGCTAATAGTGGTCCCTCGTTTCCTCGCGAGGGCATTGAAGGCCACCCCGCTCGCCCGACGCAGCAGACCCCTTGGCGGAGTTTGGATAGCCGCCGGTTGAGGTTCCTGGAGCAATTCAGCCGAAGATGGCCCGGCAGTCGTTTCAGCAGCGGTAGCAGTCCGGAGGGCACACTCCTCGTCCAGAGGAGCCATAACCGGGCACTGAGGGGGTCTAGGGCTCGCAATGACCGGCGGCGCCGAGTACCGCCCTGGGCGCGGCTCTGAATTGCTGCGGCGGCGGTTCCCTTCCCAGGAATCATCCACATGTTGATCGGGCGCGAGGTTGCGAGTGTCAAGTTGGTGTAGAAGCGTCGCCGGCCTGCTTCCATTCACAGGCGTGCGTAGAGTGGGCAGATTCGGGTCGCTGGGCAGGCGTGAGATACGGATGCTCGGCCGTCGCATCCGCTGGGACGAGGCGCGAGGCGGACCAGATGACGTCTGCACCGGGGTGGCAGGAGTCGAAGCGTCGGCCAGCGCAGGAAACGGAGTTGGCTGGTCATCGCTTCGATTCCCGATACTCTCGATGCGGTCCATGGTGGGCTGGCAAAGAGGGAGAGGCAGCACTCCTCCGCTCGCTCGCACGACCTGCCGGGTGGGAGCACAGAAGTACAAAGGAAAAGAGGAAAAGGTTCGCCCACAGGATTAATTATTGGGGGCAAGAAGGAACCGCGGGTTGAGTTGACTAAGCTGCTCACTAATAATGCAGCAGCACCACTAATTGACAGGGGAGCGATCTCCTTTATAGGTGGTAGGAAGAAATACTCAGTCAGTTTTGATCCAAGATTGATTCTACATTTATATAACTATGACTACAACTGCTGATGATCTTGATAAGCCAATGCTTTGTTATTAGGAAACGAGATGGCTTGGTGTAGATCTCGCAAGCTATGACGTGCTGGGCTCTTAAGGCCTACTCCGTACTACAGTAAACAGGTCTCGTTGGTGGTGTTATAGACGATTCTGCAACCTGCAGCATAGGCAGGCCCTTTACTGCAGATCTCAGAGGATTGTCATATATCATGAATATTCCCCATAGTTAATCTATGCTCCCAACCCAGGTACCCTCATGATCTGTATCCCACCCAATTTGCCGACGACCATCGCCAGAACCTACCAAAGTGCTACTAGTTAACTACTCCGTAGGTAGGAGTAACTAACTAACTAATAGCAACTGCCCCACGGAGCAGACCTATCGATGGAGTGCTCTCAACCGGCGTCGATCCGCTGGGTCTCTTCTAGACCGCCATGGCTGGTTGGTTCTTCTCCTGTTGACAGACAGTGTGAAGGGAACAGGCATCGAATCAATGTACCTCGCATTATTAACTCGGTAGCTAGTTAACTACCTAGCTAGCTACTTGGTTAGCCGGTGTTTTAAGGAGTTATTCAGGGCCTTACCTAGGTAGCAGAGCAGGCCTACCTGACCTTACCTGGTACGATTTAGAGGGGGACCCTATCTCCAGGCGAATCACAGCGGCAACCCAGACCGTCGCAACGTCAGAACCACCCACTGATCCAGTCTGGGGGCGATCGATCGTGGCCGACCCACGGACAACCAACAAGTCCAGCAAGTCCAGCAAGTCCAGCAAGAGAAGGCCACCGAAACTGGCCAGTTGGCGGAAGGTCGCCCATCCCGAGTGGGCCTAGCGCCGTGGTGACTCTCGCCTGCCCTTTTTCCTCTCCTTCTCCTTTCTCCCTCCCAGCTCAAGGCATCATCAAATCACTGCTTCCACCTTCTGATCTTTCTTCTTCCTCGACGTATCTAGGGCACCAAGCTACCCTTCCCTCCCCCCCCTCTTCAAGCTTCTCCCCATCCAAGGCAGCCTTCAGCTACCTGAGTCGTTTCCACACACACACCGGTCACCCACCGCCCGTCCCGCACAATCCAAACAAACCAACCGACCCTGTGTCCTCAGCCATCAACATGTCTTCTGCCGTTGAAAACCTCGCCGACAACCTGGCCACCACCTCGCTCAACGAGGTCAACGGTGCTGCGGCCGTGCAGGCCCCTGACGCCGCCGCCGCCAGTGCCGATGAGGGCCGTCGGCTGTACATTGGGAACCTCGCATATGCGACCACTGAGGGGGAGCTCAAGGAGTTCTTCAAGAACTACACCATGTACGTTACCCCCCCCCCCCTATTCTTCTTTATTCTCAAAATAGTTATTCCAGGTCTGTCTTCAGGCCTGGATGACTGTATATAAGTTGGTGGTCGGAGTAGCCTGTCGGGGGCTGCGACCACGTGTATTATCATCACACCACTACCTGACACTTTTTCCCCCCCCCCCCCCTCAATCTTCCATGCCTTTTTTTCCTGCTTGAAATGACCTACTTACTATATTATAAGATCAGATGCTAATTGATATAAATTATAGTGAAAGCACCTCTATTCCTGTGAATCCCCGTACTAGCCGCCCAGTGGGCTATGCCTTTGTGGATCTTGCCACTGCTAACGAGGCCACGGCTGCTATCGAGGAGCTTTCGGGCAAAGAAATCCTCCAGCGCAAGGTCTCCGTGCAGTTGGCCCGCAAACCAGAGCCTGCTGAGGCCAAGGCGGAGGGTGCTGTAAGTGGCGGTGAGGGTGCTAGCGGCAACGAGGGCCGCAAGAGAATCGCGGGCCGGGGCCGTGGCCGTGGCCGTGGTCGTGGCCGCGGTGGACGCCTCGGTCGCGGTGGACGCGCTGTAAGTGTGCCGTTTTGCAGTCTTTGATTACTGTTGCGTCTTGACTGACGATTGTTTAATTCATTTTACAGCCTCAGGCCCAGAATGGCGAGCCTGCTTCTGAGCCTCCTGTCAACGTTCCGGGCCAGGTGGACCCCCTGACTGAGGTCAACCACAACGAAGTCGCCCCCGTTGCGGCCACCGAGGAGGCCTCCAAGCAGACCAAGCCTCGCGCTCGCGTCCAGAAGCAGCGTGGCCCGCCCGAGGACGGTATTCCTTCCAAGACCAAGGTTATGGTGGCAAACCTGCCCTACGACCTGACCGAGGACAAGGTTTGTACTGACCTCTGATTGTGTCTATATGGTTTGCTACTGGGAGGACATACACTGACTGCTACCCTGTAGCTCAAGGAGTACTTTGTTGCTTACGAGCCCATCTCCGCCAAGCTGGCTCTGCGCCCCATCCCCCGCTTCATGATAAAGAAGCTGCAGGCTCGTAACGAGCGTCGCAAGGGTCGCGGCTTCGGTTTCGTCACCCTGGGTTCCGAGGAGCTCCAGCAGAAGGCCGTTGAGGAGATGAACGGCAAGGAGATCGAGGGTCGTGAAATCGCTGTCAAGGTCGCCATCGATAGCCCCGGTAAGGAGGACGACGTCGACGCTGCCGCCCCGAAGTTCGAAGAGTCCGCCGCCCCCGCTGCTGATGACGAGAACGTGGCCCCGACCGCCGCCTAAATAGTCTCGCTTCAGTCAAATGGGCGTTTCTTTTGTTCTGAAAAAAAAAAAAAAAAAAAAAAAAAAAAAAAAAAAAACCCCCCCCCCCCCCATGTTCGAAAGAAGAAGTTGTCGTTGCCTCTAGACAATCTGTCTAGCTTATTTCAACTGACTTGTACTTTTTTTTTTACATTTTTTCGACATGGTTTCCACTGTGGAGGTGGTCGATTCTTTTGCTGCCTGGAATGAACTCCAGAACCACGCTGGGGAGGGTCAACGGAGAGGCAGCTCTCGTTTTATGGAGACCCGACCTTTTTAACGAATATTGCCTTCTGCTGTATTGTATCTTAGCAACCATTTAACTTATGATTTGCCGCAAGGCTGGCCTTGTAGTCTAATTCAAGGCACATTCTCAGCATGGTCTATTCGAGCAGGGTACTACTACTTGTAGACGACATTCATCGAATAGAGGGCACTGTGTATAGTAAGGTCAGAGGGAAACGGCCAGTGATATATTTCCATGCGGACAGTCTTCTGAGTATGCCTTCCTCAATCCGAAGTATTGAAGCAATGCTTTCAACTCCGATTTTGCTGTTGTGGTTTGGAGCCAGCTTTGGGGCCCCAAGTTTCGTGACAGGGGTTGTTGCCGTTCGTTATTCTTGCCCACCCGCACCACCAACCAACAACCCACGGCGAGGTGACCGTCGTGTATTTCCCACGACCCCCTGCCTTCCTGCAGCTTTCAACCATTTCAGGATGTCTCGAATGTGGGAGGTCGATCCGGAGACCCGGACAAAGGTATGCTTTTCTCTGCCTTTCCAAGCGTGATCGTGTAACACACGCGCACACACCACACACACGAGACCCTATCTGCCCCTCGCCCTGACTAACGGTGTTGATGTTGCTTTGTCGCCTTTAGCTTCTTGCGATCTCCAAGACAAACGGAAACGATAAATGCTGCGATTGCGGCGCCCCGTCGCCTCAATGGGTTTGTCTGATACCCCCGTTCGGTCTTGGGGGTCCACGTTTTCCTGACCTGTCGCAATTCATAGGCGTCTCCTAAATTCGGCACGTTTATCTGTCTGAACTGCGCGGGCATCCATCGTGGCCTCGGCGTGCACATCTCCTTTGTCCGCTCGATAACCATGGATGCCTTCAAGAACGCTGAGATCCTACGCATGGAGCAAGGCGGCAACGAGCCCTGGAAGTCCTTCTACGACGCCCACCCAACCACCCTCACCGAGGGCCGCACCTTCGACGACTCAACAATCAAGGAACGGTACGAAGGCGAGGTTGGAGAGGAGTGGAAGGAGAGACTGAGCGCCAAGGTTGAGGGTCGCGAGTATGTCCCCGGACAGGTGCCGAAGAGGAAGGCCGACCCTGTTTCGACCGGTAATATTGGAGGTGGTGGGATTGGGTCTCGATCCAGCACGCCGTTGACGGGGCGGGGATCTCCCTCCGTCTCGGGCATGGAGGGGGGAGTAGGGTCGAATAATAACAATGGAGGCCTGGAGGGACCCAGCAAGAAGGAACGCAACGAGGCTTACTTTGCGAAGCTGGGGTCGGAGAACGCAACGCGGTCCGACACGCTACCTCCATCCCAGGGCGGCAAATATACCGGGTTTGGCAGCGGGTACACTCCTTCGCCGGCCTCGCAACAGTCCAGTGGTGGGGGAGCCCCGGCATTTGATGATTTTCAAAAGGACCCCGTGGCGGCTCTGTCCAAGGGGTTTGGATGGTTTACTTCTGCGGTAGGACGGAGCGCAAAGACGGTGAACGATACGTACATCCAGCCCACGGCTAAGACGGTAAAAAACCTTTTTCTTGTCCAGTGGCTTTTTCTTTTTCTTTCTCTATAGCTAAGTGTTCCCTCCAGATAGCGGAATCCGACTTCGCCGCGCAGGCCCGCGTCCAAGCCTCGCAGTTCGGCCAAACGTTCCAAGCTGGCGCCCGCGGCGCTGCAGACTCCTTCAACCGGTTCGTCGAGGGCGAACCCGACGACCACCGGTCTTCCTACGGCCCAGCCGGCGGGCGACGCCGCGCGGAACCCGAACGCAAAGACTTCTGGGACGATTTCTCTACGATAGGTGAGCAGGAGGCGCGGCGGGCGGCTGCTGCGGGCGGCACGGCTGCTTCCTCTGGTGCGATTGGGACGGCGGCCATGAGAAAGGGAGGCGGGCCCTCTGTCGCTACTACGGCTGGTGCTGGTGTTTCTTCGAACCCTTCGCTAGCCAGCAAGGGGAAAGATGATGGCGGAGGGTGGGATGAGAATTGGTAGAAACGGCCTGGTTGTCTTATTGAATTCAATTCTTTCTTGATATTTGGTAGAGTTTAGCTTCCTCCCCCCCTTTTTTTTTCACCTCAGCGATGGGATTTAACCTGGTCTTTGCTGCCTATACATGTGGTATATTGATTCATTTGATTTTGAATGAGGGTAAATTCGAATCATAGCTAAATATAGGATCTTTTTACTATACATTTCTATCGTACAGTCACAGGATAACTATAGGCCTCATCCAGGTGTATATAGGTATCAAGAATACCCTCCCAATTCTGCAAGAACGGCTTTCTGCCGCTGAGCAGTCATGGTATCGAAACGGTCAATGTGCATGACGAACGTGCCCCGGCCGGAGGTCAGACTGCGCAGGTGTTTCAGGTATCCCACCATTTCCTTGAGGGGAACCTTGGCCGTGATGGTGCGAGCGCGGTTTGCTGTGCCGGGGAGTGAGGCGCCGAGGGATGATGATGATGATGATGATGATGTCTCGAATGGGTCTGGAGGTGCATATACCTTTGCTGGATCGACGAGGGTTGCTTCTTCTTCAGAAGAAGGGACGCCCTGGTCATCATCTAGAGAGACGATATGTCCACCACGCGAGGAAGAAATGTCGTGGACCACGGCGCCGAGGCTGTCTTCGTCGACGCTGATGGTGACGTTCATCACGGGTTCCATTAGGGCCGTGCTGGACGTGGACGCCAGCTCTCGCAGGGCGGAGGAGGTGGCTAGCCGGGCGGCGGCCGAGAGCGCGGAAGAGGTGGTTTCGTTGCCGAAGATATGCTCGGTTGGGTCGAGGGTGAGGGTGACTCGGGTGCTGTGCATGGGGAAGGTGAACTGGGGCCCACGGGCCAAGGCAGCCATGCAGCCGTTGTACAGGGCGTTGCGGGCCGTCGTCACATCGATGCCCGTGGGCAGCAACGGGCTTTCTGCAATGCCCTTGTTGTTTGTAGAGACTTGTAGCCCCGGGGAGAGAATGATGATCTGGTTGCCGTCCTGCACTTTGATGGCCAGAATGTGCTCCGAGGGCGGACCCAGGGTATCTGCTGCCTTGGCAGCGTCAAAAGGTTCGACGACGACTGTACATCCCGCTTTGCCCTTTCGACCGGCGATCTCCTTGTCGAAGATCTTGGTCACGGCTGGCGACTGCGCCGTGACGCTTTCCCGGAACCCGATCTCGATGCGACCCATGGAAGCCTTGGCTTTGAGGTCATTGATCAGCCGGTCGCGAGCGATCTCCAGGTGCAGTTCCCCCATCCCACTCAGCAGGGTCTGGCCCGAGTCTTCATCTACGGTTACCTGGAGACTCGGGTCTTCACGTAGGAGAAGAGCTAGGCTCTCTTGCATTTTTTTCTCCTCGGCCAGACTGTGAGGCTCGACGCTGGCAAAGAAGACCGGGGGGGGGACGTCGATCGGGCGCAGCTGTAGGGTATTCAGGGGTTCTGGAGGCGTCGCCTTGTTCCCTGCATAGGATATCAGCGTGTCGCCGGTGCGGGCGTGCTTGAGGCCGACCACCACGCCGATGTGGCCTGCAGGAATCGAATCCACCTCCACCGCGTCGTTGGCATACATCTTGAGCAGGCGAGGGGCACGCTCTGAGACGTTCAGGTTGGTGTTGTATAGGAGACAATTGCGGTCCATAGATCCGGAATACACACGGACATAGACCAGAACGCCGCGTTTTGCATCGTTGACCACCTTGAAGGCCAAGGCGCAGCTCTGCAATTTCTCAATGGAGCTCTGTGATTCCGACTGGAGGGCGGCTTTTTTCTTCTGCTTGCCCTTGACCTCGGTCGTTTCTTTCTGCGCCACGATCAAGTCACCGCTGAGTAACTGTTTCAAGCTTCCCTTGATGCCGCCGATGCTGACCTCTGGGTCTGGCGATTCAACGGGACTGGGGAGGAGGTTCACGACCGAGTCAAGCAAAGGCTGTACGCCCATGTTGCGAAAGCTGGCGCCTGCAAACACGGGGATGATCTTGTTGCCCTGCTCTACCAGACATCTGCGGATGCTGTTGAGAATATCCAGCGGGCTCACGGCGAGGTGGTCTTCGTCTTGCTCCAGGAACTTTTCCACGATATCCTCGTCGTATTCGCTGAGCAGTTCTACGAGAGCAACCCGGGCTCGTTTCAGCTCCTCTGCCAGATTGCTGTTCTCCGTCTCGAGTTGTTTCAAATCAAACACCTTGATGGACTTCCCATCGCCGCCTTCTTTCCACAGCAGGCCCTGGAGATTGACGACGTCCGCCACGCCGACAAACCGGCCGTTCCCTCCTTCCAACCAGGGAATCTGACACACTGCCGGCCACCCCCCGAGTCTGGAGGCCACCTCCTTCACAGTCCTGCCAAAGGCCGAGCCCTCTCTATCCAGTTTATTGATGTAGACGATACGAGGGATCTGATAGATCCCGGCCTGGTGCCACACCTGCTCGGTCTGCGCTTCCACCCCCGCGACCCCGTCCAGAATGCACACGGCCCCGTCGAGAATGCGTAGCGAGCGAAGCACTTCAAACGTAAAATCCGCGTGCCCGGGGGTATCGATCAGGTTGATGGTGTGAGAGACAGCCGACCGCTGCTGCTCCGGTACGGTCGAGGGACTTTCACCACCACCCTGCGTCGAGACCTCCTCGGGCGGCCAATGGAACGTGATGGCGGCCGATTGAATGGTGATTCCCCGCGCTCGTTCAGCCGGTAGGAAATCCGTCACTGTAGACCCTTCGTCCACGTCGCCGATCCGGCGTGTCAGCCCACTGTAATACAGCATCCGCTCCGTCGTCGTCGTCTTGCCGGCGTCGATGTGGGCAATGATGCCAATGTTCCGTGTCCGCTGCAACTCGTCCGCCTGCCACCGCGGGGCGATCTTCGAAAAGCATCGTAACCCCTTGCCCGACGGTCGAAGCATCCATCGCCCGTTTCTCAGCAGAATCTGTCGCGCCGCGAGGCTAGAAATGTGTCGAGTGTGAGCTGCACCCATCGCCAGGATCGAATAACACCGAGTCGTATCCAAACCAAATCACATGGCAGCCAAGCCAGTCAAACAACCCATCGAAACCACGCAGAAAACACACCCCTCAAGCGAGAAAAAAAGACACAGAACACAGAAGGAGGGAAAAGAGAAGAGAAGAGAGAAGAGTGAATACCCTCACAAAAGACGCCTGCGAAACCCGTCCCGGTTAGCGCCGCTCCCACGACCCACCCCCGATCGATAGCTGGATTCCCTGGCCTTGTTGCTGCCTCATCCCATCTCGCACTGTCTGGCCTGTTCATCGCGTACGGAGCGTGGATTAGTGGGCGAGTCCCTGGTGATTCTTCGATTTTCCTGTCAGGCCGTTTCAATTCGTGATTCTACGTGGCTGTGGCTCCAGGTAAGCGGCTTCCCCCGGCAGGCGTACCCAGTCCCCCCCTCCCACGGGATGCTGATCGTGTGCAATGGCCACGTTTAGGAAGCACGAGGACTCACCTACGGTATAGAAAGCAGAGATGGACTATTCGTCTCTTTCGAACGATCCCGATCATCCGACGGGGTCGTCGCCATGGGCGTCGCCGCGGGCGGATCGCACCACGTTCGCAGCGGCGGGTAACAACGACTTCCCCTCATCGCCTCTGCCGGGGCAGTACGGGGCGGAGAGCCATGCCGAGAGCCCTCAAGTAAGCCATGCGAGGGAAGAGGAGGAGGAGGAGGAGGAGGATGAAGACGAGGAGGAACCGGGATCGCCGGATCTGTCGGCACGCCTGCAGAGCGCACAGTTGGGGGACCCGGACTACGCGGTAGAACAGCCCCCGTATGCGACCTCGCATCTCCACCAGCAACAGCAGCAGCAGTCGCAGGGGCGGTCCCAACTGCCGGCACGATACCAGCCTGGATCGAGGCAACAGGTCGGGCAAGCGGGCCCGGTCTACAGGCTCCAGGCGAAGATTACGGGGCTGGAAAGGACGGGGAAGAAGGACCCGATTCTTCGCTTTGATGTGCATGTAAGTTCATCTTTGCATGGGATTCTTTTTGTTTGTTTACATTGAGTGCTTGTGTACGGGGATGCTAATATCCATAAAAAGACGAATATCCCCAAGTTCCGTACGACTCAGTATCGTGATGTTCGCCGCACGCATTCGGAGTTTGTTAAGCTGGCAGACCATCTCATCTCAGCGAACCCCGAGGCTCTGGTGCCTGCCGTGCCTCCACCGTTGACGCCGGCTGGTGCAGGGACGGAGGAGGATGAGTACCGGATTAAATCCTCGATGCAGCGCTGGTTGAACACGGTTCTCAGCAATGACGTCCTCATGCTCGACGACGAGGTCATTCTCTTCGTCGAAAGCGATTTCGGATACAGTCCCGTGGTGCGCATGAAGCAGCCTGCCACCGGCGTCAGACGGAAGGTTCTGAAGCAATTTGCTCCCCCCCCGGATGATACCCCTGAATTGCAGAATGCGCGGCCAGCTGTCAAGATGTTCTATCTGGGCGCCATGGATGCCAGCCAAAAGGTCGATCGAGTTGTCAAGGCTCGTAGAGGTACGTTTACGGTCACACACACACACACACACACACAAAACAAAATTACTAATTATTCAGGCCTTGGTCTTGCCGAGTCGGATTTTGGTGTCAAGCTCGGCCAGATGCATGTTCAAGAAGCCCATCCGGGTTTGTCAAATGCGTACAAGAAGCTGGGAAAGATCATCCAATCGGTAGGAGACTTCCACGCTGTCCAAGCGACCGCGGAAGCCACAACACTCGGCGATCCTCTGAATTACCACTCTTCAGATGCCTTTATCGTCAAGGAGACTCTGACCAACCGTCATATCCTCCTACGCGATCTTCTCCAGGCCCAGCAGGTCTCACGAAGTAAGCGGGCAGCGGCGGACCGGCTGAAGGTCAGCTCGTCCGTGCGACGGGACAAGGTGGACGAGGCGATCAACGCACTCGACGAAGCGCAGAGCCACGAGGACTACCTGACCAAGAAGACCCACCGGGTGACCTCCAACCTGTTGCTGGAGAAGCGCCGCTGGTTCGATCGCACCGCCGCCGACCTCGTCGCCGCCCTCCGCGAATACACCCTCCGCCAGATCGAAGCCGAGCGGCGGACCCTGGCCACCCTGGAGAGCGTGCGGCCGGACATCCGCTCCATCGACGCCTCGGGCGGGCTGAGCCGCCTAGGCCGCGAGGCTCACCCGGCCGTGCGACGACCGAACCTGGCGTCGAGCCAGGGCCCCAAGGGCGACTCATGGAGCGGGGTGCCTCGCCGCAGCGACAACCTCGGCCGCAGCCTGAGCGGCTCCTTTGCGGCTCCCTCTACGGACGACGAGGACGAGGCCAACGGCGCGGGCGTGGCCAAGGGACGTCTGCGCGCGGCCAGCGGCGTGGGTTCGATCCCCGAGGAAGAGGACGAGGATCGCCTGGACGCTCGCAACGCCGCCAGTCGTCTAGCAACAAGTACTTTCTAGTTCAGTCTTTTTCCCTCCCTGAAAGTATTCTTTTCCATTCTATCCTATTCTATTTTTTTTTTCTCAATTTCCTATTACTGTCTCAGTATTGACGACTCTCTTGGTTTCCTGCTGAACTGTACTTATGTAGTAGTATGGCAACCTTTCTTATGTACTTGCTGAATTTACACTCTACCTTCATCTATAAGCATTGAATAACTACTGTACTGCACAGTATCTAAGATAGCTATGTATAATATCCTGACCATATACAACCTGTTACGTCATGAGGGGCGGAAGACGCAGATTACCAATCTTGATAAATCTTTTCCCAGGCTCATCAACAAAACAGCAGAAGATCAAAGTAGGTAGATGTAATACTGTAGGAGACGACCGTAGATGATCTTCCATGGAGTCAGTCACTGAGCCAGTTTTCTGAGGATTGCTCTGTCTGGAGGCAAACAAAGGGCAGCAGAGGTGGTGTTACTATTCTCTACCCCACTCTTTTCTGAGGGGTTATTCTATTATATAAGAGATGGAGTCGAGTTATAGTTAATGCATTATTGTTGTTAAATCAGACTTTGTATTCTTTCTACCGCAAGTTAGTACCACTGATATCTGTCAAGATGGCCCCCAAGATTTTCCTGTACGTGAAAACCTGCAAACTACTAACAGCTGGCTCACCTACACACGTTCTTGTTAACTGACAAACTGACATATAGGACTGGAGCAACCGGATACATTGGAGGCGATTCTCTGTATCTGATCGCGCAGAAACACCCGGACTGGGAGGTTACTGCGTTGGTGCGTAGCGAAGCAAAGGCCGCGCAGGTGAAGAGCCAGTACCCTGGAATCCGTACGGTGGTGGGCGATCTCGACTCGGCTGCTTTGATCGAGGAGGAGGTGAGAAATGCCGATATTGTCTATCGTAAGCATTCCCCTAGAGCAACCAGACGACGAGGGTTGTTTTGCTGAACAACAGACTTCGCCAACTGCGACCATGTTGCTTCCGCAAAGGCCATCGCCAAGGGAGCCAGCCATCATACGCCCGAGAGACCGCTGTGGTGGATTCACACGTCGGGCACGGGGATCCTGACGCTGGAAGACCAGCGAGCCAAGACGCACGGGATCGAGCGCCCCAAATCCTACGACGACTGGGATCACATCGACGAGGTGACCAACTTGCCCGACGACGCCTTCCACCGCGACGTGGACAAGATCGTGCTGGAGGCGGGCTACAGCGCCCCGGCCAGCGTCAAGACCGCCATCGTCTGCCCGTGCACCATCTACGGGCCCGGCCGCGGGCCCGGCAACCCCAAGAGCTACCAGGCCTACAAGCTGTCCGAGGCGGTGCTGCAGCGCAAGAAGGGCCTGCTTGTCGGCGAGGGCAAGAACGTCTGGCACGAGATCCACGTCCACGACCTCAGCGACCTCTACATCACCCTGGGCGAGGCCGCCGCCGAGGGAGGCGGCAAGGCCACCTGGAACGACAAGGGGTACTACTTCGCCGAGAACGGGCAGTTCTGCTGGGGCGACGTCGAGCGGGCCATCGCTCGCATCGCCTACGAGAAGAAGCTGATCCCCTCGCCGGACGTCGAACCCCTCTCCGATGACCAGGTCGCCGCCATCAACCCCTTCGGCCTGTATTCTTGGGGCACCAACTCCCGCGGCCACGCCATCCGCGCCCGTAACCTGTTCGGCTGGTCGCCCTCGCGGCCCAGCTTGTCCGCTCTCCTGCCCTCCATTGTCGAGATCGAGGCCAAGGATCTGGGTTTGCTGTGAGATAGTACTAGTAGTGACTAAATGCTAGCAACTTATGTACTCTAATACAGTCAGTCACAACAGAAACAACAAGCAAAACAAGGGCATGGGAAACCACCTCTAGAGCCTCAATATTTGTCAGTGTAAGCCGTCAATGGGAAACTGCAGTCAGTAAAAAGGAAGGAGCGAGTTTCAAAAGTTTTGGAAGGAGCGAGGCTGCGAGGGAACTATAAGTCATGTGACAATAACACGTGACCACCGACCACTGACGTTTCCAACTGGAGCTAACCCAGTCGAGGTTAACGGCTAGGAAGGTAAAGTCACGAGCAGCAGCAGCAAAAGGCCGCTTCTTTCATCCCATCCTGACCCTTTTGAATCGCGCGCCCGCGGATTCCCCCTCTCTGATTGTTTCTCCTCATGGGACTTTATTAGCAGGTACTATTTGCTCGTGATGTCTATCCTGTCGTTCGTTGGTCCCTCGTGGACGCTCGTCGCTGATTGTTTCCCTCTCAGTCTCTTCCCCCCATGAATCGCGACCTGCCACGTCCACCTGCCCTCTCCGCGTCCTGATTCTTCCCCCCCCCCCCCTCCTCTTCGGGCCGTGACCACACTGTCATGGCTCCAGTGGGCAAAAGGAAGCGAGGAGATCGTTCGTGGTCCGGAGATTCGGGTGCCGACAGCCCCAGGCCTTCGCCTCATCGTCCAGGAACGCTCAACATGGCGCAGCACACCTCTCCGCGGGACTACGGTGACTCGCGCGGCGGAAGGGGCCACCGTCAGTCGGTGAGGGGCGGCCGCAATGGTTTTGGTGGTGGTCAGAGGCCTGGTGAGGTGGGAGGTGGTGCCGTTGCGGCGGGTTCGGCCATTGCCCCCGTGAAGGAGAGCTCAGAGCCCTTGAACACCAACGGCCTGCCCTCGACGCCGGTACACCACCAGCCGTCCCCTTCACCGATGCCAGCTGTGTCGCAGCAGCAGAAACTGCAGCAGCAGCAGAATCTACTTCTATCGTTCGCCCAGATACCTCCCTCCCAACTACCGCCACCGCCGCCCGCTCCAAATTTCCCCTACGACTACGAGTATGTCACGGACAGCATTGTAGAGAATTGGTCGGCTACAGGGAAGCAGGAGCTGGTTGAGAATGGTGCGGCTGCTAGGAAGGATCAGGATGGTCTCAGACTGGCCTCTTTCTATCAAGAACTGCTTCGATCCGGTCTCTACGGCCGCTTACCTCCCGCAGAGGTCGGATCAGCCGTGAAGGAAGTCATCGGTGAAGAGATTGCATCCGATGATGTGGACATGACCGGTGACGATCAAACCCCAGCCCTTCCTCTACCACTTCTTGACCCTCGTGCCCTCTTTCTTGATACCCTTTCTATCCTAACCGACTCGGACACGACGAACCCTCTACTTAGGCCGCTCGTCTTTTCCACCGGCATTTCGCCTGCCTTGATGCGCCTGCAGCTCGACACGCCATTGCTCCAATCGCTGGGTCTTGTTCGAGAGACCTTTGCCCGGATGGGCATCCGCAAGCAGACCAACCTGTTATACCGGCAATCGAATTACAATCTGTTGCGTGAGGAGTCGGAGGGCTACTCGAAACTTCTCACAGAGCTGTTCACGACCAGCAACAACGAACCCCCCTCGAGCGATGTCGTGGAGGAGACCTTTGAGCGTGTCAAGGCGATGATCGGTGCCTTCGACATGGATGTCGGCCGTGTGCTCGACGTCACCCTCGATGTTTTCGCCGCCGTGCTCGTCAAGCAGTATCGCTTTTTCGTCAAACTCCTTCGTGTCAGCTCGTGGTGGCCCAAGGAGGATCTCTTCCGCGATACGGACGGCACCATGCGAAACTCAGGCCTCCCCAACTGGGCTTTGCCGGGTTCCCCAGGCTGGGCAACCACGGACGATGATCGCGCGGAGATCACCCTGGCAAACGAGCAGCGTGACGTGGAGTTCTGGCACCGAGTCCGAGCCATTGGCATACGCGCGTTTTTCGAGATTGGCCATAGGCCCCTCTCGGAAGAGGAGAGAAAGCAGTATCTTACCGCCGACGCTACCAATCTGTCCGACGAGGAGCTTGTCACCCGCAAGTGGATTGAAGAAACAGGTACCCTCCCGTCCAAGGGGAACCGAGTGGCCGCACAGCTGCTTGGTTTCAAACTCAGATTCTACTCTTCGCCCGCCCGCAGCAAGTCAGACGTTCTCCCGGACAACCTCATCTACCTGGCTGCCCTGCTGATAAAAGTCGGCTTTATCTCCCTTCGCGACCTGTATGCCCACCTGTGGCGCCCGGACGATCTTATGGATGCTCTGAAGGAGGAGAAGATGAAAGAGAAAGCAGAGCGGGAACGAGCGGCGCGGCCCGGTGGTGGCGTCAACGCCCTCATGATGGCTGGAGCTTTATCAGACGATACCTTACCTATCCCTCGCGTACGGGATAGCGATGCCCGATCTACCACCCCTCTCAAGGAGGCTGAAGGCGACAGATCATCCGTCGCCGCCGCCGCCGCCAAGGATCAGGAAAAGGAAGAACTTCCCGAACCCGCTGATCAAAAGGTCATGCTGTTGAAGAGTCTACTGGCTATCGGCGCCATCCCAGAATCACTCTTTATCCTAAGCAAATTTCCCTGGCTGATGGAGGCTTACCCCGAACTCCCCGAATACACCCATCGCATCCTGCACCATTGCTTAAGCAAAGTGTATGCCGCCCTTCGCCCTCTCCCTTCAGTCGATGAGCTCCGCGAGCAAAGACAGATTCCCAGTACAGACCAGTCCGGCGTGGGCAAGGGAAATATCCGGCTTAGTCAAGCGCCACCGAGGAGAGTGCTTCGATGGGCCCAGCTTGATAAGGAAGACACCAATGATGGGACGGACTATCGCTTCTATTGGGACGACTGGGCCGACAACGTGCCTGTCTGTCAGACGGTCGATGATGTCTTTGCGCTCTGTTCATCCCTCCTCAATCTGTCGGGGCATAAGATCGGGCAAGATGCCAGTCTCATGACCAAGCTGGCGAGAATCGGAAAGGACAGCCTCAGCAAGGACTCTTCTCCGGAGAACAGAGCACGCTGGCAAGATCTCTGCAAGCGTATCTTGGTCCCCTCGATCAGCTTGACCAAGGCAAACCCTGGTGTTGTCAATGAAATATTTGATCTGATCAGTTTTTTCTCCCGCGACATTCGATACAACATGTACGCCGAGTGGTACTCCGGGCAAACTTCGAGGTTACCCGACATCAAATCCGCCTTCGACCAAGCCAGAGCCGAGACAAAGGACGTCCTCAAGCGACTCAGCAAGACGAACATCCGCCCCATGGCGCGTGCGCTGGCCAAGATTGCCTATGCAAACCCCGGCATCGTCATCAACGTTGCCATCAGCCAGATCGAATCGTACGAGAACCTGATCGAGGTGGTCGTGGAATGTGCCCGATACTTTACTTACCTAGGCTACGACATCCTGACGTGGTCGCTCATCAGCTCCCTCGGCCAAAAGGGACGCAGCCGTGTCCAAGAGGGCGGGCTGCTGACCAGCCGTTGGCTGAACGCGTTATCCACTTTTGCAGGCCGGGCTTTCAAGCGGTACTCCGTCATGGATGCCACCCCCCTGCTACAGTATGTCGTGGAGCAGCTCCAGCAGAACAACTCCACCGACCTCATTGTCTTGGAGCAGATGATCAGCTCCATGGCAGGCATCATTACGGACACCAACTTTAACGATGCTCAGATCCAAGCCATGGCAGGTGGCGAAACCCTCCAATCTCAGACCATCCTGCAGCTACTAGATAAGAGACACGAATCCAAGACGACATCGCGCCGCCTCATGAAATCCCTGACGAGTTCGAAACTTGCTGGCCAGTTGCTGATTGCTATTGCGCAAGAGCGGCTGACGTGCATCTTCAAGGAGTCCGAGGGGGCCGATGAATTGAAGCTCCTAGGAAATATCTTTGATGAGATTCACCGCATCCTCACGCAGTATCTAGATCTGCTCCGCAGCAATCTGTCCGTAAGCGACTTCGACACGTTTGTTCCTGATCTGTCTGCATTGATCCAAGAGTTCGGTATCCAGCCGGAGATTGCGTTCTGGATTCGGCGGCCCAGTTTAGCTTGGAAGATATCAGAAGCCGAACGGGTAATGCAAGAAGAGGAGGAAGTCTCCTCCTCCTCCTCCTCCACCCTGACCAAGGAACATGTCACTATGAATGACAAAGACGTTTCTGTGGATAATAAGGAAGAAGATGGCGCCGTGAAAGCTGAGGAGGCTATGGAGTCGGCGCCGTCACCAAACCCTACCGAACCTATCGAGGAGGATGGGATGGTGATGGTTGAGATTGGGAAGAAACCTACCATGAAGGAGACTGATGATGCCATGGAGGTCGACAAGGAAGAGAATGACGAGCCAGATACTGCGACGGACTTCATCAGTGGCCGCGCTGTCGATAAACCAACAACAACAGCAACAACAACAACAACAACAACAACAACAACTTCTACCGGGCCTTCGACTGCCGATGTACCATTCCCTCCCATGAACCCTGTGATGCGGGATTTGATCGATCAAGTGAGAAATGTGCTCCCGCAGGAGGTATGGTCTGTCGTTGGCTTGCATTTCTATGTCACTTTCTGGCAGCTTTCGCTTTACGACGTGCACATTCCTCAGAAAGCATATGAAGACGAGATTGAGCGCCAGAAGAAGAAAGTCATTGCAATTGGCAACGATCGGTCCGATATCAGTATGGCGGGCACGCAACGGAAAGAAAGAGAGAAGAAGCAGATCACTCAGCTACAGGAACGGATCCTGGAAGAGAACAAGATGCATCTCAAGCTGTACGGCCAGACTAGGACCAAACTGCAGAAGGACAAGGATCGCTGGTTCGCCGGCATGCGGGGCAAACACGACGCCCTAAACGTCGCCCTGCTGGAGCAGTGCTTTCTGCCTCGTCTACTCCTCTCACCCATCGACGCCTTTTACTGCTTCAAAATGCTCAAGTTCCTCCACTCTTCGGGGACCCTGTATTTCCGAACGGTTGGCTTCCTGGACCAACTCTTCCGGGACCAGAGGCTCACGGCCCTCATCTTCCAATGCACGTCCAAGGAAGCCGACAATCTCGGTCGTTTCCTCAATGAGATTCTCCGAGATCTGAGCCGGTGGCATGCAGACAAATCTGTCTACGAGAAGGAAGCCTTCGGAACCAAGAAGGATCTCCCTGGATTTGCCATGGCGGTGGACGCGGAAGGCAAGCCATACACCTGGCTGGATTACGAGAATTTCCGCCGCCTGCTGTACAAATGGCACCGGCTCCTCGCCACCTCGTTGAAGACCTGTCTGAACGGCGGCGAGTACATGCACATCCGCAACGCAATCAGTGTCCTCAAGGCCATTGTTCAATACTTCCCCGCCGTTAATTGGATCGGCCGGGATATGCTGACCAGTGTCAATAACCTGAGCCAAAACGACGAGCGAGACGATGTCAAGACCCCGGCTGCCTCGTTAATCGGGGACCTGAATCGCAGAGAAAAGAAATGGCTCCTGCCACAAGCATTTATGATCGTAAGTCAATTTCCCCTTGATGAAGCTCCAGAACAACATGGCTAACTTTGTCTTGCCCAAGAATGAATCTCCAGCTGGGGATCGTAATGCTGCTGGCAAGCCTCGCACGCCACTGCCCCAGACATCCACTCAGTCTGCCCTCAACGCTGCGGCACCCGAGTTCAAACCTCCAGAGTAGGTGTTCTCGTTCTAATTTTCTATTAATGTTCCATTTGCTAATTCTTTCTTTCTTTTTTTTTTTTCTTAGAGCGAATGGCGTTTCGAAACCGGAAGCCGGTGGGAAAATTGAAGTAGAGGACGGCGAGATTGAGGATGCGAAGATGACAGATGCACCAAGCAAATCTGTTGAAGAAACAAAGCAGGTCTCAATGACAAAACCAGAGACCGGTCCGCAACACGCCGACTGGACTGCTGAAAAGCCTGCGTCGTCTACGGCAATCGAAGGGGGAGGACCGTCTGTCGAGAAACCACCAGTCTCCGAGCTTCAAACCGAACCGGATGTTGCTTCACGTTCCCAGACCTCGCTTTCTTCACCGCGATCGCGGACGAGCTCCCGCCCTCCAGAGCCCAACCGGCATCTTCACCCGTCCAGACGGGCCGAGGTTGACAGGACCTCATCAGGGAACACAAACGTGCGACCTTTGCCCAACCGACCGCTGAGACCGAGTGACGCACGTCCACCGATGCGTCCTGACTTGCTTGAAGATCGACGGGATCGACATTCTGACTATGGTCGAGGCGGGCGCTATGGTGAGCTTGACCACGATCCCACGGGCGATTCGCGCAGCCATGGGCGTCTCAATGACCGCTCTACAGATCGTGACAGGCTAGAGCTGCCGAATCGACCTGGGGATGAATCCTTCCGCGGACCAGCACACCGTGGGGACGGTCGAGGACCACCAAGAGATCCTGACTGGCCAGAGCGACCAGGTCGTCTGCGGCCTCAGTCCGAGCTTTTCCAGGAGCGGACTGCCCGCGACGCACCCGCACCTCTTCGACCCGTATCGTCGACCCATGCAGATCGATCAGATACCAGACGCAGCGAGCACCCTGACCGAGTCTCTTCTTTCAGGGACGGTGATGGCGGCCGACGTGGCGAGCCGTTGCGATCCGACAAGGATGACCGCCGATCTCTCTCTTCTCGCACCGCGACACCCCCGCGAACCGAGCTGTCGAACCGTGCGGAACGATTCGCATCTGACGACCGTCGGTCTGCCAACTATCCACCGCGTCACGATGACCTCCCTACGGGACCCCGTGGCGAGCGGTCTGGACGAGGCGGATTCCAAGATGACCTGGCAGCTTCGGGACCGGACTTGAATCATGGACGGTTGCGTCCTCCTCCAGAACCGCCTCTCGGCAACGAGATTCCCTCGGGCCCTCGAGGCAGGAACATGTCTGGGCGCGGAGCTGGCGGACGCAATGCGTCTGGACCCAGTGGTGCAGGGGGTAACAATAACAATAACAATAATAATAACAACGCCAACAACGCCACAACCACCCCTGGCCCTGCTGCTTCTGAACGTCACCCACCGACGGGGCCATCCAGCCGACCTGGCATGGGGCGCAATGCTCCCGAGGCGTCGTCGACAGGGTCTTCGACGGCGGATAGTAGCGGCATCCATCCCGACCGGCTTAAGGCGATGATGCAAGATCAACACCTACAAGGGCCGCCGCCCCCTCCGTTGTCAGCGGCTCCGCCGTCTGGACCGCGCGGGGGATCATCAGGAGGCCCGTCACCTGTTGTGGCTCGGGGCCCGCCGTCCGGTCCTGGCTTTGGTGAACGAGGACGCGGGGACAAGCGGTTTTCGAGTCTGAATAATGTCCTTCAACAATCTGGTGGGCCATCTGGTGGACCATCTGGTGGACCATCTGAACGTGGAAGTGGTGGCGGTGGAGGGGGTCCTTCAATACGCGGGCGAGGTGCCAATCGACAGTCAGACGGAATGAACGTGTCCTTCTCATCAACGGGTCGACCGCAGACTGCATCGGGAGGTGGGAATCTTGACGAGAGCAACCGTACGTCCAGCCTACCGAACCGACCGGATCTCTTCGCCGGTCGAGCTTCTGGTGGTCTTCCTCCTCATCCCCCGCCTCCTTCATCTTCTTCTACTACTATCCCTACGACTTCTACTTCCCACGCGGATGAAGGTAATCGCGGTCGAGGCCGAATGTCTACTGGTCGGGGCGGAGATATCTTGGACGAAGGCAGTGGCGGTGGTGGTCGGCCGCCTCGCCACTCCGGCTCGTTTCCACATGACCGGGATCGCGACCGAGACCGCGAGCGCCGTGGTGGCGGGGACGACGAGGGTCCACGTGGTAGCAGCCGACGCGAGGATTATCGTGACCGCAACCGGGATTCCCATCGCGACCAGAGTCGACGTGGTGAAGACGTTAGTGGTGGTGGAGGAGGAGGAGGAGGAGGAGGAGGAGGAGATGGAGGACATTCTGATGGACGAGAAAGCGGTTCCCGACGGGGCCCTGGTACTCGCGAGGAGAACCGACGACGTGACCGCCGGGATCGAGATGGAGGAGCAGCAGCAACAACAACAACAGGAGGTAGTGGTGGTCCTGGTGGTCCCGGTGGTAGCTCCGACGCGATGGCGCACAACAACTACGAGAGCAGTGAGGGTCGCCTACGACCTCCGTCATCGCTGGGTGGAGCTCCGCACCCTCCGCCGCCGCCGCCGCCTCCTTCATCTGGCGGAATGGCCGGCGGGGGATTGGAAGATGACCGTCGCTGGGGGGGACGGGATCGCAACCGAGACCGAGAATATAACCGGGATGGGGGAGGAGGCAGCGGGACACCGCACCGCAAACGAGGACGACCGAACGGCGAGGAGAACAGTGCTGGACATACGGGGGGGGCGATACGGGGGGGGAATGACAGCAAACGGCCTCGACGGGGAGGTTAAACCGGAGAATGTCAATGGTCAATGGACAGAATGGTCCGAAATGATCGGTGGATATGATATGTACCCTACTCTCTCTCTCTCTCTCTCTCTCTCTCTTTTCTATTGTTCCATCTCCCAGTTGAGCAGCTTCGCAGCATTCATCGGAGTTTGTCGGGTATCTCAGGTAGTTTAGTGGTACATTGACATTGTGCTATGAGATTAGTATTATTCTATTCATTTTTATATAATATATGGTAGTTTTAACTACTTGTTATAGTTATATATTATACTCACTACTCAGGGTAGACAACCCAGATAACTGTGGTATAAGAACACCTTCACATACCAAGTTATATCGACAGATCGACCGAGAATAATTAGAATTCGACATGAGGAGTATTCCAACAACAGCAGAATCATCAAAATTAAACAGCAATGATAGAATAGATCTCTTAAAATCTGTACCTGGAAACACGGCCCGAGTCTCCGTCGCCGACACTCCGCGTAGAAAGGGGAAAATCCCCAGAAATCCGCCGGCTTCAATTTCTGGCCTCTTCATTATCCGCCCGGGTAATCCTCGGTCAAGCCCATCAATCAATCGACTGCTACAGACAGCGTGAGGGTTGCAGTTCTTGCCAATCAATGCAACTCCCCGCCCCCGCCTTGACGATGAAGGGGGGAGACGATAGACAAATCCACTGTGGTTCTCTGTAGTATCCACCAGAGCTCTCCAGTATTTAACCCTTTATTATCGTCTTCCCATGAGTGTTTGAGAGTGTCTGTGAGAGAGAGAGAGAGCGAGAGAGCGAGTGTATGGGCGACTGTTGTCAGTTGCTGTCTGCTGTCTGCTGTCTGCTGTCTGCTGTCTGCTGTCTGCTGTCTGTCTTATCTTGATTCTCGATCTTACCCATTCCTGGCCTCCACTCCAGTTCATCCTATCGACTATCAAGTCCCTGACTCACAGGACACACATCTCCCATCATGGTGCAGTTGGACGTCGAGACGATCCTCTCGCAGTTGACGTTGGGAGAGAAAGTCGCCCTGACAGCCGGTGAGCAAAGCGTTGTGGGCGTTGACGTCATCCTTTCACCTCTCAATTAGCCTGAATTTCTTCATTAATCCCTGATTCGGGTCTAGGAATCGATTTCTGGCACACGGCGGCCATCGAACGGCTGGGCGTCCCCTCCTTACGCCTGTCCGACGGTCCCAACGGGGTTCGGGGCACTCGCTTCTTCAACGGAGTGCCTGCCGCCTGTTTCCCCTGCGCCACGGCCCTGGGGGCCACCTGGGATACGGAGCTGCTGCACCAGGTCGGCCGGCTGTTGGGGGAAGAGGCGGTCGCCAAGGGCGTCCATGTCCTGCTGGGCCCGACCCTCAACATCCAGCGCTCGCCGCTCGGCGGCCGGGGCTTCGAGTCCTTCTCCGAGGATGGCGTGCTGTCCGGCACCCTGGCGGGCCATTACTGCCGCGGCGTGCAGGAGAAGGGCGTGGCGGCGACCCTCAAGCACTTTGTCTGCAACGACCAGGAACATGAACGGCTGGCCGTCGACACCATCGTCACCGCGCGCGCCCTGCGCGAGATCTACCTGCTGCCCTTCCAGCTGGCCATGCGCATCTGCCAGACTGCCTGCGTCATGACCGCCTACAACAAGATCAACGGCACCCACGTCAGCGAGAACAAGGCCATCATCGACGACATCCTGCGCAGGGAGTGGGCGTGGGATGGCCTGGTCATGAGCGACTGGTTCGGCACCTACTCCACCGCCGACGCCATCCGCGCCGGCCTCGACCTCGAGATGCCGGGCAAGACTCGCTGGCGCGGCGAGGCCCTCGCCCACGCCGTCTCCTCCCGCAAGGTGCCCGAACACATCCTCGACGACCGCGTCCGCCACGTCCTGCGTCTCATCAACTGGCTCGATCGCGCGGGGATCCCCGAGCATGCCCCCGAGAAGGCTCTGAACCGGCCCGAGGACCGGCGGCTGCTCCGCCGCGCCGCCGCCGAGTCCATCGTCCTCCTGAAGAACGAGGGTGACATCCTGCCGCTCAAGAAGGACAGGTCGCTGCTGGTCATCGGGCCCAACGCCAAGCTCGCCGCCTACTGTGGCGGCGGCTCCGCCTCCCTCGATGCCTACTACACCGTGACCCCCTTTGACGGCCTGGTGGCCCAGAGCACCGCCGACGTCCGCTACGTCCAGGGCGTCTACTCGCACAAGGAGCTGCCCCTGTTGGGGCCCTTGCTCAAGACGGCCGACGGCAGGACGGGGTTCTCCTTCCGCGTCTATAACGAGCCGCCCACCGAGGCGAACCGTGAGCTGGTCGACGAGCTGCACCTGGTCTCGTCCAACGGCTTCCTGATGGACTACGTCAACCCCAAGATCAAGTCATTCCTCTTCTATGTTGATATGGAGGGCGACTTCACACCCGAGGAGGACGGCGTCTACGACTTTGGCGTCACCGTCGTGGGCACGGGCAAGCTGCTCATCGACGGCGAGGTGGTGGTCGACAACACCAAGAACCAACGCCAGGGGTCCGCCTTCTTCGGCAACGGCACCGTCGAGGAAATCGGCTCCAAGGAGCTAAAAGCCGGCCAGACATACCGCGTCCTCCTCCAGTTCGGTTCCGCCCCAACCTCCGACATCGACACGCGCGGCATCGTCGTCTTCGGACCGGGGGGTTTTCGGTTCGGCGCCGCCCGTCGCATCACCCAGACCGAACTGATCGCCCAGGCCGTCGATCAAGCCGCCACAGCCGACCAGGTCGTCCTCTTCGCCGGCCTCACCGCCGAATGGGAGACCGAGGGCCACGACCGCGACCACATGGATTTACCTCCCGGCAGCGACGAGCTGATCGCCGCCGTCCTGCGCGTCAAACCCGACGCCGTCATCGTCATCCAGAGCGGCACCCCAGTCACCATGCCCTGGGCACCCGAGGCCAAAGCTCTAGTACAGGCCTGGTTCGGCGGCAACGAGTGCGGCAACGGCATCGCAGACGTGCTTTACGGAGCCGTGAATCCCTCTGCGAAACTGCCCTTGACTTTCCCCGTCCATCTACGCGATAACCCTTCCTACCTGAATTTCGGCTCTGAACGTGGCCGTGTTCTCTACGGCGAAGACGTGTTTGTCGGGTACCGGTTTTACGAGAAGATGCAGCGCGCTCCGCTGTTCCCCTTCGGATACGGTCTTTCATATACTACCTTTTCCCGCTCCAATCTTCGTTTCCAAGTATCACCAGAGCAACAGTCGAGTAACGTCCTTGCAGATGGCGAACCCATCACAGCCTCAGTCACGGTCACGAATACAGGAACCGTGGCAGGCGCGGAAATAGTCCAGCTATGGATCACCCCGCGCAAGGAAGGACCGGGCATCATCCGCCCCGTGCGTGAGCTGAAGGCATTCGACAAGGTGTTTCTGCAGCCGGGCGAGGAAAAGACGGTCCGTCTGGTCGTGGAGAAGAAGCTGGCTACTAGTTTCTGGGATGAGGAGCGCGAAGCATGGGTCTCCGAGGCGGGCACGTATGGTCTTCTCATCACGGGGACGGGAGATCAAATCCTTGAGGATGAATTTGTAGTTAACCGGACGAGATATTGGGTGGGGTTGTAACCATCATCATACACTACTATAGTACTACAGTGTATCACTACATCTTATCATAAAAGCTTAATTCAAGGGTATCAAATCACCACACCATACTCCGCGCCGGAGGGGCCTTTTTCCGCCGCAGGCCAAAAACAGAGAGCTTGCGCATCAGATTCTTCGGAGAGCGCGGCATTTCCAGCGCATCAGCATCAACATCAACATCAACATCAACATCAACATCAACATCAGCATCAGCATCAGCATCAGCATCAGCATCGTCACCGTCTGCATGGACAAGTTCCGGTAAATGTCTAGGGCTCGGTAAAGGAGCCATCCCGAGAGTACTGCATGCGAACCCCTTGCTCGCATCGCCAATCATGCCCGTGCGCATCTTCTCCATCACGGCCCGTTGCAGATCGAGCCGGCGTTGGTCCTCCTCTGCGGCGGTCATGATGTGGACGACCCCGTCGGCGTCGATGATGGCCGCATCTGTTGTTTTTGTGCTAGTCTTTTGTGGTAGTTGTGGAGTGGAGAGGTTCAGGCCCACGACGGTGTCGTGTGTAAATAGATGGGAGGTATGCCGACTGTGTCCCGTGCTGGGCCGCGGGGCGATGCTCAGGTCCTCGATGCGCTTCTTGCGGGAGAGGCGAGACGGGCGCGACAGACTTGGCGTCCGGCACGGCCAGAGCGATGCGTCGGGCGCGAGCAAGACTTCAATATCCCCGTCCGAGTCGGGATTCGAGGCGCAGTCCCGCGGTGTAGGTGGGAATCCAATCTCGCTCGGGGACGTCACCACGTCCAAGCTGGGTGACAGGTAGGCCTCGTCTCCGATCACTGATGGATTCCTAGGTTCGGGTGCATTTTCTTCCTCCGTTGATGCGACGGGCGGCTCGGCTATCAACACTGTTTCGACCGGTCTAGACATTTCATTCTCGACCGAGCCCGGGTCCGACGTCTTGGCCTCCTCCCCCGGCTGCAATTCCATCCCGGAGTCGTGTTTTTCCTTGCGCGAGTCCGTGTCATTTGAGGTGTGGTCATGGCTGTTAGTGTCCGGCTCAAGTAGCACAATAGGTTCTTCTCTTGTATCCATCTCTGTGGGTATCTCTGTGGGAATCGCAGACATCTCTATAGGTATCGCAGACATCGTAGGTATCTCGGCTGGTATCTCGGCTGGTATCTCTGCTGGTATCTCTGCTGGTATGATTCCATTCACATCCCACTCTGCCGCCTTCTCAGGCTCTGCCTTGTCTCCATCAGCTTCCCCTAAATCCAGTCTTCCCGAGTGTCCATCATGGAGAATCGAGAACCGTGACGGACCCCCGGACTCGATGCAGTGGGAGAGGAGCATGCAGGCCTGCCGGACCTGTTCGACGAGCAGCGGCGGGATCTGCTGCCGGTCGATCAGCGGCGACGCAGGTCGCCAGTTGACGGGGGTGTCCTTGAAGTCATAGTACCGGTCGGGGTCTTCGGGGGGGTATTCCATGTATTTCTACTGATTAAAATCCCGCTTGCTGTAAGGGGGTGGAAAAAAAACTTACTTCGGAAGCAAAGGGAAAAGGAAAACGGCGCTTCATCAACAGCCGTTTCTTCACCTTGAGCTCCATCATATTGAATGTAGGAGTTTGAACAGATAACTAGTGGCCACAGGTAGGTAGGCAGGTAGGTAGGCAAGTAGGTAGGCAAGTAGGTAGGTAGGTAGGTAGGAGGTAGAGAAGACCGGGACCCCCAGAAGAAAAAACAATTGTGGTCGACAAGTGGTTACCGGCCAACGTCAGGAATGTCACGCAGATCCAGCAATTCGGTCAGCCGAGTCGACAGGTAGTGATTTGATCCATCAGCATGGAGGCGGTTCAATCTTTTCCCCAGCAGATAGATGGGTGTGCTTTTTCTTTTTGTGTGTGTGTGTTTTTTCCCCTCCCCCCCCAAGAGTATGAGCTGGTCGAGGAGACAGACTGCAGTGTGGCCCAAAGGAGAGGGCGATCTTGGGCGTGTCAAGGTAGATCTCAGAAAGGCCGCGGCCGAGAATTGAGGTGCAGAAGGCACGAGGGAGAGAGCAAGTCATAAATGACGACTGAAAATCAAGGGGGGGGAAACTTGTGGTGTTTGGTTTCTTTGGTGGTGTGGGGTCTAACCTAAGGCCAGAAGGCTAGAACATAGACTAAGGCTAGGTAGTAGTTAGTAGTACCTACTAAGGCAGTTAGTACTAGTTACTTCTAAGTACCTTTAGGTATTTCTAACCACTGGCTACTGACTTTCAGCTTTACTCATAGTTATTGGTATTACTTAGTTACTACCTACATAGTCATACAGTAGTTATACTAATATATGGTCACGAGGTACTGGCAGATGACTAACTCTATACTCAAACAGGTTTATAGTGTAACAGTGGTTGTACAGACTAAGTTGGGCATCATCACCACCACCAAGTACCTCTCCATCCTGTACTCCATACCTGTACTCCATAGTACCCTACCTGTCCTACCTGTACTCCGTACCTGTACCTGTACCTGTACTCCGTACTCTGTACTCTGTACTCCAGAGTTACGGAGTACTCCATAGGTACCTACCTAAGGTACCTAGGTACTCCGTACTGTACGCGTAAAGTACTAGCTCTGCCAAGACCCTGAACTAGACCTAGGACGGCAAGGCGCTAGAACCGTCTAAGTTTTGCCAGGGTTCATATGACCATACTAGTGTGCTTCGGGTTAGCCCCAGGTACAGAGATGGAGTAACAATTGGATGCGAGCCTCGGGTTTACGGAACTATTCCGTACCACATGTAGTACTCTGTACCTAAGGTAACTAAGGTAAGTTACCTAGGAGGCAGTAGTTAATGAAGATCACTATAGGTAACTATTGGCAGGCTCTAACATTGTTATTGTTATTGTTCTAGATTGCGTGGATGTCTACGTGTTCCCCCCCATCCACTGTCCACTGTCCAGACCCTTCCGGTTTCGCTCTGAGACATGACTCAATCAACTCTATCCCCAACAGGGTCTTCTTATAGGTCATCTGCCCGGAGCAAGGCGGCTGTCATAGCGCCGTGTCGGACTAGACATGTTTCAGCAGGGATAGTAGCTACTTATTTAACTAGTACGGAGTACTTCTTTGTGGTAGTTACTCCGTACTCCGTACCCCGTACTTATGGCATAATGCTATACATATAACTAATCTCTTGTCTGTATCTAGTCTATTGACATATTGGAAGCAGTTGGATGCTCCTTGTACCGGTATCCGCGGACTCGATTTCCTCCAAGGAAAAAAAGGAGTGAAACCGCTCTTGAGAGGCAGTTAATGCTCTTCTCTGGTGGCAAGTAAAAAAAAAAAAAAAATGAAAAACTGCATCTCGTCGACTGACTTCCCCTTGGGGGGGTTTTTTTTTTTTTTTTTCTTTTCTTTCGCCACCCATAGTTTGGCACGTGAGCCTGGCACAGCTGCCGGCGCTGCGCTGGACGCAGGGCGGGGAAGCGTCCGGGCCGAGCAGGATAAATATCCTGTCTGCGCAAGGACGACGCGAACGTACGCCGATCCTTTCTTTCTTCTCGCTTCTTACCAAGCGGTGATATCTTCAACCTCTGCCTCACCGAACGTGCTGCTCTTGGTTATCTGGTTGACTCCATCGACGTATGCGTCGTCTTCCAGGCCGCTCTTCGCCATCATGTCGGGCAGAACCTCCCGGAAGAACTCGAGGATGTAGCGGTTGACCTGTTCGAACTGCAACAGGAAAGCGTCGTGGCCCTCGGGACTCTCGATGCGCTTGAGTCGCGAGTCGGGAATACCCGCGGCGATCTCTTGCTGTTCCTCAAACGTGAAGAGGCCGTCTGACTCGATGCCCAGCACCAGGGCTGGCTGCTCGATCTTCGACAGCGCTTCCCGCACGGGCTCCTTGGACTCGGGACTGGCGCGATGGCGCGAGACGTCGTGGGTGTCGAGCTTTCGAGTGATGGCGATGTAGCAGTTCGCATCGAACCGCTTTACAAACTTGTCGCCCTGGTAGCGAAGATACGATTGGGCGGAGAAGTACGTCGGTAGCCTCTTCCGGCCATCCTGTCCGTTCTGGGCCGGCGCCGCAAAGGTCTTGGCCCCGGTGAACTGGGGGTCCGTAAACTGTAGCCCTGCCGGAGGCGTTTGCGACGGAACAGGCGATCCTGGCTGGCTCGACGGCCGCGACGGATTGCCACCCTTGTGCCCATCGTTGTGAATCACCCAGTGCTCGTTTGGCGGGGTGGGTAATTTTTCAGTTCCGTTGATGTTCTGTCGCTTCGAAGGGTCGGGGACATTTCTGCCGAAGCGCGACTCGAACGAATTGCGACTGCGGTAGGTGAGCAGTGCGGACATCCTAGCAGCTCCGAGGCCGGCCGCCGGAGGATCGTCAAAAGGATAGTAACCGTCTTCGTATTTGGGGTCGCTGTAGATACTCTGTCGCTGGGCTTCCCCCCAGCTGATGCACCAGGCAGAGTGTCGCGGGGAGGTGGCAATGGGAACAATCGCCCGAACATACTCCTTACCAAAGTAGGCATATTCCAGAGTCAACATGCCGCCCATGGAGCCGCCAACCACCGCGGCAATCTGCTTCACGCCGAGGTCATCCAAAACGATCTTGTGAATGCTAAAAAAACGTCAGCTGCCTCTGCTTATTATGAGTAATAATTCAGAAGGGGCTTTCTTTTTCTCACTTCACATCATCTCGAACAGTGGTCAAGGGAAACTCCGGTCCATAGAGCCCTTTGCTCGAGTCGCCGTCCTTGTACGTGACCGCACTAGCACTCCCATACGGGCTCCCCAAACTGTTCAAACACACCACAAAGAACCGAGACAGATCGAACGCCTGGCCAGGGCCCCCAAGCAGCGGCCCCCACCAGTCGGCCACATCTGCACTCCCACTCAGGGCATGGCAGATCACGAGCACGTTGTCGCCGTTCGGTGACAGTTTTCCACGCGTGGTATACGCCACAGGGACGTTGTACAGCGTCACCCCGGACTCGAGCGTAAACTCGGGGACAATAGCAAACGATTGTGACGGAATGAGCTGTGAAAACGGGTTCTCAGGCTGCGAGTCGACCCTCTCTACGGGATTTAGTAGCCGTTCACAGTGGAGCGGGGGGGGGGTGAGGGGAGGGGGAGAAACACTGACCGAGTCGAGCAGCTTGTGTAACACCACTTCCAGTAGCCATTTGTAACCGAGGAAAGAAACCGACCGGGACTTTGAAAGGAAATTCAGTCTATACAAGGCAGGAGATGATCTGAGTGACAAAGCATTAGATTAGACTGACTGCTCCTTCCGAACCCCGCCACGAGAGGTTTTCTATAGGCGGCGCCGGGGGCGGTGAGTCACAGATTTTAGCTGGCAGTTTCACACAGACTAGTACTGAATAGGACTAGAGCTGGAACCCATTCCACTATACCGAATGCGGGTGTCTGGAGAAAGACAGCCCGCTAGTCCAGAACAGGGCTAGCGCATACTCCCTCCCAAGCTCCAGCCCAACCTTCACTTGCTGGACGCGGTCGCACGACACGACAGAAAGACTCTACAATCGATGTGACAGAGGATGGCTACAGCAGTTGTGAATTGACTTGAACTACGCGACAATCCGATTCCCTTTAATTCTCTCTTTTTGGCTTTCTGGAGACTGCGCTTCGACTATGGCCGATTATTCACAATGGAAGGTCACCGATCTAAAGGCGGAGTTGAAGCGACGCGGTATTCCGCAGACTGGCCTGAGATTGAAGCAGAATTTCGTCGACCGACTGATTGAGGACGATGCAAATTCCGGACCGGGTGGTGTAGAGGAGGCCCAGGCGAAGAGCGATGACCAAGCCGAACCGAAGACGAGCGATGCGCCCGATGGAGAAGGAGCTCAGACCGATAGTCAGGAAGCTGCGCCGGAAGGTGTCGTCGCTAAGGAACCGAGACAAACAGAGGAGGATGTGACGGGAAAGCCCGAGGACAATGATCAAAAGGAGGAGGAGGAGGAGGCATCCGAGCATCCGCCGGATAAGACAGCTGCGTCGCCGGTGCAAGAGAAGGAGGTTGAACCTGCTGGACCGGAAATGCCTCCTGCAGCCGCAGAGCCAGTCACTGAAGCCCCCAAGGCTACTGAGGATTCTGCGATTGCCGACGTCCAGCCAGAGACGGCTGATGGGGGGGAATCGCGTGCTGAAGAGGCCGGGAGGACAGGTACACAGGTTTCAGAAACCAATACTGGACTGTCAACACCGCTGCCAATGGAAGAAGTGCTTGAAGACGCTCGCAAGCGGAAACGCCGCAGTCCAAGTCCTGTTCCAACACCACGGACTCTTGCGATCAAGAGAGCTAGGATTGAAGAAAAGGACGAGGATCCTCAAGTAAACTTGAAGGAAGATGCTAGCGTCGAGGAGACCTTTCCAGTGGAGGATGCTCAGCCAACCTCCGAGCCTCGGGAAAAGGAGGCCTCTGAGGAACGGGACGTCCCGAGACGACCCTCGGTTACAGAAGATGCGCGCTTAAAGAAACAGGATGCACGGTTCAAGGGTCTTTTTGCTGCAACAGAGCGAGAGCCGACACGTCCTACATCTCCGCCGGCGGATGCGGGAACGGGCGATGCAGAGGTGGAGGCAGCGCTGCATGTGGCAACAGCAGCGCTCTATATCGATGGCTTGATGCGGCCCCTCCAACCCAATGGTCTCCGAAACCATCTGGTCAATCTCGCGTCCGCACCGGGAACCTCGCCGAACCCAGACGTGATTCTGCATTTCTACCTAGACCAGATCAAAACCCACTGCTTTGCCACCTTTGCCAGCGTTTCGGCCGCCTCGCGCGTCCGGTCTGCTCTACATGGGACCGTCTGGCCGAATGAACGCAACCGAAAAGTCCTCTTTGCCGATTTTGTTCCAGAGACGCAGGCACAGAAATGGGTCGATACCGAGGAGCAAGCCCAACGGCGCGGCGGGTCGCTCCTGCGTTGGATCGTCAAGTACGAGCCCACGGATCATGGCGTCGAAGCCGTTCACCAGGAAGTCGATGCCAGAGCCGCGGCAGGGATCAATCAACCGCGCAATCGAGACCAGTTAGCAGCCCCTCTCGCACCTCCCACTGGACCTCGGGGCAGCATCAGCCAGCGAGACCGCCGACCGAGTACCCTGCCAGCGCCCAGCGAGCCCTCTTCGCGGCCAGGACAAGGCTTCAAAGCGCTGGACGATCTATTCTCCTACACCAAAACCAAGCCTAAGCTATACTACCTCCCGGTGGCCCGCGAGGTGGCCGACCGGCGACTGGATCGGTTCGACGAACTTGTACGTAAGGGGTCGTTCCCCCGCCATGGAGGCGATGAGATGCGACGGATCTCTTTCGAGGACACCGATCAGTTTGTGGACAATGGACCTGAATACCCTGATTTCGGCCAGCGCAACCGCCCTCGCCGACGCGGTCGTGGTGGTGGTGGTCTAGGAAGCTCGTGGCGAGGTCGAGACTGAGATACGTCAATGACCAACCAAAAATCACGCTTCTTTTGTATTTCTATGGTGTCCTTACAGAATAGTTCTCTATCAAAATCTATAGTCTCGACGCGTGGCCTGTCTTGTCTCCGCCTCGGCCTGTTTTACGCGGCCTATGGCTTAACAGTAGCACCTAGGTAGGTAACTAACTACTAGGTAGGTACCTAAATAAATAATTAACCAGTTAATAACCATAACAGTACTGCGTAGAGAAAGAAGTAGTAAGAAAAGTCCATTGTGATTAGGTACTCCATAGTAGGTCTGTGGCATCCTGGGAACTTCGATGACACCAATAATAACGATTAAGCATACTCCCTAGTCCATGATTCTGATCATGACCATTATTAAGGCCAATTGGCCATAATTCACCACAGACTCAGGCATGGATCGACAATAAGACAGCGGATCTTCAACACACACCAACCAGAGAAACAGCGACGACAGGAATGGGGCTGGACAAAGAGGCCCCGTCGCAGCCAAGACGCTGACACGACTCAATGGAGTCGAAGAATCGTAATAATGCGGGCAGTGCAACGGATCCTCAGCGCATACTTTTTGGCCCTTTGTTATGATAAATATACGGAGCACCCTCACAGCCACAATCGGGTGGACTCTGCGAGTCCTGTCATTAACTACCAACGTAGTTATTTCCTTCTCTTCAGTCTTTAGGCATCCAATGTATGCCGTACTGCCCTTTCCCAGGGATTTTCTGTTCTGCTCCGTATCAAGTATCCTGAGATCCTCTGTAGCTATACTTCTCCTCCTTACCTTAAGTTGTAGTGGACAGCTGGTTCCCCTTTTTGCGCCTGTACCTGAATCAACAGCGTGCATAACAAGAGGTGGTTGACACCCCTCTCGAGACTTTGGAAACACCTAGCCAGTCCATGGTTCCTCCTGTGTCAGCATTCCATGTTCGTGCAGGAATAGGTAATAGGTAATAACTAGGTATTGACCAAGTATCTCCTACTTACCTACTACCTCCAACATTTAGCTCAGCTTACGCTTACTTCGCACCTCGTGGCTGGGATAAGATAGACGAGCGAAGCCCGTGATCTTGGCGCTTTGTCGGCGTCTCGCTCAGTTCGCCCACCTCCACGCAACGCTCCTTTAATTCCTCGTCGCTATTGTCGTCGTCCGCTCTTTTTTTTTTTCTTTTTGGAAAGAATTCGTGTTTTTTTCTTCTTTCTGTTCTTCCGGGTCTCCGTGTTAATTCTTCTGGATTATCGTTGATTTCCCCATCTACTCCAGTCAGCGATCGTAATCGCTGCGTTGAGGGAGCCAGGATGGGCTGGCCGGTGTGCAATTCGACGCTGGAGAATGAATCAAGTACGTACCTCTCTTTTTTTTTTGTGTGGGTGAGTATGGAACATAGAGAAACAGGCTGACGTTCTTCTGAATATAGTCAGCGAGACTCCTCTCTGGACCGATGGCCTCACCTACCATAAACTTAGTGTGCTCATCGGCCTCGCGCTGGGCATCTTCTCGGTCGTCGTCTCCGGCGGCCTGATTATGTTGCATGCGACGCATTATAGCAAACCCACCGAGCAAAGATAGTATGTGGTCTCTATGGGAGATGATGAAGCAGCTTTTTTCCCCCTTCTTTTGCTGATGCGGTGGCAGTATTATTCGGATTCTGTTCATGGTGCCCATCTACTCGCTCGTCGCCTTCTTGTCTCTCTACTACTACCGCGATGCCGTCTATTACGAAGTCCTGGGCGACTGTTACGAGGCCTTTGCCATCTCTGCCTTCTTCACGCTGCTGTGCCAGTATATCGCGCCCGATCTCCATTCGCAAAAAGAATACTTTCGCGGCATCAAGCCCAAACAGTGGGTTTGGCCCATCCCGTGGCTTCAGAGGTGTTGGGGGGGAGAAAACGGCATCTGGAGGATACCGCGCAGTGGATTGACGTGGTTCAATGTGAGGGGAAACAAAAAAACCGAGCTACTACTCAACTGGATTCGAGGTTGATTTTCTCTCTAGGTGATCTGGGCCGGGGTCTTCCAGTACTGTTTTCTACGAGTCCTGATGACTATCGTCGCAGTCGTCACGCAAGCGTTCAATGTCTACTGCGAGGAATCTCTCAACCCGGCCTTTTCGCATATTTGGGTATGTTCCGTCTTATCTGGACGGGTGCTTGATTACCGTCTCTAATACATGTCTCCTTCTAGGTTCTGTGCATCGAGTCAGTCTGTGTTACGATCGCCATGTACTGCCTGATCCAGTTCTATATCCAAGTCATGAATGACATTGCGCAATACGAACCTCTGCTCAAGATTGTTTCCATCAAGCTCGTCATTTTCCTGTCCTTCTGGCAATCGGTATGTTTTATATTACCTAGCAAACGAAAAAAAAAAGAAAGAAAGAAAGAAAGTAGACCATTTCCATCCTTCTAACCGCGCTTCACAGACCGTGATCTCCTTCCTGGTTTCAGCAGGGGCGGTAAAGGCTTCAAAGACCATCCAAATGCAGGATCTGAAAGTGGGAATCCCCAATCTTCTGATCGCCATCGAAATGGCCATCTTTGCCGTCCTCCACTGGTGGGCCTTCCCTTGGAGGCCATACGTTTCGGGCCACCCGAATGGCAGCGAGGTTACCGATCTGTACGGCAACGGGCATGTGGTTTACCAGGGCGGCTTATTCGGTATGAAGGCGCTTGTGGACGCCAGCAACCCTTGGGATCTGTTCAAGGCTACTGGCCGTGGATTCCGGTGGCTATTTGTTGGCCGTAAGCGGCGGACGATGGATCCCAGCTACCAAAACCAGAGTGACTCGATCAGTCTGAAACCAGCCGAATCCGCCTCCGAGACGAATCTTGCCAACTCTGGGGTGACGGCGTACGGGGGTGCCGGCATGTCCGCCGCACAGAGAAGCCGATATGGTACCTCTCCTCCAAACGAAGAAGGCGAGGTGTTGCTGGCGCACGCGCAGCCCAACCCGACCTCGTACTCGATTCAGTCAACGGGGGATCTTGGAATGGTTCCTCAGTCGTACGACAGCGACCGGTTCTACTCCAACAGTTTCGGCAACGATTCCGGCATGCTGGGGCCAGGCTCTCACTCTTCACATCCGTACTCGCCCTACCAGGACACATTTCACAGTCCTAGTCCTAGCCCCTATCTGCCACCGGCGGATGATCCATACCATCACCATCCATACAGCCAGGAACAGATCCCCGAACAGGAAATCGGGATAGCCACCACCACTCCTACTATTACTACTACTACTACTACCACCACCGCCTACCCCCGAGACACGCTCCTCCAAGAACACCAACTACACATCCCCATGCCATTGGCATATATCCCCCCTCCCTCTACATCACCATCTTCGCCAGATGATCACAGCCCGAGCAGCGACGAACGGCGATAACCACGAAAATATTCACCCCCCTTTCTTCTCCCCCCTACTACCTATCTACTTTTGATGTCGCCAATGAACTCCCAAATAGGGCAATTTACCTTACCAATTGCAAGTCTTGTATATTTCAAACCTTTCCCGCATTGTTTTTCTTCTCTTGTCTTTCCCTTTCACTTTCCAGTCTAACGCGCTGGTCTTTGTCCATGGTATACCCGCCTTGTTCTGGAGGCTTTTTTTTTCTTCTCTTCTTCCTCTTTTCTGACTGTGATATCCAGCCTGAAGATTTATTCTCTTCTTCCTGCTCTGAGAGCAGAACTTTTTTTTCCATTCCATTTTCTTTTTTTTTACCTAATGGAACCTTCCATTGTGGCTCATCTTTTTCTAATTTTAACGCCCATGTCTGGGTGGTTTTATTAGAAGTTACAGTGCTAGTACGGCATTAAAAACTCAGAACCAGGCCCTCTTGTTTTTTTTTCTGTCCATAGAAGAAAAAGAGAGGATCAATGAACTCATGAAGATTATGCGTCCACTGAATAATATACTTGTAAACCCTGGTTGAATCTATTGTTTTTCATTTCGTACGGTAGTCCGTAGTTTTATCAACTGGTCAAGAATCGTCATGGGTCATGATCATCGTTGATTTCAAAAAAGAAAGAAAGAAAGAGAAATTAGCTTCTGTTTCTTTCAATCAACGTACATCCCGCCGACATTCCCGCTCCCGCCCGTCGAGTACGGATTCTGCAGCCGGGTCTGCATGGCGGCCATCTGCGACTTGCGGGACGCAATGTTCTGGCGCGTATTCTGCACGATGGCGGACTTGCGGCCGAGCTCGCGCATGCTCTTGATGCCCTGGCCGAGTTGGCCAAGAAGCGAGACGAGTAGGACGTCGTTGGTCTGGGCGAGTGACTCGGCGGTGAACCCGCTCTGCTCGCCTGGACTCAGGAGGGAGAGATGTGCGAGGAGGGAATTAATCTCCCGTAGGATGGGGTGGGAAAGTGGGGGCATGGTAGGGTCCCTTGGCGGCGAGGATTGCTTCTGATCGGCGGATCCAGGGGGGGGGGTGGTGGTGGTGGTGGAAGAGATATTCGACAGGTACGCTTTGATGAGCGAGATGCGGGATTCCAGCATTCGAATAGCGTTTAGTCGAGTGTTGAGGCTGGCAATCACTGACAATAGTTAATTTAAATGAGCGGGTTTCTTTTTGGAAAAAAAAATCCAAGGAAAGGTCCGACGTACTCTCTTCCTCCTCCTCGGTGAGTACACCGACATTACTCCTGTCGTCATCTGCGCTGCTCTCGTTTTTCTTGCCTAATGACGACGACGACGCCGCGTTCCCACCGCCCTGAGCAATATGCTCGATGCCGATCATCTCGGCCTCGCCAGTCTCAACCGTATACGGCAGTTCCTGGAACCGAATCTGGAGGGAGGGTTCCTCGCCGTCCACCTGCATTGTCCGGTCGCCATCCGCCGCACGTTCGCTATCGAGACCACCTTCGTAGATTGTGATGGGAAGCTTTCCTCCCCTTTCTGAAGCCGACTGGAGCTGCGATGGATGGAATGCAAGGAAAACTGCCGACTCATTGTAGTCTTGGAGGACCTGTCGTTGGATCGGAATATGAGAGGAGTCCGGGCCGGTTGGGGGAGCGGTCGACCACCACCCCACGAGATCAAGGGCAGGCTCTTTGTGTACATCCTTCACTAAATACCGTTTATCAGTATATTGCAAGAAGACATTGTAATCCTTCTCAACCGAGTCCAGGGCTCTCCGTCTTACATTGCTTCAGCCTCTCGTCAAACCATGGCTGCGAGAGTAGTAGCTCTCCATTTGGTCCGCTGACAACTTTGCACTCAAAAGCATGCTCTAATGATATTTCCCGGCCGTTCTGCTGGCCAAGCAGAGCGCCAATCACCGGGCCTTGCTGTTTTCGCGCAGCATGTCGTGTGAGATGGTCAGAGACTGAGAGAAGAACCAGAGGGTGAAGCTGGATATGTAGCCCAGAATCAGACGTGGTCTGCGAGACATATGCAATTGATGGGTCGGCCATGATAGTTTCTAGAGTTCTGGAGGTTCTCTAGATCTGCTGGGTAGAAGGATTGCGATAAAAGTTGCTGTATAGGCAAGTGATGATGATATAATGAGTGTTGTCACTTCGTCGAGGTGTTTGCTTTGTTTGCATATAAACTTCCCCGCTGGTATATATCTACATTTACTTTCTTTCTTTCTTTCTTTCTTTCCTCCTACCATAACTTGTTGTGGTGCGGTAGATCAATAATAACTCAAAAGATGGCGGTTCCAGCTTCATTTGCTGCTGTTAAGACTCATCTTGAGCAAATACAGCGCACTCCTCCCACCGCTCTCGACATACCCCTCCTGGAGAAGCTGAAGGCAGAGCTTACGCAGAGTACAGACAGCGGGGTTTCCGGTACTCTTCTAGTGCAGATTACCCAGATCCTGCCCGCTCTACAGGAGGACCCTACTCCAGTCACAACGCTTGGGATCCGTGCGGCTGAATACCTTACCTTCGCGGATCTCCGCTCCGTGAATCCTCCCGTGGACTTCATCGCGGGCCTCAAGGCCCCATCGCCACCGGTCAACCTGCTTGCTCTGTCTTTGCTGGGCAAGGCAGGCCAGGTTCCAAGTGATGCGGCTATTGTTGCAGGAGAGCCGGTGCTGGTGGCTTCTCTGATCGAGCTCTGGCTGTCCACGTCCTCCTCGACGGTGGCCCAGGCTGCTTTTGATACCATCTGGGCACTTTTGAAAGTCGACCTTGCTACTCCCTTTGAAAATGATGAAGCTGGCCAAGAAAGCCAAAGATCGGGTCCGGGACAAGGTCTAATGTGGCGACGAGTGTTTGCCGATAAGGATGTCTACGGTTTCTTGTTCGCTTCTTGCAGTTTTGGAGCCGATGGCCCAGGACACATGTCAAAACGTGAGAAGACGCTGGCGCAAGGCAGGTTGATGGAGTTTCTGTTGAAGGCCGGTCGACTACGCTGGGACCTTGTCACGACTTCTCAGGTTCCAGAGGTGGAGGCTAGGTATCGAACCAGCAGTCTGCTGTACTTTGCAGCTTGCCAAATGGTGGACACAAGCGATGTGCTGATGCACATGACTCTACTGAATTTTCTTCGCGGTTTACTCGAGATCGACGCGCCCGGACTCGAGATGAAAACTGTTGTTCACTCTGCCTCGAGTTTCTCTTCTCCCGCGCTAGACTTTCTGGTTGAGCAGAAGCTTCATTCGAGAGTCGTGAGCTACTATCTCGAGGAATCAAGACTGGATCCTGTCGATCTAAATTATCTTTCCGGGCCGATCATGGCGTACGTGGCACAATATGCAGAACTATACCCCAACCACCTCCTTCAGAGCCCGCAACCACTTTTGGACGGGATCTTGTCACGCATAAATCAAGCTCTAGAGATGTCGCCTGCGAGGTGGGCACATGGGCCTGTTCCTGCCGGTCACCTCGCCGTTCTCTCTTCTCTACCCCGGGTTTTACTTGTGGAAGCCGGCCGACGCCCCGGCAATCCCTTTCTGGCTCTCCCTACAAGCCCTCCATGTAAAGAGGTATTGGAGGCTCTGGCAAAGATTCTACACGGGCCGCCAAAACCGAAAGAAAGCCAGGTGGTGGAATTGAGTATGTCCGGTCAGACTCCAACAGACTGGCACAGGGAAGCTGCAGCGGCACGGGCACTCTACTTCATCTACCTGAACAACAATGCCAGTCTCTGGGCGAATGTCGTAACCGCAGCTGATGTCCTGGCTATGAAAGATGTCTCTTTATCGGCTATAGCGCTCATGAAAGCCATCGTCACGGCAAATTGGCATGTCCTTCTGACGGAATTAATACAGTCACAGTCAAGTCAGCGGAATTTCTCAATCCCGTCAGAGACCGACTTGGAAAGAATGGCTCCTGAATCTCAGAGAGTACTTCCATCTTCGGGAGTGTGGGCTATTCTCACCCCTCCAGCATTGACTACTCTGCTTCCATACCTCTTTAAACCGCCACGGTCGTACGCCGAGTTCGCTGGTGGTGGGGCTGGAGATGCCGAGAATGCGGTGTGGAAGATCGCCACTGCCAAGTACGAGGTTCTAGTTGCTTTGTACGACCGCTTGAAGGAGAATACCGCGCAGGTGGAGGGCTTTGAGGATATCGTACGGACCTTGAGGCAGCGTGTGAGCGAGGGGCCATGGGGGCCTGTAACTCAAACGGGGAGCCGAGTGGATGCTATTGGGATGTAACTCTTTAATATTTCCCATAATACATCTTATGAATGCATGACATACCTATTCCAACACCAATTTCTTTAGAAATAAGATCTGATCCCTGTCGTTTTGTCTTCGATAGTGAGCGATATGCGGGGTAAGCCCTTTGGGAAGGCGGTGAACGCAGTCTTGACTCCAACGGAACAATTTTCTCTCTGCCGACATGTCGCCGACCCTCGAAGTTGCGTGTGTCTCTCCGACTTCAGAAGGGACCCGATGACCAGCTGATAATTACTACCTTTTGGCCCTTCTATCAGTATGTCGCGCGCGGGAGCAAAGAAGGGCAGGAGACTTCCCGGTGCTGAATTCAGCTGGGACGCCGATCCGGGGGGGGAAGCAGATACGGCGCCGACTCCATTGTTTCCTGTAAGTTCGATGATCTTTGAAAAAAAGAAATATGTCCTCAAACTGACAGTGAAATCAAGAAATACTCTGTCCCCCCAGCTCGCCTCTTATCGGCCCGTGAACAGCTCCAGGTTGACCAGTACCGTGAGCTCCGCGAACGACACCACGAAGGGCCGTATTACTCTGTTCTGGATGTTGCCGCGTCGGCGGCGAGAAAAGGCAGCGCGGCGCGTGCGCACTTTGATCCGTTCCACGGCATGCCCTCGTACTCGAGGCGGTATCAGAAGAAGAAGCGGGCGCTCCCCCGGCTCCAGGGGCGGACCTACGGTAATTACCTCATTTCATATGTTCTTACAGTTTTACCATACTTTTTATAAGAGCGCTATCTGAGACATAAATTAGTGATGAAGTTCTTCCCTCGGGAGTTATGGAGCACCATCCAGCCAAGTTTCAAAGGCGACGGAGCAGGACTCGACTTCCCTGTAACGAAGATCAGCTTCAAGCGCGGTTTCGAGGATGACGACGAGGAGGAAGAAGAGGACGCAGCGAAGCGTCGACGACGCACCGATGGAGAAGAAGGGGAGGACGACGAGGCTGCCGAACGGGACGAGGAAGCGGACCGAGAGCTGCTGGAGGACGATGAAGATGCAGAGGAGGAAATCGTCGACGATGACTTTGAGGAAGACGATGATGAGATGGGTGGCGACTACAACGCGGAACAGTACTTTGACGGCGGAGACGACGAGTACGGTGAAGATGGATTCGGCGACGGCGGCGGCGGCGGTGGCGGCGGTGACGAGGATGTCTATTAGCATGATACCCATAGATATTTTTCCCCTATTTCAGGTTGAATTGCTTATTCGTAGAACAGTAGTTCCATTTTCTTCACCACTTCACCACTTCGCCATATATCTCCCTGTCTAGTCAGCCATCTCGAGGCTTCATCTCTCTCCACTTCCATAACAACTGGCAATGGCCAACACACTCTCATTGACCATCTCTATTTAATCAAAAGGCTTAAGCAGATATTTTTAAACACGAGGGGAAAAAAAAGAATCAACCATGACGTCATCGGGCCGAGACCCAGCAGATTGTTATCAACGGAGGGGCCGTTTTTTCACCCGGTAAAGAAGAGTCACAAACGACGGCTAGGATTGCACGATTCCCTGGGCTCCCAGCATGAGCACGACCGGCCCCTCTCCGCGGACGCGGTCTGCCCTCATCCTCTACGGATCGGAGACTGGCAATTCACAGGAGGTGGCGGAGGAGCTGGGTGCTCTGGCAGAGCGACTGCATTTTACGACGCATGTGGCGGAGCTGGACAGCATCAAAGTGGTAGGAAGAGAGAGATCCTAGGAAACTGCATTGGGAAACAGGGAGGAAATATTGATTGTACAATTTATGCTAGGGTGCCCTCCATACTTACACTTTGACGGTCTTTGTGGTCTCGACGACTGGCCAGGGCGATTTCCCCGCCAACGCAAGGTCGTTCTGGAGGTCGTTGCTCCTGAAGCGGCTGCCGGGGACATTTCTCAGTGGTGTGCGATTCACGCTGTTTGGACTGGGGGACAGCTCGTATCCAAAGTGTGTCTACTGCAATCCTCACTCATGGTGCTTGGTTCTTATTACTTTTTTTCGCCCTTGTTTCTCAGGTTCAATTGGGCAGCTAGAAAGCTTTACAAACGATTGCTGCAGCTGGGCGCCCAGCAGACATTCCGGATCGCAGAGGCGGACCAGCAACATCCAGAGGGGTAGGCAGTCCTTTCTTTATATATATATATATAGGCTTGTGTTTAATACAGGTCTACAGATTAGAAGGCACCTATATACCGTGGTCAGTCGACTTTAGAGCCCATCTGTTAGCGAGATATCCATTGCCTGTGGGCAAGCGGCCGATACCGGACGAGGTGCCTCTGCCACCCAAATGGGTTCTCAAAGAGCCTACGGGGGAGACAGAAAGCGTTACAGAAGAGAAGCCGAAACCACTTGAGAACGACTCTAGTGAGCCTGGCGTGGACCGTCTCGACCACGACGTTCGACCGATCCCCCACAGTTTCACAGCCACGCTCTTGCAGAACACACGGGTGACCCCGTCGACACACTGGCAAGATGTCCGCCATATTGCCTTCTCTGTTCCGACGCCGCTCGCCTATGGACCTGGAGATATGATTGCGATCATGCCCAAGAACTTCGCCGAGGACGTGCAGGCCCTAGTCGACCGATTGGGTTGGGCCGAACACGCGGATAAGCTGGTTTCACTGGTGCCGGGCGACGGCCTCCCTGCCCATGACGAGCTTCCGGCGCCTCCAATCCCCGATCTTGGCCGGTACCCCCGGCTGACGCTGCGTGCACTCCTCACAGACTACCTTGACATCCGCGCGATCCCCCGACGCTCGTTCTTCTCGAACATCTCCCACTATACAAGTGACGAACGGCACCAGGAGCGACTGTTGGAGTTCACCAAGCCGGACTTCCTTGATGACTTTTGGGACTATACTACCCGTCCGCGACGCAGCATCATCGAGGTACTGCAGGAGTTCCATAGCGTACAGATCCCCTGGCAACACGCGGTGTCAGTCTTCCCTGTCCTGCGCGCCCGACAGTTCAGTATCGCCAGCGGGGGGGCATTGAAACGGATGACAGATGGGAGCACACGCTTCGAGCTGCTGGTTGCGATCGTCAAGTACCGTACGGTGATCAAGAAGATCCGTGAAGGGGTGTGCACCAGATACCTCTCGGTTCTACGGCCGGGCAGCACGATGCAGGTCCAGCTGCAGCGCGGGGGGCTCAATTCTTCGACCGGCCAGCTCCTGGGCCCGACGGTGCTGATTGGGCCCGGGACAGGTGTGGCCCCGTTGCGGTCTATGTTATGGGAGAAAGCAGACCAGCAGCCCACAATAGGTGGTGGCAACGACGACGACGACGACGGCTACGGGCAGGCAGTCCTGGTCTTCGGCGGCCGCAACCGCGAGGCCGACTACTTCTTCGCCGACGAATGGACGCAGCTGGCGGCAACGATGCCGCTGCAGGTCATCACGGCCTTCTCGCGCGACCAGCCGCAGAAGGTGTACGTGCAGGACGCGATCCGGGAGCACGCGAGCGAGGTCTTCCGCCTCCTGCACGAGCTCAACGGGTCGGTCTACATCTGCGGGTCGTCGGGTAGCATGCCCCGGGCAGTGCGGGAAGCCCTGGTAGATGCCTTCCAGCACCGGGGGGAATTCAGCAGGGAAGACGCCGAAGAGTATCTGCTTAAGATGGAGAAAGTGGGGAGATACAAGCAGGAGACGTGGTAAAACACTGGCTTGTAGATGAATCACGATAACCATAAACCATACTCCACCTTCTATAAAGAGAGGTTTTCTATCATCTATTCACCTATTAATCTTCAAGAACGTACTACATAGTTAATTGTTCAATCTCACATTATTACTTGCAGTACCTCGGTTGTAGAGGGCTACACTCGGACCACGGCGGGCCGAAGCAACACGAAAGCTTGCTCCGAGATCGTCCTCCTCACCTGCCCGGACCACCTCCTCTATTCTCGCGTGCGCGCTGCGATACCATTCTTCTGATTACCGTTCCTGTTTCTTGTTTATTGAAATCATAATTGATATTATAGATCACCATGGCGAGCGGCTTACGGATATTGGTGCCTGTGAAGCGGGTGATTGACTACGCGGTGAGTTTGGAAAAGAAGAAGAGCGAAAAGGACAGGAAGAGCGGATAAGATAGGAGAGACGAGACGAGAAGAGAAGAGAAGAGAAGAGAAGAGGAGCTGAAAGAAGAGGAGACTGATTGATGATGATAGATCAAACCTCGCATCAACAAGACACAGACGGGCGTTGAGACGGCGGGAGTGAAGCACTCGCTCAACCCGTTCGACGAGCTCTCGGTGGAAGAGGCGGTGCGGCTGCGCGAGCGCAAGGGTCCGATGAAGGTGGAGAACATCCTGGCGCTGTCGGCGGGGGGACCCAAATGCACCGACACCCTGCGGACGGCGATGGCGATGGGGGCCGATCGGGCGTTTCACGTGGAGGTGCCGGAGAAGGACGGTGCTCTGGAGCCGCTGACGGTGGCTAAGATGCTGCGCGGGGTGGTGCAGGCCGAACAGATCAACCTGGTGGTGCTGGGCAAGCAGGCCATCGACGGCGACCAGGGCCAGACGGGTCAGATGCTGGCGGGCCTGCTGGGGTGGCCGCAGGCGACGCAGGCGAGTCGGGTGGAAATCAAAGACGACCAGGGCACGATCGAGGTGACGCGCGAGGTCGACGGGGGCGTCGAGACGCTGCGCACGCGGCTGCCCATGGTGATCACGACGGACCTGCGCCTCAACGAGCCGCGGTACGCCAGTCTGCCCAACATCATGAAGGCCAAGAAGAAGCCGCTGGAGAAGAAGACCCTTGCGGACTTTGGCGTCGAGGATACCCGCCGACTCAAGACGGTCAAAGTGACCGGTGAGTCTTTTTCCACCTACCCTTACTTTCCATATTCATACTGATTTGTTTAGAACCCCCTGCTAGACAAGGCGGCGGCAAGGTCGAGGATGTGGACGGGCTGATCTCCAAGCTGAAGGAGCTGGGCGCGCTGAACTGATCCGCGAGAGATGTTGATACTTGATACAGAATTGTTATGTAGTAAGTGGTTACGAGAATATACGACTCCTCTGTAGTTGTACCCACTCACTCCGCTATTGGATCATCTCTTCATCTCTTTTGTACGATGCAGCATTCCGGAAGTCTATTTGCAGGAGGTACGAGAACTATTAATGATCGACATCGGTTGGTTTGAAAATTATAGTCCATCTCTCGACATCACGTACCGGATAACCTGGTAGGGGTGCTATAGCATCACCATACACTATTCACAAGTACGGAGTATATGGACGATTAACCGTAGATTGATTGTGTACTACATAGTATCCTCTCACTTGATAATAATATCTTTTTATGAAACGAATACACGACTCCTCCAGATACTCTGTAGTACAGAGTCTCAGACAATGTGATCTGTCAGACGGAGAATATTCGGCGAGCGCCAGGAACAATAGTGCTGGAGATCTATCAGAAACCATTCACTGAGGGTAATAAAGAATTGTTTTTTTTTATTATTCTCTGCCTGCTTTCTCCCTGACCTGTCATTTGCTGTAGCCCTCTGCTCTGTCGTAGACAATCTCCAGGCAGCTTCGAGGTATAACTACATCCTAAGAGATCCTCCTACTTAATAATATCTCAACTGATGATGACATCGTCTGCGGCCAGCGCCACTTGCCGGTGCTCCCGTTGATCTTTTTCTCTTAAATACTGCCTGAGACATCGGATCGGATCCATTTGATCTTTAAATTCCTGTCGGACCGTCTCTATTACCTTGATTCCACCGTCTCGTTAGGCACTCTCCAGCTCTTCTTCCCTGTTCCTCTTCCTGCATCGTTCTTTCCTACTCTTTCCATCCCCGCCACCTGCCATCTCCACCCTCTGTTAATATCTCGACTTCATTCTCTCTCTCTCTCTCTCTCTCTCTGTCTCCTGTTACTGTTTTTTATTTATTGATTTATTTTGCGTCGATTATACACTCTACAATATACACTGCGTCTATACTACATAGTAAGTACGCTCTTGGCTAGTTGCATTCCAGTCACATTCCAATCGATTGCCTGTTCCCGTCTACCCCGGAGGATTAACAGATTTATAGTCAAGGCTGAGGACTACAGAGGAAATCTGAAGGGATACAATTCCATCCGGCGTGTCGGCACCATGCCTCAAACAACATGGGAGAAGACGAAAGGATACTCGAAAAAGGGCTTTGACAAGGCATGGCATACCCTTGACAAACTGGGTGCCCCTGTCAACCGCCTGTCGAACCGCGTCGGCGCCGAGGCCTTTTGGCCCATGACCCTCGATAAGGAGAGCGACAAGGCCGCTCGTATCCTGCGCAGCTTCTGCAAGGATGGCTTTTACGGAGAGAACAAGGAGGATGAGGAGGAGGAGAAGGCACGGTCGAGGAACAGCAGCAATGGGAAGATCGATCGCCCCGCCGGGAAGCAGCGCGTGCTCAAGAAGATCCCTACACAAGTCATCCAGCGGGCCAAGGGGCTGGCCATTTTCACCACAATGCGGACCGGCCTCTGGGTCAGCGGCTCCGGGGGTAGCGGCGTCTTGCTGGCGCGTATTCCGGAGACTGGCGAGTGGAGTCCGCCGTCTGGCATTCTACTGCACACAGCGGGGATTGGCTTTCTGGCGGGCGTTGACATTTATGACTGTGTTGTTGTCATCAATACCCTCGAGGCTCTGGAGGCGTTCAAGCGTGTACGCTGCACCCTCGGTGGCGAGGTCAGCGCGGCGGCGGGCCCCGTGGGGATGGGGGGTGTGCTGGACTCCGAGGTGCACAAGCGTCAGGCGCCCATCTGGACGTACATGAAGAGTCGCGGTCTATACGCAGGGGTCCAGGTTGATGGAACCATCATCATCGAGCGCACCGACGAGAACGAACGCTTCTATGGCGAGCGTCTCTCTGTCACCGACATTCTGGCCGGCAAGGTCCGTCACCCGCCGCCGGAGATCCGCACTCTTCTGCAGACCATCAAGGCCGCCCAGGGCGACGGCGATGTCGATGAGTCGCTCATCCCGCCGCCGGGGGACACGCCCGGTGATGTCGACCTGGATTCACTGCATTACTTTGGCGTCCCCGCGCCCGACGATCCGGATCCCTTTGGGGTCAAGGCTCTCGAGGCCGAGGGTCTCTTCATCCGTGAGGCGGGCACCAAGATCCGCCCTAGCCAGGAAGTCTTTGAATTCCGCCCTAATCCCAGCAGCCCCATCTTCTCCTCCTTCTCCCGCCGCAGCATCGACAGCAGCTCACCCCGCAATAGCTGGCGCGCCAGCGTCCAAAGCCACACCAGCGTCGACCGCGGCGTTCAGACCGAAGACCGGCCCCCCACGGCCACTTCGTCACGCAGCAGAACCTCCTCTCTCTTCAACAATGGGAGCAGCAGCAACCTCGCCGATGCCCGTGCTTCCCGCAGCACCCCGTGGGACCAGCATGTTCCGTACACTCAGCCCGTCACTCCGGAGGAAGGAAGCCCCCCGCACGAGGAGGATGAAGATGAAGTCGAAGTGCACGAAGTTATCTCCCCGGTCTCCGTGGCGCCCGTCTCCATCAGGCCCATCACGCTGGCCGGGCACTCGATCCCCGCCGCTACCGCCTCTTCCACAGACTCCTCCAAACGGCTGTCGCCGACGTTCACGCGTGCCAGGCTGGTTACTATTCCCAAGCGGTCGTCACCGCCGGCACTCCCGCCTCGCAACCCGCAGCGGGCTAGTTCACCGTCCTTTTTGGAGTTCAGTCAGGAGGACCATTCGCCCGTGGCCAACGGGGCTGCCGTCAACGAGGACGAAGAGGAAGACTCCCATCTGACCCTACAAAGTTCTGATGTGCATGGCTCCGATATGGTCTTCTCACGCTCCTCGATGGACAAGGACGAATTCCATTCCATCTCGAGCGCGCCCGAGTCCGACGTTGAAAGCCCTACCGAGAAGAAAGATATGACTATGCCACAGCATCGTCGCGAGAGTTCTCACTAATTTTTTTTTCTCTAATTTTTCTCCTCCTACTCCTCTTCTTCTTTCATATATTTCCCCTAGAGCGTTTGATTATACTAGTTGTTTTTGTTATGGTTTATTAGCATGGGCGTTATGGGTTGATATCCTGGTGTACAGTGAGTGCATCTTATTATATCCGGAGAATAATTTTGCTTGATCTATCATTTTTAATCCGCCATTCGATGTATCTATTTATTTAATGACTTGCCTAAATGATTACCCCTGATCTGAGTGAGACTTCTACTTTTTCCTTCTTTTGTATGCGTAAAATTAAGCATCCCTCGTATTCGATGCATGCCTCAGGCCCGCGTCTGCCTAGTCGCTGCCTACTGGCTCAAGGCAACAGAAGCTTGGTTCCAGCTCTGGTAGCTCTTGGCTCTTGGGGGGGTCTTGGGTCTTTTGGAAATAAATAAATACTCGATTCTTCTTGTTCTTGTCTTCTGGTCTTTCAATTAACTCGAATCATCTTCATTCTCTTCCTCTGCTATGATCGAGTTTACTCCTGAGGCTAGTTCAGTTACATCTACGACACCATGCGCAACTCATTCAAGAACCTCGTCATCACCCTTAGCGGGACATTTCCGGGATATAAACAAGGTAAGTTTATTCTCTTTTTTTCCGGTTTTTTTATATATATATATATATTCCCTTCAATTATTTACTAACTGCTTAGCCGACCTGAAGACCATCGTGGAGAGCCACGGGGCTACCTTCAGTTCGACGGTGACGGAGGAGTGTACGCATCTTGTGACGACGCAGAAAGAGGTGGATAAGAAGGGGTCCAAGTGTATAGTTTGTCTTCTTTTTCCCTTCTGGTGAGCAGGTGGATAAGCGAGCAATCATGTTGACGATTTAGACAAACAAGCGCTGAAAGTCTACACTTGCCATATCGTCTCGCTGGACTGGCTGGTAGAGTCAGACGAGGCCAAAAAGCCTCTAGGAGAGAAAGGCTATCTGTTCGAAGAGAAGAAGGCTGATAAAGAGACGGAGAAGCCGAAGAAACGCACGCTGGAGGAGGCGCTGGATATCGCCGAAGATGGGTCGCATAAGAAAGTCAAGGATGCCCAGCTGGTGAGCTCGAAGTCGTTGAATGTTCCGGTTGACGAGGCGTGTTGGCTGCGAAGTAAGGCTTTTTTTTTTCTTTTCTACAGAGCTCTTTCTAAGTGCTCATATATCTGACCAACTTTCCAGCAACTCATGATGTTTATATTGACGACACCGGCTTCATCTGGGACGCCACACTCAACCAGACCAATGCCGGGAGCAACAACAATAAATACTACCGGATTCAAATCCTGAAGAAAAGAACCCTTTCCGAATTCCACGTCTGGACCCATTGGGGCCGTGTCGGCGAGAAGGGCCAGAACGCCGTGTTGGGAGATGGCTTGCTGGCTACGGCGCAGGTCGAGTTCCAGAAGAAGTTCAAAGACAAGTCCGGCTTGAAGTGGGAGAACAGGCTGGATCCACCAAAAAAGGGGAAGTATACGTTTATTGAGAAGAACTACGAGGAGGATGACGATGGCGATGACGACCAGGAAGAGGGTACTAAGAAGCCGAAGAAGTCAGAGGTCAAGGAGGAGGAGAAACCGATCGAGTCGACGCTCCCCACACAGATCCAGAACCTCATGACCTTCATCTTCAACCAGCAGCACTTCCTCAACACAATGGCTTCCATGTCATACGACGCCCAGAAGCTGCCCCTCGGCAAGCTGAGCAAGCGGACGCTGCGTGCCGGGTTCCAGGTGCTGAAGGATCTGTCCGAGCTGGTCGCGCAGCCAGCACTAGCAGCTTCAAAATACAACACAAGCTTTGTCCGTGCGACGGAGGACCTCAGCAACAGCTATCTCACTACGATCCCACACGTCTTCGGCCGCAACCGCCCGCCTGTGCTGAACAACGAGCTCATGATCAAGAAGGAGATCGAGCTACTCGAAGCCCTGACTGATATGGAGGTTGCCAATGAGATTATGAAGGATTGCAAGAGCGCCCACGACGTCAACGAACTCGATCTTCAGTTCCGGAGTCTTAACATGACTGAAATGACGCCACGTACGTATCTGACAGCTTTTCTCTCTCTCTTTCTTTTCAAGCGTACTATTTACTGACAAAAAACTGAAAGTGGCTCGCAATTCTACCGAGTTCATTGAGCTGGAGAATTATCTGAACAACTCCCGGGGAACCACCCATCACATGCGTTACAGTGTAAGCTACACCGCGTCATCTACAATTCGGTATCTTCTGTGCTGAGGTGGAAAAAAAACGAAACAGGTCATTGATATCTTCCGAATCGAACGCAACGGCGAGACTGAGCGGTTCGAGCAGTCGCCCTACGCGTCTATCAAGCAGAGTAACCGCCGGCTGCTGTGGCATGGCTCGCGCAGCACAAACTTTGGCGGCATTCTCTCCCAGGGCCTGCGGATCGCCCCCCCGGAAGCCCCTGTCAACGGATACATGTTCGGCAAAGGAGTGTACTTTGCGGACATGTCGAGCAAGTCCGCCAACTACTGCTGCGCAGTCCTCAGCGCCAACATGGGCCTACTGATGCTCTGCGATGTGGAGCTAGGAGACCCGATGCTTGAGCTAGTGAACGCTGACTATAAGGCCGGCGACGTCGCAAAGGCGAACAAGAAGATCGCCACATTGGGCAAGGGCCGAATCGCACCCCTTAGCTGGAAAGATGCCGGCTGCGTCCATGAGAATCTGCGTGGAGTGAGCATACCGGATGTGACGGTCACGCCGGGCGATGTCTCGGGCAACGGGGGAGCTGTGCTGCAGTACAATGAGTATATTGTCTACGACGTGGCGCAGATCCGGCAACGATATTTATTTCATGTACATATGAGTTAGTAGTTACTACATCAGTACCTCACCAGCTGGACTGGTGGCTCAACTGGTGGCTCTTATCACAGCAGGGAGACATACCTGTATTAGGATACTTTCTCGAATGCCTATTAATCAATGGGGATCAACAATGTCTCGTGCATTTCGATCGATCTACATTCTGCAGTCGGAATCACTTTTATAGGCGTAATCCGCTAAACCCGCTGACTCATCTCCAACATACTTAGGGAGGCGACTAGTTATTTATTTATTTACAAGGTCCCCGGCCTTGCCACCTCCAACACTCGTAGAATCCCTAGTATTTCTCCCTTCCCAACAGGTAGGTTTGTCAATGGCGCTGGCTCTGTTGGCTCTGCCTCTTCTGGCTGCTGGGGTCATCGCCCAGTTTCCGCCGTCTCCGCAGGACGTGCGGGTGGTGGAATCCCGGCATGAGGAGGGAGTTTCGATATCGTACAAAGAGGTATTGATTTTTATTATTGTTTTGTCCTGTTTTCTCTTTTGATACACACTTAACTTTGGGTATAGCCAGGCCTCTGCGAAACGACCCCCGGCGTCAAGTCGTACGCCGGGTACGTTCATTTCCCCCCTTCCTCGACCGAGCAGTACTCGACCAACACCTTCTTCTGGTTCTTCGAGTCGCGCAATGACCCGCGGCATGCCCCGTTGGCGATCTGGATGAATGGGGGGCCTGGCTCGTCGTCGATGATCGGCCTGCTGCAGGAGAACGGGCCGTGTATGGTGACTGCCGACTCGAACGGGACGGAGCTGAACCCCTGGTCGTGGAACAATTATGTGAATATGCTGTACATCGACCAGCCGAACCAGGTGGGATTCAGCTACGACGAGCTGACGAATGCGACCTATGACCAGCTGACGGGGAAATGGGATGTGGCGGACACGCCGTGGAAGGATGCCGACGAGATACCGGTGCAGAATAACACGTTCTACGTCGGCACGGTGAGCAGCCAGAACGCCAGCGCGACGGTCAACAGCACGCAGAACGCCGCCAAGGCCCTGTGGCATTTTGCACAGATCTGGCTCACGGAGTTCCCCGAGTACAAGCCGGCCGACGAGCGGGTGAGTATCTGGACGGAGTCGTATGGGGGCCGCTACGGCCCTTCGTTCACGGCATATTTCCAGGAACAGAACGAGCGGATCGCAGACGGCAGCCTGACCGACGGACATTCCATCCACATCGATACGCTGGGGATTATTAACGGGTGTGTCGATCTGCGCACGCAGGTGGCCTCGTACCCTGCCTTCGCGTACAACAACACGTACGGGATCGAGGCGATCAACCGCACCGTGTACGAGACGGCGATGGATGCGTTCCGCCGCCCGGGCGGATGCAGGGACCGCATCGACGACTGCCACGCTCTGGCTGCCGTGGGCGATCCGCTCATGACCGGCGCCAACGAGACGGTCAACGCCGTCTGCCGCGACGCAGAGAACTTCTGCAGCAATGCCGTCGAGGGGCCCTACGTCGAGTTCGCAGGTAGGGGATACTACGATATCGCGCACGTGGAGCAGGATCCGTTCCCCCCGCCGTACTTTACGGGGTTTTTGAACGCCGACTGGGTGCAGAACGCCCTGGGCGTGCCCGTCAACTTCACCGAGTCGTCGGACGCAGTGTACAACGGGTTCACTTCTGTGGGAGATTACCCGCGTTCCGATGTGCACGGGTACCTTGACGATCTGGCATACCTCTTAGACTCGGGGATCAAGGTTGCCCTCGTGTACGGGGATCGCGACTACGCATGCAACTGGGTCGGCGGGGAGGAGGCGAGCTTGGCCGTGAACTACTCTCAGGCTGCAACTTTCCAGTCGGCAGGGTACACAGATCTGAAGACCAATGCGTCGTACATCGGCGGGCAAGTCCGCCAGGCGGGCAACTTCTCCTTCGTCCGTGTCTACGAGGCCGGCCACGAGGTCCCGGCCTACCAGCCGCAGACGGCGTACGAGATCTTCCACCGCGCGCTGTTCAACCGCGACTTGGCGACGGGGAGAACGAATACAGCCACGGACGAGTCGTACGTCACCCACGGCCCGTCGAACACCTGGCACATCAAGAACGAGGTGCCGGACTCGCCGGAGCCGACGTGCTATGTGCGCTCGTTGCTGGCGACGTGTACGGAGGAGCAGATTGCGGCAGTGGTGAATGGCTCTGCCGTCAAGGATTATATCTTGGTGGAATAGTACATATAATCATATATAAATATTAATAGACAGTCCTTTCCATCGATCGACTTCCGGAGTATACCTAGTACGCCGTACTACATACCTAGTTATGGTGAATATAACGTAGAACCTTCGAGAAGCTTCTATAGCAGCAGTGAATGTATGGCGTCACTGATAGTCAAGAGTAACATTGCAGACGGTCGCATTAGATTAGGGAACAGAGAAGAGTCAAGCAGAGGAGATGGAGAGTATCTGGTCTCTAAATCTCTCTTCTTTGACCTGGAGAGCTTTCAAACACTTAAAACTGCATTGTTGTCCCCTTTTGTTCTATCCTGCAGGTATCGTGCCTGTCGAACTTTCTACGTCATTCGAGAACGTCAACTTCCCCGCGTCTCATCACCGCTTATATCAATTGACCCATTACCACCGATCCAAGTTGTACACACTTATTGAAAACCGATTATTAATAATACCATTTGAACGGACAGTATGGTTGCTGAAACCAAATTGTACGACTCGCTGAGCATCAAGCCAGATGCTTCACAGGAGGACATCAAGAAGGCGTACCGGAAAGCCGCACTCAAGTACCATCCGGACAAGAACAAGGACGACCCGGCTGCTGCTGAGAAGTTTAAAGGTAAGAAGCGTATTTTCTAGGGGTTCCTGGGGATTCCTCTGCTACTAGTTACTAACCGTCATGACTAGATGTCTCGCAAGCCTACGAAGTCCTTTCCGACCCCGAGAAACGCAAAGTCTACGACCAATTCGGTCTCGAATACCTTCTTCGCGGCGGTCCAGCACCCACACCCGGTGGACCTGGCGGTGCTGGTCCCGGTGCATCCCCCTTCGACGGTGGTATGCCCGGCGGATTCTCGTTTGGAGGGATGCCTAGCGGAGGAGGCACGCGGACCTTCCACTTCTCAACGGGCGGGCCCGGCGGAGGCACCACGAGGGGGTTCAGCTTCAGCAGTGCGGACGATATCTTCCGCAACTTCGCCAAAGCGAGCGGCGGCGGCGTTGGTCTAGACGACGACGATCTCTTCGCCTCCATGATGGGCGGGGGGTTGGGTGGAGGCCGACCGAGTCGAGGAGGACCTCCTGGAGGATTTCCACAGGCCCATCGCCGCCGGGCACCCACCCCGGAACCTACCATCGTGGAAAAGGAGTTGTTGCTCACTCTCGACGAGCTGTTCCGCGGCACGACCAAGAAAGTTACCACCAGGAGCAAGACCTTTGACGCGTCTGGAAAGCAGACCGTACAGGAAGTGACGCTCGAGGCTACCATCAAGCCCGGGCTGCGGGCGGGCTCGAAGATCAAATACCGGGGGGTCGGGGATCAGGAGGAAGGGGGGAGGCAAGATGTGCATCTGATTGTCACCGAGGTATGTTATTCCTATTCCTATTCCTATTCCTAATATTCACCTTGCAAATACTAACTATGCCTTAGAAACCACATCCATTCCTGAAACGCCAGGGCGATAATCTCATCACAACCGTCGATCTCACTCTTAAGGAAGCCCTCACGGGCTGGGAACGTATCGTCAAGACCATTGACGGCAAATCGATCCGCATTTCCAAGCCTGGTCCCACGCAGCCGGGCTACGAGGAACGATACCCAGGCCAGGGAATGACTATCTCGAAGAAACCGAACGAACGGGGAGACCTGCTCGTAAGGGTCAACGTGAAGTTCCCGACGACCCTGACGGCGGCGCAGAAGGACATCCTCAAGGATGTTCTTCCTTGAACTAGGCCTTCACCTTCACGACCCCATACTCAAAAAGATATCCACTCAACCATCACGACTCACAATCTTATGAAAGTACTCATTTGCGTTGCATTTCAAGGCGTTGTTGGGACCATCAAACCGTGCTTGGCTTTTTTATTTTCCATGTAAATAGATCTAGTAACTACGCAGTATAACTACTACAAAGTATACATTAAGGTCAATCAATCAATTTTTACAATTGAAAATCGTTCTTAAAAATATCTTAATCACTTCTGAAAAGCTGGTGGAAACCCTTATCCATCCCCATCAAGCTCTTGCTCGACTCCGCACTATGAGGTAACCTCCGGCAATAACCACAAGTAGCATCTCAGCTTACCAGGCAGTTAATCCCATCTAACCCACTACACCTATCAACGATTTAGCTGTGACATGCTACTATGAAGACACGATACACATTCATTCTTCGCCCCGGAGCGCCCTTCACCCTTGACCAGACGACGCTCACCTCCTCGTCCCTCTCCGTCCGGAACCTCGATGCTGCACGCGAGGAACGCGTCACCTTCCCCAGCGATGAAGTACAGGATGAAAGCACCCAGTTTCTTTTTTCTTTCTAGGAACTATACTCATTTGAAAAAAAAAATCTAGGATCTTGAAAAATTCCACGACCTCCATATCCGATGGACGACGGAGCGGGCTCACGACACGTTAACCCCCTTTGCAAGTCGAGTGTCGGCGGGTTTGCATGTGCTGTTTACACCGGTAGAGGGGTGCGTTGAGAAAGAGGGTTCCAAAAGAGAAGGGAACGGGGGGGAATTATCTTGCTAATTGTTTAGGGCAGAGACATGTCCATTACTTAATGATGCGTTTGGAGTCGAGTGCTCAGAGGAGGTAAGACCTGAATCTATTTTTCTTGTTCGAGTGTGTTGCTGAATTGGTGTTTGCGGCGTTGCAGTCCTCAATCCAACCGCCTATTCTCTCCTCACAGCGCTTCTCTCAGTTCTACTCTCTTCTACCCTCCCTCGATCACTTTGTGGACTATATCCAGCGGAAAATCTGTGGGGAAAGCTCTGGTGATGAATGCCGGACACGCTCCCACAGCCTCCTCTCTGCCGACTCCGTCGATGTCGACTACGATAGCATTTTGCACACCCTGACAATAACCGGACACTGGTCGCCGCCGGAGGGTGGATGGACGGAAACGCTCGGCGGGGAGGGACGAAATGTCGAGATAGGGTTGTTGGGAGTTGAGAGCTCGAACGAGCCGGAGGAGGTCAAGGTTGGGGGGTTTCTAGCAGTGCTTGGACAAGACGATAAGCTGAGTATGATTTCTACATTGGGAAAAAGAGAGAGATGGCTAAAAGCAAGATGGATAGAACCCACGCTCTTTTCCTTCCCATCGCGCCACCACGCCCTCGAAACAAGCTACTCCGTCTCGTTTACGGCCCCGACAGGGCTACATCCCACGATGACCATCTCCCTCCCCCGCAGGTCACTTCAACGCCCGGCCCTTGCCGCGCCGGAAGCCACCTGCGCCCTGCACACATACCTTACGCTGCCCTCCACTGTTTTTGCGGACAAGTACCAGCTGTCGAGCGCGGACCCGCTCTTCCTCCGCTCGCACCGCCTGCGCGCTCTCCATGCGGTCTCGGGCGAGACAGATCTCGAGGCTCCAGATTGGTCTGTCCCGTCGTGGGGGTCGACATGGCTATTAGAAATCGACAGTTCCTCTCCTGAAGAAGAAGAAGAAGAAGAAGAAGAAGAAGAAGATAGAAACGACACAGGATCATCCATTGAAAGTGCAGACGAGATGATGAATATGACCATCCCCCTTCACTTGCGGTACCTCCCCCCCTCTGAATCAGGGTACCGCCCGGCGTCTATGCCCTGGCCCGTGGTATTCTGGGCCTGCACGAGCCAGGAAGAGACACCCATGGGCGTGAACCCGTTCGACCGCGTGGATCTCGGCTGGGACGGCCTGTTCGCTCCACGCACGACCTTCTACCATCTCGCTCCGGGGGGGTCGAGCGGGCAATCGCTTGTTTCGGAGATTCCTGTGCCGGTTTTACAATTAGATGCGACGGGGCTGACCTCCGTCTCGATCGAGTTGGGGACTGTGCTGGTTATCTTGCTTGGGGTGGCGTGGGTGGTGTCGAGACTAGCTTTTAGTGTGAAGAGAAAGACGCAGTAACTACCTACCTAGGTACATAGACCTAAGAAATGAATTATATAGACAATTAGGCTTTCGTCTAGGCAATTACATGCTGAAATTCAAAAACTCGTCCAAATCAAAATTCTGCAGATCGAGCCACTCCTCCCCCCAAAGAGCGTCGGACAGGCCGTGAGTTTCAGGATCCGAGGCAGGAATACCAACACCCAGCCCGGTCGGCGGGTCATTTTCCAGCACCGAGGCCAGGACACGGGTATCTTCTTCGCGACGGTGCCGGTGCAGTCGGACAAGCAGGTAGGCGGTGCTGTACGCTTCGCGGGTGACGGGGGTATCGTACGCGTCACGGACGGCGTGGAGGGCACGCATCGCTTCGCCAAGGAGGGCGAGCGAGGCGCGACTATCGATCGCAAGACAGGTGCACACGATCTGGAAGGGGACGTTGGCGATCTGGTGCCAGGGGTTCGAGACGGCGGCCATCTCGCGCGCGGCGGCGAGACTTTTCCCCGCCAGCGTGAGGATGCGATCCAGTAGCCCCGGGGAGATGGTGGGTGTGGCGACGCGCAGGCGGCGGTAGATGCAGAGCACGAGGTTGCACTGGGCGAGGATGAGGGGCGCCACGGCATGGACGACGTCCAGCACGTCTGCGAGGGAGGCTTCGAGGCCTGATCCGTCCGCGGTGGTGGTGTTGGTTGGGTCCAGGCTCTCGGACGCGGGCAGTAAGTGGAAGAGTTCTGTTGTGTAGTCGCCTGTGCGCGGGGTGGGCGGCAGCGTCGTGGACCCCTGCAGGACGACGCGGGAGCGGCCCAAGTCAAAGGAGATCCAGGTGTTGAGATGGCGGGCCATGCCGAAGAGGCGGCGCCGGATCTCAGGGTCCGTGTTTGTGTTCGGGCCGAGGGATTGTTGCATCAGCACTGTATCTGGGGTCTGAGTGGTAGGGGGTGAGGAAGATGATGTTGACGGGCGTGCGTGAAGTTCCACGTGCAGACCGGCGGCCTCGACAAGATGCATGAGTGAGCAGCTGGCCATCCATGCAATGTGCGGCGTAGCCGTCATGCGCAGGTAGGCGGCGCGTAGCACCCACCCGGTCACGACGGCCACGGAGGGCGTCTCGTCCGAAAGATGCTGCTCGAGGATGAGGCGCGCTGCCTCGAGCAGCTGATGTTCGGCCGCAGGCGCTGATCGCCGGGAGAAGAGGAAGCCAAACGCCGCCACGCCACACAGGACGGCATCGTATGCGTCTGGCGCATTCGATGTCGACAGCCACCGTTTGTCGACATGGTGGAGGAGCGTCTCTCGATCGATGAAGCTGTAGCACGGATCGACTCGGTCAAAGTACACCGTCGATAACGCAACCATTTCTGCCTGCGAGATGATGTCCACTACCGTCGCATCAGCCCCGAGACACGTACTACCCGGCGATCCTCTCGGCCCGACATTCCATGCAAACATATGCAGCCTTGGAGCATGCGTCGGATCGATGGTGAGGCCAAGTTTGCGCACAAAAGCCGCCCCGGAGTTGGCCTCGACCGAGGAGATCCGGTCGACACCCTGATCATCCTGAAGATTCGTCCGCTTAGGCGGTGGGTTGATGGCAAGACCGGGTTTCCCGTTCGCTTTGACGTCTTTCTTCTTGCGTGACTGAAAGTCATAATAGCAGCCTGATCCGGACTGCGCGCAGTTACTGCATGGCTGCTCCCCGGAGCATTTGCGTTTGCGCAGCTGGCATGAGGTGCATGCTATGCGAGAGCGCTTGCGTATAGTCGCGGACATTAGCTTGGTGTTCTTATCAGCTGCTCATATCGATCATCGTCCATATCTAAGCAATAATGTCGAGATCAAGATGGCTGCTTGTAGTTGGCTGGAAAGGAGATTCCGTCCCAATAAACATTATGAGTTATGCAGTTATGTCTAACCGGATTAGGCAGCGCTTCTTTATGAAACGCATGATTACTAAGAAGTGAATATAACTTCTTTATGCCAGCATAAAAAGATATACTTGCATTGATGACTCGATACTTCCAGTGTTTCTCATTCTATTCATGCCTTTACCTTCCAGCGCAAGCCTGTTTTTGCGATCCTTGCCGCCACAGCTGCGGCAGCACCAAGGAAAATCGAGGAGGCGGCGAACATCTGCCCATCGAGATAATGCCCTCCGTCACGCTGTACCAACGCTCCCTCGATGGCCGGACCAGTCAGGTTGGCAATACTGACGATGCTAAGGATCATGCCCAGCCGGGTGCCTGCCTTTTCCAGGTTCGGGTTCAGCATGGTGGCCGTGGCAGGGAAGAGCGACTGCAGAGCGGCGGCGACAATACCGAACAAGACCGTGAAGGTGTACAACCCGGCCACGTTGCTGACAGCTGCCCAGCAGTAGGTGAGAATACTGGCTGCCAGACTGAGAGGTATCAAAAGGTTGAGCATGCCGGTGATTCGACCGCCAATATAGGTGGGAATGATACGGCCGGGGACGCCCACCGCATTCAGAATCATGATGAGGTTGAGCGAGTCGCTCATGCCAAGGCGGTCACGAGCAAAGGTGCCGAGGTAAAAGAAGGCGAAATACAAGCCCCAGAAGTTGAAGAACATGCTCGCGGTGAAGAAGACCCAGGGTAACTCACGGAAGGCGCCCCATTCTATGATCGGCCCTGTGGAGCGCGGTGGCAACCGTGACCGCATCCACAGCAGCCCCGGGATATGAGTTCCCAGCATGATGAAGCCCATAACCCGCAGAGTCCAAGCATATCCGATTGGGTGTTTGTAGAGGAGCATGTCAGCGACCACAGGGTATATCAGGCCGCCCGTCGCGGCACCAGCGGCCCCCAGTCCAACGGCCAGGGCTCGTCTGCGCAGGAAATAAGAGGAGGTCACGGAGAGCGCTGGACAAAAGGTACATCCATTTCCAAGACCCATGCACACGGCTTGGGCAAGGAAGATCTGCCAATAGGTGGTGCAGAGGGAGGTCATGAAGACGCCGACCAGCTGGAAGAGGACGCCCAGGAACAAGACCGGACGGAAATATCCCGCATCAGTAGCCCTCCCGGCGAGGACACCGACAAAGAAGAGCAGGAAGACCTGGACGCTCCCGATCCAGGAGATCTCCGAGGCAGACTGCGGTAGGGTTTGGGCGTAGTACTGCTGAAAGACGCCGAAGCTGTTGGTGACACCCCAGGAGTTGAAGAAGATGAAGTGGAAGCCAAGAACCTGCAACCAGGCCGTGAGTCCCCCGTCTGGAGGAGGACCTGGCTCGTTCTGGGTGCCATCTGGAGCCGACTCGACACAGGCTGCACGGTCTTTGTCATTGAAAATCGATAATTTCATCGTGGACAGGGCGACAGGAAAGGAACTGTGTCGGAAAGAAGAGTAGGAATGCTCTGTTGTTGCTCCATCTTTGCTTGTGGCACGTCTGGTATTTGAGGTGAAGTGACCATTGGAAGTGCCACAAGATGACTGAGGGAGGAAAGAGCCAAATTCCGATCCGCCTTCCCGCATATCCGCATCACTACGAACCGAAAGCGAAAAAAGTTTCTGAATTTATAGGAAAAATGGAGAAATGTACTACTTTGAATTAAACAGCTTAGACAAAATAATAGATTCAAAGCAATGCTAGATAACTATATCCTAGTACTAGTTACTACTTATTTTATGCCTAAATATGTAGTATTATTACTATGTAGTATTTACTGATGACGGGAGTATAAATGATTGGTTCACTAGATAGGGTTTAGCTCATCCAAGTGATCTTCGGTCACATGATGTTTCACATGACTCAAATTACACGTGACTAGGTGCTAATTAGACTATTAGTAATAACTGTCAGGAAATTATTGTTGACTGTCAATTGTCAATGACTTTCAACTAAACCTATCTTAGTTAGCAATCCGAGGCACCTCAATAAACTCACGTGACCTTGAAAGTCAATTCATTGTTCAATTGCCGGACAATTGAAAGCCAAGCCCCCTACGGAGTCCGACTCGGAGGAAGCACGCCGCTCCCGCTACTCCGTACAACCCGGCAGTCACCAGCGAGTCGTTCCTCACGTTAGTCTGGCTTAACGACTCAATCATGTCTTCCCGAGAGTAATACATAGTAATACTACTACTTTGGTAGGTACTAGGTAGGTACCTAGCAACTAGCAAGACTGCCAGTCCAGTATTGTCCTCTGCTCACACGATTCGATACTCTTTTCGTCAGGATATAACCACAGCCCTTATATATGAGCAATTGATAGTACATAACATACTGGAAGATTTTGGATATTAGTAGTATAACTCTATAATAATTCCATCATAATTGCATAACCATGTAATTCCCTATTAGTTACTCCGTATTCCATACTCCATTCGCTGTAGGCATTTGCCTATAATCTGATTGTCATGAATTCTGTTATCAGGCCGATCCCGGAGCTCCCGATCTGGAAAGAGCGGCGGTCAGGGATTCTGCCCGCGGATTGGCCCGGCCAGCCGGTGTGGCAGTGCACGGACCAGCCAGCCCTTCTGGTGAGAAAAAGGGAAAAATTCCCTCGTCTTCGTCCTCTTCCTTTCTTCTGACTCACTACGAGAACTGCTCAAAAACCTCACCACGGCTGCTCAATTCATGCTCAACTAAACACCTCTTCCCCCTTTCCCATATATATTATTGTGACTGGAAACAGCACAGTCGCGCTTATGCGTTTGGCACCCTCAGTCTTCACTTCTCAGGTACGCTGGCCACCATGGCATCATCCCGCCACGCCGTACGCTCTATCGTTGGACTTGAGGAGGCTAATTTGTCCAGGATTACATCTCGGACCACCTCTGGAAAGCTTCCGTAAACTAGAATCCATCATCTAAATCGATCTCTCACCCCATATCTTTTTCATCACACAATGTTTGCTCGAGTCTTCAAGGCTATGCCCTCCCGGGCCCCCTCCATGATGGCTTCCCAGGCCCGGTTCATGGCCACGGTGCGCAGCCGGGCTGCCATGGAGCCGGCTACCTTCACCATCCGTGATGGCCCCATCTTCCACGGCAAGTCGTTTGGTGCCCGGTCCAACATCTCCGGTGAAGCCGTCTTTACCACCTCGCTGGTCGGATACCCGGAGTCCCTGACCGATCCCTCCTACCGCGGTCAGATCCTCGTCTTCACCCAGCCGCTCATCGGCAACTACGGTGTGCCCTCGGCCGCCCGTGACGAGCATGGTCTCCTCAAGTACTTTGAGTCCCCCCATCTCCAGGCCGCTGGTGTCGTCGTCGCCGACGTCGCCGAGCAGTACAGCCACTGGACCGCTGTCGAGAGCCTCGGCGAGTGGTGTGCCCGCGAGGGCGTCCCCGCCATCTCTGGTGTCGACACCCGTGCCATCGTCACTTATCTGCGTGAGCAGGGTTCCTCCCTGGCCCGTATCACTGTCGGCGAGGAGTACGATGCCGACCAGGACGAGGCGTTCGTTGATCCCGAACAGATTCACCTCGTCCGTCAGGTCAGCACCAAGGCGCCCTTCCACGTCAGCGCCGCCGACCCTCAGTGCCACGTTGCCGTCCTCGACTGCGGTGTCAAGGAGAACATCCTGCGCAGCCTGGTCAGCCGCGGTGCCAGTATCACCGTCTTTCCCTTTGACTACCCGATTCACAAGGTGGCCCACCACTTTGACGGCGTCTTCATCTCCAACGGCCCCGGTGATCCGACCCACTGCCAGGATACCGTCTACCATCTGCGCAAGCTGATGGAGACCTCCCAGGTGCCCATCTTCGGCATCTGTCTGGGCCACCAGCTGCTCGCTCTGGCCGCTGGCGCCCGCACCGTCAAGCTCAAGTACGGTAACCGCGCCCACAACATCCCCGCGCTTGACCTGACCACCGGTCGCTGCCACATCACCAGCCAGAACCACGGCTACGCGGTCGACGCCGACACCCTGTCCGCCGACTGGAAGCCCTACTTTGTCAACCTGAACGATTCAAGCAACGAGGGTATGATCCACAAGTCGCGCCCCATCTTCAGCACCCAGTTCCATCCCGAGGCCAAGGGTGGCCCGCTCGACTCGTCGTACCTGTTCGACATCTACATCGACAGTGTCCGCAAGTACAAGAACGGCCAGGCTGCCTACTACCCGCAGCGTGACAGCCGCCCGAGCCCGCTCTTGGTTGACCTGCTCGCCAAGGAGCGTGTCGGCGTCCAGCCCACGATTGGCATGCAGAACATTGCCGCCGCCGCGGCCGCTGCTGCTGCTGCTGCTGCTGCTTAAGTCTGGTAGTTTGGGTCTATACTTTTGGGATGGAGTTGGGTTTCTGGTTCTTGCTGGTCATGTTATGTGGATGTTTGTGTACTTAGTTTTCTGATAATATACATTTTCATCAAATGAAAATCGTGAATTCATAAAGAGTGTCAATGAGAAAGTAGACAAGACTCTGAGAGAGTTGCAACCTCCAAGCCGAGGGATAATTATTAAAGAGAGAAGTTTCAAGCAGCCACTGCCACCATCGGCGTATCCCCCCCCACCTTAAACTTGGCGCCATCCATGATCGCCTCGGTGGTATCAGAGGTAGTATTCATATGGGCCTTTATCTGCTCATCCTTGATCACATCACCATGCTCCATGGTATCCTCCTCGGCATAATCCTGTCTGAAAGAAAAGATACTAGCGGCCCCGGACTCGGCCGTGGAGATGGACGCAGAGGAAACCACGCGCGGGGTTTGGTTGCGAGGCTGATTTCCGTCGTGGTCTTGACTTTGAGTGAAGTAATCTCGTATCCACTCTGCAATCTCGACGAGACTCTTCTGTCCAGATCCGAGGGCAGAGCATCGCATCTCCTCCATCTGGTCGGTGTCTGGTTCCCGGACGTGAAGCAGCGAGAGGGCGAGCTGGATATCGGCGCGACGGTGTTCGGTCAGCTGTGTGGCGCGGGCTTGGATGCGTTTGTCGACGATGAGGTTCCATTTCTGGAGCTGGTTGTGTAGGAATTTCAACGTCAGCGATGTGAGGAGGGCATAGAGGAGGATTCGCCCGGAGAGGCTTGTGATAGTGGTTAATGTGACGAGTGTCACTGCCACAGTGAAAGGGTCATTCATTTTTTTTTTGTTTCTTTCTTTTTTCTATTCTCTAATAAAGTAGACGTATATTGATTTTTATATTCTTCAAGGGATGGTGTATTAGGCTAAGAAGGAAAGAAGACAGGAAATAGTACAGAGACGAGAGAGACGAGAGAGACGAGAGAGACGAGGGGGAATGGGATTATGTAGTGTGATCAGGCAATGCAGGCTGCAGGTGAGTTGGCAGGGGATTATTGGAAGTGCATGGATCATCAACTGGCTGAGGAGTAGACAGCTGATCCAGACAGTACTGTAATCCCTTATCTACCAAGTTCATAATGTTTCTTCAGATGGACTTGAGGAAATGTATTCGAGTGTCCTGGTTGGGACTTGATAACGGTGACTGCCATGCCCAGGCACCTCGGATTGTCCAGCGTTACCGACGCAATGATGTTCGTATAGGATAGAGAAGCATTATTGGGTGATGTGATGCTGCGAATCTCATGATATCTCAAGTCAAGTCGGTCTGTGCCAGCCTTGCAGTGAGTGTACGGAGTATGCATGCCTGTGTAACTTCAAAGCTTGTTGTTCTTCAAGTGCACCCAGGTAGACATGGCTTTAAGCTTCTCGCACATTCTATCGGTATGTCTACGTCTCTTGAAACCATTGGAACCTACTGTCTATACCCCACGCAGCAGCAGTCGACTCGAAACTCAGACTGTCAAAGAATGCTCAGGCCCATGACACTGACTCAACTCTCCAAAGGAAATTTTCAATGTTTGGGAGAATTGGCTTATGAGTTTTATGCCTGTAGCCTGAATAGCCTTCTATTCATAGAGCAGGCGAAAGATGCATGTCTCGGGTGGAATATAAAGAAGCCTTCACTTGGGCGTTGGCATAGATGCTCGCTTTGACACCCAGTCTCAGGCTTTATACCAGCCTTTCGAAGGAAGAATGATGTATGATGATTTCCCATGGTCTATGTCCCTAGACACAACAAGACTCTTTTGAAATTGCTTTGTAGAAAGTGCCTCCAAGAGCAGTCCCAGTTCTCTATCAATCGCATGTCCTCCGTTCTACTCGTTCGTGTCCTTATTCCTGCCAACTGGGAAGAGCTCTAGCTTGTAGCTTCCGGCTCGCAGTGTGGAAACCGGGCGAATTTTCCGATGGCCACAATCCCGGAAAGATCGTATGTCCGGCTTCTTCTCGTTGAGCGGGCCAGATAGTTTTGCAGCTGTCATTCGGCTTTGTCTCAGGCGGCAGCTGTGGGTTCCTTGCCATTTTTCAAGGCGCTGGGCGGACGTTTACACTCCATAAAGAGCATTTTTCACAGTGCATCATTGTGGGTACTAGTAACCACAACGCTCGACCGTATGGCCGAATTTAGGTTTGTGAATAGCTCTCGTTCGTGCCCAAAACGACTCTATAGAGAGGTAGAGGCGCAGAATCTGATTGAACAAGTGGTCCATATGAATTTCTAGGCACCCAGCCCTAACTTTCGACATGTAACATTTTACAACTGGGTTATTGAAGTACTATTTGGTCAATACTTGGACAATCAGCGAGCAAACTGACAGACGTACTCACTTCTGCCTTGACACAGAGTGCCAGGAGTTTCGAATAGGCTCATGGAATAGCTGATGCCACTGGATCACTCAATATTGAAATCCAGACGCGTCTCTTATTCGCTCTATGGTATAATAAGGTCAAGAATGGAGACACGGTGCAGTTGGATACTAAGCCTAGAGACTTGTTACGGGTGAAAGACTTCGAATCGTTGACCTCCTGAAGCTTAGAGCCCACTGATGGGGTGTTTCCTCTTTGGGCATAGGGCCGCCTCGCTCGACTGCCACGCCATTACCTAATCACCGCATTGTTGCTGCCAAATCGACTCTGAGGGCTCTCGGTATGTCGCTATTGCTGCCCTGCAGGCCATTCAGAGCCAATGATGCAGCTCTTGCAGCTCTTCGTCTTTGGGTTTGAACAACGAAAGAACCAATCAATAAGTCACATCTACGCCGTATAAAAGACGGGAGATTTTTCGAGGTATGCCGGGGAAGGTCAGAGAGATGAGGGGAGATGTTGGAATGCGGACGTGTTCAATATTTGGCTAACCAGGGCCATTTATTGATGACTGAAAATGCACAGGATACGCAATAGCCTTGCCATTCAAACATCTGACATCTCTCCCAGAAATCGGGTTTGGGTTTCATTACGACGTATGACGTATGTGTGCATGGAAGGTAAGATAGATTTGACAATTCCTCGACAATTGACCATCTATATATTTGCATTGATTTCATATTTCGAAGCCAAGCAGACAGTTTTCATCAGAATGAAGTATGAATATGTGGATGCTATGGTTCTAGCTCACAAGTCTCTACTGCCTAAATAGAAATTATACATCTTATGATGGACAAGGTGCCCTGGATGCGGAAGAGATGGGGGAGATGCTAGATATAGAACGGAGCTATCTAGGATGTGTGTAGGCGAGAGAGAAGGTAAGAGCTGGATAATGCTAGGCCTAGCTAGGCTGATGCCTCCAACATTTTATTCTTATTAAACGCAGTTTACACTTTCTATTTTTGAAAGGTTATGCTATTATCATTGTGATATATCACTTCTGTATTGTAAATAAAATATAGCCTAATGGTGCTCAACTTATAAATCTTCTGCTATATCGTCTTCGTAGGGGATCTTGCCATAGAAAAATCACATAAGAGATTTATAGCCTTTACAAAAAAAGGGAAAATGAATGAGGGAGTGAAACTGGTTATATAGAAGATATGGCGACCTAACCAACACTTAATCTACAGGTAGCAGACACTCCTTAGAACATCGCAGTTCAGACTGTACAAATGCCATAGTAATCGTATTTTCTTTTCAGGTATGCATACTTATTTCGCCACTATAGACACCACATCCTCATCTGAAACAACATGGCCCAAGCCCACCCGCTGCGGGATATGTCTAGCACTTGCCCCCCACACCAGGGCGTACTTAAAAGTCTCCTTGAGCGTGCGATGAATCTGGTCGCAGACATCCTCGATAGAGGAGTTGCTTCGCACAATGAGCGCTTCGCTGAAATCCGGGTCCTCTCCCTTCCTGTATAGATTAATGTACCCATTAGCCTTTTCATTTGTCCAGTGAAGAGAGAGAGAGAAAAAAGGGAAATCAGCGTGAATACTTGACATACCGCTTTGTGTAGACCCGAATTAATCTCAACTCCTTCCAGATCCTCTCGACAACGTCCTGGACTCCGAGGTCGAGCTCGCAGCTCATCACGGCAGTATGGGGCTCGCGGGCGAGTTGGTCGAGGAAGTCCAGACTCACGCTATCAATCTTGTTGTAGACGTACAGGCTGGATGACCAATCAGTGGGAGGGACATATATTTAGGGGAAGACGAGATTGCTCACGTACCATTGGATATACTTTCTATGGTCTTTCATGATCACATCGATGAAATCGTCAATCGTAGCTAGGCTCTATTAGCAAAATTTCCAGAGCATAAAAAAGCAGGAAGCCAAGGCATATGTATACCATTCTCATCTCTGACCAGGACTTCGCAGTTGAGAATTTTATAATCGCGAAGCACATTGAAGATCATCTTCTCATCGAGGTATTTCGGGGGTGTCTGGAAGGTGATCTTCATGCCACCGGCTTTCTTTGCTTTCAAGTAGATATTGCTGTTTCGTCATTTAGTATCAACAGGAACAGAAAGAGTGTTCAATCAAGGCTTCCACTTACGGAGGCTCGCGGTTGAGTCGAATACCCACTGCGTCCAACTCGGCTTCCAGAAGACTCCTTTGCTCGGCACGTTTTGTGGCATCGAGGACCATTAAGATCAGATCACTTGTCTATAATTCACTCAGTATGACTTATCATAACGGATTAAAAATGATTAAAACCATTTACCTTTGCGGCGGATATGACTTGTCTTCCTCTTCCCTTACCCTCAGCGGCACCCTCAATGATACCAGGTAAATCGAGGATCTGGATCTCAGCACCCCCGTATTCCAGGACACCGGGAATAGCCGTCAATGTCGTGAAAGAATAGGCAGCAGCTTCGCTCTTCGTCTTGGTGATCTTGGATAGAAACGTCGACTTTCCGACGGATGGAAAGCCCACCAACGCCACACGAGCATCACCGCTTTTGCTGACATCGAAGCCTGCACCACCACCAGACCCGGCGCCGCCTGCGGGTTCTAGGAGCTGTGCCCTTAGTCGAGCAAGTTTTCTGCAATCGACAGTGAGTGGGAAAGGCCTGGAAATTGACGGAGTCATGATTCAGCTCGTACCCTTTTAGCAGACCAAGATGATATTCTAGATCACATTAGAATCGAAACGCCAATGATTTCAAGATGACCGTAGTCAGAAGATAACACACCTGTCGCCTTATTCTCTATTCTCACAGTTAGCTGCGGGGTGTTCAGATAGAGGGGTAATTCTTCTTACTCTGCGTCCTTTTCATCTCATCTTCAATCCTATTGTCAATCCAGTAAGCGTGAGTCCATAAATCAAAGCTAAACGGCTTCGTACTCCTTAATCTTATCTGTGATATTCACCATCTTGACGGTTGAGAGTCCCCCGCAGACTCAAAAATTCCACCCTTGAAAAGTAATAGGAAGACCACAGAAACCCACAAAGAGGTGCCAATTGCACGGCTATCCAATGCAGAGAATAATAAGACACTTCTTGCCCAAGACGAAAGCTATATCCTGATCCCCAGACTGGAATCCAGATCAACTCCGCAGATATCAAATTCGAGAGCCAAAAGAGGGACGCCAAGCCCCATGATCTCTGCTTATGTAACCTATCGCCAACCTCGTCCGGGCGACGATATTTTGCCTTCGACCTTGCCTTGCCAACAAACAACCTACACATCACACGCTCACAATGGCCGAATCTGCTGTCGTTGATACGCCTCCTGTCGCGTCGAACAGTCCCCTAGCCACTGAGGAGGTCGCCGCCTCGGAAGACAATAGCCTCGTCCCGGCGCAGACGTCAGAGACCGCCGTCGCCGTCACTGACGGTGACGGCGATGCCACGCAGAAGAAGACCAAAAAAATCATTCGTCGCAAACGCAGACCAGCTCGAACGCAGGTAGATCCAGCTACGATCAAGTCCGAGCCACCGCCGCAGACAGGTACTGTGTTCAACATCTGGTACAACAAATGGTCTGGTGGTGATCGCGAGGACAAGTATCTCTCAAAACACGCCGCACCTTCACGATGCAATATCGCTAGAGACAGTGGATATACACGGGCAGACAAAGTTTCAGGCTCATTCTTTTGCTTGTTCTTCGCCCGTGGCGTGTGAGTAGACCCTTTCCACCCATCATCTCGTTTAACCTAAAACTAAACATGTGTTATGTCTAGATGCCACAAGGGTCATGAATGCGAATATCTCCATCGCCTCCCAACAGTGCACGATCTATTCAACCCTAACAATGACTGTTTTGGTAGAGATAAGTTCAGCGACTACCGAGACGATATGGGCGGTGTGGGTTCGTTCACGCGCCAGAACCGTACACTTTACGTTGGACGTATCCATGTCACCGATGACATTGAGGAAGTTGTCTCGCGTCATTTCGCCGAATGGGGCCAGATCGAACGTATCCGCGTGCTGACGTCGCGCGGCGTTGCGTTCGTGACCTACACCAACATCGCGAATGCCGAGTTCGCTTTGCAGGCCATGGCCCACCAGAGCCTTGACCACAGCGAGATCTTAAATGTCCGTTGGGCAACCGTCGACCCCAATCCATTGGCGCAGAAGCGTGAGGCCCGTAGGCTGGAGGAACAAGCCGCTGAGGCCGTCCGGCGTGCTCTCCCCGCTGACTTTGTCGCGGAGCTGGAAGGACGGGACCCAGAGGCTCGGAAGAGAAAGAAGATAGAGGGGACATTTGGTTTGGATGGGTACGAACCGCCAGACGAGGTCTGGTATGCCAGATCACGAGAGCTCGAGGGTATGGAACAACAAGGCCAGCTTGACGCACCGCATCAACCTCTGATGATTGAATCTACCGCATCGTCGACCGTGCCGCTTCCCCAGGCCGAGACTGCGGGTGGTATTTTCTCGAACTCGACGGTTGCAGCCTTGAAAGGCCTGACTGGAGGAAATGTGACAACACAAGCAGGCCCCAAGAGCGTCGGTGGGCCGTTAGTCGCTTATGGCAGCGATGACGACAGCGATTGATTGATCATTAAGTTTTTTTCAACTTCCTACCAAAACTAGACGCATTTTCTTTTCTTTTGATATGTATAATAGCAGAGATACCTTGGGAATATCATCATTTCATACTTGCTAATTACATGCTCTGACTGTATCATAGATATCACTTCTGTAAGATACCTAAGATGACAAGAAAAAAAGTGAATATAATATAAATTCATCAAACATCTTACTCATCACCGATGTGGTGCATGGCCCAGGTCATAATATTGACAAGAGCCTGTGCGATAGTTATATATGAAGGCGTTTGTGAAGCCTTCGGTGCTGTCACCCACGCCATGGCTTTCGGATGCGAGATCCAGAAGTAGGTCATGTACCTGGCCGAGATATTTACGTTCCGTTAATGGTGAATTTTGTATGACTGTACGCCAGCTGTCTGGGTCAGACAGCCGTGTATCGCGGATGGCCTCGAGGACGTCGTCTCTCGTGTCAATAGCGACAACTGGGCCTTCCAGAGCCTTTTCAGCTACTTCTCGAGAGCGAAGAAGAGCTATGCCACCCAAATTAGCCACTGAAAAAAAAAGAAAAACCATACCTCCACTGGGCAGGAAGGCTTACCAGATTCCACGATATTTCGTCTATTCGTCTTCTTGCTCCGATGCTGAGGAACGAGAATGCGCACATCAGTGGTCCTCTCATTGTGGGCCGATGATGAGTCCGACGGACCCAACAGTTTAGGTTGTTTAGAATAATCCAAAGAGGCTTCACGAGGCATCCGAGCTCGCATCTCAGTTCGTAGCCAGGGTATTAACTCCGAACTTCGCAAATCGAACTCCTCTTTGCGGATGAGACTTCGAATCTTGAACCCACGCTCTTTGCTATCCTGCTTTGCAATGACAATCCAACTGTGATTATGGTCTTTATACTTCGATAAGAGCTCTTCCAGCGAGGAGGCATCGACAGCGAGCTCAGCACTGATTTCATGTTGCCAAAGGTCTTGAACGATCTTGATGCCCGTAGTGCGTAATACAGAGGCATCAAAGCTAGCGACAAGTACATCGCACTGGCTAAAGTCAGTAAAGCTGGCTACTTACCAATGGTCAAGGGATGAGAACATACCCTACGGGCTTTCCAGAACTGTGTAGCTTCCAGCTCAGGGTGCCTGATAGAAGACTTGAACATGAAATCCAAATACTCAATCATTAACGAGCTGAGTTTATCCCAGCTCAGGTTGAAGCCGACAGCGCGTGCTTGAGAATGACTTGATAGAATCTTTGGACAAAACTCCTGGACCAAGCGATCATATCTCCCACCAGCGGCAAACACATCCCGTCTCTTGCTGTCAAAGACACACTGAAAAAGGACACTCCCTCTGAAGAATTTGTCGTTTAGGCTGCCGAGAGGATTTATATATATCTTTCGTTTCACATTAAAGCCCTTGAGGTAATTCGCTAGTATGCTCAACCGCGCGAATATCGGCGTCAATCGCTCAGCAAACTCTGTTCCTTCCATGATAGCTTGAAGTCGCTTGTGAGTTTGCTTGGGAGAATCTATTCTCTGATTAGTGGTAACTTGCAATCTAGAAGAAATCCCGTACGAACCTTTGAAATCGAATCGTGCAAGGTCGTCTAATGACGTAGATGCCACTCCAATTGCCGGATTTCGAAGCTCACTTCTGATCTTCTGCATTGTCCATTTACCGATGTTCAGCTTACTGATAGTCTCTTTTACCCTTGGTATCTGAGATGGGGTAATGCGGCAGAACTCCATGATGATCTGGAGCAAGTCGGAATGGTTGATGAGGAAGCACATTGAGGCTGATCTTAGAGGAGGCATTTCCTCAATTATCTCGTCCAAAACCTTGATCACCTCGGCTTCTTTTAATGCGAGATCCAATGTATTATGAGAGACAATATCAAAGTCCACCTCCCTATGTGTCCTTGGCTGGCCTCCATGAGGCGATTCTCGGTATACAGTACCAAAGGCAAATGTCTTTTCCAGAGAGGCATCCTGGCGTGGGATTGCACGGGCGTTTGGAAGAGTGAGGTCAAAGGGCAATTGAAGCAGGTTGCCAGAGGAATCCAAAAGTCGCACGCCGTTTTCGTAGTGCTGAGACCGCGGAAACAGCATCTGTCTTGGGGACTCCACAGCCCCATGCTTGCGAAAGATCGAAACCAGCCTCTCTTTCACGAGCCCTTGGATTAGCAGCTCATTTGCCGCCGGGGAGCCGCGCGACTCCATGTCCCACGCAATGTCTTCGAATTTCTTTGGAGATTGCGAGAATATGGCCGAGAGAATCTTTTTGTAATCCGGAGAAGTTGGATCAGAAAGTAAGTGGACGATCGCACGTCGGAAGGTCTCTTCTTCAACCTGAAGTGGGATTCTGCCACTTTGAAGTATCTCACTAGCTGAGGGTCGCTGGCTTGGAATATGGTTCAAGAGCGACTCAACAATCTGCCCCTGAACAACTTTCTCGGATTGATCAAACATTGGCGGAAGGACATGGTTTTTTTCTCGGATCGATCGTAGCATCTGATCTCGTTCCATGCCTGTCGGCAGTGGATAGCACATTTCAAAGAATATGACACCGAGTGAGTACATCTGTGTGTTGAATCAGCAGGGGTTCATAGGCCTTTGGGTATCTTGAAGATGCTCACATCAACTTTCTCATTGTATTGGCCAGAAAACCCGGATTTCATCTCTGGAGCAACGTAGTACGTTGTGCCCAAGCTTCGGGTTAGATTACCATCAAAATTTGCCGCGCTACTTGAGCGCACAGCTGTCATGAACTGGCCACTGGTCGCAAGACCAAAGTCACCGATTCGAGGGTTATTTGCGACATCAATGAAAATATTATCGGGTTTTAGATCCCGATGGATGATTCCATGACTATGTATATGACTGAGGCCGTCCAAAATCTGCCTGAATAGACGCCAGGAACCGTCGATGTCATCATACAGACCGTTTTTAATAAGGTCACGAAGGGTCTTTCATATCATCAGTACGCTTCAAAGTCTTGAGCTGAATTGGTAGAAGGCAGGGGCAAGATAAAACTCACATGTTTCTCGCAATACTCCATCTGAATATAGAGAATAGTAGTCACTAGACGGCCTTGGGAGCCGGACCTAGTACGACTTATTTCAGTACCAACGCCACTATCAGTCCTGTAACTCTCTGTGGTATCTTCCCTTCTTTCGAGAGTGGAAGGTGTGCCGTCGTTTTCTTCATCGCTATCCACACCAAACTCGATCTTTGGATAGCCGCTCGAGCTGATGAAGTCAAGACCGCCAGTACTGTATCCAAATTCACCTTGTTCATGACTGCAGATGAAATCTCCTTCGGTAGTTGAAATGGCATCTTCCTCAATGTGACGCCAATCTTCCTCTAACCACGCTGTGTAATAACGTACAACATAGGGGTGATTGAGTCGAGACAGAAGCATGATTTCTGATAGCGTATCTTTCAAGGCTGCAGTCGAGTTCTGCGAAATCTTCTTGACAGCGTAGAAACGGCCATCAAGTTTATTTCTAGCTTTAACGACCTGACCAAAGCCCCCTCTACCCAGATGACCTGCTTCGTCAAAGTCCTGGCTATAACGTGACAAAGCAGGCAAACCACTTTGGGAGTCAAGGCGAGGGCGTCGCGGTATTGATATCGAGTTTGAAGCACTGGTGCGCGAGATTAGAGGTGCATTAACTCGAAAGAACTCCGAAGGCTGCAGTTGGAATGCCGTTGGCCTCTTCTTCGGATCAGGCTTGAAGATCTCATGCAGCAGATCCTGTAGAGGAGCCGACAGCCCAAGAGTGCCCATGAGAGCATTGGCGGATGTATAACGCACAAGGATATCTTTCCCGAATGCCATCTGGAGGAAAACAATACCGAGATCCCAGACATCTGTCTTCATGGTGGGGGGCGTACCCTCCTGCGTCAATTCAGGTGGTAGCCAGAATGGTGACTTCGATGTGGTCAGATCACGCTTATCGCCAGGAGAATTTGGCAGTGAATCTTCGACCCTTGCCTGCAGCTTCACATTGATGCCGCCAGCCTGATTTCGGAATAAGAACACGCATCCACAGTCAATAGAGCCATGCACGAAGCCGCTGCGGTGATAGAACTCCAGGGCCTCAAGAAGCTGGATCATCCAGGAGCGAATATTCTCGACGGCGATGGTTCCCACTATGTCCAATAACTCGGACAGAGAACCCTTGTTAGCGTATTCAAGAAGGACGTATATCCGCCAGCTACCATCAAACTCTCCCGGTTCCAAGGGGCGATGGATCTTGAATCCTACAAAATCCACAAGATTCGGATGGCGGAGCCTTTTCAAAGCCTCCAGCTTATCTTCACTTGAGCGCATCTGCTCTTTAAAGACTGGGAAGCCGCAACCTTTGTCTAGAAGAAGAATCTCTTTTAGAACTAGAAGTGGTGCGTGAGGTCTGCTCTCCGAAACAACGGGTCGGACTGTGAAGGTGTCATGGCCCTCGCTGCTTTGGAGTAGTGTCTTGCCATAAACAGCACGGAAGGCAAACGGTTGTTTATGGGCGTCGTTCATAATGAGTGGCGGGTCAAAAGAAATTGCGCCGGGGTTCTCCACGCTCGAATCCAGAAAAGCATCGGCGTCCATTCCCGATGCATGACTCTTACGCCGCGATTTCCGCGCCCTTGTACGCTGTCTCATTTTATCTTCCAACTGTTGCTGCAATTCCCGTTCCTCCTCTGCGGTAGCAGCTTCCTGCTTACGAAGCTCCTCCTGTCTCTCCAGCTCCGCCCGTTGAATAGCCGCAGTCTCTTGTTCGATGCGTTCTTCTTCTAGACTGGGAAGATCCTTATCCTGAGCCCTCGCCTGTGCAGCATCTTCCAAGACATCCTGGATAGACACGGCAATCTCGTATATCATTTCCGAGCCAAGAAGGGTTTTAGGCTTATTGCGGAGGATCTCTTTGATTCTGGCCTGGGCTCCTAGGCGCAAGTCTTCGAGCTTCTCTACAGTGATATTGGGAACGGTCTTGGGATACGTCGTTGGCAGGTCCACCAAGAGCATGATTCGGACATCGACATTAGAAGACGCTCGCAAATGGAGCTTGAAGGCAACTTCCGAGGATTGCTTAACATTTCAACAAGTACACATTAGTCACAACCGAAGCACCACATCCGCATATCTCACAGCTCGTTTCCTACCTGCCAAGCTGACCGCCTCTGTTCGGCATCCTCAAAGTCCTCGCCATATATCGAGCGGAGCGCTTCCACCTCGTTTTGATGTATTTCCTGGTAATTTGTCGTCGTCGTCGTCGTTGCTAAGGCGGGCGGGTGGGCCAGGGGTAGGTCCATAGAAGGCCTCTGCTTGTTCGCCCGGGGCGACCCCTTCGAAACGGCATTCTGGTTCTTCTTCTGTTTGTGAGGCATAGCGGGGCACGTGGGTGGTCGACGATGCTCGGAGATACCCAGACTTTGTTGGCCTTTGCCACGGGTGACGGTGACAAAGATGCAGCCGAAGCTGCAGCCCTCTACAGCTCAAGGGAGCTCATATTCACCGGTACAAGAATCAATGAAGGGCAGCTTTGGGGATAGGAGACTTGCAGGGCGAGATCAAGGCGAAGAGGGAGGATTTGAGCTCTTCAGATCTGAAGAAAGAGCGGTATCGATAAAACGGCCGATGGTTTTTCCGCCATGCACACCGCCTGCCGTGGTGGGGGCGATGCGCGTGTTTCGCTGCCACTGGCGAAGACGCTCTCCGCCCTTGCTCTGGTAAACAAAGGTCAGCGTTCCACGTCAAGCAGCCCTGTCACACCTGGTGGGTGCTGCGACGCTAATGGAGAGGCCGTTCGTGTCAGGCGATTACTAAAACCTCTCATGATTTAGAGAGACCCTTTACGGAGTACTGTGCAGAGAGAACAGTGCTGGAGTGGATCAACGGTCCAGACAGCGCAGACGCCACAAGGTACGTTACGTCGCTCTGTTTGGCTTTGGAGTTTAAAGCATGAGTTCTATGTGGACTGACTGAAGACTGGTTTCTCTAGGTTTCATCAAAGATACCTTCAAAGATACTACTTCCAACGTGATGGAACCACCCGAGACTCCCGCGCCGGTGTTTGCGTTACGCGCTTTCAAGAGTGCGCTCTTCGGCACTCCGGGTGAGGAGGAGGAGAAGGAGGAAGAGAATCAAGGGCAAGCGGTGAAATTAAAAAGCATACCCGCTATCAATCCGATAGGCAAGACCGACGCCTTGAAGCAAACAACCGGGTCCGCGGAGGATGCAGAGCCCACGAAAAAAGATGTCGATTTGGACACACAGGTGATGGTGTCCCCTACAAAGGGCATCCTCGTCACACCTGGAACTATATCGAATCGACGCAAAACCGTTTCATTTGGGCAAGAGGTGGTGGATAATGAACGAAAACGCGACGCGTCGCCAAGCAAAACCCCAAGAACGCCGACTCAGAAACCTGGAAATGTCAGCTCACAGTGGTTGTCCGCCTCATCCGATGGGAAAAATAAACCAAGGAGCAAGCTGACACAAACCCTGATGGATGCTCGGGAGAAGACCCCTCCTACCTCTCAGCCCACAAGGACCGGACAAAAAGAGCTTGCTGAAGCGCAGACGAAAGTGTGCTCAGACGACCACAATGACGAAACTTTGAATCTGGACGAACCACGTTCCCAGTCTGGAAAGTATTGGAAGGCTGAGTTCGAAAGCTATCGTGTGAAAACCAATCGAGAAATCAAAAGGTTGATCCAATACCGCTCTATCGCCAAGTCATATGCTAGGAGAAAGGATGAGGAGGCTGCGCGACTAGCACAAAAACTCCGTGAAGAAGAGTCCAGGGTCGCAGCTATGGAACGCCATGTCACCAAACTCGCGTCGAATATGGTCACCGAGAGCAAAGGCGCAGACAAGGAGCAGCTCATCCAAGATCTCACTAGGCAGACCGCATTGGCCTTGCAGTACAAGCATCGCGTCAACTTGTTGCGGAAAATGCTTGAGACTCACGGGGTGGTGAGTGGTGAACTCGACGAGATCGCCGGACAAGCGACGGACCCGATGCCTTCTGATCCATCAGCGGATGAGCTGCGCAAGGCTCAACAGGCATTGAGTCAGGCAAACTCTAAGATCGAGGAATTGAGGCAGCAGCAACGATCAGATTTAGAGAAATTACAAAACCTGGCCCAGAGCTCGGAAACGAAAGCGATTGAGCTTGAGAAAGAAAACATGTCCCTCAAGCAGACACTTGCACGCGTTAAGCAAGAAATGAACAAATATGAGGGTCGACGCAAGGAGAAAGAAGCAAGACTGAAGCAGCGTGAGGCGAAGCTGGAGATGCGGGTCCAAGAATATAGAGAACGCATCAAGCAGCATCGTGAGTCGGAAGAAGCTCTCAAAGACTCTTTCGACGAAGAACGCAATCGTATGCAAGGAGAGATTGACCTTCTCAAACTTAAGCTGGCAACTGTGGAGCACTTCCCTGAAATGCGCAATCCCCGCCGATATACATACAGTCCTCGCAAGGTCTACCCCGGGGTCAAGGTCTATGACTTTGGGCTTTCAAACGATCTTGAGTTGCAGGAAAATGAGACCGAGGAATTTGAAGAGCCCCCAAGCCCAAGCCCACGATCCAAGGATCGCTCGCGCCAAACGCGTGCATCGACCACAGCCATGCACGATTTGAGACGAGCCACGAGACGAATTGGTGCGGAAGACAACGAAGAATTCACAGACTACCTTGATCACTCTCCACGGAAAGCACTGCCTTATTTCTCTCACCAGCCCCTCACTGCCAACCACGAGGTCATGCTTCCTTCTTCGCCGCCTGAGATCTCCCAATTCGATACCTCTGCTCGCATCCTAGCCGAACAGCAACAGTACCAGCGAGATAACCGTCGTGCCTACGCATCCCTTCGTTCAAACATGATCACCCTTCCTCCTCCCATACCCGATCTAGGGGAGGAGCATACCCAAAGTCGCACCCAGCGCTTACAGTCCCGGCGTGCCCCCGCAAAACCCAGACTTGAGTCAAATCCTATCCTAGCAGCTCCTCGAGTACGCAGCGCAGCTGTTCATCACGTCGGGTCCAGCCGGCCCGGGAAAAAGGCCAATCTGGCCAGCGTCCAAATCGACGCCATGACTGCTGAACGTATTGCCGCTGCGCAGGCAAGACTCCGGCGCAAAGAACTGAATCGGAGACTCAAAGATGAGGGAAAGGAAAACATCAAGGCTTACGCTGATTGATGAGCATCACAAGGAATTGAATTGCTTTTCTGGTTGATATAGTATTGGAAGGGTCTTTTCGGGAAAAGAAAGGGGGGGGGATAGGGTTTGGTTTCTGCCGGCGTAGGAATACGGGTCTCTATTCGGTTTTCCGTCGATTCTTTCTATCGCGTTTCATTTGTTTTCATCTCCATAGTAATGTCTGTTCCGGATATACCCCGTCCTGTCATTTAATTCAACTTTCTGTTTGCAATTATGCATCATCTGAACCAAACAGAGAGCTATCTGCAGGTTCTCTTTACCTCATGCTTTGAAAACACCCTGGCATCTGCCGTTGTATCTATCTCATATCTTGTCTAATCATCTCCATCTCGCTAGGCAAGCCAGGTCTAGTGGACTCTCTATGCCCATCTTACGTACTTCAACAAGCTGCGTTGCCTAGGTCTTAAGCCTTCCCATCGCAGAACGACACAACGGCATACTTGCCGCTCCATGCCCACTTCCTAGCTCCGGAGCTGCCGCCACCGTTGGGTGTCTGTTTGAGCTCTTCGTCCTTGCCGGATGGCAGGCCGACGACCACGTCTGCCTTGCAGGTGCGGAATGCGAGGATACGGATATCCGATTTGGGTCCAAGGGGACCAATTGCGGTGGTGAAAGGGGTGGTAGGGTCCCAGTCAGCCTTGAATGAAAAGTTAGTACCGAGGTATTCAGGAATAAACGATAAGAAGGTATAATGTGGCTTACATCACAGGTGAGCTTTCGGTAGTTGAGATCGCCCTTGAAGAGGACGAGTTCACTCTCCTTGAGGTCCTCGTACAGCTCTGGTGCCGTGGCGGGAAGGCGCCAAAAGGACCCGGGCCCAGTCCAGAACCGGTGAGGACGCAGGATCAGTTTGCCTTCCTGGTGGAAACGGCTCCATTCAGCGAAGAGGAACTGGATGTCGGAAACCTCTTTGTCGGAGAGGGGCTCGCTATTTCGGCCTGAGTCATCGGCGGTGGTATAGAAGCCCTGGGGATCTCCCAGGGCGTTCAACAGGTCGGAAAAGTCGCGAGGGGTGACGTCCGAGACGAACCAGGGGATCACCTTTGGGTGGAAAACGACAGTGGTCGCCAGACCAGCGGACAAGAGGTAACCAGCAAGAATAAGGTCAACGTAGAGCTCGAAGCCGGAGTTGTCAAGGACGATATCCACGCGACGATCCGCGGTCTTCCCCTTCTCCTTCTGTGCGTTGCGCAAGCTGTCAAAGGCAAGGTCGAGGTTGTTTACGATGATGTTCTCTTCCGCTGCCTTACGAGCTTTGGAGCCCTGCAGTTTCTGGATATCCTCGTATGTGAGAGAGGTCAGGAGGGAGAGATCCGTCGCGTTCCCCCACAGGCAGATCTCGCACATCTCCTTAAAGAGCAGTCTCTCTTTCTGCTCGACTTCTTCCGCGGATGCTCCATCCAACCCCTTGCCCTTCTCCATTTCCGTCACCAGCTCTTTGTACCTAGCCGCGAGTTCCAGCACTGCAGGCCGGGAGGACTTGAACGTGGCGATCTTTTGGCGAGCAAAGACATCATAGCCCCTCCAATGCTTCGACAGCGAAAAAAAAGTACTGATGCGTCGGTCTGCCCCCCTCCTAGTCAGTGTATTTTCCGTACAGCTTTTCCTGGAACATACATAAATAGCATTCAGAGAACAGCCACGGCACGTTCAACCAAACGAGGGACCCGCGCTTTTCCAGCTCCTCGTTATATTCCACGATATCAGGCTGCCCATCGTCCGGTAGCGGCCTGTTCACACCCATTCAAACGCGATCAGCCTCTTGTTCCTTTTCTTTTTCTCGGGTCACCCCGTTCCAGATAAGTCGGTGTACACACGTCAGCTGGCGATCATGCTGCAGCTCATATTTTAGTTTGGCCAGGTTCTCAATGATGCTTTTTCCCTCCTTGCGCTTCTCCTCGTCCGTGACATCGGCGACGGTGCGGTGAAGATCGTCGATTGCACCTGTCTGCAGAAACATGTTAGACGCGTCTCGGGATGATCCTCGAGCAATTAACATACAATAATTACGGGCCAGCGGTCGCGCGCAGATACCGACGCGAAGCTTGTCGCATCGGCGGTGGAATATTGAGCTGCCAGGAATCATTTTAGCGGGGTAGTCCCCCGAGAGCAAGGGTAATTAGAAGAAACAAAAGGTTCTTACGGGTGTTGCTGTCGAGTTCCATCGTGTTCGCCGTGCCTAGATGCTCAATGAGCCTGGTAGAAGACAAAAACGAGAGTCAAATGAAGTCGATCGAATATGGGATTTTAGATACAGAGTAGAAGCTCACCGCAGGCGGGGGAGTACAATCGGGTGGATATCGTCGACTTATCAACCCCTCTATCTAATATCTACCATGTAGATCAATATTTCGGTTCGCGGTACTTTGGTATAGTTATTGACACAAACTAAGCTGCAGGCAATTTCTTGAAGCTAGGCCAAATGAATATAAGGAAAATCTCTTGACTTGATTTCATATCGTTTATCATAGCATGTTCTCCAATGTAAATATCTGCTCTCTATGCAAAATGCTGAAGTGGATACAGACATCATACATGCCATGGCATATTACATAGTCATGTAATGATATCCTCTCGAACAGCAGATGACAGTAAATATAGAGGAAAGCCACATCTCTCCTTCGGATCGACCGACATATCTGGGAAGAATCGTTGGAATCCGGATGAACGCCGACCCGCGCTCGGAATCACACATCAATCAAAAGTCATCAATCAAATCACATCATGGAAAGAATAGAGTTCTGGGCGTAGGCCTATACAAGCAGTGAGTAAGTGTGGGTTTATCCTCAAAGTAAAGGTGAAATATATAGCACTTACCATTGGCTTGATGTCAGGGTGAGGCACGGCTTCAAAGACCTGGTAATTCAGCTTGAGCTCCGGGCCAATGTTGATAAAAGCACCCTTGTTTTCTGTGGTGTCACAGTATTTTGGTGCAGAGAAGACAGTGATGCATCGGCCGTCATGCTCAACCTCATAGCCATCCATGCGCACTTCGTGCGAGCGAATAATAGCCTCGAGGCCGTTCTTCTCACAGAACCGTTTCGTGACATCCGGACCGAACTGCAGACCGACGCCTCGCTTGCTGGGGCCTCGGCCGGGCTCCGTTTGCGGGTCAGTCCAGAGCATCTCCATCATCAAGCCCTGCTGGCCGGGCTGTCGCTGGTTGTGACGGTCCAGTTTCCGGATGTCGTCGAGGGTGGTCTTGTCGTCGGAGAAGAGGCCGCCGTGTAGAACCAGGTACTTGTCTCCGATCAATGTCGCCAGGGGCAGGGCCGAGAATGACTCGGAGAAGACCTTGAACACCTTTTCGTTGTACTTGGCCCGACACTCTCCCTCAAAGCCGTACACCTTGTTCATGTCGTCTGTTTCGTGGTTTCCGCGGTTCAGGAACATACCATTTGGCCGCAGCCACTTGTATGCATAGAGAAGAAGGGCAATCTCCGTCGACCACGAGCCACGATCCACAAAGTCACCATTGAAGAGATACGCATGTGTATCTGTCGGGTATCCGTTGAGTCTGAAGATCTCCAAGAGATCGAAAAATTGACCTAGAGAAAGTGAGCATACGAGTACTCGGGAGCAAGAAAAGGCCCTCGGTACTCACCATGTGTGTCACCGCAGACCGTCAACTTCTTGCCCTCCTGAACCCCAATCTCCACCATTGTCGGCTCCGCATAGACAATCTCCTTAACCGCCTTGATGATCTGGAAGACGTACTTGCGGTGGATAAGCTTGCCGTTCTTGAACCGCTCGATCATATCATCGATGAACTCCTGCGTCATCTCGTTGCCTAACCGGACGCCATCGTAGCCGTCATCCACCACCATTGAATCGATATTCAGCTCCTCGAAGACTGACGGTGGGTCGGAAACCTCGATGGCTTTCTCGAACTCGATGCGGCGCACTAGCTTCTCGCAGTCTACTAGCTTTAGCTTCGCATCGCGGTTGTTCGGCTCGCGCTTGACCACAGCCCTGAAGTCCTTGAGCGCTTCGCGGTAATTGAGAATCGCGGTATTTGCAAGAGCTCGTCTCCAATACGCCTAAAAACATAACAACCGAATTTAGAGTCTCATTCTCCTGTCTTTTATCCTGTTTCCCCAGTAGACGAACCTTGACGTAGGAGGGGTCCAACTCTAGTGCCTTGGTAGCGTCTGCGATCGCGAAGCCAAATGCCTCGAGTTTGATTTGAGCCTATCGACAATTCAAACCTTTCATCAGCATGGCCCTCTCAGACTATGATTTATCTCCCAAAGACATACCTGCGCCCGGTTACTGAAAAACGAGGGCTCCTTGTCGTATTTCTCGATAGCTTGCGTGTAGAAGCTGATAGCCGTGGGCCAGTCATGGCTAGCAAAGGCCTTGTTGCCCTGCACCTTGAGCGCAGTGGCGGCCTCTTGGTCCGACGAAGCCATGGCGCTCGCACGATTGAGAGGGGAGAGGGGGGAGAGGGGAGAGGAAAGAAGAGGAGAGGAGAGGAGAGGGGGAGGGGGGAAAGCAAGACTAAGCGGGTAAGACGCACGAGACAGCGATGACGGAGGAGAGAAAGCACTGCAACTCGGAGAAAGAAACAAAACAAGACGCTGAGAAAAACGGAAGGGGGAAGCTCAAGAGAAATCAATCTTCCGGCAAACCAGTTTCTGGACACTTTTTTTCCCGTCCTCTAGAGAGCCTTTTTACTCTTTTCCCCTTCCCATCCTTGCTCCGATCCGAATCGCAGGGCCGGGCCTTGGCATTGCTTTTTGCAGTGGTTCGAGAACCATCTCCAATCAAGCTCCCTCAGTCTCCGTACGCCCTTCACCTTGCTCTCTTGCTTCCGCTGTGCTCTTGGATAAGTTGGGCATTTCTTCGTTATTATACTATCCATTCTAAAATACTGTTCACCCTGATCCCTCATTTCCTCATTCCCTCATGTCCTACTACGTGGCTCCCGGCCAGCAGCGCACTCTCCGCGCCTGCATGGTGTGTTCCCTCGTCCAGCTTCACAATGTAAGCCAGAGAATCCATCCATTTGCTTCTCCACCTTTTTCTATGGTTGTTCTAATAAAAGTAGAAATTCATGCGTGAAGGGTGCCCGAACTGCGACCATGTCCTCGGTCTTCGCGGCAACAACGATGCCATCCAAGAATGCACGTCGCAGGTGTTTGAAGGACTGATCACGCTGCGGGATCCGGTGACAAGCTGGGTGGCACGCTGGCAGCGGTTGGAGGGATACGTGCCGGGGACATATGCCGTCAAAGTGACGGGATCGGTGGGTTGCCTCTACTCTCTATCCAAGTAATGAATCGAATAAGTGGATGGCTGACAATCAATGCATGGATAGCTCCCTGACGAGGTCATTTCGAGTCTGGAAGATTCCGGCGTCAAATATATCCCGTACGTTGTTCCCCCCCTGATGGCTTGTGCATCTTGACAAACTTTGGGTTCTAATTGTTGGGTAGGAGAGATGGAAGCACGGGTGAGGAGGAAAGCTGATGGGCTCGACGTCCATACGTCTATTGCTTTGTTCACCATACGATATCTAGCGATGGCATTGATATCTTCATGCAATTATGGAGTTGATGGTTTATTTCTTCTTTGATTCTTGATACCTGGAGCATGTTTGGGATGGTACTTGAAATTGTCTGCCTGGTTTACATACAGTCTCTTTGTTGCAAAAAAAGAATTGCCACGGTTAGACTGAGCCGTCATCAATTCTACATAGTCGGTACCAGCGCCTGGCTTTTTAGATGGAATTATATATAATTATTGATATCGCTAGAACAAAACTGGACCAAAAAACCTTGGGCCCCCAACGCCAGTTGTGCCCAAAAAGAAAAAAAAAGGAAAAGGAAAAGAAAAGTAGTGATAACAGGGTCAGATCATGAACGAGGTATCGCCGACGTAAGACTGGGACATGAAATCTTCATCAATCGGGAATACTTTTACTGCTTGATGATCTTCTCGAGGTTCTCAAGGAGGATATCGGCTGTAGCAATTAGTTAGCATCTGGGTTTTCCATCGGATCAATTCTTGGGTTTGAAGAAGACTTACCATGGTGCTTCTGGAAGATCAGCATGGGACGCAGGCGGACAGCGCTCGCGCCGCTACCGCCGATGTTGATGCCGAAGCTCTTGGCCTTGACCAGGATCTCATCACGGTTCGGGGTGTCCCAGGCGATGAAGGTACCCTGGCCCTTACCACGGAGGTTCTGGAAGTGCTCCGGGTACTGCTGGGACAGGCGCTCGAGACCAGCGTAGAGGTAGTCACCGGTGATGGCGGTGTTCTCAACCAGCTTAAGACGCTCGATTTCCTCGATGATGGCGCGGAAGATCAGGGCGCGGGATGGGTCACCCATCCAGGTGTTGAACTGGCGGTACGGCTTGTTGGGGCGGAGAGCCGGGTTGCCGTAGTAGTAGCCGGCGGTCTGGGCCTTCTTAGAGAAGGTGACAATGTCCGGCGGGGTCTGGAGGTTCCAGTGGTCGTGGGCCCAGAACTTGCCGGTCGCGCCGACACCGGTCTGCACCTCATCGACAATGAAGAGCACATTGTGGCGCTTGGTGATCTCGCGGAGACCGTTGAAGAAGGCAGGCGAAGCGTGGTTGTCGCCTCCCTCGGACTGGATGGGCTCCACCACGACGGCAGCGACGGGGTTGTGGAACTCCTTGATGAGACGCTCCACCTCCTGCAGGCAGCGCTGCTCCTCGGCGGCATTCTCCTGGGCGTGCTCCTCAAGCGGGTACTTGAGTTGCGGGAATGGCGCCTGGGGCCAATCGAAGGAAGGAATGTCGAGCTTGTGGATAGGCTTGCTGCGCGTGGTGGACAGACTGCCAAAGAGGCGGCCGTGGAAGGCAGAGCGGAAGGACATGATGGACAGCTGGGGGGAGCCGGGCGACTGGTTGTTCATGGTGCTGGCAATCTCCTCCTCGCTGAACTCAACCTCAGGTCCACCACGCTCGCGCTGACGGTAGTACATGAAGGCGGCCTTGTATGCGGTCTCGTTGGCATCGGAGCCGGCCATGGCGGTGAACACCTGGTCCAGTCCCTTGGGGGCAACCTTGAGAATGCCGGTGTTCAGGATGCTGGCCCAATCAGCAGAAGGGAAGTTGCCAAGGGCTGGGCGGTTGATCAAGGAGTTCGCCATCTGGGGCGAGGCGGCAGCCTTAAGGAGATGAGGGTTGTTGTATCCCACAGGGATGGACGCAATCTGAGCGTAGCTGTCACAATTAGTATACACCCACCACCCAAGTAAACAACTCCACTCTCCTTCCTAGACAACAAGATACACTTACACATCAAGGAGAACATTTCCATCCAGATCGGCAATGCTATAACATCCATTAGCCATGGCCGACGTAACACCCCCACTGGGGGAAAGACTCTCCAACGTACTAGTTTCCAACCGACTTGGTATAGTCAGCGAGCATGTTCATGCTACGCACATCAAACACCTCGTTCAGCTCAGCAGCAGCCTTCTTGTTGTTGGGGCCCGGAATGGCGGTGACCACCTTGGGTCCCGACGGCTCCTCAGGGAAGAAGGGCTTATCGGCACGCAGCACACGGGTGGTGCTCATAGCACGAACCGCAGGCAAACGCGCAACAGAGCGCACCCGGAGGCTGGAGCGGGCAATAGAAGCCATTTCGATATTTGAGGCGAGAAGAAAAAAAAAAGCAAGTTGTAGTACCGAATGCGGGGAGAGCAGTGACGATAAGCAAGCGTGCAGGCTAGCTAGCTATCTGAATCCCTGACCGACCCTCGAGAAATCGGTTACGGTGTCAATTGCGCAGAGTGGAGAGGAGAGGAGAGGAGAGGAGAGCAGAGACGAAGGAGAGAAGAGTCTTGCAGAAACCACGGCCGGGTGAGATGTCCTGCGCAGGAAAGCCTTTATAGCCACTGCTGGGCCTTGGGAAGCTCTCCAATTCGGCTTGTGCTGCCCCGCGGGACGCAGCTGCAGTCGGCGGTTTGGACCAATCGGAGATCCCTGTTCTATCAACGCCGATCGGCGCAGGGCCGTGGGCACGTGTTTAAGTAGAACTTTCCGCCTCCGGTCTTCAAGCGAAGGCCATGGCTGATAACTAGTAGGTACTGTTACCTAAGACTTGAGTTGACTATCGAGGAAAGGATCCTCCGGGTATCTAAAGAAGAGGTGGTGGTTATCGCGATTGACTGATAACGAAGTGCAGAACGGCAGCAGAATGGGCCATTTCTCCATGTTACTTTGCAGTTGCTGCACTGCTGTGGCCAATAGTCACTGCTTGGCTGCGTTATGCTGTGACTAATTGCAGGAGTTCGAGACGTGTTCCAGTCTACTAATCAGTCTCCATGACCGCGATCGATCCTTCGAATCGGAAATAGATCGGAAGAACGGCATCATCTCTACCATGCTGACGGAGGATGCTATACTACATAGCGTTGTGCCAAAAGTCAGTGAACCAAGGCAGAACTACAGTTAACTAATAGGTTACAGCCGGACTGTTTTGTATTAACTACCTAAAGCAAGAACATATTTCTCTCTCAAAACCATCGCAGGGGTAGATAGAGCTCATTGCCGGTCAGTCGACAGCTAACGAACCAGCTTGAAGGACTGACGTTGACCCTTGAAACGTGAAGGAGGAGATAAAAAGGAAAAAAAAAAGAAAAAGCAAACCCCCTTGCAAAATCAGAACGCAGCATGTCTCGAGATCCAGGTACAATATCCTAGGAATGGAAGGTCATCATCATCTGCAAACATGAGATCGGCGCTTGTACATCAAAATTCGCAGTCCAGTCTCCCAGGGTCATTACAAGGTGAAATCTCGGCTCTTGTCAGAATGGGAATGCCGCAGCTCAAAAGGAAATCAAAAGCAAAAAAAAAAAAAAAATATCAGAATCGCAAAGTCTCGGCTGTCCAGCACAGGGTAGGGTTCAAAACTGGAAGTAGTGCAAGAGTGTAGACCGACCAAACGGTGATAGTTGAGGCTGCGGTTATCTTGACAAGTGCAAAATCCAAACGATTTCGACCTCAAAGAAAAGATGGTTTGACGAAACACCGATGGACCATGGTCTACTAATCAAGGCGCCCTCGAGCTCAAGCCTTTGTCAGTTTATCGAAGAGTTTCCACTCAGAACAAGACTCAGCCTTCTGGACATCTTCGAGTTTCCCTTTCTCGGTGACAAAGAAGTGACTGGAGGGAATACCGCCCCAGGACTTGTATTCCACGTAGTTCTTGATCGCTTCACGCAAGTTTTCTCTCTTTGCATTGTCGTTTCCAAGGATAGACTTCGCACTAATACACTTTGCAAAGTGTCCAGGGACCTGAGAGGGTAGGAAGGCCTCATAGAAGCGTCTCAGATGGGGACAGAAGTTGATGGTGGGCTTGAGGTGAAAATTGCAGGCAAAGCAGTACATGGGCACCTCGACGGATTTGCTCTTGACGTTGTAGTATGGAAGCTCAGCCACGCCCATGAAGCGCCATCTTCTGAAATCCTCCGGACGGAGTGGCTGGACCCCAGAGCCACGGGGGCGACGGGGCTTGTGAAGCGAAGGCGGACTACCAGATAGCGCAAAAGGATAGTTAGAAGCGATCTCGTCTCTCCTTTCCGCCATTTTAGTGACCCATTTAGCGATCGCATCGTGGTAGGCCTTCTCTCTATCCTGACGTTGCACTTCACTGGCTTGGATGGCTTTGGCAACAGATCCGTGCTCCTGCGTTGCTGCTTTGAGCACTGCCTGATAGCTCACCATCCACTTATCCCAAGTCACTCTTGTGGTTGCAATGTCATACTCCCCGGTCAGAGATCGCAGTTTGGGAAGCGCATTAATCGACTGACGGCTCAACGCATAATTGATCTCCGCGTGGAACAGCGGCATCAAGGTGAATTGAGGATTGTCTTGGAGACAATCAAAACAGCACCGCGAACAGGTAGGCAAGAATAAAAAGGGGCCTATCTTGCCGCAGTTTCGACAGTATGGCTGGTGCAATTCCATCAGAAGATCATTCAAAGTGATGAAAGCACAAGCCTTGGTCGCATGAATGATTTCCAGGATGTCTTTCGCATGCTTGTTCAGATGCTTCCAGACTGGCAAGTTGTCAATAAACTCCCTAATGACCGGGCTCACTCCTCTCGCCGCAGCCAGACTGACGAGGTCTAGGTGCATGAAAACGTTTTCAAGAAGTTCCAGAGGAAGCTGGTCCAACGCACAAACCACCGGAGCACCTCGATCTTTGGCCTTTGGCTCGAAGTCCTTGTCCCTAGGCAGAAGATTGTACGGCTTGTTAGGCACAAAATGATCGCAACGAGCATATTGTATTTTCGCCGGTGACAGCATCAGCGACCCCAGAGGAGCCTTGAAAGCATAGCCGCTTGCCATCTTCTTGACACAGCAAATGCAGCTCTACCGGGTTTCCAGGACCTAGATCAGTTAGTGGGCTTGAACAGAGCATGAATGCTTCCAATATGGGTATATTAACGTACCTTGGTGGACTGGATGGGAGAGGGCTGTTGAAATTCAGCCGGCGTATCTGAGCTGTTCGTTGATACTTGACGACTGAAATATCGGGGCCTTCTCGTTGGCGATACCTGGAGAAGTCCAATATTTGCCAACGTTAACGGTCGAAAGACAAGATAATTTCTGTTATCCAAAGAACCAAGGGTGTGGCCTACCTGGGATCGTTTTCCTACCGTCCCCTCGAGGAACTGAGCGCTTCTACCAAGTCTCTGGTGAAAATCAACGCGTCGCTGGCTGCTGATCTGGGTGCAGTAGCCAGGCTACTGCCCTCTTCAACAAAGACCACAGTTAGGACCGAGAAGGTACGCGACTTTCTGTGTTGGCAGACTTGGGCGAGGAGAAGAGAAAGAACCGCGACCGGGATGAGTTGAGAAGATGGAGGAGGGGTAGACCAAAAGTGATTCACTAGCCATATTTTTGCGGGCCTCTGTTCCAGTACATTATATGTGAGTTCTATCTCAGTTGGCAATCGTTGGAGGTGTTGTGATCTACCCATGTTGAAAGGACCCCAAAGAACATGACCACTAGAGTAGTTCAGTTGCATAACATCAAGAAAATGAATCTATAGACACATTAGTATTTAATTCTTCCACCTTGGAGTAGTAGGGATGTACCAGATAGGTGTCTATATCAACATCCTTTTCAGAAGGGAGGTGGTGATATGGCCAACCTCAGAACGAGGTCTCCTGGTGTTCGCCATATTTGACAGATTGGATCTCAACATGGAACCAACAGGGTAAGATAATTCAAAGAGACACCCAGTAGCAATTCTAAACCACGGTCATCTGCTTTCCAGCTCAAAATCATTCTTTATGCCGAGTGGAACGTATTATTTTGATAGAAGTTACACTCGAAGTAGAAAGAGCCGTCCAGTCACGTGATATATATTGACTTAGTCATCTATACGTCTCGCCTAATTAACCCGATTAAGTGGGGTCCACGGATTAACTATTCCCTCCGTGACCAGATAGTCGCTGCCTGAACTAGTGACTACTAGTTGGTTTCCTATGGAGTAGTTGGTGATGCCCATCTCATACGCGAAACGACCGTCGACGTGTCTATCTGAGGGACGAAGATCTTCTTCGTCGTCATCGAATCTGGGCAGAAATCGACTGGTGAATCGAGTTTTCCATTCAATCGATCTCTCTGAGTCCAGAGTCCTGACAATTTGGATCCCAATTTAACTTTGTCCACACAAACCGCACAGCCTGGCTCTCGGTGGATCCAGACGTGGCACTGTTGAAGGCCTGTTAATGGTGCGGCCCTTCCCGTCTGACGTTCCTGGGATACGTACCTCGAATAGAAAAACCGTGTTTCTCCTGAATGGGATCGGCTAAGATTACCGGGTTGAGGAGATTTCCATGAGTAAAAGCAATGGTTCCCGTGGTTCAGAAGCACGGTAGGTGAAACTGAATTAGTATTAGAGTGCTAATAATATGTATTGTGACAGACTTCAGGCTATACAATGGCGGTGTACTCCATATGGAGTCACTACTACTCCGTACTGGAACCCCCCGGAAGAGTTGAACGCTGACATTGCGGCTTGTTCTTGGCACCGTTTCACTATTGCCCCTTTGGCAAGCTGTGCGTGTACTCATGTAATACGGGATGAAACAGGGGCCTGAAGACACGCTTGTGGCTTCTGGCTTCAGCGGGGCTCAAGTCCCTGCTCTAGTCCAGTACGGAGTGCCTGCCTGCTCCCCTACCTGACGAGTACGAGTGGTGGCAAGTTATACGTCTATTATTTACGGAGTAATTGTCCATCGTCGACGTCCCGGAGAATGTCCGGTGCACTATGAAACGTCCAGCAAATGATAGGCCATGCACTGTGAGGCATTACGATCTACATGACGACTGAGTGGGCCTCTCAGGGACCAGCAGCGATTACTGTTGGGAAGACTCACGGGTCACCACACGGACTACGGGTCACGGAGGAATGGCCTGAATGGGGCCAGCGATATTTTTATAACCCACGCCAGTGCGCCATGGCAGCCATGGTGTTCCCTTTCTTTTTCTCAGCGTGGGGCAGGGCGTTTTCATATTTGACTACGGGTTCTAGGCTCAAGATCTGCTTCAGCCCTGCTCTGTTGCTGTGGGTTTTGGGTATACTACATAATTGCAACAATTGGCCATACATAACTCCCCTTTTTTCCCCAGTTCCTTCCTAGTTTCTACGCACCTTTTTTTTTATCTCAGAGTTACAGCTACAAGTCAAATCATGGAAGGAGGAAATTCACAAGAAGCAGCACCAGCTGCTGCTTCTGCTGCTGCCAATACCCATGATGCATTCACTTCAGATAGCGCGGCTCCGCCAGTGCGGGCTGAAGTGCATTCCCACGACATCGCCCATGGCCAGTATGTCATTCACCACGAGGAGGATGAGAATGTCCCTGCTCGCCAAAAAGTCACGCCCCGCCCGACCTTCCTAGACCACCTCGCAAACTCGCGCGAGGCGCAATTTATGCTGGATCGATCGAATTCGTCCGAGTTGGACCGTTACTTCGTACGATAGACCGATTCCATTCTGCAGGTTTGGCTGTCACTAACCTCGTCACTCTGGGTGTAGCATGGCCCCCGCGATCTCGACCGCCATTCTAAATGGCCCATGTTCATGCGGATGCACGGCAGTGTTCTGCCAGAGATGATCCTTCCGCTCATCATCGTTGCGATCTGGTCAACTCTGATCACCTGCATCTCGAAATACATCCACGACTGTTCGTCATTCTGCCGGGAGTATCAATTTTGAACAAGACCAAAGCTGACTGTTCTTTTCTATATAGTGGGGATTAACAGCATTCTGTTGACTGTCACTGGTTTCGTTGTTGGTTTGGCGCTGTCGTTCCGGAGTTCCACCGCCTATGAAAGGTGAGAGGAGTTGCAATTATTTGCTCAGCCTGGTGATTTGAGGAAAACTACTGACGCAGATCAGATGGGCCGATGGCCGGAAATACTGGTCTCTTCTGATCCAGACCTCGCGCAATCTCGCCCGCACGATCTGGATCAACACCAGCGAACGACCGGGAGACAAGGGCAAGGAGGATCTATTGGCCAAGGTGTACGTTCTGTGTGGAGGGTTGAGTGGCAAGAGAGAGACTTTTATCTAATTTGAAAACCGTGGTTTAACAGAACTGCACTCAACATGATCCTTGCTTTCGCCATTGCTCTCAAACACAAGCTGCGTTTCGAGCCAGACGTTGGCTACGAAGATCTTGCAGGATTGATTGGTCACCTCGATACCTTCGCCAAAGAGGCCCATGACCCCCAAGTCCTTCGCCCCCCGAAGAAGTCGGTCTGGAAAACGACAGGCGAATATCTCGGTGTCTCCTTCGCTGCGTCGAACCCAAGGAAGCTTGTCAAACGTTCCAAGAAGCCATTAGGCCATCTACCCCTGGAAATTCTGAACCATATCTCGGCCTATATCGACTCGGTCGTGGCCAACGGCACTCTGACCTCTGGTCTTCACCAGAGCCAAGCTAGTCAGTGCACCACTACTTCGAAAGCTAGTTTTCTATCAAGCTAACCGCTCAAACAGTCTCTGCTATCTCGTCATTGAATGAAGTCCTAACGGGAACCGAGCGTGTGCTGGATACTCCACTCCCCGTCGCCTACAGCATTGCCATTTCCCAGATATCCTGGATCTACGTCCTAGTCCTGCCGTTCCAGCTGTTCAACTATCTGGATTGGGTGACCATCCCCGGTTCTATCGGTGAGTCTCTCAAAACAACAGTGGAAAACATTATGATTCTCATGATTCTTATCTAGTTGGCGCGTATATCATCCTCGGCCTTGCTACCATTGGCTCGGAGATTGAAAACCCCTTCGGCCACGACGTTAACGATCTGCCTCTGGACACGTACTGTCGCCAGCTAGCCCTGGAGCTGGACATTATTACCGCCATGCCGGCACCAAAGGTCGAGGACTTTGTGAAGCGCAATGAGAACCTGGTTCTCTATCCACTGAGCCAGTCCGGCTACGACGAGTGGAAGGACCGCAGTGTGGCCGAGATCCGGGACGCGCTGCGCGCCAAGCTGATTGCCAACAAGCCTCCGGTAGCAGGCTCCGACTCATCAACACTGACTGAGAATGTCACCGTCGAGCTCAAACAGACTGTTTGAGTACTTCTGACCAGAATCACCATAAATAAAAGTCTGAGATTGGGGCATAAACTAGCGTGTGAGTTTGGCGTTGTTTGATATATCCTTGTTAAATCAATATATGTTGTTCAATTGTATAGTTTTTCTAGAGCAGGTATTGTCTAGAAAGCACCTTCTATAATAGAAGAATAATATCCGTATCGTCGTAGACAACAAGCATGCACCTGTCACACCTGCACAGGGAGAGAGCTTCATCCCTCCCCTCGAAAATCAAGGAACAAACAAATCACCTCCCGACCCATTGACCAGCGCCCCAAGGAAGTTTCCTCTCCCACATATCCTCCATGCAATATTGTTATTGTTGTTGGTATTATTCGACATGCTACTGCCACTGCTGGAGCCCACCCACGAGCTCACCGCAGCGACTACCCCCGGCGCATCCTCGCGCGGGACACGCACCCAAACGAGGTTCTGGCTATCGATTTTCAAGATATCAATCGCGATGGAGGTGCCTGTCAACCCGAGGAACTGCGACAGGGCGGACGTGAGGTGCGTGCGTGCAGTGAGAGGATCGACCGGACTTGACTGGATACTAGAATTTTGATATTAGCATATCACTATATTCTGAATATCGTCTTCACATACAGCTGCAGCTTCAGGTATGTCCACGGGGGATTGCGCGAGGTGAAAGTGACGACTGGTGTGGTTTCTGCTTTGCGCTTCGACATGGCGAAAAGATCGAAATAATTGGAAGAATAGAAAAGAAAAATAATGATAGTAATGATAGTACGACGCAAAAAGAACCCTTCTTCAATTGTCAGATCTTTATAGCGCCTTCAAGAACCCCGCGACTCCAGTGTAGGAATTCCTCTTCCCCCGTGTGAATTTCCACGTCGAGGCAGAGCGTTTTGTCGCGCGCTTTCGTTCCGCGGATCACCTCCACATCTGATTTGGGGATGCTGAACACCTATTGTTATTATAAGAAGAGAACAATTACCACCTTGTATACATATTTCATTAAAGGGAAAATAAGAATTACCTCTGCAAGAATTCTCGTCACCGCTGCATTCGCCTCTCCGTCTCGCGCAACGGCTGCCACGCAGATCTCCACGCGATCAGGTCCAACGGCCGTGATCCCCTCACGAAGGGGGGAGGCGTTCGGCTTCACGCGGCAGGCGATCTGGAGACGGGAGCGGTGGGTGGGTTTAGTTTGAGTGATGAGGCGGAGGAGGGGTTGCATTTGTTGGTTATTAGTTTCTAATTATTGGGCAGTGTAGGGAGGAGTGTTGATGAGATGTTTTAGTTGAAACTTCTAGCATTTCATATGGTAGTAGCTACTAGTTACGGAGTACTACCGAAGTACCTATATGTCCAACACGTTAATATTTAGTTGTGATCAACTAGGAACTACAGGAATTGACTAAGCTAAATACATAATCGTATACATTATTAGCCTAATTATACCACCTCCTGGTGGTGCTCTTCGATTGCTGCTTCAGCCTTGGCAGAGACGCCAGTACCGTCGTTCTCGTCCTCATCACGATACTTGGTGTATAGTTCTGGACACACCGCATCCTTGCGCATGAGAACGTATCGCCGGAACCACCAGGGGGCCACTTTGGTGAGCTGATACTTGGCGTGGGTGCGGGTGGGCACGCCAAACACATAATCTAGTTCTTCCAGCGAGCGCTGTTTGGTCTCCGGTAGGAAGAAGAAGATCAAGGCAAAAGCCACGAGATTCAGACCAGCATAGAACCCAAAGGCACCCTGGGCCTTGAAGGATGATAGGATGTATGGAAAGCTCAGGGATAAGATTGCAGCCCAGAAATTGTTCGTGGCCACGGCCCACGCCATCCCCACCTCACGGTGAGACAGGGGGAAAACCTCGGCGGAATAGGTGAACGGGACAGGGCCTTCGCCAGGTGAGTAAAAGGCGCAGAAGACGTAGACAAAGAAAGCGATTCCACCCAGATGGCCTTCCTTGTTGCTCGACGGGATCCAGAAGCAAAAGCCCGCGGCAAGCAATGACCAGCACATGTTTGGGAAGGTGAAGAGAAGCAGCCCACGCCGGCCGAAGGTGTCAATGGTCCAGACGGCTGGCCATGCAAAGAGGAAATTGACAAGACCAAAGCCCCAGGTGGCAAGTAGGGCCCCGATGTTGGACGCCCCGGCGTCGGAGAAGATCGTCGAGGAATAGAACGAGATGATGTTGACTATTTAGATTGCACAGGCAGGTTAGATCAATGGAACGTCACATGGAAATATTGCCAATAACTTACTGCCACACATCTGCTGAGCAATCATGACGATACCCGACGCCTGTGTCGCACGGCGCAATCGAGGGACCGTGAACAGTTCAATAAACCGGGCGAACATGTTATCAGTCTTGGCGAATCCGGAGTCCTCCAGCATCTGCTTCTCCATGACCAGCTGTGCGTGGATGTAGTACAGGTCTCTGGCGGCCTGCAGCGGGGTGTTTCGTAGCTGGAGCAGGGACTGGTACGCCTGCTTGTGCGTTTTCCGTGTCATCAGCCATCGGGGAGACTCCGGACAGAACCAGACACCGAGGAGAAGTGGCACTGCCGGGATGAAGGCGGATCCCAGTTGCAGCCTCCAGGAGAGACTCCCGGTGTTGGCGACGGCCAGGTTGGCACACGTTCCCAAAAAGATCCCACAGGCCGTCCAAAGCTGCCACGACATAACCAGGCCTCCTCTGATGTTTGTCGGCGCGTTCTCTGCTGAATACACAGGGACTGTGACCTCCTTCAGACCCATGCCAAGACCAAGAAGCATTCGACAGGCCACGAGTTGGCCCCAGGTCTGCGTGCATGCGGATCCGATAGGGGCGAGAAGACTGAAGATGGCGGCGAAGAAAATCGTCCCTCTACGGCCGATTCGATGATTGAGAGGATCGGAAAGCCAGCCAGCCCTGCGGAAAGGTTAGATAAGAGCGCAAATATCCGGCCAAGGGAAGCGGGATACTTACAGCAGACAGATGATGATATAGGGAGTGGCGTTAATGAACCCGACAATCCATGTGTTCCTGCTGCAATTGTCACCGCATTCGGGGGCACTGTCATTGATATTGAACTGGGATTGAAAAGTGAGGTTTGCACCATTCGAGCCTTGAATACGGTCAGTCTAAAGAACTTGATTTGTAATAATAGAAGGAAAGAAATCACCTGTTTGATCCCAACCCTGGACGGCGGCGGCGATGGAGTTCAGGATAATAGTGTAATAAAGCTTGAAGGGATGCTTCCAGCGGTGCGTGACTTCTTCGCCCAAGATCCGGCGATCCTCATCGTCAAGTTCAGGGATATGCGCATAGTTGACAGGGTGTTGTGCCACAAGTGCTCCTTTCTTCAGCAGAGTAACGATGTCGCTAAGGTCATGGTCGGCCGCGTACTGCTCAACATCTGCAAGAAGTTGATCCTTTGGGATACCCACCAACGGGTTTTTAATCCTTTCCGGGACCAGTCAGATGGGAATTCTTTTTTAAGAAGAGAAGAATTAGAGCAACAAAAAGAAATTTATATTCTTACTGGCCAGTGACATTATCTGTCATTTCCGTCAGTCCCATCTTGGAATGAGCACCTGCTTCGGTTGCAGAATCCCGTCTCTCTTTTTCAAAGCCATTGGAGCTGGATACGGCCTCGACGCTGCAGTTCTCCATAACGTGTCAGTCCGTGAAGATTATGCCTACATATGTAGTAGTGTGGATGTCAACCTACACCTCCCTTTCTTCCTTGGAAGACGGCTCTGCCATAACGCGCGGTGACTAACTGCTGTTCGACAGAAATAAGAAAGCAAAACAGACTCCTCTGCGTTGCGGGGAAGCCTGATGACCAAAGAAAGAGGTCTGGAGTGAAGATCCCTGGAGATCTTCGAAAAGGGAGGTTGCGGGGTATATATATCACTTCTCCTCCAATAAAGGAGAGCCCTTGGGCCATATTTTGAATGGGGCCATTCATCCCAATCACGGCCAGGCTGACTCTGTATCTCGACTGTTTACCATGGGCCGACCATGCACAACGACCTCATGTGCGTCAGGTACTTTGTACGGGCGAAACAGAAGCTTCTTCGTCCAAGTGGTGGCTGAACGGCTGAATGGGGAGCGCGACCGCTGAATGCATGATTTTGTCTAGCTGGGCAACGGCTCGGCGTTCATCTTCCCAAACAGGAAATCAAAGATATTGCTCCAAGCCTATCCAGCCGTCCCAAACTCTCACCAGGCGTCTGCCAAGCTGCCGGATTCGATACCCAGTCCGGGGACCCCGCTCTGGCGTCGCTCTCAATAGACTGCTGAATGGGAAGTCGGCAACGCCCGGATGATACGCCCGACGCGCTCAGGTAAAGCCACCTCTCTGCTAAGCAGTAATTCTTTGGACGCCTCTGCCGCGAGGCGCCAGCCAAACCGGTCTATCCTTGTGGCATTGTCGGGCTAGCCTGTAACTCTGGGTATGCCGAGAAGAAGCAGCGCCTGCAACTGCGTTAGAGTCTCGGGATCGGTCAAGCCAAATTCGGGGTAAAGCCGGTCGATCACTGTGTCTCGTCTCGTATAACTAGTAATAGATAATAACACACCTTGGTCGTATCAAGTACGGGAGACAGCGGAACGCACACACCCTCTCTCCTCCCCTCGTATCGCTTTGACTGTGTCTTTCGATCGTCCGATGCAACATGACAACTGAGGCTCGATTGGTTCGACATCTGGCTTGACAGTAATCCTGGCACACGCTATCATTCGACCGTCGTCATGTCAAGTCAGTTGCTGGTCGTGGCGTTTTTCTCGTGGCGGTCGGGATGAAACATCACAAGGACAGGAAGGCCGTTCGCGGGCATGTGACCGTCATCTGACCTGTTGCCCGTGAGAACTTTTGTTCTTCATTTTTTTTCCCACTCTAACTACTATCCGGGAGATTTATGTCATAGCTCTGCTTGAGCATATCCTGACAAAAAAAAATATGGTCGACTTACTCTCAGCCAAGGTTGCCATTAGTCTGTCTTCTGTCTCGCTCGGAATGCATCCCTAGAGGTGAGTCTGGTTTGGTCTTAGACAGCGAATTGACGACTTGCAGAGCCAACCCAGCATCTTCCACACCCACGCCGAATGAACTCTCGACAATAAACATCTGATCTGGAGATGTCACATGGATCATCCTGGGTTTTTTTCCGGGGTAACTGCCGAGGAGTGCCGCATATGGCATACTCTTGACGCAGTGAGACGCCCCCGCAGGGATTAAGGATAACTATCCTAGACAATAGCAGTGACTATCAGGCTATCAGGTTATCGGGCTATCAACCTACCAGGGCTACAAAATTTATCGGAGAATCCTCTAGGCTCTAGCCACTGGGCTAGAGCCTAGACCATGTCGGCCTCTTCTTTTTGACAGTTTTGTGCGAGACCTGACGAGTCCACAATGAGAGTTGCATATCTAATAAATAAGGCGTTGGACATGACTATAAAAATCTATCTCTCAGTCAGGTCCTGTTCAAGCTCATTAATCAAGAATAAACCTGATGTTCCTGTCTTCTGGGAGAAGAGCCTGGCCAGGAGGAAACATTATTATCAGATTTTTATTAAAAAATAGTTATAGGTTATAACCTGACTTTAGATAAACAAACCTGCGGCTTAGAAAATAATAATCAATGATTCAATCCATTCCATTGCTCAGATCCATGGAGAAGGCTTAGGGAGTAACCCTTACATATATAAAACCCAGACAACTGGCAACAAACCGAATTTCAAGACCAAATCATCCCAGGGGACAATAGTCCAGGAGTCGAATCAAAAGACCAGGGGTATTATACACCATATGGGGTCACCAACCAGGAAAGCCTACTCTCAGGGAGTTCTAGAAATCTTCTTCGCTACGCACAAGGTGATCCCTGAAGACAGATCTGACAAGACTGCCATGCACCACGAACACACATAATCCATGATCGATCTCTTCCAAACGTACTATATGTAATGCTCGAGGTAAAGTACTGTAACGCGAGCACGCTGTTCTATGCGGTTGACTGGAGGCTGTAAATTACGCATCAGAGACACAGCATCGACAGGGATGCAGGGGAAGCGACAGGCAGGGAAGATGCTTGATTTGCGTCTGATAGATGATTGGCCAGGGTGAAACTATCTAATGATTGAATCCGTGTCAAGGTGAGCTGTTGAAGGGGATGGGTATACCCATTCCCTTGGGAGAGGGTAAGGCCGAGCTAGAAGGTAAGGTATCTTTCTAGGCAAGAATCTCTGGATCTCTCGCACAATTATACTGTCAAATACATAATAACAGTTTGATAAAGACTTGCTCTCTTGACTCAAAAGATATAGAGAGCTTTCTATTTACTCATAGATAGTAGTAAAGTGTTGCTGATATCCAGGAGAGAAAGACTCCATACTACCCACCTCGGCCTGCACAAAAAACGGGAACGCAATCGATTAAGATGGACCAGAATCGACAAAGCCATTATAGCAGCAGGCCTCTGCCCACAATGTCTTTTTTTCTTCTCCTCTTACCTCCCACCTTTGAGAGAGGTTCAAAATGACACCCGTACGTCAGATTCCAGAGCGTGGTAGCATTGACGAGACCCCCAGACCAGCCTGCAACTCTTTGGAGAACCAGGACTCTGAAGTGTGTATTTTCTGTTTTCCATCAGTTTCCTTCTCTTCTGGGCTCGCTTGGGCTCTTACTGACACTTCGGTTTCTAGAATACCAGCGCGTCCCCCGTGAGAACCAGGAGCTCAACTAGGGTAACTGAGGCTGGGAGCCCTGTACCCCGGCTTAGATCTTCTATGATGAAAGATCTCATCGCTATTAAGGAGGAGGGTGATCAAGATAAGATAGAAATACCCCAGGTAAAGAAAATTATCTGGCCTGATCGAGATGATCGCACCTCTATTCATGCAGAACAGATGCACTGGAGTGTTAATTCACTTCCAGACATTCTCTATGTCCTGAAACCCACCTCACAGCATGCTAAAAGTAGGAAGTCTATCAAGATAGCTTCCTTTGAAATCTTTGGCAAGCCCGTTCGAGAATTCGCGGTTCTGCCGCGTCAGATCTCATCCCGGGTCGAAGGTTGGAGAATGGAGGCGTGGCTGCGACTGGATCGCCGCCTCACTGTCAAGGATATATTGGAGCGGATTGACCCCAAATACAACATCAGCGTCGAGCAGCTGGAAAGACGCCGCAAGTTCTTTCGGGACACATTTCATGTTGCCTGCTGGGGTCCCATTAAAACCACCTCTGAGATCAGTCTAAGACTCAGAGAGGCAGGTATCGAACCGGCGCTGAACACCACCAGAGGCCTCACTCCTGGCCTGATCGACCCGTCTCAGGGTGAAGCCGGAGGACGCATTCCCATCCCCGTATCGGACACTACCTTCTTTGGTCTCGACACCGTGCGCCTTGGGTGCGATGATTCAGGCGACACGGACGCCGGCGAGGCTCCACGCCAGCCCTTGACCAGGGATGGTTCGCCGACTCCTCGTCCTTCAAACGATATCACTTCCCCCAGATCAGGAACTTTGCTCGGCTCCTCAGTGAACGAGTCAGAGAGGTAAGAATAGATCAACCCAGTAAATGAATTCCTGGTTACATTTGTCAAGACTAACGTTTACTGTTGCCCTTAATCTAGTGGAGATACTGCCTCTTCAACCAACGACGAGAACTCCCTAACCTACAACTATGGAGACGAAGACTGGGAGCTTGCATATCACCCTGGAGCACCTGCCAGCGGCTTTTCCCCAGACGACGAAGACGAACAGAGCGAGCACGAGACTACTCTTGAGGAGTACCTTGAATCCAACCATATCTCCTATGAAGAGTACATTGCGCGGGACTTTGACATTACGGCCGTGAGCAAGGCCGTTCCTCCCAAGCCTCGGACCCCCAGACCATCTGATATTTGGAAGATTGTGCTTGATTCTTAAGAGACTCTTCACGTGTGCAGACTCGAGCATGGGCTGCAAATTTTCTTTTTCCTTTTTTTGCCCAGCTTCATGTGTGTTGCTTTTGCTCTTTTGATATTTGGTTTGGTCATCTTGAACCCAAGGAGCTAGGGGGGTGAAGACTGGAGCATCAGATAGTTGTTGTCATTGCCATTCAAACATAGGGATTTGGTTTGCGTCTTTGCTTCACTGTAGAGGATTTTTTATCATAAATAATTCACAGTGTGTTCCACGGAAAGCAATCCAGAAAGTCGATATCTAGTCAAGTCTCAACATAGCTTTTGGATCCTGGGGATTTACTATCCCTTCTACAGCTCTGGATGTAAATCAGTCTCGTATCAACTACACCAAACGAGATTTAAGCTGCTAGATAGGCGGTACATCTGTCTTTTAGCACAGATATCTGGTAAGCAAACTGACAGCAATCTGACTCTAGGGAGCCCACCTGAACTCCCAAGCAACCAACGTAAAGCCTTCTCAAGTCTCGTCATTTGAAAATTCTGCCTGGTGTTCACTGCATCACCTTCTGTCATTCTTTCATATTGCTTTTCTTCTCATCCTTCATTAATATTGAGTCCTGTCAGAGACTTTTTGCCCTTCATATCACCACCGACCACCTATATGCCTACCTAATCACCCTCCGGGAACACGTCCACCAAGTCACAACCCTTCAGCACCTCAAAATATCGAAACTATGAGTAAGTGGCATAAATATAGCCTACTTTAAAGCTTATTCATTGTCTTAACTTGTCTCAATACGCGGTGCTTGGTGTGAACTGAAGGACTGCATGAGCGTTGCCCATTCAAGACAAGAGTGACAACAATAGGACCCACGACGAGGAGTACGCTGCAGGATAAATACTTGATGAATATGATAAACCTATTCAACTCTCATACAATATACGCACGTGGGAGGATATAAATATCTCGGGTTGGTCTCAGGCTCATGAATAGGAAGTTATACGCCCGTCCCTCGACAGGGTAGAGTGGGAGATGAACCGAGCATCACCTTTATTCAACTGCTCCATCTCATATTGAAAATATTCAATAACAAACAATACCAGCCTCTGATAAAACAGAAAATGGGGCAGTATAAATTCTCCCAGATCGTCGACATGGAGGGAACTCTCCTCTTCCTCCCCTCAAGACAGCAGTGAGTGGTTCCCTCCAAGCTTTAATGATCGCTATCAAAGCAGTAAGCACTTCTTCTGTCTAATATTGATCTCTTTCCGAGTGCCCCTGTGTCGTCTCTCCGAGCTTCTCTTTTAACCGTCTCTTTTCGATTCCCCCTCGTCGAGCAGTCATCCTCGAGCATATTTCTCTTCTTTTAATACTCCTCTCTTAGCTCTGCCGTTGCAAGAGCACTCCTTTCCGTTCTAAAGTATCGTATTTCTGATATTGGTGCTCGACTAGACACCAATTCATCTACCAAAAGTACGTTGCTATACGACCCCCATGTGGATGAAAACCACCTTGCTAATTGGTACGGATAACAGACAAGTCCTTCAAAATGGCTCGGATCCAAAACAGAATGAAAACAAAGTACAGCAGCCAGGGGAAGGCCAGAAGGGCTAGAGAAGACTCTTCTACCCCGGGATCGAGCGAGGGGTCTGATTCGGAGTGGGAACCAGCGTCACAGTTAAAGCGTGATCGCCCGCTTAAAGCTGGTGGTAAGTTCTTGAATGCTATTTTATCAATATATTTCATGTCAGGTCTGACCTGTGATTTGGGAAACAGGATCGGCTCGCCGCCCACGTCTTCGAGGGCAACAATCCAAGAAAGACGGAGCGCGTCCCTCTGATGACGAGCCCGATCCAAGGGAGATTCCTGCGGGACTTGACCATCGCATCAAACTCAGCGATGTCCGGGCAAGGATGCATGCTGAGTTCCGTCAGGATGTTGACACCTTGCAGCAGCGCAACGGGCGTTTCCGCGCCGCTCTCGACATGGTGGCCTGGGGCTCGAGCCACAGAAAGACCACGGCAATGAAAGCCCGGCTCGCGCGGAAGATGGAGGAGCTTGGCATCAATCTCCGGCTCAATTTGACCCGCGGGATGACCCCGGGTCTCGTCAACCTGGAGCTGGGCGAAGCGGGAGGCAGGGTGCCCAGGAGACCAGGCAGCGACGACAGGCTCAGCAATCTCCAGTCTCCCATCGATGGCGAGGAGACGGCGAGCGAGGACACGGATTTTGAAGGCCTCGCCAGCCTTCCGTCGCCCTTCTCCTGGCAATACCATCCTACCGATGGGACGATGATCCTCAGGGAGCAATCAATTAGTGATCTCCGGATCAAGCCTTCGTCCAGCGACCTGGATGCACATTTCTTCCTGGACATCGACCCCAGCTACTCCCTGCTGGACCCCAGCTCCAATCCGCTCTCCCCGGGTGTCTGGCCATTCTAGGCGTGGGTGGCCGTCGACCTTGTCGTCGTTCTTCTTTTTTTGCTTCTCTGGTCTTTCTTTTCTTGGAGTTATTGTGGTGGTTTCTGGCCTGCTCTCAACGGGGTGGAATCATGCAATTGATACCAATGAGCAGTGGATTTAATTATTATTTCATGTCAATGCTTTTGTTGTCTTTTCCCTTCGAGGCGTTCCAAAGTACCTGTTTCTCGACTTTCAAGATCATTGTCCATATTTGTTATCCTTTGCTTCTCCCTTCTCAATTATGACTTGTTATTCTTCTAAGTTTATTCTCCTCTTTTTCATGCTGCACTCCTGTTCTTAGTCGCTGACGGTGTTCCTGCTCCTAGATCCTAGATAGTTGTCGTCGAGATAAAGTTGGCGCCAAGCAAGTGTGATCTACAGGGTTTAATCGAAGGGACGACGAGCACAGTTCATCTTGACACTTCATGAAGCGTACATGAAATATGATTTCTGATTCATTTCGGCCTTAAATTGATATATTGCTCTAGTGCTCTGCTGAAGTTGTCGAATTTCAACTTATTTCAACAGATTTCATGGATTTCGCTGCATTTCAGGATATTTCACTACTTTCAACCATTTAATGATATCAAGCAATTTCAACTCAGTTCAGATGGTTTCAACTGTAATCAAACTGTCTAGCCGGTTTCTAATCACACTATTCTTGAATCATGTCGATTTTCATTTGTCTTTGACTAGTTTCAGCGGATTTCAACATATTTCAACATATTTCACCTACGTTTCAACCTATTTCATTCAATATTCGGCCCATTTCAGAGGGAAAAAGGTCCATTCTACTTAGTTCCAGCATATTTAAACCTGATTCATTAGGTATTTCATCAAATTTCATTGGTTTACATCTAATTTCATTGAAGATAGGGATATTTCATCCTATTTCAACCCATTTCATTCTCTATTTCAACTGCTTTCGTGAAATTTCATCCAGAAATTGAAAGCACTCAATAAGATGTCACTAATTTCAATGTGTTCATTAGCAATTTCATTCGCGTTGTGGTCTATTTCATCAATTTCAACAATTTTCATGGATGCTCGGAACAATTTACATCAAGTCAGCGCTATCACATATCCGCGAGTCGAAGATAGGAGGGGGAAAAAATAAATAAATAGAATGAATAAATAATAAATAAATAAGTAAATAAAGAATGAATAAGAAAAAGAAAGGAAATAAAACAAAATAAAATAGAGGTTTTGTCATCTCCTTCGCAACTGCTGTATATCGCTGCTGTAGCCTGTCAATGTTGCCTGTCCTCGCGATGCTACAAATCATTGATCAACGAGTCAGAGCTCTAGATATGTACTACATAGAGTGGGACTAGATATTTTAAATTGAAACTGTATATATATTAATTTATATTTGATTTGTATATTTGATTTATATAGAAAGCCCCTAGGGATGAAATCCAGAAATAAAAGTTGATCTTATGTTCATTGGTCAAATTATATATTAACCTAGCATACTGGTTCAGTGACTTGCCAGTGCCACGACCAAGACGAATATTACAACAGGATTGAATTGTATACACACACTTCTATAACAATTACTCAGTCTAATCTAGAACAACAAGACGCTGTCGAGACTGGAGAATCCAGCCGCGACTCCTCCCTCATTGACATCCTTGCCCTTCGTTCTCAGCAGATAGCCTCCCTGATCGTTGTGCAGGATCTTGCCTCCCTGGTCCCAAAGAATGGTCCCATAAACACCCAGCTCAGAGATGACGTCGCCGAGAATCACCTCGCCGTCGCTTCGCAGAGCGATGTTCCGGGCGCGAGGCGGAGGCTGGATTAGCTCCATCAGGACCCATCGCTTCCATTCGGTCTCGGGGAGAGAGCGCAGGAATTCAGGGATAGCAGACTTGTAGATATTGTTACCCCCGCCCTCTCGCTGTGGCTTCAGGACGTGGTTCTCGGCAGTTGTGGGGTTGAGGGCAAACTCTCTTCCTTGGCCATTGGAAGTCAAGTCATACTGGGGCGCAAATGTATTACGCAGCCTGGCAATGACGCTCGGGTCCGCTCCCTTGAGAAAACTGGACAGGTGGTCCGGTCCCGAGGGTTCCGCGAGAACCTGCTGAACCTTCTTGCAACCCGAGAGTTGGTTGAGGACTGTCGGGCATTTGATGGCAGCTGAGCGTTCCAAGAGCGTCCTTGCCTCCCAGTCGCGCGCAGACGTATAATCTCCAGGGTCATAAAACGCGCGGAGATACACCGTTGTCACCTCAAATGGTGTGTCGCGAGACTGAGGGGGAGTGTAGAGAAGAGGTCGGTTAGGATTCGAATCCGATATCGACGTGACATCCAAGATCTCATTGGTGGTCACGCGGAAAACCGGGATCTTATGAACTTGCGTAAGCTGCCTGGACAGAGCCAATTGGTCAAAGATGTTTCGTTCGCCTTGCTGGACAATGAAGATGATGCACAATGGCAGAGCCGGGGACGATTTCGACGATCCATAGGCCGCGTGTGCAGCGGCTAGTCCTCCGGACAAGGTCACCACTGCGGTGTTCTCTGGAGGCAAGTTATTGTCAAACAAGGGATGCGCGGGGAAGCTCGTGGGCAAACCCGAGGGAGACGAAAGAAGCTCTCTGTGAAGAGATGAAACGCCGACTGATAGACCACCAAAGGAGGATGATATCGTGTTGAACTCTACCTGCTTCAAAGACGAGCTGGAGGCTGTTGACGGGGTATGAGCCATGTAGTCAGAGCGGAAAAGACCAAGCGACAATGGCTGGACATAGCCTTCCTTCTTCACTGCAAGATGTACTTTCCAGAGGTTCGACATAAAGTCATCAACATCGATCAGACTGGTGGACAGAAGCTATTAGTAGGGTTACGAAAAGACACCCTCCGAGACCAGAGAGAAGCCATTGCAGCTACCACATGCACTTACTCTTCCATGATCTTGCATAGCCACTCCTCGTCGCACGAAATATTGGCATACAGCTCATTGTACACGGTCTGCAAAGCCAGGGCCTCCTCGAAGCACGCCCTAGGGAACGGGCTCGGAAACAAGGTCACCGGAGCATTCGTTGCCAGCACGCCCTTCGAGTTCACACCCTCAGGAACAACCAACGGCGAAGGCCGCACAACCAGGCCGTTCTGAATGGCCCAGTCTTTCACCGTCGAGACCAGGAATTTCTCCTGCGCGGGGCTCAGGGAAGGTGGATAGCTGGAGTAAACTGGTGTAGCCATGGCCGAGATGGATCGTATTCACCTAACCGCCTTGATCAGTATTCAATTTTCCCCACGGTTCAACGAAGTGGAGGACTTCAAGGGAAGCAGCACAGAAATGCGTAGTGAATCGAGGGTCGATGAGCCAGCCTCCTGCCCCTCTAAACACCTATTATTAATCATCCCCAGCTGTTGTTATCGCCCTGATAAGCGCCGCACTGATAAGACACCGTGCTTTAGACCGCCTAATAGAACTGGCAGTAAAGATCACCCAAATAAATTATTAGACAGGCTTGAGTTGTGAGCTTCTACACGCTACCCTCTCTCTCTTTTAGCAAGATACTGAATCATTTGCTGGTTTCAAGCCTTAAACTTGATATCTATTGTATCTCTACTGCTATCCTTTACTCCTATCTCTTTATTTCTCTATTTCCTCTTAGTAAAAGACCTCATCAACCGTGTTGTGCTGATCTCTTTATCCTCTTCCACCCTCACGCGCATCCTAATCGCTCTCTCGCTTAAGAACACACAAATTATGACTCTGGGTTAAGAGACTACATTTTCACAACTTTGTTTGAGGTCATCTATGCTCCTGAGGTAAGCTGCATATATTTATTTAGCTCTTCCATGCCCTTGACGCTCCGTAAATCTGGGCTTGGCGATGAGAAAAAGCTGGCTGACAACCTGGGCGCCGAATAGCAGGATGGCCGCCGAACTGAAAGACCCTCTCGACTGGACTGTCGAAGAGGTCGTCAAGTTTCTTTGTGACCCAAATCACACGCCCTGGTCTCAGTCCTTATCTGCCACCCCACGTCCTAACCCTCTCACTTTTGCGGTCACCCTGCGGGAGAACCAGATAACAGGCGAGGTCCTTCTCCATGATGTGACTAATGGAACCCTTCGTGATGACCTGGGGCTGAAGTTGCTTGGCCATCGGAGCGGTGTCCTGATGGCTGTCCGGTATCTTCAGCGACGCTCCAAAAAATACATGGATAGCCTGATTGCAAAGTCCCGCCTGGAGGATGACCCCTCGGCTTACCCTACAGCTCATTTGCCTGGCAATCCCATCCCCTCAACCCACCCTGGCACAGGAACCATTCACTTTGGAGCAATGCAGTATTCCCTGCCACAGAACCCTGTTTCTCTCTCTAATCCAGAGACGCGGCCCTATTCTGTAAGCAATGTTTGTACGGATGCTGTTTCTAGGCCCCTTCCTCGACAGAAAAGTGTTTCATTTGAAGATCCAAAGACACAAGAGGACGAACCCAACTCGAGTAGCGAGGCTGTTACCCCCACCATCCATTTCCAGGGCCCTTCCCCCAAGTCTCAAGTCGAAGGTCCTGTAGAAATTCTTGCCCAGCGCCCCAAGTTTCGTACCCAGGAACAACAAGTGCTGGACGAATCGGGAAAAAAGCGTCGAAGACTAGACCTTAGCTCCCTAGAGTCTCTGAAGCCACCTAGCGATATGCTTGTCCTTGGTGCTGCTGACAATAAAAACTGGTATCTGGGACCGAATAAGCTGAGTGCCTCCCAGCTGTTCTACCCAGTCAACCCCAATAAGGAAGAGGAGCACTCATTTGCCATGGTCGGCGCTAGAGTTCCGGATGGTCAACGCAAGTTCGTGAACACATCTCTGAAATACTTCTACAACCATGCACCTGTCCTTCTCAATGACGATCAGGTGGCTGTAGTCCCCTACAAACGTTCCAATGTGGCCCCAAATGAGACGAGATACTTTACCCTGTTTAGCGATAAGCAAGGGAAAGTTGCGGTCAGCCAGGAAGACACCCAGAGATGGCCACAGCTACGGGACCAGCCTTTACATGGCAAAGAATTTGAAGTTGTCGACCTGGAGCCTTCGGATCCACTTTGGGCCATTCTTGAACGTTATCCGCATACCGAAAGTGAGGCCAAGTCCTATCCGCCTTATGGCGACTCAGGGTCCGAAGTAGACTATGACGATGAAACATGGCAAGAATACCAAACCGAGCAACGGCAGACGCCGCAGTCCCAAAAGCTTCTGACATCCGACCAAATCACGTCCACCATTGCGGAGTATATCAAGCAAATGGAAGAAAAGTGGCGCCTTCGCCAACTGCCAAAGGAAGAATCCACAGCTTGGAGGCTCTGGACACAGTCAAGAGCTAACAATACAAAGGGTGTTCATATCAAGGACATCAACAACGACATTGCCTTTTTGCGAAAGCGTCTGATGAAGTATGACAAGGCCCTTCATGGAAACCAATACACGAATATCGCCGAGCTACGATTTTCATGCCAAAGTATGGATCAAACGATCTTTGACATCCAGTCGCAGAAATGGCGTCTTTCTCTTTTAGAAAACTCCATCTGTCCCCCCAAACCTGTTGTTCCCCCTAAAGCGAAATCTGTGAAGCGACCCAGGCGGGTGCAACCGGACGAAGAGTCGCTAGATTCAGATTCTGACAATGGCCGGGGTGAATTCGATGATTTTATCGACGATACTGCTCTCGAGGAATCTTCTTGGCCCGACTCTATGGAAACCGCCCATCATGCCGGGGGCCAGGACGTCGAGATGACCCAGGACCAAGATATTATCATGTCAACAACCAGCGAGGGCGGTCCCAATACTGCTCCTTCTTCTGCTATGAACAATAGGCAGAATCCAGTCGCACAAACGGCTTTCCTGGATGCCCCGTCCCCTGATGGAGATGCTTTGATGCCTGACGCAGACCAGACAGTAACCCGGCCAGTTGTTGATCTAACCGCGGACTCCCCGGCTCAATACTCTGTGGATCTTTCAGTCCACACCCCCCCAACAAATGAGATGCAGGATGTGAACATGTCTCAGGCGCCTGACCTCGAAAATCAGGCTACTGTCGGAGATCCCATGTCAGGTGAAGAGGCCCAGAAGATTCTCCCTGATGATCCTTTGACAAGCATTATGCGCATTCCCTGGGAGTCTTTGGAGCAGCGCCAAGATCGACAGAGACTCCTCATGAAGCTCATCAGCACTTTACCCGATGATAATCGTACCAGACTTATCGAGGTGATTCCGTCTTACGAAACCAGCAAACTGAAGGCCTTGGTGACCAGAGCCCTAGTGAACATGATGTCTCAAAACACACAAGACGAGGAGATTGGAGAACCCAATTTCCAAGTAATACTTCGGACAGCGTATCTGTATATTTCATGGGTTAATTGCACTCGTCTATCCGAAAGTGAAATCCCCAAAAATTACTTGCGGAATGCTCTCAATGACGCTCTCGACAATCTTGCTCCCGGTGCTCCTACCAATGCTCCCAGCCAAGACCAGGGATTTGAGGCCTTTTCCAACGAGCTCTTCAGGAGCCTGGAAAACTACCAAAAGTGGGTTGATGAGAGGGAAGCTCAGCGCGTCCTGAAGGAAGAAGATGATTTCGCCCCCGAGCATTTGAACACGGAGGGCTTGAAAGGCACTTCGCGTAAAGGGCGGAAGCAAAAGGTCGAACAAAGGAAGGAAGTCAAGAACGATCAGCTGCTTGCACAACTTCGAATGGTCGAGCAGAATCGTAAACGGGAACTGTTGCTCAAAAGAATGGAGGGCAGTGGGAATTCTGGTCATGATCCTGCTCAACAGGCCGTTACCTTCGGAGATCCAATAATCTATCTGCATCCTTCTCTCGGACAATGGATCAAACCACATCAACTTCAGGGCATCCAATTCATGTGGCGAGAGCTGATACAAGACACGAAACAGCAAGGTTGTCTGCTCGCACACACAATGGGCCTCGGCAAAACTATGCAAGTCATTTCGTTACTCATTACGATCGCTCTTGCAGCTTCATCGGATTCAGAGGAAATTCGCGAGCAGGTCCCAGAGAGCCTACGGAAGTCAAAAACACTTATCTTGTGTCCCCCTTCCCTGATCGAAAACTGGTACGAGGAATTTATCAAGTGGACTCCTCCAGAGCTCCATGGAATTCTGGGCCCGATTCGCAAAATCAAGACGATAGACAAGAAGGACACTCGCATCCAAGAGATTTTCGACTGGGCCGATGAGGGGGGCGTCTTGATCATGGGCTACGAGATGTTTCGGACCTGGGCAAACCATCCGGATAAAGATGTGAGCGCCTCTCTGCTTGATGACCCCAAAATCATCGTCGCCGACGAAGCACACAAGATTAAGAACCCTGCATCTTCACTCTCTGTGGCTGTGAGTAAGCTTCTTTCCAAAAGCCGCATCGCTCTGACCGGGTCGCCACTGGCGAACAACCTCATGGATTATTACCGGATGGTTGACTGGATTGCGCCGGGGTATCTGGGAACTGCCCGGGAGTTCCGAGCCGGATACGTTGAGCCCATCGAAGAAGGCCTCTATATGGACAGCACGGCACAAGAGAAGAGGTTGAGTCTCCGAAAGCTCCAGGTCATCAAAACCATTCTTGGCCCGAAAATCAGTCGTGCAGATATCTCTGTTCTCCAAGGCAGCCTTCCACCAAAAGTCGAATTTGTGATAACAGTACCCTTGACAGAAATACAGAAGGAAGCATATAACAACTACCTCACTTCTGTGAATGAGAATCAAGATGCATCTGCTACGACCATTTGGGCATGGCTTGCAAACTTATCCCTATGCTGCAATCATCCATCCTGTCTGTGGGACAAGTTACTTCGGATCGCAAGGGAGCAGGGAAACATCTCGGAGGGTGAAGATAGCTCGGATTCTTCCGAAGAACCCAAACAGCGGGAACGTGTTTGGCCATTATTGATGGAAATGCAACGGAAGATTTTTGGCGATCTATCCGATACCAAAGCCCCTGAACTGTCGAACAGGGTCGAAATTCTGAAGCAGATCATTGCCGAGACTATCCGTGTCGGTGACAAGATGCTGATCTTTTCACACAGCATCCCAACCTTGGATTTTCTCGAATGTCTCCTCAAAGCTTCAGGCTGGGCATATTGTCGTCTGGACGGGAAGACACCGCCCCATGCCCGACAACTTGCTACCAAGGGGTTCAACGAGGCCCAATCTGAGCAGCGCATTTTTCTGATTTCGACACGGGCAGGAGGTCTCGGACTGAACATCCCTGGTGCGAATAGGGTAGTAATTTTTGACTTTGGTTTCAACCCTACATGGGAGGAACAGGCTGTAGGACGAGCCTATCGTCTAGGGCAGAAGCGGCCTGTGTTTGTCTACCGTTTTCTTGCCGGAGGGACGTTTGAAACGAAGGTTCATAACAAAGCCATTTTCAAAACTCAACTGGCTTATCGCGTGGTGGACCAAAAAAATCCAGAGCGTCATGCCATGAAAACCAACCGTGAATATCTCGCATATGTCACCGATGTCGAACAGCATGATTTGTCAGAATACATGGGCAAAGATCCGGAAGTTCTTGATAAAATCCTCAGCGGTCCTCTGAAAGACAAGATTCGGAAGATCGAACTTACCGAGACTTTCAAGCAGGAAGACAACGACATGCTCACCGAGGAGGAGACCCAAGCCGTGCAAAGGGAAGTCGACGATGAGCTCAAACGGCGCAATCCTGTTCCTTTTGGGTCTGTTGACAAGCAGAATTCGACAACTACGGCGACTGTTCCTCCCACATCTATGGCTCCCACATCTATTCCTCGCACATCTATGACTCCCACATCTATTCCTCCAAATATCCAATATTCACCCCAGTATTTAAGACTGGCTTCAGTTGGGTGCTGTTACCCATGGATTGCACTCAAATGGTGTATCAGTTTTGTTTCAAGGTTACAGGATGATGATGACTATGAAACAAGGTATCGTAATGTACGGTGTCTCTTCAATGGGACAGCATGCAATTTCCCTCTGCGCATGGTGGATATTGCTTACCTTAACGCCTATGTGGTTCACCCCTACGCATCAATTCTGGTTTCGGAATATCCGCGGAACTCTGGGAATTTGGTTAGTCGTTTTCCAAGCTTCAGTCGCGAAAATGCACGTCTTTACCTTCTCAGAGACCAATGGGAATTGAGGAGTATCGATTATCCACCGTCTTATGGATTCTCTCCCTTGAGGGATGACGTTCCTTCATTTCCGGAAGTCATTGATTCTAGGATCATAACCTGCCTGGCAAGAATGTTGTCGGGACGCTCACCTCCACGTATCCCTTCCACTCCAGATGTCCTTATCACTCCACCCGTGACTCGCAAGGCCCTGAAGCCCTCAGAATACGAGGGTTCGCCTACAATCTACGGCCCTTCCATAACTCTCCCAACATTGCCACAACCCGGGGCTTCGACTGGCATCCAAAACCCAGCTATGAATCCCCAATCATTGCCGCAATCCGGGGCTCCTACTAGCACCTACAGCCCGGCCATGAGTCGCCCATCGTTGCCACAACCTGGGGCTCCTACTAGCGTCTATATGCCAGCTATGAATCCCCAATCGTTGCCACAATCTGGGGCTCCGGTTAGCGTCTATAGGCCAGCTATGAATCCCCAATCGTTGCCGCAATCCGGGGATACGACTGGCACCTACAGCCCGGCTATGATACAATCATTTTTGCTACAGTACGCGGCTTTGAATGACATCTACAGGTCAGCTATGAATCCTCAATCGTTGCCGCAGTCCGGGGCTCCGACTAGCATCTACAGCCCGGCCATGAGTCGCCCATCGTTGCCACAATCTGGGGCTCCTACTAGCACCAACAGCCCGGCCATGAGTCGCCCATCGTTGCTACAATCTGGGGCTCCTACTAGCACCAACAGCCCGGTCATGAGTCGCCCATCGTTGCCACAATCTGGGGCTCCTACTAGCACCAACAGCCCAGCCATGAGTCGCCCATCATCTCAACAATTGCCTGACCAGAAACTCATGGAGAAACCCGTTCCAGGAAACAACCTGCATCACAATGAACCAAATGCACCCGTGATTCGTGCTCCGAGAGGATGGAGGCCAGCATCAAATGATGGGAATGAATCTCCGTCCCCCTCTGGGAGTACCAAAGAAACCTTGAACTCTGCCATGTCTACACAGTTCCTGAGATCAGAACCACAGAATAGCAGATCAGCTACCACATTTTCCATGACACCAGTGTCCCACGCGCCTACAACATTGGCACGGTCACTCTCAAACGACAGTCATGGCGTCCCATCGTTCTCCAACATGTCACGGGGAAACAGTTCTTCTACTGTTGAATCCGAGCAAGCCGTAATCCTGTCGACTGCGGAGAGCGCCTTGCAATCCCACGAGCCACCCATGGCTGCGACTTCTCTTGAATCGCCAACCCAGCTCCAAGTGGGGGATAGTCGCCGACTCTCTGCTTCGTCCGAGACAACTGCGAACATCAATCTCCCTGTGGACTCTGTGGACTCTGTGGACTCTGTGCAAATCTCGCAGCAGGAAACAGCAACCGAGCAGGGATCATCCACCACCACATCTTCCACACACGAAAAGAAACCTTCCTGCAAGCAGCAGTAGTGTTATCCAGTCCACTCTGGCAGCGGATGGAACCAGATCAAGCATCTCTTTCCCTTTTATGATCATATTAAGGAAAGTTACATGCGATTCTTTTACAGAGTCCACTATGAATCTCTCCTTCATTTGTTTCTTTTCTTTTTTTTTTTTGATCAGAACTTTTTTTTCATTGAGCTTTTTCCATCTAGACTCTTGATTGGTTGACCTGGTGTCTGCCCTCTACAGAGTGATCTGATAGAAAGTTCTCATTTTTCTTTTCTTCTTTTTTACCTGTACCTTCTTTATTCCTTGATCTGTATGAGTGATTCCCCCTGAAGTTATTGTTTTCTTTGTTTCCTTTCTCCCCTTCTGATTACACATTTGATTTTAAAGCACAGCACCTTAAATGACACAGTTTGTACAATAGCAATCATGATTAATGAGTGAATGAGTCAATGACATTATGTATGAGATTCGTGTTCTCGCCTTGTATACATAGAGCAATTCGAATCCAGCTGGGTTGTTAGGGAGGAGATTCTGTTTCCTTAGATGGTGGTATAGTATTCTGTTTTTATGTGCTTTAGCATCTATACTAATTACCAGGAAAAATAAAAAAAAATATATAGAGAACGTGGTGATGGAAAAAGGAAACAAATCCAAGGATTGACAGATAGAAAAAAAAGACCGAAACCAATAGAAAATAATTAGGAAACAACCAGAGAAAGAAAGACGGGAATGAAAGACCTTCTAGCGGAGGAGTTTTCCCAGATCAGCAACTCGGGTGGCTCTATCCTCGACCTTTTTAGCTGCCTTCTCACGGAAAGCCTCTAGCATCAACTTGCGCTTTGTATCTTGGACTTCAAGGACACGGTCCTCAATACTGTCCTCCATCACAAGTCTCCAGACAGTCGTCTCGCGCTTCTGTCCGAGTCGATAGACACGGTCGACAGCTTGGTCTTCGATCGCAGGGGCCCACCAACTGTCCGCCAAAATCGCCTGGTTCGCAGCAACAAGGTTGAGGCCCACGCTGCAGACACTGAGGCTCGCAAGGAGGACTTTGCAATCAGGATCGTTTGAGAAGGCGTGGGTTGAATTATCTCGTTTCGTCGAGTTCATCTTGCCGTCGATGCGCGCGAATCCGATCCCGTGCTGATGGAGATGAGGCTCGATCAGGTCGAGAAAAGATGTCCACTGACTGAAAACAACTGTTTTCGTCCCGGACGCTTGACCGTGGGCAGTCAGAATCTTGACTAGAGCTTCAATTTTGCTGCTTGGCTGGTCTGGACTGACGACCACTTCGTTGGAATCTTCGCCCAGTTCATTGGAGGGCGAGACCAGTGTCGATGCATCTTCGAGCTCGGCGCGGCAAAGAGGGCACTTGTGCTGTCTCTCAATCACCTGCTCGATGCAGCCGCGGCAAAAGGCGTGCGCACACGCAGTTATCACTGGTTGTTCGAGGATATCCAAGCAGATCGGACACACTTCCTGGCTCTCGATTCTGAGCTGCAGCATATCCTGGAGCGCTTTGACATTTTCCGGGGTCAGTTGAACGACCTTGTGCTCTTCTAGTAGAGCAGTAAGCTTGTCGATGCGGTTTTTGCACAGCGCCCAGTGATTGCAGACCTGTCGCAATCGAAGAATAACCTCAAGAAGATGTGAATAGGTAGCACTTCCGGTTTTACTCCCAGATTGGTAATCCAAGAAAACACCCTTTGCTTCGTTTCTGTATGGTTCATCAGCTTTCTAATCAAGTCAATACTGGGGAATTTCACATACTGAAACATTTCATATTTCTCTTGTTCGTGAGGGTGAAATTTGACGCGAAGAATTCGAGAAGTCATTGGCGGCAGACGCAAATTGACGAAGTTCATATCTTTACGTCGTCGAAGGCAAATTGTTCCCATGAGGGCTTGAAGCAGTAAACGAGCGCTGGCCTCGTTATATGTCAAAGGACGGATTAACACGGTATTGAAAACTGCGAAATCCGACAAGCCACCAGAGAGTTTCAGAAACCGTACTTGGGAATAGAGGTCTTTCAGAGAATTGACAATTGGAGTGCCGGTTAATGTCCAGCGTGAATCTGCCCGAAGATTGCATGCTGCAAGAGCACCTTTGGATCGTTGGTTCCGAATGGTATGTCCCTCATCCAAAACCACACGACGCCATTGAAGAGAGAAGATACCATTCCCTGGTTGTTTCTTTGCGATGGGGTCATAATCCATGGCCAGAGCGCCATAGCTTGTGATGACTACATCGTAGTCGCTGAGATGAGATGCCTCCTTCTTTCCAGGGCCATGATAGATTAACACGCGAGGTGCAGTCTCCGGATTTGTATGGTCACGAATCTGGTCCTTCCAGTTGCTCATCACACCGACAGGGGAGACGATCAAGGTAGTTTTGGATGAAGCAGCAGATTTCGGTTTCGAGTTGGCCAAGATGAGAGATATAATCTGGATTGTCTTGCCCAAGCCCATGTCATCAGCAAGGATACCGCCACTCGCGAGCATGGGCGCTTGTGTGGTGGAAAAGTTTGTTGCGATGTTTGTGTAGACATTTTTATCCCTCTTCCAGAGCTGCACGACTTCTGAAGAACCAGGAGAGGGAAGGCTAGGAGATTCCTTGGACAGCATCCAAGCGAGTCCCTGGCGCTGGTAGGGCAAGAGTTGGGTGACGAGACCATCTGGATTATCTGCCATGGGCATGTTCGCAAGTTCGGATTCGCTCTGTCCAAAATTCTCAACCACCTTTCCAATCTCCCGAGGATTGAAGTCGCTGCTCTGGTCAATAAGATCTTCAAGGTTTTCGATTCCGATGCCTCCTTCAAGAGTTGAGAGATTGGAAAACATGGCGCTGTCTTGATTGTCCCATTGCTGTCCCTTTCCCTTAGCAAGCGAGCGAGCTCGTTTCAAAGCGTCTTTGCGGGCCTGTTCGCGCTGTTTCTCCCGACTACGTTCATCTCTTTCGGCCTGCACTAGCCGTGAGACAGGCAGCCGGTCTTTTTGCATCTTTTGTTTAAGTTGCGTGCGTTGTATAGGGTCAGCAGTCCCGTAGAGTTTAAGAACGACGCTACATTCGTAGTGGCCGATAGTACTCGTTAAGATTCCCTCAATTACGAGAGACTTGGAATCCTGATCCAGAAAAAGTCAAATTTCATTAACTTTATCGCACTTGAAGATAGGATGTGCATACCATATACGGAGCCAACTTGGCGGCCATGGTCCTCGGAATATGGCCAATCTGTCCATTCATAACATTGAGAACACGGATTGCGTTACGGTCGTAATTATTGTTAGGTTCTCGCACTACGATAACATGCTCGCCCAAGGTTGCGCGTCCCGAGTAGTATCGAACACCCACGATTTTGGTGTTGAGATCACCTGTCGTGGGTCAGGTACGACCTCGAAGAACCTGCCCGAAAGAGAGCCTACCGTAATGAATGGTGTTAATTGATTCGTCGCCATTCTGACTGTTCTGGATCACATTTGCAGCGTCTGCATCTTCTTCATCGATTCCTGGCACCTGAGGCAGCTGAGCGAGTGAGACGAAAGCCGCGTCTTCGCCAAAACGCTGTCCGCTGCTGAGACGACTGAGGTTATCAGCAGATCCTAAACGACTTGTTTTAACTGGACGCTGCAGGCCAGTCCAATCTTCGTCATCGCTGCTAATATCCACCACATCGACTGTCCGTTTTCTTGGTGCGTAGCCCATGATGTAGCGACTAAAGCGAAGTACTACACAGGCGCTTCGCAGGACCTCTTTCCCGGGGAGCTCAACGTTTGCCAGTCGTCCCAACGATTGGAGTTAAGGTTTCATTCGAAATTCTCCGACGAACTCCTGGCTTCTAGACTCGCTAGACTCAAGCTTTGATGCTTCGTGATGGCAGTCAAACACATGGAGTCGGGACAAAATGTCAGTGCCCACACGCGATAAGACTAGTACTATTCAGGACAAGCGCTTCACGGGCCGGACGCGAATCCACGTGATCCACAGGCGCTAAACCTGAAGAGGTAAAGCGCGTGACACAGGCGACTTCTTAATGTAAACCTGTGACGTTGATGTCGTACAACGGCTGGTTGACCTCAACAATAACTACTATCCCTTGCGTTGAGTTGCTTTCTCTTTCTGTCTTATATATAGGCTTATTTTCCTTCTTCACCACTTATTTAAGATCTTTCACTCTCTTTTTTCAGCATGTTGATATGACTATGAGGAGCTGATGGGCGCCGACAATTGTATAGACCATCTAGAGTGCAAGACCATGTGCCGCTGCCTGCCACAAAAGACTTGAGCTTTTACTTTATATTACTGACTGGGACTCTTGGGTTTGGGCTTGGAAACTAGTCTCGCCGGTCTATGATGTCTGCGCCTTTGCATATGACTGATCCTTTACCTGGCTCCTATCGTGAGCTGGTTGTCAACAGGCAAAATGAACTAGAGGCATTAATCGAAAATGGGGGTTTCAGGCCTTTCTTTCTACACAGCTTTGTCATCTTCGCCTGTGTTCCACTGTTATCCCTGGCGATACCATGCCAACGACCTGGTGTCTCACGACTGATTCGCTCTGTGGGAATGGCTGTGGTTCTTGCAATTGCTCTGGAAACGATTGTCTACCGTCGAGCTTTTTTGGGAGCAGGAGGGTATATGGTGGGATTGGCTGTCACCTGGTGGATTGTCTGGTGTGCAACGCTCCTCGTGTTCAATGATGCGGCGAAGGACTTTCGGAGAATCGAGCGGAGAGCTGGCTCAGTGGATATTCCAATCAAACCCAAACTCAACGGGGGGTTCCATGCTCATCAAGGGACTGGGTATTCAGGGAAAGTGTCTGATACTGCAGGTGCTCAAAGCAACGGTGGTATACTGCATCAGCGTTGCCCCAATGGCAAGTACCGGGTTAGCGATCACTCGGATTCTTTGGGCCAAGAAACCCTCGTATGGCAGTCTTACCCCAAGCCCCTCTCGCACCGTCTAAATTGGATCATGGGCCTTATTTTTAATATGAGAGGGCCGGAATGGAACTGGCGAATCTCTACCTTAGAGCCACTACCGCCAGCTGTTCGAATGCAACTGGATAAATCCAGTATGGACCGTTCAGACATGTCCCCTGAGCATAAAGACCTGAGATACCCGGATTCGAAGACCCAAATAAAATCGGCTTTCTTTATTTTCTTCAAGTCCTACATCGCCATAGACATCCTCAAAGTTGTCATGATGCGAGATGCATATTTTTGGGGGGCCGAGCGACCTCCCGTGCCGCCATTCCCGTTCAACCTTCTCGCACCGTTTCCCATTCTGGTCTATTCTTATCGACTGATCATGAGCGTTACAGGCGTCTTTTTTGCCCTTTTATACGTCACCTCCTTGAACCCGATCATCTTCCTTGGACTATCCCTTGCATTCCCACGCGCTGCACGCGGACTGACATCTACTCCTCTAAATTCTCCGTGGATGTATTCATCGTTATTCGGCCCACTCCTCACGTCTATTCTAGAAAAAGGTCTCGCAGGCTGTTGGGCCCAATGGTGGCATCAGCTGTTCCGCTTCGGCTTCCTCTCCGCCTCCCGCTGGCTTTTGTCCGTGCTGCCCTCGTCTATTGCAAAGCCTGCGTACACAAGACGTTCCGTGCACGCTCTCATTGCCTTCTCGCTGAGCGGTGCCCTCCACGCGGTAGGAAGCTTCACCCAGCATGCAAGCACGCGGCCGCTGCATGGTCCGTTTTTGTTTTTCTTCCTGCAAGCGCCTGGAGTCATGATTCAGCATTTATGCGACCAAGTCCTTCTACCCTTTATCTTCCCAAAGGGCGTGCCTCGCGCTGTGCAGCGGACATTCAACCTCTGCTCCGTCGTATCCTGGTTCCTGCTAACAGGCGGGCTCATTGCGGACGATTTTGCTCGCGGGGGACTCTGGCTTGTCGAGCCTCTGCCTTTCAGTCCGCTCCGAGGTCTTGGCTTCGGCGCTGAGGGTGAGGGATGGCTGTGTTGGAGGGAACCGTGGTTCCGTATGGATGGGGGAGGCAAGATACGTGTTTTATAAGTACTACTGGGTCTCTATTTCTTTTCCCGCGCAACTATGATAGACAAATGCATTGCTGGTGTAGTTCAGGGTAGAAGAGTATACAAAGAATTTCATTTTTGTGCTCTTAGAGATACATGTTGTATATAGGTAATGCACACAGCTTATTACCCTTCCATATTGACATCTTCGTCTTCGTCATCCGTGTCAGAGTCAATGTTCAGCGTAGGCAGTTCATCGTCACTGTCATCTTCAGCGTTGGGAACTGCTGCCGCGGTCATTGACACGGCTGGCTTGGTTGTAATGTTTGTAGTCACAGCCGAGGTTGCCACTGGCTGCTGGTTCGCACGAGAAGTCCCCACACTCGTTGTAGATGTCGAGGGCGTGTTTTCGACAACTGTTTGGGCGGCGAAAGTCGGGGCTTCCGTTTCATGGCGAGCTTTCTTTGTTTGGACATTCTCATTCCTCTCAACGTGTGTCGTCTGGGGTAGTGCAGAGCTCTGGACAGAAGTGTCTTGAGGAAGACTTCGCTTGGCAAGAGATTGTGAATTTTGCTCTGCGACGCTTGGCATATTGGACAATTGGCTTTTGAGGGTCGTCGTAATAAATGTGGGTGTCGTTCCCGAAGTGGCAGACACGCCAGCGTAGTCCATCTCTCCTCCATCCTCATCTTCTGCCTCCTCTTCAACGATCGTCACCTGCCCGTTCAAATCGGGGGTAGACATCAGAACAGGCATTCTGGGTCTGATCAGACTCTCCACGTCCATTTCAGCTGAGTGTGCTCTCGCCAGGAAGGGAATGATGCTCGGGCCTGGCCCACGTCCCTTGATGGCTGGCACAGGGTTCAACACGCTAGCAAGCATAGCTGGCTTGTCTGAAACCAGTATGATCGTCCGGTCGATCTCAGCACGCAGTGAAGGTGCAAGATATTCAGTGGGCACAAAGGAAAGGATGACAGGCAAAAGTTGCGTTGCTGCAAGCTGCAGCTCCGGGAAAGACGAGGTAAGCTTGCTTTGACGGTTTTTGTTCGCGTCGACGTGAAAGAACGAGTCTGCATTGGCCGTGCCCTGGGTTGCTTTCGCTTTATTTTTTGGATCCGCCGATGAAGCCGCTGAAGGGTTCGCATCCTCGGCTGGCGGCAATATATCAGAGCAACAGGCTCGGAAGAGATTCGTCAAAGATGATACGTTCTGCTTTGCCATGGTCGGTCCGATCAAAGGCAGCAGCGATTGAACCAATTGATACATCGCAGTGCGGATAGCTCTGTTGGATTTCCCAGAGCGGAAAACCCACAGGGCTTGTTCTAGTATGGTCTGCGCAACCGGAACGATGCTAGTCTGCATCAGGTCGACTATTCTCATTAAAAGGCCCATGACGGCAGTATGAATCCGCGGCAGCTCGGCCCAGAGCGCATCTCGTTCCTCCCGGCCGACCTGCGGGTTGCTCTGGGTTCCCACCGTATCAGCACCCTCAGAAGGGATAGTTACCAAAGTGAGACGAGCTGTTAGATCGAGAACAAGGCCCAATGGAACAGACACAGTGGATGCAGTGGGTGTTGAGAAAAAGTCAGATAGTAATTGCAGAAGACCTGTCAGTCTTTCAGCACCTGCATGAAGTCCGTGCCAGCTTGAAAGACCTAGAGCGTCCGAAGCATAGTCTCCGACCTCCTGACCATAGTTCTGGGTAGCAGTAGACTGTCTCAGTGCAGGGTCAGCAGATTCCCATTGTTCAACCACAGCTCTGAACACATAATCTGAGGCTCGATGAGTCGCGGCGATGGTCGCCTTGATAGCATTCTTCCATTCATCACCCGAGGTATTTTTCGGAGCACAGTTGTGCAGAGAGATGAACAATCGCTCTGCCAGCTTCACTACATGCCCAGGAAATGACCCTGGTGCGCCGCCAATGACAGCCAATACTAGGCTGTGGATTTGGGCAGAGAACGGGCGGAAGATCGTTGGGTGTCTTCCAACCAACTCAATCAATGCGGGAAAGACAATGTCCAAGAACGGGGTGTTAGACCGCAATTTTCGAATCGGTTCCGCAGACGGCTTAATCGAGATGAGATTCAGTGTCGCTGTGATGAAAGATGGCAGAGACGGCGTCGTAATTTCTCGAACGAGAGTAGGATATTGATAGGTGAGGTGGAAGATGCGCGTAAGAGTGATGACCGCCATTTTCCTCGTCGACACGGGATCCGGTTTCTTAATAGCAGACAAGTCAATCTCATGCCATCAGGGTATTAGTCGAATATCAATTGCACGCTTACTCCCAGGATACTGATCAAGTTGCGGACCAAAGGCTCACAGCCTCGAAGAAATTCCCACTGTCCAGCCTCCACGGCTGCTTTCACCAGCACGACTGCAGTCCATCGTCCCTCCACAGTACGGTCGAGCGACAGGCTCGTCAAGCGAGTCTTCAACTTCTGGATCTGAGCTGCATTGTCCGAGTCTCCCTTCGGTCCTTTCTGACCTGGTGGTGTAGAAAACAGCTCGCCGCAATCACTGATCGAGCTTGCGAGGAACGACGTGATCTGGGGTAGCTCATGGACAGGCGTCGTAGTCAATCGATGAGTAATAGCCCGTAGGGTTGTTGTTGCCGCCATCTTTCCCAGAATAATAGCGTTAACCGCTTCCCTTTCTCTATCTATATCCTTCCTGCCTAGGAACCTCTCAAAGCTGCACTTCACCTTCACTCTTTTTTTTTTCTGGCGGCAGAAACGCTCGGTCCCAAAGGCGGTAGGCGTCACGGTTTGAAATAACACGGTAACAATACGTACGATCGATACGGGTTACCTTACAGATTACGCCCACTGCGGAGCGGGTCCTCCAAGCAGCTGGCGTCGGCCTGGCAGGGATCGCCAGCAAGGCAAATCCCACCGCGATCGTTATGTCACCACTGGATTTAATGCACCCGAAGCCCGGCCAGGGATTTGGTGGTGGGTGAGCTGTCTGTTGGCTTTTTTTTCTACAGTCTGTGACAATTCTAGCCTCTTGCAGCCATGGCCGTAAGTTTGTCCGTTCTTGATTCTCTCTGGTCCCCCTAATGCTCTCCCGACTACGTGGCCCAGACACTGGAGAAATGCTAACGGGGTTGATGCCTTGAAATAGGGAGACCCCGAGAAGGCGCAGCGGTATATTGCTGCTCTGAACAATGCGCGGTGTCATGATCGATGGGATGAAGTGCCCGAGTTGATTCGCAAAGTTACAAAGCATGCTCCGCATAGAAAATGTAACCCTTGACTACCTACCTTCTCTTGCGTTCAGACATTGGCGGGCAACAGATTGATTCTTGCCTATCTTCTCAGGTTATATAGAGACTGCAGCTGCCGAAAGCAAGATTGTGGCCCAGGTCAAGGGACGACCGTCAACCGCGAGACCAACGAGCTCTACCCCTACTTCATCGGTTTTGTCCGAACTAATACCGTCGCTGCTGTCAATCATTGAAACCGCAGATGGGTCACCACAAGATATATTCCAAGCGCAGGCCTGTCTTGCATGGCTACATTGGACATTGAACGAGCCAGGTCTGGCCCTGGCTCGTCTGCCTAAGGATTACGGGGATACAGTGAATAGTCTCTCAACAACAGGCGGTGAAGAGCTCTCGCCATGGACAGAGGTCTGTCTCGTAAGGGCGTGCTATATCAAGGGTGAGGAGGAAGTCAAGGCAGGCGGTCCGTTTCGTTTTGCTGACTCAAGATAGGCGCCGCGCAGTCGATTCTCACCGGCCCTGATGACTCGCTTCCCACCCTGCACTCGATTTTACCGTGGCTCAATGGTCTAAAGCAGGCTCCTTCATCTAGTCCACAGTTCTCCCATTGGTCCGAGAAGTTGCTTGCCAAGGGGGCACTACTTGCGAATGACAGCGATGACGTTGAGGTCGCTCTGAAATTCTTCAGGCTATGGTCCGCTCACCCTCAAGTGAAGCAAGGCATCGCCTCAAATACTTTGCCTGTCGATACTTCAAGTGATGCTATTTCAAGATCAGCCGTCTGGAAATCATATTATTCCCTTCTAACCCAGATTTTACAAGCCGATGGGACCTATTATCCTCCGGCAGACGGTCCGGAGCGCCCACAACTCGCTAGCGAACTCAGGCGGGTAGAGGCCATTTACGAAAGCTGTATGATGAAAGAAGTGAAGTTCCCTACCGCCAGCTCGTCGAACTCGCAGGTTGAGATTTGGGTTGAGCAGGTAATACGGAACTGGGAAGTCCTCTGTAGTCCTCAATGGCGAGACGAGGAGCTAGGGGAAGGAGGCCAGAATGCCGTTGGCCGGAATGTTTTGGACGTAAGTTTCATAAACACAAACATCTGTTCAATACTAAAAAATCAACTTCAGATCCTGTATCGCGCTGCCACAAAGACCTACCATTCTCACTTGGTCTTGCGCCGCCTATTTCATGTGCATTCTTCTCTGGCAGAATTTGATCTTGCCATGAAAGCAGTCGATTCTTACATTGAAATTGTCACAAGTGCAAAAGACCGGGCAGAAAAGGCGGCGGAGTCTGGAGAACTCGAGGATGATGGCACGCTGGTCAAGACACTTTCTGAAGCAATCTTCATGCTCTGCTGCTTTGGTGCTGAAGAGGAAGCTGAAAAGACCAACACCCTGGTTTCAACAATCAAAAAGTATCTCAGCAAGCATGTGCTTGTAGATTCTCAGACAGGCGAGCAGGCAGGAATTCATGACGACGCTGATACAATACCCCCTTCGATCGTTGCCTTAGCCTACCGCGCCATTGGTGTTGGACTTGCTACGTGGGCTAATTGGACTTGTGTTAATGAGTCCCGAGATGATATACGAGCGGAAGCTATCGAATACCTTGAGAGAAGTATTGAGCCGGAACTAGGAGACCAGCACAACTGCTCGTCGCTCTATACTCTCGCTCTCTTGCTGGCAGAGAGCCGAGACCTGGATGGGGCTATTGATTATGTCAAGTCCGCCTTAAGATCTACCAACGAGTCTTCCGTCGCATCCCAGCGCGACCTTAATAAGACGAGAGATCTTGTACCCCTTTGGCACTTACTTGCTCTGCTATTGAGTGCTAAACAAGACTTCGATATAGCTGAGCGATCCTGCGAAGCTGCCTTCGAAAAATTTCCCACTGCCGTGGTGTCACAGGGTCATCATGAGCATCGTGAGACGCGATCTCTGCAGAATCTGAGGGAGAACTACAACGCAGGCCTAAAAAATACAATCATCGAGCAACTTCGGGGTCGTGAAAAGGAGCGTATCATCGAAACTCGTATGACGCAGCTAGCGTTTCGTGAACTGCTAGAAGGACCGGAAACTGCCCTGAACCACAGTGACCAACTACTTCGCCTTTTCGTGACCTTGTTCGGCAGTCTGGATCTGGACTCAGAGGACAGGAAAAATGCACACTCCGATAACCTTGTCCCTCCAAAGAGCTCTGCTGGTACAGTGAAGAGCTTCCGTGGCAGCATTTTTGGGCGTCAAAAGGGATCTCGGCTTGAAAACCGAGTTATCGAATCGGGTAGCGATGTTAACGCAATCAGCCCGGCACCGTCTTCGATCAACAGTAGAGCGAACGATTCCGATGCACCTGTAATCCAGGTGACCGATGAGGATCTTCAAGGCTCTCATGAGCGCCCGCGAACTGCTGGTAGAAGTGACTCCACTAGAAAGTTGCAGAAACGGGGGAGTGTCAAAAAGTCGGGAGATCCTCCGATCTTCATGAATGGTGAGAAAGGCACCTCTACCGAACCATTGGCCACGAATGGCAATGCATCAGATGAGAAGAAGGCACAAGATACGCCTTCAGCGGGAGACGCCCGAATTGCAATTTCTAGCACCACTACAAGCCAAGCTCAAGGTGCCAAGCAGCCTTTGAAACCCATTCATAATGGAAAACCCGATGCCCACTCTACCCCTACAGGCCACCCGAAGCAGCCGCCCGAGCAGGACACTCGGCTGCCCACGTCATATAGATTTGATTCCCCCACCGCAGCAACTACGCGCTTCCCAGCTGGACAAGCACAGAAACATGCGCTTGGAGTTCTCGTCAAAATATGGCTATTTATTGCCGGTTTGTATCGGCGAGCGTCGCTTTTCGAAGACGCCAATGAAGCCTGTGAAGAAGCCGTGAAAAGGGCGACACGGGTGGAACTCCTTGTGGCCAGCCAAGAGTCCTCCGCTAAAGCACTCTCCCACCGCGGCTGGGGGGTTGGGAAGAGCTCCGAAGAGCTTTGGGCAGACGTTTATGCTGAGCGCGGATTCCTTTCACAAGCGCAATCGCATCCTCACGAGGCAATCGAACATTTCGAGGAAGCTCTAACACGCTTTCCTGATCACCCCAAGGCCACCGTTGGCTTGGCTAACCTTCTTCTGGATGTATGGGAGCAAAAGATACCGTCCGAGCCGGCACATTCTACCCTTGAGTTTGACCTCTCTGCACTCTCCTTGCTGTCCGAGCATAATAAGTCGGCCCATTTAGGGGAGAAAGCAGCTACAGATGCCCAAGGTGGAATCCTGTCCTTGCCGGTTTCTAGTGACGATGAGCCGAAATATCTCAACCGCCTTGCAGCACGCGATCGAGCCTATGCTCTTCTCTCGGCCTTGACGAAACTTGGTAGTTCGTGGGACAACTCCGAGGCCTGGTTTGCCCTTGCGCGTGCCTATGAAGCCAGCGGACAGGTTGAAAAGCTCAAGGAAGTCCTTTGGTGGTGCGTTGAACTAGAGGACCGCAGACCTCTTCGTCACTGGTCAAATATTGGTTCCAATGTATATGTTCTCTAAGCTAGAGAATTCCTTTCTGTTTGTGCCTGTTTTCTTACGTCTGCTCTTTTTTTTTTACTTAAAGCGGGACCTGATGCCCTGTTCTCATCTCCACAATCTTGTGATACCTGATTGTCTATTGGATACTGAATATATCAATGCTTAAAGAAAGAGAATCTTTTGTTGATAGCATTTAAGGAAATTTCAAAGAGCACCAATAGCACAGAACCTTATGTACACTTCTCGGCTCATTTATCAACTCTGGACTAAGAGTCGACCGAGGTCAAAAACTACTCAGGACTGCAAGACTAGATCACCCCATCTATTTCTATTTCTAGCGCTGAGCTGCAACAGGGGTCCAGGCAGAGACCTTTGGCCGTACGCTGCGAAAAAAAAGGTGAGTGGGTCTGAAGGAAACGGTGATTTCGTTGCATTGGAGAAGGGGGGATAGAATACTTACGTCGAGTAAGGCTTGTATGCAGCGCGGCTGAGGGTCTGATTGGGACGGTGTTCAGGCAATTCCCACTTGCGAATGCCAGTTTGCAGGATCTTGTCGGCGGTGGGAGGGGCGTCAATCATGTAAGAGATCCACGCGTGCCTAGAGAACATATAAGCAGCCGATATCAAACACCAATTCCCGTCCACCTGAAGGAGAAGGGGTCGAGCAATCTCACCAGCCAGGCTCGATCTGTGTAGGGTCAAAGTCTGGGTTCTTGTAGTCAACCCATCTTGTGCGGACTGCACCAAGCTCATCAGCACACCAAACTCGGACCAATATCTCTCAGATCCATGCTTACGAGGAAGCTCCTCCTCCATGTTCTCGTAGTACTTGTTTCCATATTTATCGGTGGCGATCAAGGTACCGGCTTTGGTATCACCTAGATGCGAGCAAGACCTTGTCAGCTGTGCTCATCACAACGGCTATTTTCGACAGAAACCATACCCATATACTGTATTTCACAACCAGTTCAACCACATTAGCCCCCATAACAACCAATTGAGTACCTTTCACCCCTGCTATTCTCCAGCTTCATACCTGCATCTGGTGGCCATATTCCTGCACACAACAGTTAGCAACGCGTCTTTCTCTCAGCGCAGTCAGAGATGTCAAACCTTAAATCCAATCCTGCGCAAGTTCCGCAGCGTCCGAAGAATAGTCGACATATTGGGCAGTGGCGCACAGGGCGAGTGAGTTGTTGGCAGTACAGAGCTTCGTCGAGGTGACCGGTCGTTTCCAATGAAACCCACTCGATTGCAGAGCGCCCCAATGCGGTCTAGCGGAGTCTGTGTTTGGAATGTTTACATTGTTTGCACTGTTTGCACTTGGACGCATTGTCGTCCCAAAAAAGAAAACAGCTTCAACGCAGGCTGCGGCATGATCTCATTGTGAAATTTGTCGATTGTGAATGCCTCGGTGGTTGCTTCAAGTTCTAGCTATAGTTAGCTAGATCTTACATGATGTTCAAACGGATTGGAGGCCATACACTGCGGTGTGCGCATCGCCAGCCTGTGATTCGGAGAACGTTGTCTAATCGCACGTTCTCCGCAGCAACGCCTCCAAGTGCCTTGCCAGTATCGCCAGCGTCCCCGTTGGGTGGCATCACTGTTGAGTTGGATCGCATTGCGCCTCGCTTCGAGATTCCTGCGTCAAATATCACCATTCTGGAGTCCCCTGCTACTTTCTACAGCACCCTCAAGGTGGGAATCCGCCGCCCCAGTATGCTTGCGCGAAGATTCGACTAACTTGGATATTTTGTGGTATAGGACAAAATTCGCAATGCGAAGCGTCGGGTCTATCTTTCTACATTATATATTGGGAAAACCGAATTCGAATTGATCGAGGTTTTGGACCACGCCCTTCGAGATAACCCGGAATTGAAAGTATCCATCCTCACGGATGCTTTGAGAGGCACCAGAGAAACCCCAAATCCATCATGCGCCTCTCTTCTTGCGTCACTGGTGGCGAAGCATGGAGCGGACCGAGTTGAGATACGAATGTTTCACACGCCAAACTTGACTGGTCTGAGAAAGAAGTGGATTCCGCGGCGGATCAACGAAGGCTGGGGTCTACAACATATGAAGTTATACGGCATCGATGATGAGATCATACTTTCAGGGTATGTATTCAAATTCTTCATATTATATCAAGCGAAATTGAGCTGACTCATCGCAGAGCAAATCTTTCGGAAGATTACTTCACAAACCGGGTTGATAGATACCACGTTTTCGATTCGAAGGAAATCAGCGACTACTATGCACGCATCCACCACGCAGTTTGCAATCTCAGCTTCCAGGTCCTTCCAGATGCGCACAGTAGTGCCGGCTATCTTTTGGATTGGCCAACGGCCAATGGTGCGCCATCACCTTTGGAGAATGCGCAAGATTTCACCGCATATGCGTCGACGGTCCTCCCTCAACTTATCCAGCCCTCAACAAACAAATCAACACTTGAATCAGCCTCACCCAGTCGAACTTATGTGTATCCGGTTGCGCAGTTCACGCCTCTGTTGAAACCAGACACGTCCACAGAGTATCCGGCCGTCACCACTATTCTTCAAATGCTTTCAAGCTTGCCTTCATTTTCCGGTTCTCGTTGGCTCTTCACCGCCGGTTACTTTAACATCCATCCCGTCCTATCCTCCCTGTTGATCGCAAGTACATCAACTTCTTCGCAGACTGCCTCGACGACCCAGGGCACTGTTCTCACCGCCTCGCCGTGGGCAAATGGCTTCTATGGGTCTCCTGGCATCTCAGGCATGCTTCCAGCAGCATACACCCACCTGTCTGCACGATTTCTAGACAGGGTAGCCGCAGCACAAGCGACAAACTCCATCGAACTCAAAGAATGGAGGCGGGGGACAGTTGGAGAGCCCGACGGCTGGACCTACCATGCGAAGGGCCTCTGGATCACACTACCCAATGAACAGCACCCGAGCCTCACTTTTGTGGGCAGTAGCAACTACACCAAACGCAGCTATAGTCTGGATCTAGAGGTTGGCGCACTGGTTGTCACTGACGACCAAGCGCTCAAGCAAAAACTAGCCGAGGAGACGGATTGGCTACAGAAGGACTCGAAGGCAATCTCGCGAGACGATCTTCGGAAGACGGAACGTCGAGTGAGCTGGAATGTTCGACTGGCCATGTGGATCGTCGAAATGGTCGGCGGTGCGCTGTAAAGTCGATGGGCGGAGAAAGGTCGGGGCGCTTCCCAGTCTCGCCGTGGAGTACTTGTATAACGAAGAAATGTACAGTAGCAATAGAGTGCATATAAAAGGGCTATTTAATATGGAATATTTACCCGATTTATTTTTGAAGAAAGTGATACCATATATGCAGAAATAGCAAATATTTTCGCAGCCACAAACGCCCCACCAGTCTATTCAACATAGGAATCGTTTCCACATATTCGTCACGGCACGCTTATGCCTTCCCAGGCACTTTGCTGGTCGAGAGCTTGGCCGGGCCGAGACCCTGTCTGATCTCATCGAGCATCTTGATGCCAATAGCCTCGTTTCCATTCTTGCCCCGTTTGGCCTTGACGCCCTTTCGCTTCGCTTGAGGGCCAGTGTTGCCATCCCACCCGGCGAGGAAATCATCCATCACCGAGTGGAAGTTGGTTGGAAGAGGGCCATCTCCGCCAGCGGAGACCAAGCTAGGAGCCACAGAGGAGGCGGTCGACATGCCTGTCATACCCGTCATGCCCGTCATTCCTGTCATCCCGCTCGCCAAGGACATGCTGTCGTCGTATTCCTCGCCTTCCTCGTCAAGGGAATAGAGGGCCTCGATTCGCTCAAAGCGATCGTCGAGAAGCCGGTGGCCCTCTGTGCGTGCCAGTGCGGAAGAGGTCATCGAGTATGCGGACGGGTTGGTCAGCGCGCCCTTGCGCTTCTTGCGGCGAATAGGAGTACCCCCGACTGTGAAGATGGTAGACGCCTGTGTGCGTTGCTCGGAGGGAGCGATGGTCGGCGCAGCCGCGGGGCCCTTGGGCTTGCCGTCTTTCTTGAACTTGGCAAACTCGCGCATCCAGCCTTGGTCATCTGGGTGCATATCCGGCACGGCTTCCCCGTGGCCGGGTAATTCTCCAGGCGCGAGCTCTTTGTCGTCTAACTGGGCAAGCTCGGAGGTATCTCTCTGAATGGGTGCCTTTTCAGTTGCGTCTGACTCCCATCCGTCTTCATCATCATAGCCCTCCTGGTCATAGAGGGAGTCCTCCCATTCTCCTGTCTCAATCTCCTCGGCATTCTCCGTCAGTTTTCCGAACATATCCTCATCGTCTTCCTCGTCCACAAAGGCCTCGTCTTCAAGAGCTTCAAGGGCCTCACGCAAGCGAGGGTCCATGTTGGGTTGGAAACCGGCAATCGCATCAGGAACATCTTGCTGATCTTGGTACGTCGGTTGCCGAATGTACGAGGAAGCTGTAGACCGCATGTCATAGCTGTACATGGAGCCACCGTACACGCTCGCCGGACCCCCTCCAACTTCACTCCTTGTGTCGTCCAAGTTCACCTGACGCAACGCATCCTCAAGTCTCAACCCTTTGTTCTTTTCTTTTCCCTTAGATTTAGCCTCGACAAAGTACGAATCTCCAGTTCCCGTCCCCAGCTCGCGCAAGTGCTGCATATAATCATATTTCGTGTCGTCATAGAAAACGCCATAGTTTGCAGCCTCGCCTTCGTTCTTTCGGATGGATTCATCATGAAATTCTTGCTCAAGGTCGGCGAGATGCTTCAGTGGCTTGGATGACGATGCGATGTTCGGGTTGGCACCAGGGGGTCCGGACACTGCATGAAGCACACGGTCATCTGCATTTGGGTCATGGATCAAAGGATCATTCTGCGCTCGATGAAAGAGTTGATAAGTAGTGGCGGTCTTTTTATCACTGTGGATGTCTGGTCAGTCTGGAGAGCCTTCAAACTTCAAGTTTTTTCCCCTTCCGTGCATAAACGTACATCCACTGCTTTTTGGGAGGCATTTTGACGACTAATAAGATGGTATTTTTTGCCTTCCAATCAAATATAGGATAAATTGATGCTTCTGCTCAAGTTTTCGCAATCAGACACCCAAGGTCCTTTGGGCGTCTTTTATGAGAAAAAAAAGTGGGATGGGCAGATATGGTGTCACGTGACGCCTTCTTATCGCCAAACTCGCTGCACATTCTCTTTCCACGATGAATGACAGGCTATTTATTTCTTGGTTATCCTTGGGGTCACCTAATACACACTTGTCTGATTTATTACTTGAGAAATTCCAAGAATTATCCATTGTTTTATGTGCAGTTCTCCCTCTCAAAGTAGGGCTGACTAATACTCTTATCTTATCCGCGCGGGGGTTTTCTGCTTAACAATTTCAAAATCCTCTTTGCCTCCGCTACTGTGGAAACTGTACACGGTCCACGACCTCGAATTTTTCTTCGTCAAGGATATTCATCTCATCAGGTGGACTGCACAGTTGCAGATATTACCCACCATGGTTCTCGCAAAGTCTAAGAACTCCGTGGGGCTGGGCAACAGTCTCATGAACGATCGCTTCGGCAAAGGCAGGGCTTCCAACCAGAAGAAGGCCTCCCACAATGCTGGTATCGTCCGCAAGGGAGTCGACGGTGACTCGTACGTCACGAACGCACACAAAGAGGCATCATGGGTGAAGATGCGCAGTATCACGGAGCAAGCTGCTCTGGATGAGTTTCTAAGCACCGCTGAGCTAGCCAATACCGATTTCACCGCCGAGAAAATCAACAACATCAAGATCATCCACACCGACCAAAAGAACCCTTACCTGCTGTCTGCCGCAGAGGAGAAATCCACGGCTAAGAAGCACCAGCAGAACAAAGGCCGGTTGACGGTTCCGAGAAGACCGGGATGGGACGAGCACACAACCCCGCAGCAGCTCGAAATGATGGAGAAGGAAAGCTTCTTGCAGTGGAGGAGAGGCCTGGCAGAGTTGCAGGAGAACCACGATCTCCTGATGACACCGTTTGAGAGAAATCTGGAAGTCTGGAGGCAGTTGTGGCGAGTCATCGAACGTTCCGATCTTGTAGTTCAGATTGTCGATGCTCGAAACCCGTTGCAATTCCGGTCCGAAGATCTCGAGAATTACGTGAAAGAGATCGATCCGAAGAAGAGAAACTTGCTACTCGTCAACAAGGCTGATATGCTGACGGAACGGCAACGCGAGACGTGGGCGGACTACTTTGAGCGGAACAATATCAGTTTCCGGTTCTTTTCCGCTCATTTGGCCAAGGAGCGGCTGGAGGCAGGGCTCCAAGACGAGGAGGACTCGGAGAGCGATAGCGAGGATGAGCTCACTAGCTCAGCGCAGAAGATGAATCTGCAGGAAGAGCAAGATAACGATGACTCAGACGCCGCAGACCAAGGCAATGAGCTTCCTGCTGAACCCAAGTCGGCTAGCAAAACTCATATTCTCGATGTGGATGAACTGGAAGAGCTCTTCCTTTCCAATACTCCGGACTTCCTTCCCACTGGCGATGACTCCGAAGAGGCCGCGCCGAAAAAGACAACCATTGGTCTTGTCGGATACCCCAACGTCGGTAAATCTAGCACCATCAACGCACTTCTCGGAGCGAAAAAGGTGTCTGTCTCCGCCACGCCTGGTAAGACCAAGCACTTCCAGACGCTCTACCTTTCGCCGGAGATTATGCTCTGCGACTGTCCCGGTCTGGTGTTCCCCAACTTTGCGACGACCAAGGCCGAGCTGGTAGTCAACGGCGTGCTGCCGATCGACCAACAGCGCGAGTTCACGGGGCCAGCTGGTCTGGTCGCGCAACGCATCCCGAAACATTTCCTGGAAAACCTGTACGGTGTGAAGATCAACACCCGGCCCATCGAGGAAGGCGGCACAGGGATTCCCACCGCGAGCGAGATGCTGCGCGCGTATGCACGAGCCCGCGGTTTCGCTACCACAGGCCAAGGCCAACCAGACGAATCCCGCGCCGCTCGGTACGTACTCAAGGACTACGTCAACGGCAAGCTGCTTTTCTGCAACCCGCCTCCCGCGCGCGAGGGCGACGAGCCCATCGACCCGCTCGAGTACAACAAGGAGCACTACGATTTCGCGAACCTCCCTGCCCGCCGACAGATGATGATCGCCAAGTCGAAGGCAGCGCAGCTCGAAGGTCTCGATCTGGACGATCTAGACGTAGACATCGGGGTCTTGCCTGCCGCGGCACCCGTGCAAGGCAAACTGTCGCGTAATCTCGACACGGGCTTCTTTGGACCTTCATCGAAGGGGTCTGAGGCTCACCTGTCACTGCCGTTCAATGCCCCGTACACGGCGCAGGGCCAGCAGATGCGTAAGCACCTGACGGGACGTAAGGAGCGAATGATGATTGCGCTGGAACGCGGGGTGGACGTGTCGGAGGTGCGAGGGCCCTCCAAGAAGCATTTCAAGGGCAACAAGCGCACCAAGGTCAAGGGCAAGGGCAAGGTCAAGGATGACGATGACTTCTAGACTGCCATTGACAACATTCTTTTTCTTTTATCCTCTTTTCTTTTCTTACAAAAAAATCTCCTGGTTTACGATGTTTAGGCTCGTTGGAATGCATTACGACTGGTTATTTCCCTCTCTGTTCAGTTCTATCATATATACAACATAGAGAAATCATTTCACAGTTTCAGTAAATATCAAGAGTGTAGATATGTGATTTGTTTGAATGATTATAGATGGCTTTTTCGCGCGGCGAGCCCAGCAGCAGCAAGCAAGCGGTCACCCTCCTCGCGCTGCCAGCGGATCTTTGCCATGAGCTCATCCTTGCGGGTCTTGTTCTCTCTACGGCCGAGCTGCTGGAGATGGACCTCGTCGGGCCCGTCTGCGATGCGGAGGGTACGCACCTGAGCCCACAGGTAGGCGAGCGGGGTGTCCTGGCAGACGCCCGCGGCGCCGTAGGCCTGGACGGCGCGATCGATGACCGCCAAGGCCGTCTGGGGCACGAGGACTTTGGCCTGGGCGATTTCCTTCATGGCGGATTTGGCGTTGCCGGCGTCGATCTTGGCCGCGGCGTTGAGCACGATCAGGCGGGCGGCGTCGATCTCGATGCGCGACTTGGCGATCCACTCGAGGATGACGCCGTGGGAGGCCAGCTTCTGGCCGAAGGTAGTCTTGCGCTCGTCGTTGACACGGGCGATGAGCCAGTCGACGGCCTTTTCGGCGGCTCCGATGGCGCGCATCGCGTGGTGGATGCGGCCGGGCCCCAGGCGGCCCTGGATGATTTCAAACCCGCGGCCTTCGCCGAGGACCATGTTGGCGACGGGCACGCGCACGTCTTTGAAGCTGATGTGCGCGTGGCCGTGTGGCGCATCGTCATACCCGTACACGGACAGCATCCTATGTACAGTGATACCGGGGGTGTTGGCGGGCACCAGCACAACCGACTGCTGCCGATAGGGGTCTTTGTGCGAGGCGTCCGTCTTGCCCATGACGACGTAGATCGCACAGCGCGGGTCCCCGGCACCCGACGACCACCACTTGGACCCGTTGAGCACGTACTGGTTCCCTTCCCGTCGGATATCCAGCTGGATGTTGGTCGCATCGCTCGAGGCAATCTCCGGCTCCGTCATCAGGAAGGCCGAGCGGATCTGGCCCTCCAGCAAGGGTGTCAGCCATTCCTTTTTCTGGGCCTCGGTGCCATATTTCGCCAGGACTTCCATGTTTCCCGTATCAGGGGCAGAACAGTTCGTAGCCTATATACACCGTCAACAGACAGACAGACAGACAATCACCGGATTCATCGCAAAAAAGGAATACCTCTTGAGCCACCTTGCTTTTGCCCAGATATTCCGCCATCAACCCATACTCGAGATTGCTGAACCCGGCACCCTGCGTAAAGTGGTTCCGCGGCAGAAACAGATTCCACAGCCCCAACCGACGGGCTTTGGCCTTGAGTTCCTCCAGCACGGCAGGGGTGGTGGTCCATCGCTTGTCGCCCTCGCCGAGCTGGGCCTCAAACACGGTGTCGGCGGGGATACAGTCCGTCTCGACAAACTCTTGTACCTAGATCATCATCATCATCAGTCAGCAGCCAGTTAATTACTTTCGACATGTGCTTTCGATTCGGTTCAGCCTAGCAAGACGTACTAAGTCGAGGGTCTTCTTGGCACGTTCGCTGACAAGGGGCAGCGCAACGGCTGGGATATCGGCAGAGGCAGGCATTTTTCCACAATATAGCTAGTGTGTGAGATGGATACAGAAGACTCAGGAATGTATTGATCAGAATGTGTCGATTAATAAAGTAGTTGCTCGGAGTAGAGCCCGAGTCTTATGATGATGATCCATACAACTTCTGGTGCGGAGAATGTGGAGAAGCCGAACACCTCGGCTCAAAATATGGCAATAATGCAACGAACTAAAGTACAAAGCGTACAGTACAGGACCTAAGGGGAAAATACAGAATTAATTAGATGAAAAGAATAATATAAAATCATAGCAGAGTCGTATGATCTATCCGGCCACGTCCATCCCGTAAAACCCCAAACCCAAAACCAGACCAGACCAGAACCGCCCAGGAAAACCCAACCGAGGGAAAAAAATCAATAGTAATCAAAAGGACAAGCACGATCAAAAAAAAAATAATAATAATGAAAGAACGAGGCACAGCCCTCGACAGAAGGAACCAGCATCCAGCGCCAGCAGTACCCGAGCTCTGTACGACGCCTAGATCTGCGCTGCTTTCTCAGAGGACTGCTGCTCGTAGCTCTTCTTGCCGAGTTTCGCGAACAGGGACTGCGGTTTTCCAGCACTGGTTTGTTAGCATGGTTTTGATATTAATCAAGATATAAGGAGAGAGAGGAAAGAAATACTTTTTAAATCGCTTGCCCTTGAGATCACTCAGCTTCTTCGTACAGGGACTCATGATGTCGTCCGAGGGGGAAACGTAGGCTGCCTGGGCACTATCATCTCATTAGCTGCCTGACCATAGATATATTCTTGGAAGATGAACTCAAGATTCAAACCTACCTCGCTCCGTCAAGTTTGCCTTGGAGAACCTTGCGGTGGTAGTCCATCGAGGAGATTGCCTTGTCGGCCTTGTCGGTTGTGTGGGTGTTTGTGCGATCGGTCAGAGGTTGTTGCGAGTCCATTTTTAACGTTATTGTGATTCACTTGAGTATGTAGAACCGCTGTGACTTGGTTGACTAGTTGACTGAGTTGACTTGACTGAGGGGAGGTGAGTGAGCTGGAGGTCAAGAGATGTCAATAATATGAAGAAGGGTTTGCCGTGGAAGGAAGAGGGAAAAAATAATATTGATTGTTGTCATGGCAACCATTCATGCCCTACCATGACACAATCGAATGCAAATCAAGGCTACTCTTTCTTTCTTTGAGATTGAGAATAGGTTTTTGAATTTACTCTTGGTAATTTAATTGATTAATGTAGCTAGATAGTAGTATACTTATGGAGTAGTATATCATCACTCATAACATAACGCCATGCAAGAATATGCAAAAATAGTACATCAGCAACAGGCGAGAAAGGGTATACTGGAGCAGGTATCATGCCTCTACCGAACTATCCATCGAGCGTGGCGATGGCGGCCCTTGAACGTCCACCACGTCGCAACCCGGTAGCACAGGAGGACTGCTCTGTGGCCGATACAACGGCGTGTCCAGCGATGGGATGTGCAGCACCTCCGGCGACGAGGTGAGACCTGACGCACTCGACTGGCCGCCAGAGCTTGGGGTGGGAGGCGAGTATGCAATCATCGGACTGAGGCGGCCGTCAGCCGAGTCTTCTGATAGAACTCGGCGGTGGCGGCGATGGCCACGGGTATCCTCTCCACCATCGTTATTATTGTTTTTGTTGTTATTGTTTTCGTCGTCTTCGTCGTCATCATCATCCTCCCCGGGACGCCTGCCAGTACGGTAGGCAGAGGTAGGCCTTGTCGAGCTCGGACTAGCCGACGGAGAGCCGAAGAAGGGCGACGACGACCGCAGGCTATACGACCGCGAGACCATGTTCTGCACAATAGGGAATTCGATGGAGCTGCTCCCCGCGCCACGGTTGAAGAGCACCAAGCCAAAACAGAACAGTACCATGATGCTCTGGATGACAGCGACACGCTTCTGGAAGACTAACTCGTCTGCCAGTACGCCGAGCTGTGCGCTGAGCGAGTGGATCTCCTGGTGGTACTGGAAGCGCTGGTGCTCGAGCTCGACGGCGACAGACTTCCAGACCTGATCGTACTGCTCGCGGAACTGTTTCAGCTCGTTCAGGACCGTGACGTTGAGGTTTTCGAGAAAAGTCGACGTCTTGGCCAGCTGCCGTTTCTCCACCTTGCTGAATGCATCACGCAGGATCCGGGACTGCTCTTCGATATACTGCAGCGATAGCGTTGAGTTTGATTCCAGCGTCTGCAGCCGCTTGTTCACCAACTTGAAGAACGACTCCTGCGTCGTCGGGTTGGCAGAAGGTGGCTGCGTGTTGGTAGATGCATACTGCTGCTGCTGCTGCTGCTCTTCCTTCGACACCGGGGTCGACCGGCTATCTGAATCCGAAACAATGCTATTCTGTTTGGTCGTCACGGTATCTGCCGATCCCGTAGACGAGGGTCTCACTGCGTTCGGATGTTCTGTGGCGCCTTGCCTTTGTGTTGACTGGTCACCAACCGCAGCAGAAGCCGCGCCGGGTCTAGTCGACGACTCCGCCTCATTACCGACGCTGCCACTGGCCTGTCCAGCAGGACCAGACTTGGGTCGTTCTTCAATGCTGCATGTCTCATTCGTAGCTTCTGGCAATCTTTCAATCAGTGCTCTCTCCACCTCGGTCGGGTCCAGAGGACAGGCCTCGTCCGATCGAAGGGACGTATTTATGCGTTCAGATTCCTGGTTCTGGTCCTGCCTGTCCACCGGGTCTCCCTTGCTGTCAACGGCGATTGGATGAGGCCTAGTATCTCCGACATTTTCCAATTCCGGAGCAGCCAGGGCGTCACTCTCACTCGACACCAGCGTTTCCTCGCCGAGGTCGTCCTCGGCCCTGCTGGCGTCACCGTCATTCTTGAACTCCTCCATCATGGTGGTTCCGTGCACGCGGATCAGACTGATGGGACAGTAGAACTCGCTGCCATAGTGGGTGAGAAACTCGATCTTCAGGTACCGGGCCCAGATCAGCGGGTTTTCGACGGCAAACGCCTGGACCTCGCGCGTGTTCCGCGCGTCGTATACACCCAGCTCCTTCCACTGGTCCAGCTTGGCCGGGTATCGGTCCGCGACGCTGACGCGGAAGGTGTGGAAGATGGAACTGAAGAACTCGTAGTTCGCCAGCACGACTGTGTCGACCAGAATATCATCACACAGCTCGAGGATGAGGAATTTATTCTCCGCCCGACACTCGTTCAGCATATAGCTGTCCTTATTCTCAATCAAGACAGACGACGACCCTTTACACTCCGGGTTCGTCTTGAGAACCGTCGCCGCACAGTCAAACGAGGCATAGTTGAACCGTTCTTTACACGTCGTCCCGGCATCTTTCCTCCGCGATGCCCCCGCCCGCGGCACCCCATGCTGCTGCTGCTGCTGCTGCTGTTGTTGTTGTTCTTGTTGTTGCTGTTGCTGTGTCCCCGCCGCGACACCGCCAGGAGTAACCAGCGACTCTGGCGCATCCGAACTTTGAGCGCCAAAAACCTGCGCCCCCCACGCCGAAGGGTTCGCCGGATCCGGGCCCTCGCCTCCTCCGAACCCGACGAAATCGATCTCGATCTCGGTGTCGTCGCCCAGCGAGTCCAACGCATTATTGATCCCCGCGGGCGGCCGACGACGCTCCTGACCTACTGCCCGGCCATGACCCCGGACATTCTCAGCCGACTGTCCTGCCTTGGCGAGATTCTGTTTTTTCCAGTCCTCGAAGGAAAGAAACTTGGCGTTATCCAACGGCGAGTCGGTGTCGAGTTCCCCGTCGGGAAGAATCTCGCTCTCGTCCCGTCGCGACGCGGTCGCAGATGAGCTGCTGATCACAGCCTGCGCCTTCTCATTACTGATGTCCCCCTCATCACCGTAATTCCTATCAAGACTCCCCCATCGCGTCTCGGGACACGATGGCCACTGGATCTCGTTGCCGGTACGGGCGGGACACTGCAAGCCCGGGACGGTCGCTTGTGTCGTCGTCTGCACCAGACCAAGAATGACGCACAGCAGACCGCTGGTTCTTCGTATTCGCATGCGCATCGCTATGATAACTCTGGGCTAGGAAAGAAAAGAAAACAAAAGTCAATCTAGGTTGTTTTTACACGTAAACCAACGCGACGACATACTTCAACAATCGGATATGTATAGGTGTCATCAAGAGAAGGATCAGGAGAAAGACAGGTAAAATATCAAGCACCGCATCGCTAGAAGGGAATCTGTTCTCTTTCGTTGATAAGGAAAGGACAGAATGACAGTCGGTAGTTTATAAGAAGATAAAAAAGTGGCGCCGATTATATGACTATTAGTTAGTGATTTGCCGCCTCGTGCTCCCTCGTGGGCTCAAGCCGCTTCACCGCCTGAAAGAGATGTTTAACAAGCTAGAGACGGAGACGTGAGTTTGAACCGAGTCATCCCACGTCAGTCGCTAGAGGATTAGTCTGGACGATTAGGCGCTGGCAAAGTCTTGGGAGGGGAGAAGGATCTCCGATTGACGGCTATTCTGGGCATCAAGGGCTCACCGCTTGGTGACTTGGTTCTACTTACCTAGGGTAGTGTACTCAGGTACATACATTGGTTACTTTGGTTACTTTGGTTAGGTACTAAAGATGGAATTTTCAGTGGTACTAAATCAGTCTACTATTGATTTATGCCGCTATCTGAGCTTGTTTTTGCAATCTGAAACAACCTGGTCATCGGTCTCCAGAGCCACCCACTATCATCATCCTGCTTGTCTCTTTTGCCTCGGGGGGCCGGAATCAAACACCATACAAATTCATCCAAAACAAAGCCGTCGCATCCCCCTCTGCGTCTCTAAGAAGTCCAGTTTCCACCCTCTCTTTTTTTTTCTGTTGACAATGAAAGGAAGAACAATTAAGAGATGAATGGAAGAAAAGAAGAAAGGGCAAGAACAGAAACCCAGCGCAGCGCCCCTGTCCGGAAAAGCCATATGGTACAAAAGGTAAACACAGGACAGAGTCCTCGCTTTCCCGTAGATGAAGGAAGATATAGAACAAAAAAAGTGGGTGGGTTATCGGGAGGGGTTGGGCATGTCAAGAGGTGTGCAACCCAAGAACGTAGTCTCCAATCGAAGCATCCGTTGTGGCTTTTTTGACATTACTTGGTGTTTTTTTTGCGAATTTTCGGACTAAAACGGAAGGAATGAACAAGCTTGATGGTGAAACCGATTTCGTAGAGGCGAGAGAAGAGGACGAAGCCATGTATGATTGCAAAAGAAGAGAGAAAGATATAGTGCTACAGAGGAAGATCATGCCAGCCTCCAACCAGGTCGAGATCATCGTCATGACTGCCATCGTATCCAACAGACGGTTTAGTCGACTTGAGGGTCGTATCCGCGTGGTCACGGCGCCAATCGCGCTCCATGAATGGGCGTCTGCGGCGATCCTGGACGGGAGACGTGTTTTCCTTGCGAGCCCAAGATCCATAGTCAAAACCAGACGACCCCAAACCCCAGTCCTTCCTCCGGTTCATGTGAGTTGCGTGCTTCTTCGAACCGAAGACACTCTCGGGTGTCGGTTTGTAGTTGCGCCGCTTATCACCCAGGGCTGCCCACTTGTCAAGACTCTTGTTCGGTGCCGAATGATGAATCGGTTGGGGCGAGTGCTTCGAGGAGGGGGACCCAAGATCCAGGTCTTCCAGTTTGATGGAGGAAGACAGATCGACTTTGTTGGGGCGAACGCTGGCCAGGGGAGAAGGCGCGATCTCGCGGGGGGCAGAAGCAGTAGTAGGGGAATCAACCGGGCTACCACGGCTCTCCTGACTCCAGCTGCGGGAATTCTGCTCACGACGTTGCTGCAGGACCAGGTCCTCGTTCTCGGACTCCTCCTCTTCATCCCACAGGTCACTCCAGCTCTTCGAAATTTGATCTTGCTTGTTCTTGCCAAAGACCATGGAGAGCGATGGGAGCGGCTTCATAGCATGGCTGGGGAGAGACCCCGTGATCTGCACAGGATCGGAGAGCGGAGGATAGGCGTAATTGCGCTTCGGAGGGGGAGCAAGGACGGGCCGATAGGAGTCACCCATCGCCGAGTCGAGAACCGAGGCCATGGAGGGGGTCTCGTTGTGAACGGAAAACCAGGAGGTACCAGCCGTCTCGGAGGGTGGGAAGAGATCTTCGGAATAGTCCTCGTCTGGAATAACTGACAGTTGGCGGAAGTCTTGGGGCGGGCTGGATTGCAGGGCCTTGGCCCAGGGAAACGAATCGCCTTGAGAGATAAAGGGGCTCTGGATAGACGGGGTTCGAAGCGGCTCACGGTTGGCAGTTGCGGGCACGACTTCCCGATCTTCGGTGCAGAATTCGTCGAGTTCTTCATCGTCGGTGGTGAAGGAGATGGTGCGCACAATGGCGTCGCGGACGGCTGAAAGCGAGCGCTTCTCCGGGTCTAACGCCAGGGCATGAGTCAAGATCTCAAAGGTATCTTGCGACATGTTAGGGAAGACATCGAAGAGAGATTGGCGATCACGAGCATAGTCTGTAAACAGGATGTCAGACTCGGAGGGTGCCACGAAGGGGTTTCGAGCAAAGAGAATGTTGAGCAAGCAGATGCCGACAGCCCAAATGTCCGCCTTGGCGGGGGAGTAGCCCGTTGCGGCTGGGTCGTATTGTTCAGGAGCCATGTAACGGTCGCTGCCGACACAGGCTTCGTGGCACCAGCTGTCACCCGTCGCAAGACCAAAGTCGCCAAGCTTCATGGTCCCATCCTGCGTCAAGAAGATGTTTTCCGGTTTGATGTCACGATGGTAGAGACCATTGGAGTGAATGAACTCGACGGCACTGATGAGTTGTAGCATGAAGTCGCGAACGTGCTCGGTTTCCAATGGACCGCGATTGAGTCGGATAGCTTCGTAGAGGTCACCATTGGCGCAATACTCCAAGACCAGGTAGATATGGGAGCTGGTCTCAAAGGAATGGATGAGGTTGACGATGTTCTTGTGGTAGCCAAGGCGGCGGTGGCAATCAAGCTCTTCGAAACGATCATCTACGGGCAGAAAGCCCATCGTATCGTTGGAAGACGAGGCCTTTGTCAGGCACTTGATAGCAACGTCTTTGTTGGTCTTGGTGTCTTTAGCAAGGAAGACCATGCCGAAAGAGCCATGGTTCAAAGGAGCCACCGTCCGGAAACGCCCATCCAGGAGCTGTCCCTCGACAAAGTGTTCTTTCAAACAATCCATGCTCGGCATTGTGATGTGGTTTTTTTTTTTCCGTGGAAAAGTAGAGTGGTGAGGTTTGGAAAGGAGATTTGGTGGCAGACCGTTGATGAGATATATGAGTGCCCTTTTCGCTGAATATAGAGACTCCAGACAACAGAGATGCAATGAGAAGAAAAATGCAGATCAGAAAAGGAAGCGAATAAACTATAAACGAAGCTTCAAGAGCAACCAGGCTTGAGAACAGAAAAAAAGATTAGGATAAGAAGGTAAGATTCGGGCAATCTCAATATAAACGGAGAGCCACCGAACAAGGAAAAAGGAAGATCGAAAAGGTGCGCAACAGACTCCGGAGTGTTGGTTTATAGGTTCATATAAATATGTCGAAAGGTTGATGATGATATGGTGACAAACGAAAGGAAATCGAAACGACGAGGCGGCAAGAGGCGCAGGAATGATACCCGGGGATGGGTAGATGACGATAGGAAATAGTAAAGACCGTTATTGGCTCATTTGGTATATCGTTTCAAAGTAGACAGCCAAGGAAGGTAGTTGGCGATCGATAAGAAAACAAAGAGAGGTTCGAGAGAGCGCGTGTGTCGAGTTGGAAGGACCGACAGAGATGTAATGAAACAAGAATAGATAGATAAGAACAAGAAGATGTTTGTTTGTTGAAGAAGTTCAAGAATCGCTGCGTAATATCGTCACGTTTGGAGAAAAGAGATCGTTAAGTTATAAGAGGATACCTTCAAACACCTGGTCGGAAGGATGTGGGGGGATGACCCAAGAGTGCAAGTATCTAGAGCTGGCTGGATGCTAACAACTCATGAGTTTCAGGACAACAGGTGATGAAGTGGCCGTGTGCAGTACAGCAGAGGCCGCGTATATACGAAAGTGGAGCCTGTGGGGGATCGGTATACCGTGTCTTTAATCTCGACTTGGAGCCTAAAGAAACTCGATACCAGGATCCGACCCAGACGTCGCACTTCGGTGTCGTCTTATAACTGGCGTGGACCGGACAAACTCTCCTTCAAAAAAAAACGTTCGACGATCAGACGGATGGGTCCTTTGGTTTGTCAATGGCAGGACGCACGTCCCTTTAAAAAAAGAGAAAAGGCAGCAGCGAAAGGTGTGGAGACTGAGTCGTGACAACAACTGCGTTGATAGGTATGAGTCACGGGGAAGCTTCTAGGAGGAGATGTGGCGACGGGAGAAAAAATCCGAGACAACTGGAAGCTGGCAGAAAGCTCTCTAGAAAAGGAAAGCTAGCTGAAGCAGTGCAGGATTGAAGATAATTCTTTTCTCTGGTATAGGATGAGCACTGGCGTTGGGGGCGGACGGCCAGGATAGCTTGTCAAGTGGTTGCTGGGGATGACGATAAAGGTGGATAAAGGAGGAGCGGTTTGGTGAGGAAAAGGCGAGGAGCGAATCGTAGAGGATGAGAGAGTTGAGGGAGGGCGAGTCGGATGGGAAGAAGTGACTGAGGTGGATGGAGGATGGATGGAATGAGAAGGGAGAGAGAGAGAGAGGAAGGCGGATGTGTTGGGGATTGGGGATAAGGAGAGAGAGAGGGGAGGGAGTCAGAGGTAGCAGCAGCAAGCAGACAGAACCTGGGGGAAGGCAGCCGAGCGATGGCGAATGGGCGAGAAGGTTGTGACAAAGCGGTTGTTACTGGGTCTGTGACAATACCAATACCGTGCGCAGCAAGCCAGTTGGACCTACAGCCGCCCTTGAAAGCGGCCAAGTGCCCTCGTGGGAAGAACTGTGACCATACGGTACACCACACAGGGGACGTGGAACGATCTACGGTGATCCGCAAGTACGCAAGAGGCCCGCAGTGACTCTTCTGTAAGTTACAGACGTTACAGACAGCGTGGACGAAAGTTGAGTGGTTTAGTGTTTTAGGCTTTAGCATTACGTTATCGCTAGTATCATTACACAGTAAATTACCCGGCTTTCCCTTCTACGAAGGTACTCCGTCCGCTTCCGGAAGTGAGGTCCCCCTGAATGGGTGCTGGTGCTCAGGCAAAGGCTGCGTTCCAAGGACCGACCATCCTGATCTGCTGACCTGGAGAGCGATTTTCCCAATTTTGGTGGGACTGGAATTTATGTAGTAAACATTTTGAGAAAATAGATGCCAATCAGAAACAATAATGAATTATAATTCTTAATACTCCGATATAACTAAGTCCTGGTTTTAATTACTACATAACTACGTAGGTACCTAGGTAGATAGCTGTATCGTGGAAGTACGGAGACCTAGGTACCTGTACTCCGTACTGTAGTATAGTTACCTAGGTAGATACATTCCCTGTACTACCTCTCTGTAGGTACTCCGTACTCCGTAGGTCATACTACAGTGGCGATTAAGTTCAACGCAAACACATCCGAGCAGCACGCTGCTGCAGGTCCAGGACTCGGACTTGTCTCCATCGAACATCTGGTCATGGATCAGCCTCTCCACTTGTCGACAGTCCATGTCGTGCCTGTCCTTGTCTAGGCCGATGGCGGAGCAACCAGTAGCAGCGCTAGTCCTGTTTCGGCCGCAAGCGCAGCGACCAGAGGTCCGACAACCAGTCAGGGCGTCGGTAATGGGCTCCAGGACACCATGCTATTTCCAGCCATGCATGACGCCATCTACGAGGTTATGAATTTCGGGAGAGTTGGACTGGGTCACTGGACCTCAGGTGGACCTGACCAAGGTAGATAGATGATTATCACTGTATTCAACAGATAACGCTTATCTATGTACTAATCTCACTAACAGTAGTCAGTTCCTAGGAAGGTACTCTGTATTGATTAGGGAATGTCTGTTGTCAATAACCCTTTAGTGTTGTCATCATTCGTCATTGCGGGATTTCTCTTCATCCTACATATGCAGGCTCTCCTCATCGTCCAGTGAACCCGTGGCTGGCATGCAGTGGCCACCGGACGCGGGCGGCAGACCTTTGGCGGTGAGTTGTTGGCAGGAGCCGGCAGCATTTAGTGCTCACCGCCTCCTGAGGGTTCGTCCTTGCAGACGGCTGACCAATGAGATTAAACGCTGGCCCATCCTGGGCGTATCACGCGATACTCGGTAGACAGACTCCTCACTCGGTCACACCATTATTTTCCTACTTATATTATATTGGTATTATAATTATATTATTATTATTATTATTATATCAGTGTCAGTATCATTATTATAATTATTTTATCATCAGTATTATAATTATATTACATCAGTATCAGTATTATCTCTATCAAATCTCTAGGTATCTATATAGATAGCTATCTCTTATATCATTGACTCAAGATAGAGAGACTTGGGTAGTTGGCTGAACTTAATGATAGTCCTTGACCCCGCAGATAACTCAAGAATGCATCAGCCATCCATGCCGCTCGAGCCTTCCTGTGCTCAAAACTACCCCAGATTGGCATATCCTTATTACATAGAGTAAACAGTACTATTAGGTACCTACTATAAACGTTACCCACACAACACTCAATTCTGAAACAATATTACACTATTTCAGCAAACTACATCTTCTTAGATATACCTAACCATCTATGGAATAATTACCTAGGTACGGAGTACCCAGATACCCAGGTACCAAGGTACTCACTCGTACCTGGGTACGTACAGCGTTACACAAACACGATTGTCCAGTGTCTGGCCTACGGCAGATGTTGTGCAACACGGGTTTCTTGACAGGTAAGACTCCTGGAATCTGTTGCCAAGTCAACTCAAATCCTTAGCTACGGAGTAGGAGTACCTTCAAGACAACCGCCACAGGCAAGCATGGAGACACATTCCATGAACTGACAGATACCAGTTATGGAGTGACAGACTGTCAGACTAGTCAAGAACTGTTCTTCATCATATTCATTGATACAATATAATATAAATACTTGCTTACATACTCTACCATAATTACTGTCTCTGATAGAAGTGGGGTTGTTTCATCCCTGCCACCTCTGCCGCTGCCAGTAGGTACTAGGTACATTAAGTACGGAGTACCTACTAACTATGTATGGAGTACTAGGTACTCCGTACCAGTTACCTAGGTAGTAGGTACCCAGTAAAGTAGGTAAGTACCTCCTCCGCACCCAAAACAAGTCTGAAACAGAAACAAAACTCGGTCCAGGCTTGCGTGGACAGTGGTACAGACTCCAGAGTCCAGAACAGAGACCGGAGTAAGTCCTCCGTGTCCTCGGGAGTACGACAGCCCAACGTCCCTGCACAGTCCGCGTTTTAACTATCCCGGCCAGGGAGGAATATCCTCAGTCATTTGTCCAGCCCGTCTCCACAGATCACCAACAGGCGTGGCTTTGGCGGTCTCCGGCTGTTGTGTTAGTCTTACTACATGGTACATATGCACCTAAGTATGTAGCACTCTGGGCGAGTACAGACGCAGTAACTGGGTTCTCCATAATACTAACGTCCATTTTTACTGGAAGAACAGAAGATGAAGCGCTGGACTCGGTCTGGAACCGGCACTTGGCTCTCGTCGTCATCAGCGGTAAACTTCTAGCATGTAGCCAGTCAAGTTGATCATTGGTATATGTTGGTTATATATATTGGTTTTGGATAAAATATTATGCAGTTGTTAATACTTGGTGTTATCTATAATTATAGTAAGCTATAATAGATCTACTGTAAGTAATATTAAATAAAGGTTTATGCTTATTACTAGATATTAAGGTAAGAGTATAATTATAATATAACTAGGTAATTGTCCTATATTAACTATATAGTACTATGACTAGTGATGTCTTTAATATAGCATACTATATAAACTAACCACAGAACAATCAACAATCCCTACTATATTAAATCCACATGCCTGGTTTGCGGCAGAAAATAAATCCCTAGTAACCACAGTAGTCAAGGAGTCATCATATCTACCTTGAATATTATATAGTACAGAACTTATTATTATTGTTACTACTATTACTATTAGAATTATTATAATATCTTTCCTATAGAAAGTGAATACTCCCTGTTATACTGAGATTGTGATGAAAAGTCCAAAGGCGGAACCGCCGGGAAAAAAAAAAAGCGCCTCGACATCCTCATCCGATCAAGACCAGGGAGGGAAAAAGAGCAGGAAAAGAGGAAGAAAGAGAAAGAAAGAGAAAAGAAAATACAAATCGAGATAATTAGAGATGGGGTACCATCCCCCTCGCAATGCACGATGAGCAAGCGTCCCTATGCCGAGTCCTCCACGCTCTTCATGTCGCGCGAGACTTCAGAGCACCCCGTCGAAGGCAACGGCCTGCTGCCCCTGAACGACCTGCTCTCGCCCGCGGACGATCAGCAGTCTACGCCCGGGCCGCAGGCGAAGAGACCAAGGAATTTCATCGCTACGGTGGTCTGTTGATTCGTTTCCCCCCAGCCTGATTCTCAGAATCGATGTTGACTGGGTTTCTAGGCCTGCGAGACATGTCGTCTCAAGAAGACCCGCTGCGATGAGTCCAGGCCCCGGTGCGGTCTGTGTAAGTCGCTGGACCTGGAATGTGTCTACAATGAACGCAAGTCGTCCAAGTATGTGTCTTGTTCTCGAATCTGTCGCTACGGTCTCGTGCTCTGCTGACTGCCTTTTCCTTTCTTCCAGGCGAGACCAGTCGCTCAGTATGATCATGAGCACGCTGCATCGGCTCGAGACCAAGATGGAGAGTATCCCCTCGGCAGTCTGTCAGGACATGCAGCCGTTCCAGGATCGTCTTCTGCAGAGTTTACGCACTTTCAATGGCTCCAGAGATCTTGATCTGCAGGCACTGACTGCTGCTGCCGCCGCCGCCGCCGGTACCAGCAACGGCAACGGTAGCAGCAGCAGCAACACTAACAATAGACCCGTGGTGTCGATAATGCGCCACCAGGCAGTCACCCCTGCTCTGGATTCTCCGGGTCATTTTGACGTGGATGACCAATATCATTCGCAGAAGCAGCAGCAGGGCGCATCTGTTTCTACAGGGCATGTTGCCATCTCCTTCAGCCAACACGGCGTGATCAATTGGTCGGGCGTGCGCAGTATTCTACCCGAGCGGGTACTCGCAGCATACGAGACGCTCGGGCGCAACTATGTCATTGACGTCGAAAAGAAACGGCTCCCATTGCCCATGCATATCCGTCCGTTTCCTTCCCAGGCGGGCGAACGCTGGCTGGAGGTGCTCCCGCTCGCCCTGATCAAGGGCCTCTCCGACGCCTTCTTCACCACCTTCAACCCCTTCACCCCGATCATGGACAAGAACTTTTACTTCTCCTTCACCCTCGGGGCTGCCATCGAGAGCGGCTTCGGTTGCACCATGGAAAGCTGTCTCGTGCTCAACGTCATGGCCCTCGGCTGTCTGGCCGTCCTGGCCCATCGCGAAGGCAACTACCCACTCCCGGGCTCGCACATCCTGCACTTCGAGCCACCGGACTGGATGAGCGTGGTCCACGAGGAGCCGGCGGGTCTGCGCTTCTTCAACGAAGCCCGCCGACGTATCGGCTTTCTCATGTGTGAGAACGACCTGCAGAGCTGCCAGTTCTACCTTCTGTCCTCGTAATGTTTCCTGACAAATCTTCATTTCAAAAGGCTTTTGCTGACAATGGTTAGGGTTTACTACAGCCAGATTCTTCGCCCCATGGACTGGTGGGCCATGAACCACCGAGCGGCAACCTGTTGCCTCTCCATGTTCACCAAGTAAGCCAGCCCGTTTGCTCTTTGATTAGCTAGATCATCCTACTGATGATTGCTTAGCCAAGATGTCAATTTCGACCAGTGGGAAGGTGACATGAAATCCCGCGTGTTCTGGAGTTGTCTCATGAACGAGAGCATCCTGGTCCAAGAACTTCCCCTGCCGCCCAGCGGCCTCCTCCGCCTGGAAGAGACCGTCCCTATCCCCAAGTTCATCAGCTTCGAGACCACGGGCTTCGGGTCCGCTCGGTTCCCCTCCTCTGGCGACCTGGACGATTCTTTCTTCCAGTACCATTTCCTCGCCCAAGTCGCACACCGGATCATCCTGAATCGAATCCGGCACTCCCTGTACTTTTTCTGTACGTTCCTTTTTATTCTCCTTCTTCTTTTAGTTATCATCTACTTACCGTGTAGCATCCTCCGGAACGTTCCCCCTCCCCGCCATCACAGCCGAACTACACCACCAGCTCGAGCAGTGGCGCGTCAATCTCCCTCCAGCCCTGCAATTCCCCGACCCCTTCTTCGCCGCGACAACCCCCCGCAGCACCGCCGCGGCGTCCCCAATCCCAACCCCGACAGCGCGCAACCCCCCGCTCCTCCTCCGTCTCGACTCTTCCACTTCTATTACCTCCACTTCTTCTCCTTCCCCCTCCTCTTCTTCTACTTCCCCGCCCTCTTCTTCTCCCCACACGCCCGCCACCGCCGTCGCCGAAGCAATGCTCCGCGGCCGCTACACCATCGGCAAGTTTCACATCGGCCGGCCGTACCTGTATAAAGCCCTGCACGCCCCAGACGTCCTAACAGACCACGACCTCGACCAGGTCCGTAGCGGGCTCCGCGCCGCCATGGACTGGCCCATCACCCAGGGCATCTTCCGCTCCATGAAGAGCTGTATTCCTATAAAATTTGCTTTCTGCTCTCAGTACGGTTTATCTTACTTTCCTTCCCTTCCCCTAAAATTATAAAGCTAATGGTTAGATTCTTCGGCCAAATCCTCCTCTTCCACTGCATCGCCCAGTCTCCCAACGCCCGTGTTCGCGACACCCTCCCCCTCGGCTGGGAACGGTGGAACGCCGAGATGCTCCATTTCCTCGACGAGTGTGCTCTCTTTAGCCCTGCCATTGCTCAGGATCTGGACATCTTACGACTTATGATTCCATGATAGTACATAGTAACTACATTGTAACCATTTCTACATATACTTGGTTTTACACTCTAGAAACAAAAAAAAAAAAAACTTTTTGTACGAAATGCTTAATTTACTGTCTAAAGAAAGGTATGAATTATATATCATCATCATTACTACAAAGTCCAATCCATATCTGCCTCGCTGGTGAACGGTTTATCGATCTGTTTAATCGCATGGTCCCCGCAGAGAATACTAAAAAAAGAACAAGTGTCAGTTATATGCATTAATATATTGTTTGAAGAAAAGAAAAAAAAAATAGGAAAAAAGAAAAGGAGAATTACCAAGCTTCTGCTACGATCGAGTCGAGTTCTCTGACGATTTCCTCTCTGCGCGCTGTAGGCAGGTCTGTGCTCAGCTGCGCGCGCAGGTCGCGGATATACTTCTTCTTGCCGCCTGCGCCGTCTAGGACCTCGCGACCCAGACAGTCGGAGTGAAAGGCGTGCTGGCAGGGAAACACGAAGAACTGGCGGCTAAGCAGCGGCAGGGAACACAGCCAGCATTTCTCGCCCGGTTCGACGATGGCGTAGCGGGTGTCCAGCGCGGCGATCTCGGCGCGGATCTGGCGGGCCGTCTGCGCAGAGGTATCCATCTCCTGCCGCAGGGCATCGATGTGACGCGAGTAATCCTCGAGCGCTGCGCAGATCTCGTCCTTGAAGTCGTCGATGACCACAAAGTCCGGGAAGAAGGGGATCAGGTCTTCGATCCGCAGCAGCTCGCAACGTCGAAGGAACTCAATCGCCTCCTTGATCCCCGTCCCGGGCTGCCGGATCTTCTTCTCGGCCACGAGCAACCACAGCTTCTTGCGCAGCTTGTTGTTGCCCTCCGGCCGGTCCGCAATGATCGACGCCAGCTGGATGTCGTCGTGTTTCAGCGCCAGCTCCACTGCCTGTGCATATTGGCCCATCGCGCTGTATATGTGGATGCACGACTGCACGCGTTCGTGCTGGATGCACAGTCGCAGCGCAAAGTCCGCGTCATATGGCGGCGGCGATGACGGCTGCGACTGCAGATACGTGAGCAGACCGGCTTCCGACGTCGACGAGCTCGACGCGTGTATCGAAATGAGCGTGTTGTGTACGCCTGCAGAGGGGTTTGGATGATTCATGATGATAAAATTGAGGTATCGAACGGCTTGGTTCTGGTTTAGTGACACATTCGCCGTCTTGTTATAGTTGAGCAGGGCGGGAATCAACTTTTCAGGATCCAGGTTCGTTTGCCGCATCAGTATATCGACTAGCCCTGTCGCGGTATGCGCCATGAGCACGCTGCTGTACTTGTAGAAGACGTCCGGGTCGCTTTGTCGTTGCAAGACGTTGAGCGCCTCAGACCACTTCTCGCGCTGCACCCAATAGAACAGGACGTAGTTGTGATCATTCGTGGCCGTGGCGAAGAAAAGAAGCTCTTCCTCTCTGCCGTGGCTCCCGATAATGTCATAGACAGTCTTCTGATCCAGATCGGACTTGTACTTGGTCACAAATTCCTGGAACTCCGCTCGCACACTACTGAGCTGGTCCTTGATGTCTCCAGTCGTCGTCCCCTCAGCGAGCTCGGCCTTGGTGGCAAGATTGTCATCAAGAGAGTTAAGTTTCGTCATGAAAATCTCCACAAGCCAGCTGGCAACCATGACTCGCTGCATAGTCGACGATTTCTTGTACGTCGACAGCTGAGATATAAGGTACTTGCGGAGAGCATCATGCTCGCCGCGATTGATTAAAGTTAGAGAGACCTCTTCAAAGCCCTTGCTGCTCTTCCCCCAGATCTTGGCCGCTTCGAGATACCGCCCTTTGCTGGCCAGGAAGTCGCCCGATGCAGTCGCAACAGCATCCTTCTGGGCCGACCCGCGGGCAAATTTCATCGCGTCCTCGAATTTCTCTGCCTTGAGCAGGACCTTCCAGACATCCCGATCTTCGTCATGGGCCACGATCTCGTAAATTGTCTGGCTGGTAAAGAGCCAGAACGTGCTCTTCATGACGTCTGTCAGGAGTCCCAATATAGGTTGTCCTGGCTCGAGAACAACTTGGTCGTATATAATCTCTTCACTGAGCCGATTCACAGCAATAACTCTGCCTTCCGCAAGTGCGATGATATGCCACTGCGACAACGTCATCGCAGTGATCGGGTCCTGGATCAGCTTTTTGCCCCCTCTCGCAGACTCACTAGCTGGGAAAGCCGATCGCGGGAGCAAAGTTGCAGACTCGTATGGCCGGCTGAGCTGCTCTGCAGCGTTTGAGAGCTGGCCATGATACACACCATGGGAACTAAGCCACGCGAACTCCTTCTCCGAGGGACTGTCCGCCTGGGGTCCATCGGTTGGAGCCGGAGAGATTGCCAATGAAGATGGTACTGAGTTGGAGGCATTCTGGATTTCGTGGACCAAGGGCGCCTCCTTTTGAAACAGTTCTGCATAGATTGAACTGCCACCTTCGCGCCCATGCCGCCCAGCACGCCCTATGAAACACCTAAGCACTCCATGGGTTGCAACCAGAACGCGGGACTGCTCGGCAGCTTTTACAGGGACAGTTTCGGCCCAGATTCCCGTCACAGGGGAGCCCTCCGGGACCTTGTAAACTGTCGTCACGTACTTCTCTTCGCGTCGGTAGAACTCAGAAGACGGTTCAATGTAGACCTCATAGACATTGCCGTCCGCCGCACCGACGAGGATTTCCCTCGTCGAGGCAGTCGGCAAAGACGGGTTCCAGGCAATAGATTCGATCAGCACGCCCTTTAACCGCGACAGTGGCTTGGGCTGCCGGGACTGCGTGTGTAGGTAATAGTTCTCGCCAAGCGTGGTGTTTATAATCAAATGGGAGGCAGAAGGGTCCAGAAACATGCGCCGGATGAGTCCTATTTCTGAGGATTTCCGTGGAAGGTCGATATCTAAGAACCAGGTTCAGGTTAGCATATCACGTCCTCAGTGATATTGACGCGCGGGGAAGGGGGGACTCCGAACCGTCAATGTCTTCCGGACTATCGAGGTCGATTCGTAGGATGCGGCCAGTGGCGAGCGCCAGAATAAGTACATTGTTGGCCACCTGAGCGGCCACGAAGTCTGCAGCGATAGGGAATTGTAGCTGAACAGGCTGGACGTCGAAGATCGGAAGGGACGACGACCCGGAGGCCTCGGCGAGGTTGCTGGGAGCAACGTAACCGCTGGATGCGTCCGGCGCCATCGTGCGCTCAAATAAACAGCAGACTATCGCATAGCGAGACTCAGCAAAGTCGGACTCCGAGCCTGGCGATACGCATCCAAGAGCTTTCGCGCTCGTTTCCAGCTCGAACACACCGCATGGGATGGGATGCGGAGGATCCCACATCGGCCGGATAGTTGCCAAGATAAACCCATGCCTCAGGCAGCCATGGTTTTATCTATCTCTGTGGAGTACAAAAGCCGGGTTCCAGTTCACAATACGTATTGTGAACTGTATACCCTACAAAAGCTCGTAGACTGAACAGCACAGAGAGAGCAAAGGAGTCTTTGAGATATGTAGAGAAAAACTACCTATTGTACCTACCTATGCTGCGGCTGTAAAAAAGCAACAGATAACTGCAGCATGACTCTATGGAATTAATAGGTCTTGAAGAAGCGAAAGAATAACAATTAGCAAATCAGCCAAAAGGTTGCTTGCAAATGTAAAGGACATGAAATGTAAAAGCATGTACTGGGTATCATTTGTACAAAGAATGGAGGGGACATAGCCACAGGACTGGACACCAAGTCTCTGCCTGCAATCACATTACGAGACATTCACGATCTAAGTTCCTTCCACCTTTGTCTCGAGGCTTTTCTCTCGCCTTGCCCTTGGCTCTATCGCGGTCTCGAGCACGGCCTTTGCTGTTGGCCTTCTCATTGATTTCTGCGCCGTTGAAGGGAGGTGCTACATCACCAGCCTGCGGGGTGGGAAGCCGGAGGGTGGTTTCGTCTGGCTCACCGTCCACATAGCTCCCGTCGGGGGAAGTTTTGTCTCTGCTGAGGCGGCCCGTGAACCGCGAGAAGGTGGCAGAGATCCTTTTTTCGCCGGACTGGCTACCAGAGCGGCTTCCAATATTGCTCTTCGTCGCCCGGGATCCACGTCGAGACCAGGAAAACGAGGCCCGACCATCGTCATCACGAGGAGTGAGTTTTGGTGATGCCGACGAGACCCGAAGACTACCGGAATTCACCGAGGATCCGACAGCATCAGAGAACACAACACTCTGCCTACGACCACGTAGGTTGCTGGGTAACTCTGGCTCAGAATTATCAGGTCCCGTAATCTCAAAGCTAGGCCGTGTTGAGGCTGATTCACCGGGTCGATCAAGATCGAAAGTGGATGTCGACAAGGCGAGCAGGGATTGGGATACTTCTCTCATATCGAGGTTTTGCATGAATTCCGATGACATGTAAGACGGGGGCTGGTCATGGTCAATTGCATCTTCGCCGAGCAACATATCTTTAGGGCTCTCGGACGCAGTGTAAGAGGGAGGGATGTTGGGAGTCACCGCATCCTCATTTATTGGGAGAATCTGGTAGAACAAAAGGTAGGGAGACTCCGTTTTCAATGCCTGCTCGACATCAACAAGTGTAACCCGCTCGGCGGCCAGGTCGTCAAAACGCATCCAATAGTCTGATGGATCCGGGAGGTCCGCTTCTGTGCCCCTGGGATCCTCAGCAGCGGTATTGGCGCGAGTTCCCCTCACAACAGCAATGTAGTGACCCGAATCCACCGAATTTCCCCGGTGGCAGACAAAGGCTTGAAGAGAGAGTTTGAAGTTGCCATAGATCGGCCCATCTGCGTCCATCTTATCATCCTGGATGAAATGGGGCAAGCCAATTTCGGTGGGAATGTCAATGTGGGTATTAAGCCTGACAGCTTGGCCATTTGGCAACATAGAGTAGCGTTTCAAGCAAAGGCCGAGGATGGGCCTCTTCGACGAGAAATGCGCTGCGACCTGCGCATCGTTCGTCGGGGTGTTATACGTATACCAGGCTGTTGAGCGGTCAGGAGGCTGTAACTCATTTTAAAAAGATTGAGACATTGGAGGAGGTGTACTCACGAATCAGGCTGAAGAATTGCCAGGCTGGCATCATGACCTCTTTCCGGTAACTGCCTTTACGGTAGGGTCCGTTTGAGCTTCCGGCAGTGTTTTCGTCATCACCTGGGATAAAGCGCTCCTGGACAATGCTATCGCTGCGGCGTCGGCCAGTGGAGGCTGTAGGTGTTGGGGTGAGGTCAGCCAGGGACGTCATGGGGGTCAAGTCATGAAACCATGGCGAAGTGGAACGGTTGGGTGATGAGGTAGCAGAAGAACCGGTCTCGATGGCCTCAATATGCGTTATGAAGCCCTTGGAAATGGACACGTTATCGGTAGACTTGATGGAGGTCACTGTATTGCGGCGTTCAAGGTATCTCTTTACCTCAATCCGGTTGTTGAAGTAAGCTTCAAGGCAGTCTTCCAAGGTGAGCGGCTTTCCATCGGCGGGCTCGGGCGGGATCGCGACCTCCAAAAGCCTCTCGTTAACAAACTTATGGTCATCACTGGCGTCTTCCTTCCCCGTATGATAGATATCCATCTTTAGCGTGAGAAGCGGGAGCTCTAGCTTTTCCGTGATGAAGGTGAATGCCTCGGAAGCATCCTGTTGACGAAGTTCGGCCGCATCTTCCCATCCACAGTCGGAGAGCGCGTTTTGCAGGCGTTCAGTCTGTTTCAGTAGACATCAGCATTCAGTGTGTGGCCTATAGCGCAAAAGAGGGCAGTCATGCCGCATAAATGGCGAGACAACAAAGGCATCGAGAATAACTTACAATATCCGTCGTGATGAGCATTCCCGACCGCAGCATATTGACCCAAAGTTTGAGCAAGACGGAGAGTCTTTGGCGAGGTTCATCGTTGAATGACTTGTAAAGGATCGCCTCGAAGCAATCCAGGCGAGCGAACATGGCAAAGAGCAGTGAGTCAAGATAACAGGTCACACCTTGACGATTCTCCGCACCTAGAAGCTTGGTGCTAGGCGAGTAATCTCGTATGATTCCCTCGATGGAGTCTTCTACCAGGAGCAACAGCTCAAAGGCCTTGTCCACGTTGCCTTGCGCATAGTCTGATTGCAGAGCATTTCCAATGTGATCATCCTTGAGATTTGTAATACCAAGCTGTGCAATTCGATTCCCAAGAAGCTTTATCTGCCGTAGGTATCAGCCTCAGATTTCCAAGTCCACTTAGAGTCATCCATCAAATGAGATCTACCTTCTTTTCTTGTTCTTTATCCCCCTCGGCAGGAGGTTCGGGGGCGAGGAGGTTGTGCAGATCGGAACGAGCAACATATTTCAAAGTCTGCTTATATCGACAAACGTGTCAGTACATATGAAATAGCTCTTAATAGGATTGAATAAATAATCAGAATGTTCGGAGAGACTTGGAGGGGCGTAATCACCTCTTCATTATTCGGCTTAGCATGTTTACTCTTATCACGCCGAGTGAGAAACCTGTGAATCCCACTCATCTTTGCAGTATCCCAGCGGAATGTGACCAGAAGAGAAGTCTAGCCGACTCAGCTGGTCCTGTCCTCTAAGTGAGGAAGGCGATAAAATCTTAGCAATGTGGCGGGGCTGTCAACGCATGGAAACACGCTATCTGAGTAAGCGTGGATGGCGATAATAGGTGATGAATCAGAGTATGTAGTAGGCTCCAATTCTCACCGAGATCGTTTTTGAGGAGGCAGAAGCGAATGACTGATTCAAAGCAGGCAGCTAGCTTTCCCAGGCAGTCCGAAAGAGGGTTGACGCCATCAATTGTGCTTGCCGTCTACAAGGCTGCAACTAGCATGACATCACCTGGTCCAAGGCGAGCGCATTATGGACGACGACAGGAGGGCAAAAAGAGAATCCTAGAGTCTGCAGACACAAAGAGCGGATTTCAATGACGCGGAGGCAACAATGTAATATAATCCCCTGCCAAATCAGCAGATCCATGCACCAGATCGCCCTTGCGAATCTGCCTGCGCGGGGTGATCATTTGAGGTTAGGAGCTGATCGCAGTCATTTTGGCACCAAGTGGAGCCTAGTCCCGCTAGTCCCGCTAGGCTCTAGCTTGCGGAGCACGTGTTGGTTGATTGATGCCTTGAAGAAAGTGGACACCTGAAAAGGTCAGGTGACGGGCGCTGGCTATCGATAATCACGTGATCTAAATGTTGCCGGTGGCCGGCAAACAATTTCTGGGAGCGCATGGACGAGTGACGAACCCTCCCAACGCAATTTTCCGCCGCATATTCAGAGATGGCGACCCACGAGCCGTCGAGGTATCTGGCACGGGCGCTGCCCAGAGCCTTTGCGCCTTCTGTGCGTCCCCAGTCGTCGTGTTGGCGGCGCAATGCCTCCAGCCAAGCGTCTTCGGGCCAGTCGTCAGACCCTTTCAGCGAGCTTGAAGCCGGTTCTTCGTTGGGTGCAACAGTCCCGGAAGACGTTGTCAAATCATTTGATCCGGTCAAGAAGGCAAGGTCAAGAAAGGTTCAGCTGCCACGGAGTCGGTAAGGAAACCCTGCTACGATGAAGTCTCATCTAGCCGATGTCTGTCCGTCCCCCGTCTCACACTGCCAGATACCAATTTCGTTCTCCCAAATACGACCGCGGTCCTCTGCATCCTCACCGGCCTCCGCCGCCATCGAACCCTGCCTCGCGTCTTTTCGTTCCCGGCCCTTTCTCTCTGCCGCGAGTTGAGCAGACGTGGAAGACCACCATTGCGTCGGATATCATGACTCTGTGCTATGTGCACAACCCTCCGGGATTCATACCACCAACCAAAGCCCCTCGCCTGCGCGAATGGGACGACAGCTCTCCCTACCACCGCAACCGACAGCTACGAGGACCTCGCGGTGGTGATGTGCTGCGGCTGCTCCGCAAGCCGATCACGTTCAACAATATCCCCGAAATCGAGCGGATCACCATCCACAGCTACGTGAAGCAAGCCGCCCAAGAGAGTTCTGCATGGCTCCACGTCTCGGGAATGGCCGTGCAAGCCATTTCCAATGCTCGCGTTGAGACGTTCAAGTCGAAGGCCAGCGTGGCGAGCTGGTCGCTCGTGCCTGGAAAAAACACGGTGGCTGTCAAAGCTGAGCTCTATGGCGAGAACATGCTCCATTTCATGGGCAAGCTGATCGATGTGGTTTTGCCGCGCATCAAGGACTGGCAAGGTGTCAAGGGCACCAGCGGAGACAGCAGTGGGAACATCACCTTCGGTCTGGAGCCGGAGCACGTGGCCCTCTTCCCTGAGATCGAAGTCAACTACGATATGTAAGCATTGTTACCTAGCCTTTTTGAGAGAGAGAGAGAGAGAGAGAGAGAGAGAGAAGGGGGGGGGGAGAAAAGGCTGGATACTAACTGTTTCATAGGTATCCCCCCAAGATGATCCCCGGTTGTCACATCACCATCCACACCTCTGCGCGCACCGACAAGGATGCCCGTCTTCTCCTCAGCGCTCTTGGAATGCCTTTCCATGGAAAGCTCGTGGACTAGACTTGAGATTGTTTGGAAGAACTAATTATTGTTCAACTTCTGGGTATATGGCTTTCTGTCCGCTGTATACTAGTGTTGTCCTTCCTTGCCATCGTTGTATTATAGGTATTAACATTATACGGTTCGGTTCCGGTATCATTTAAACATAAAATTCATCCTCTACACCTTCCATCCTAGTATCGTCGAGTAGTAAAAATTAGAGCTACCTGTTTTTCCTAGAAAAAGTAATCTTTTTTTTACAAGACTTGAAGAGACAAGAGGTATTAACAGTGATAGGTAGATATACACACTGGACGGTATATAAACGCCGATTTTCCATCAGATTAATATATGAAAGCATCGACAGTACTAGGTAGTGGTTATTCGAGGGAGAGATATGTGAGTTGTAACAACAAGAGGGTATCAACCACCCGACTGCATATGCAAGAGAAAAAAGAGGAGACCATTTATGTGATCAGACATTACAACCCAGTAAGAGAAGAGGATGCAAAAACATTACCAACCTTGAAACAGACGGCCCAATTGACAAGGTTAGGTCGGTAGTCAACAATGGAAAAAAAAACACCTTATGCTATCGGGGCAGCGAGGAAAGGACTCTTGAGCAGCTCGTCGGCAGTCGGCCGCTTCTCATAGTCGACCTGGAAGGTCATGTCCAAGAAAGCCATGGCTTCCTTGCTTGCGTCCTCTGGGGGCGGCGGCCGCGCCTGCAATTTACCGATGGCGTAGATGGCCTGCAACTGGCTACAGTCGGGGAACGGGTGGGCGCCGATAAACATCTCCACAACCAGACAGCCCAGACTCCAGATATCGGACTTCTTCGTGTGCACTTTTTGCTTGATCACTTCCGGCGCCATCCAGAACACGCTACCCTGCATGGAGGTGCGCCGGCTGGCTGTTCCGTCGCTGCCACCGCCCTCGCCGCCAGCTCGAGCACCGAGTACAGACGAGGCCTCGACACGCTTTGAGATGCCAAAGTCTGAGATCTTGATGCCTCCCTTGTTGTCGACAAGAATGTTGGCACCCTTGATGTCTCTGTGGATGATGTCGCGGCTGTGCAGATAAGACAGACCCGCAAGTATTTGTCGCACAAAGTTCTTGATCAGCGGCTCCTGGAACGTATTGTATTGCTTGAGTATGGTTGCGATTGAGCCGCCGGGTACGTACTCCAGGAAAATGTTCAAGTGCTCGTCATCTGCCGAGGTTCCCAGATATTGCACGATGTTAGGGTGGTGGAATCCTTGCAAAAGCTCGATCTCATGTTTGAGTGCAGTGACCATGCTGCTCTTTCGTTGATCGAATTCGGTGCCCTTGGTCGCCGAGGGGATCTCCACCTGTTTGACAGCCATGAGCTCTCCGGTAATGGCGTGCAGAACAATGAACACGCTGCCAAAGGAACCCTCTCCAATGAGAGAGCCTTTCATCCAGTTCTTGGGCGCAAAATTGTCGCCAGCAAGGAAGTCGTTCAAGGGCACATCTTCCTCTTCCCCGTCTTCCGCAACAAGAATACTCAGCCTGTCATTGAAGGTACCGGCGTCAATTGTGGCAACGCTCAGGCTATCATCAATAAGGCTCTGGTGTGAGGTGCTGGCATCCTCAGATCCACTGTCGAAGGACACGTAAGACTTGCGGTTCGGCTCCGCATCGGACTCCTCTTGGAGAGGTTGAAGAGTGCTGGATGCGACTGAATCTCGGTAAGTTGCTTGAGGGAGGCTGAACTTGGACACCGACAACGGCCGGGTGGCACGCGTGGGTTGTGCACCCGCATTGAGCCATGTATCGGCGATGCTAGGGATCGGTGGTGCATCCTTGAGACTGGATGCAAAGCTGGCGTTACTGACAACGCTCAGGCGACTCGCAGCTCGACTTAGGCGTTGAGATCTTCGGATAGACATGCGCATTGTCCTTTCGATATCCTCCTTCTGATGGCTCGGGAAGTATGACGTGATCTCATGGATGATCATTTCACTGGGAGGTCTTGCTCCGAAGAATGAGCGAAGCTTGGAGACCGGATGCCGCTCCAAATTAGATGGGTATTGGTCATATTCGTTGAGATTGGGTATTGCATGGCGAGAAGACATGGGCGACATCGGTTGTTTGATGTTGTGCCACGATTCGCCTGTTAGCTGTTGAATCTTCATCTGATTGCGCACATTCGAGCCGCTGATGGCATTCAGATGGGTTTTTTGACTCTCATCGACCGCAAGCTGCGACGCACGGCGCAGCTCATCAGAGTCCGGTTCGCCCGCAGTGATCCTTCGCAGGATCAGGCGCCCTCTCTCCGATCGATTGGCACTGTTGCAAATATCCATGAGTTCGGAGTCGGTAAGTCTCCTGCAGTTCGACGGATCCGGTTCGAGACCATCCAACACATAGAAACAATAGTTCCGATATTGATGTTCAGAAAACTGCAGTTTCTTTAGTACAGTGAGAATTACATCGTCTGATGTCTTGCAGTGTTTGATCTTCAAAGCCTTTGTTTGGCCGCCAGTGTATATGACTCTGATGACCGAGGTGTTTGCAGGCAGAGGACCCATTGTTAAGCCGTCCAAGCTAGGATTCTGTCTGAGATGAGACGGCTCTCTTCTTGCCTGCCCTGGATCACCCGCCACGCCCGGGCTACGGCCTGAGCCTGAGCCACCAGATAACGGAATATTCAAGTAGCCAGGTCCTTGCTCTTTCCGGGACAATTCCATAGGGCTCGATGCCGGGAACCGAGGAATACGAGCAATCCTGTCACCTTCGCCTAGCGGAGGAGATGTTGGCCTCGAGGAAGACTTTCCAGCCGGATATCCATAGTTATCTCCGTAGCGAGACATACGCCGGCTACTCAAAGTCTGCCGGCGGGGATCAGGGGAGCGAAAGGGCTCGAATGGAGTGGTGGCATTGGACGGGGCTTCTAGCGCAGCCAAGGCGTTCTGAACCCAACATGAATCAGTGTGAAAGGAATTGAGAACACGACTGTCAAGTATACACTGACCTGATTGTATTGTTTGCGGTTGGAGACCGCCTTGCTTCGGAGCTGCTTAATGGCAACAAATATGCGTACTCTATCACCAACCTTTTTAATGCCCATCTCTTGCAGGATCCTCTGATCACATTCAAGCAGGTTATCACCAGTGAAGTTATTTTCTAAAAAAAAAGTTGTCAGTTAAAAAAATGTCTAGAGTGTATGGCATGAAGAGCTGTTGGCTACCTTTGAACAACGCCTCGTACTGGCCACACTTAATGCTATGAAGCCATGCTATTACTTGCTTTTCATCCCACTGTCTATCGAGCAGTCAGAGACGAGTCGGTCAACCTTGTCATTGAACATGGGTGGCATACCTGACGGGGTTCAGGCCGTCATGAGGCAGATCAGAGAACTCGGACTGGGTGGGACTGGTGAACAAGACATTTTCCTGGGAATCCGTTACCAGCGTATTGCTTCTCTGAGACGAGCCCGTATGGTACGTCGGCGCCAGCGTCGGAGCCGAAGATGCGCTCAAAGGCCCAGAATACGCCTTCGAAGTCAACATCTTGAGAGCTGCGATATGCCAGCCTCAGCCTAGCTTATCTTCCTGCCAATATATGTATTATCCAGTGAATCGAACTGTGGGCGAATTCGTTCCCTCCCGACCACAGTGCTTCTCGGAGTGAGTGGTATCTGCACTGGTCTCCAACGATGAGGTCTTGGGAAGCGAGATGGATTCAAGGCATGGCGCTTTCTTGGAAACCTATGGCATATGACTTCTTAGTTAGCAATTTATCGTTTGATAGCAGAAGGGGGGGAGAAAGGCAACAAGGCATGAACAGATGGGAGGGGTAGGTTCGAAACAGCACCCAAGCACTCACCTGTTTCTTATTAGGCAATAGAAAAGGGAATCCAAGAATACCTAGCTTGCTGGGTATAACCAAGAGGAAGGGAGCAGAAAATATTTAAGCTCTTCACACTTCAAGAAGACCAGCGGTTAACCCAGCCGTGACTTATCTCAGAGGGTCGGCACTGCGATATGCGCACAAAAAAAGACGATTCCTCCCTGGATAGCGAAGCGTTTCATCAACGAACGCCGTAGACGTTGCCGAAGATGGTAGGCACCAGATGATAAATTCAGAAAATGATCTGATCTGGTGGTGAAGAAGTGCTGATCTCCAGACCGATGGGTTCTGGTGTCGCGCATTCCCCGACACGCCGCCCGCGATTTGTCAGGGGTTGTTTCTGAAACATGCAAGCCCCTCGTCGAACCGTGTCTTGCTTCTCTCACCACCGATGCTCTGAGAGTCCGTGTGCCATTTTTTCCGCGAAGAATCAAGGAGGCATCCCAGATTGGAATGGAGATTCACTTCGCAGAGGGAAATGGGTTGTTGATCTCCGGATTGAACGTATATCGATTCTTTTTATAGCACGCTCCACCACAACTCGGTAGTGCATTATCGATTGTGGATGCCAACAATCTACGGAGTAACTAAGTATGAGGAGTGACTAGTTAATTACGTACTTGAGATGATGACGATCATAGTCAACAGTCTCAGCTCTACAAAGGTGCAATGTCAGTTCGGCACTGAGCAGTGGATACAAGGGAGTCAATATCCATAGTAACTGGTTCGGATGAACCTATAACGACCTGGTCTGGATGATACGAACTGAAACATGTCCTCCGTCCAAGCCGACGGCACTATCCAATCCGTACGTCTCCTAACGTAGACAACGTCTCTCTAGAAGACAACCAGTTGTCACCTTGGCCCAGGAGGGAACCCTTATTAAGCCCGCGTCGAATCAACCCTTGCTGACTTTTCCATATCTTTGCTGTATGTAGTATACCAATCTGCACCTGCCAATAGCTCATAGTAATGCTCAAGGCCGAAATCAGTCTGTTCATGCTCGGAGAACCTATCAGTAAACCACAGAACCTACCTGGCAGTAACCAAAGCAGTCATCAAACTCTCATTCGACGAGGTAGCTGCTGGCGAAGTTCTGTGTGATAAGATGGATGGTAAATTGCTTCGAGCAGATTGGCAATAAATAAATAAACAGACGTCCTCCAGCCCTGTTGGTCATATCTGCAGTCTAGCCATGGCTAGAGGCTCTTCCGCCTTCTTCGGAAGGGATCTCAGGGTGTCCTTGATATATAATGTTGTGCGTGTTGGAAGCTCCTTCAGAGTAGTTCCCCAAGAGGTGTATGGAATTAACAGTGTGTGTGTATGGCCCGTCTGGCTGCCCAGAGAGGAGCTGAAGGATTTATTTTGATAGATTCGAGGGACGGCTAATTCACAGGTCGAAGTTGTCACGGCTCAAGAATCGATAGATTGCTAGAAATCTCTGTTGAAATCAACCCAGGTATGCTGGCTAAGGCAGAGTCGAAGGCCAAGCTGTCCAATCTCTAGGAAGATTATCTTAAGCACTCGTCTAGATAACTAGTAGGTAGGTAGGTACCTGAGGCATCTATTTCAATATAATCGGTACTCAAAAACGCAGAGTTTTCCAGTTCTACCTAGTACTTATCGAGTAAAACTTTCCCACTGCAAGCAGACCAAGATGAATAAGGTGCCTAGTATTCTATGTACTAGAATGATAAGCAGTACTAAACAGCAAATCTCCGCATCTTGAGAGGGGGGAGAATCGCTTCAAGTAGCACCCCTCCATACCATCTCTCTATTCCTCCGTGGCTCTTCTTCTGGCCCAAAGGTCTTCTTCACCAACACCCGATCGCTCGACCGCTATAGTTATTGACTTTCGTGCCTGTTCCATCCTCCCGACATCCATGGGATCTCGCTTCTTGCAAACCTGGCGGCCGAGGAGCACGTGACGGAACCAACGCACTGGCACCCCTCATGGGCTGCTCATGCCAACCCCACAGTTTTTCTTTCCCCGCTCTGTCCGTCTCCCATCCTAAGAGTTGCTGAGTTGGCTATAAGAGCAGCTTCGTCATGGAGGAAGACAGGGAGACGCCGGCCAAGGTCAGGAAAAAGACTTCTGCGCCGCATCGAAAGTCGCTGTCGTGCGTCTACTGCAGCAGGACTTTTGCACGCTTGGAGCACCTCCAGCGCCATCTCCGCACCCGTTGAGTCGCTCCCCCCTTTGGCCTCCCCCGACACCTGTTGGGAGGGAATTGCCGACTCTCTGAGGCCTCTTTTGTCTAACCAGCGAGGATAGATACGAAGGAGAAACCGTTTTCGTGCGAGACATGCTCCAAATCCTTTGCGAGAAGGTGAGTTGGTCGCTCCTTCCCTGGTGGGAGAGAAGAAAAAAAAAAAACGGACAACCCTTTTCCTCTAACGAGCAACTTCTTCCACGCAGTGACCTCCTTGTTCGCCATGAACGTCTAGTCCACCAGACAGAGAATAATGCCGTCAACCGAGGGGAGCATCGGAACCACAGCAGTGCCTCGGACGGCCCCCCGACAACAACAGCCTCCATCTTACCGCTGGTACACCATGACTCGCGGATGCTAGAGCTGGCCAACGCTGTCCCTGTCCAGCCACAACCGATTCCACCGCCCCCGCCTCCAGAGGTACATGTCCAGCCCGCCCCGATCGCAGACACGGCACATTTCAATCCCTCGTGGGGATACGATTTGAACCTGCTCTCCCATGCGGCGAGCCACGTGGCTCTTGAAGGTCAACAGGAAGCGCTGGAGTCTATGCGCAAGCCTGCTCTGCCAGTGGGACCCCATCAAGCATTGCCTGCGGTTCCAGAGCGGGCCATTACCGAGAACTACGGCGTCGAACCGTCAATTCTGGATTTGACAGACCTGGGAGATCCAGTTCAAGACTTTACCGTTTTCCTGGAGAGCGTAGGTCTGTCGTCCGACTGGGACTCCGGGGTGTTTTCCAGCGTGGAAGATTCCGTCTTACCACCCACATCCAACATCACCATGGATCCGAAAACGTCGATCCGCGAAACCGCGCCCGCTCGCATGAACAATGATCCCATGGCAGATCCTCGACCGTCGGCTGATGACGCTCCATGTTTCTCGAATTTCGGTTCACGCTTGCCGTCGCTACAGCCCGAGCCTCTTGATGCGGATGACCGGCTCGGGCTGTCCGATGAGAGTCCCCGGCCGGCATGGGACATCTCAAATGCGGACCGGCAAGCCTTTGTCGCCAAGCTGGAAGAGTTCTCTTATGTTCTCCCAAAGGGCTTCATAGCCCCCTCGCGGCACGCCTTGTCTCGCTTTTTTGCTGGTTACGTCAACGGCTTAAACGAACACCTTCCTTTCATCCATGTGCCCACTCTCTCCGTTGCCAGGTGTTCACCAGAGCTGACGCTTGCCTTGGCGGCGGCCGGCTCACACTATCGCTTTGAGAATAACCGGGGAATTGACCTTTTCCATGCCTCCAAAGCAGTCCTGTTAGAGCGACTCCGGCGACGAGATAGCAAGCAGGTCCCTTATCCAACCTGGAATTATCTCTCTCCCACCACCTCCGGGGGTTTCCACGCTTCCCGCGGGTCGTCCATTCTCTCGAGCCATGTCACCAGTCCGTTCCAGCCCCCGCAATCACAACCGCAACCTCCTCCTCCGCCGCCGCCGCCGCCGCCGCCGCCACAACCCCCTATGTCTCATGCCGTCGACTACGTGAATTACCCCTTGGATGATTCGGATGCCCATATGGAAGTCATACGAACATTTCTTTTACTAACCGCATTCGCTTCCTGGGAGAGACACCCGGAACTACTAAGGGAGATTCTTTCGCTGCAGAGTACCTTGGCCAGGCTTGTGAGAGAGCACGGCTTGTCCGAGCCGGCACCCACCCCCGAGCCGATCAGCTGGGAGGAATGGGTTCGACGAGAAGGCAACAGGCGCACGAAGTTAATCGTCTACTGTTTCTTTAATCTCCATTCGATCATGTACAACATCCCGCCACTCATTCTAAACGGCGAACTTTATCTAAACATGCCATGCTCCCACGACGTATGGAAGGCGACCAACGCAGTACAGTGGAGGCGGGTCTTGCGCTCCCGGCATAGTGCAGATATCCCGTTCCAAGAAGCTTTTGCCAAACTGTTCCTCAAGTCCAGCATATCGGCCGCCTCCGCGCCGATCTCGCCGCTGGGGAATTACATCCTCATCCATGCCATCATCCAACAGATCTTCTTCGCCCGGCAACTCTGCCTCTCAGCTCCGACCATGACCGGCACAAGCCTAAGGCAGGAAGACCTGAATGCCCTAGATCTCTCCCTTAACGCTTGGAAAGCCCTGTGGAAACGGAATCCGGAATCGAGCATCGATCCACAAAATCCTGCAGGACCCATCGCGTTCACATCCACCGCACTGCTGGGCCTGGCTTATATCCGGTTACATGTCAACCTCGGACCGTGCCGGCGCCTAATCACGCAGGATCCTGTGCAGATTGCGAGGGCGCTGGTCGAGTCTCCGCCGATCGCACGCAGCCCACGACTCATCATGGCTCTACTGCACTCAGCACACGCACTCTCCATCCCCGTCCGACTGGGGATCGATTTCGTGGCCCGAACCCATTCCTTCTTCTGGAGCATCCAACACTCTCTATGCAGCTTGGAATGTGCCTTCCTCTTAAGCCGCTGGCTGCTCTCTATCCCCATCACGCAGTCGGAGCAACGACTCTCTGACCATGAACGGAAGTTACTCGTGTGGATCAAAAGCATGATGGACGAAACCGACATGGCCGTCGACCACCCGGGGTCGCCTGACATAGACTTCGTCTCCAATCCTTACAAGGTCCGGCAGCTGAGCATAGCTATCGTGCGTGTCTGGGCAAGAACCTTCAAGGGTAACACCAGTTGGGCCATTGTAGATCTCGTCGGGGCCAGTCTCGAAGCCTATGCGGATCTCCTGGAAGCTTGATACTCATTTACATATATCTATATACTTCGTATATCCTGGCTCCAATGTTTCTATACATTACCACAGCTAATAGGAGCTATACAGTTCGTGGCGCGACCATGTCGATTTGATCTTCTCTTTCTATACTGTTTATTTCTTTTCTTTTTTATACCCAATGGTGTTTAGCTGTCTGCCTGTCTCCGGTGAACACCGTCCATTCTTCTTGAAGATATATATACATGCGAATCCCCTCATGTCCAATCTTTTTATCGATCTTGTCTCTAACGTTTATGGTTTCTTTTTTTTTTGGAAAATCGTTGGGTGCAGCAAGGGCTCGGCTAGGAAGGTTACATCGTGTTGGAAATTAGCATACTGGAATGATCGCGAGGCCATATTTCATCAATTAATTTTTTTTTCGCTCTCTTAATTTTAACTATATACTTTCTATGGAACATGAATATGAATATGAATGATATCACTTCTTCTCTTTCCCTTGATATCTCGTCACACTCGCAGGGATAAACCGTAGCGCAGACATGGACCGCTCTAGTTCATCAATCTCCAAATCCTGTGCAGTCGATGAGGAAGGAAGATGAGATACTACACTAGCACACTGGAGATCCTTGACAGGCCCTGCCGGAGACGAGTAGGAAGACTGGCGCCGTCGCAGCCGACCTTCCTGCGCCGTAGAGGCAGTATTCGAAGCTGATATGGCTGTTGAAGTCGAAATGCGGCGGCGATGGGAAGGTGCCGGTCGTAGCATCGACGACTGCTTGTCTATCCCATCTTTGACGATGTAGAAATTGTACGTCTGTATTTAAGTCAGGCTCTCCCTCTTTTTCTCGGGATTTTTTCTATTTTTTACCTTTGGAAACATATGTTTGTCTATCAGGTGCATTCTGCGTTTCTGGGGGGTGGAACATTTCCGATCACAATCTTCCACAAAACAGGCATACTTGGGGGTAAAAAATACAAATCAGCAATTGAACAAGGGAAGGTAGCGGGAAAAGAAGGGGGGATACCGTTTTCTCGCCTCGGTCTCTCCTCGTCGCGACGAGGGAGTCATGGTTCTCCTCGATATGAAGGTTCATAAAGTGTGTCGTGGGGAAGTTCTTGCCACAGTCCGCACACCGGTTCACATGGAACTGGAGATAATGGGCTTCGTAGTCCTCGTACGAGGTGAAGGAGAGTGTCTCCCTATGCGGAGGTAGCGAACACCACATCACGTCCGGGGCTGCAGCGGCGGTGTCGAGGGTGTGTTTCTTGGCCGTGGCCTCGTGTGTCTGCTCGGCGATGAGGGCTTCCGACTCCCTTCGTGCGCGTTTCGACATGTTGTGCAGAGTTTGGGGGGTCTTTGAGTGTGTGATACGTCAACTTTTAAGCTGCTGCTGCTGCTGCTGCTACCGCCTCTGTTTCTGTGGCTGGCAGAGTATCTCTGTCTTTGAAGTCCTATCTATGAGTTGGGATCTAATGATTTAAACCTATAGGAGTCATGTCTTACTACCTTGTCTGGTTTCTGGATTATATAGCGAGAAGGCGAGGTGCTGCTAAATCCACGGGGTTGGTTGCTGTATAAATGCCGGTCTGCCTCCAGGGCTGCCTCTTAACCCCTCTCTAGAAAAGAGAGACCGGTGGCTTATGGCTTAATATAAGAGAAATGGTTAGAAATAAGTAAGTACTGTATAAGAGATAAAAGAGAGTAATTATTTTAATAGTTATAGTCTGGAGTAACTATAGATTTTTTATATCGGAGATAGTGCCTGTACTCTATATCCTGATTATTATAGTACTGACTAATCAGGAAGCATTGTAAATAGAAATACTTTAGCTATATACTAGGTAGCTACCTAGGTATAAATCAAAGAACTTAGTCTTATATAATAGGTACCTAGCTATTAATACCCTCCTAAGGTATTAAATAGGTGGTAACTCCCTACCTCGGCTGACCTTGTGGAGGTAAAAGCAATCAGTGTCCCCCACCAGCCACCAATCACCAGCCAATCACAGACGCACCAGCCACGCGGGAAAATCGCCTCGAGAGAAACTCCTCGATATGGACGGATTTCGTCGGCGGGTTTCTCCTCCAGCAGTGTGTTCAGGCCATCCTCGGGTTCGACTTGTCTGCGATCTCGTGGCTGAACGTGGTCATCAGCGGGCTGAAGCGCTTCTCCCGATCTCTCTGCGCGTTCGCTTGTACGTCTGACTGATGGCTCGTTCACTGTACCTGTCGCCCGCAGACTTCCAGCCAGCCATAGCCATCTGACGGCGAGGTCAACTGTGGGGGTGACGGGCGCGGTCTCACTCCCCCTGAGCATGGCGTCCGCGTTCCAAAATGCGTGGCAGTGAGTAGCCATCTCCAGGATTTCCCTGACATAACCGTGGTGCCTTTTGAAAATGGGTTTGCACTAATCCGTTGATTCTACGCTTTGTAGGAATGCGCTCGAGGCCGAAAAGCAGTTGTTGAAGAGCCTCGCTGAGAAAGAATCTACATTCGCTGATATCACACAATTCCTTTCCGAGTCAGTGCCCCCCCCCCCCCCCAAATCGGTCGCCTGTCTGTATATCCATCAAGCTAACCGCCGGGGGATATTTTCTAGATTTCGTTCGGCATGCCTGAATACAATCCTTTTGGATTTCGAGCGCGCCCGCAGTGCCGATCTGGAACCCCGTCTGTGGGATGCGCATCTCAAAATCAATACCCGGTTTCGCAAACGCCTTGCTCGGGTAGGTAGCGTTGTCAGTCCGGGTCACTCAGTCACCTGTTGATCTTCGTCTCTAGTTCCGTGAAGAGAATGGCAAGAAAAAGCCAGTCGAGAAGAGGAAGTTGGAGAAGCATTACTTGGTCTTCATCAAGTCCAGTCAGAAATTCTACCGGGGCTATATCCAGAGCCTGTCCTCTCATTTCGAAGGTATCGAGGAACTTGACAAGGTTACGCGGAAGTTCAACTTTGAAAGTGAGTCTAGCTGGTTTTTTTTTTTTTTATTTTTTTTTTCTGGATATGGATCAATGTTTAATCTCCCTTTAATAGGCTCTTCTGCGCAGTCTGCAGTGCAAGTCTCTGATAATCTCCGTAAGCTGATTTTGCTATCTTGCCATGCGACTCTCATCCGTCTGGGCGATCTGTCCCGGTACCGTGAGACCGAGTTGGTCAGCAAAGACCGTAACTGGGGCCCTGCAATTGGATACTACGATCTGGCTGTAGTGATATACCCGGCGTCCGGTGCCTCGCACAATCAACTAGCCGTTATTGCCCTTGCGGATGGGAACCATCTGAGGGCTACGTATCATCTATACCGAGCGTTGGCAGCCCTCGAGCCTCACCCGTCTGCCAAGGGAAACTTGGAAATCGAGTTTAGAAAGGTTATGAACTTGTGGGCGAAGAGAGAACTGATCCGTCCGGAGGACGCTGGTATCCCAGGGAGAGCATTGGCTCCTTGGTTCGTTTATTTGCACGCGCAATGCTACAAAGGAGCCGACTTTCCTGAACACGACGAACTGGAGAACGAGGTCTTGAGTCAATTGGCTGTTGATCTAAAGGAAAGGTCCCTCGAAGGAACTCTCCAAAAGTTTTGCTTGGTCAACATCGCTGCAGAAGATCTTGCCAGAGCGCGCTCTGATGGTAAGATCAGATACCACTATTTCCACATTGTTACTGTGATTAATCGGATGTATACACAGATGAATCAGCACAAAACTCCCGCTATTTTTTTCAGCGGATCAATTTGAAGACATTCTTCACGCTGCTCCAGATCCTCTTGGCGGAACTGGAGCGCTTTGCTGTTGAAGACTTGGCCAACAAGGATGCAAAAACGAGTCCAGACAAGGTCACAGTGGTTGCCCGCCGCATCCTCCCTGCGCTCCGGAACTACAGTTCTTGGCTTCTTACAGTGAACAACCTGTTGGTAGCTCAAAAGGAGGAAAAGGATTCGCCTCTGTTCGTCCAGATCCAGGAGTTCTGGAAGATCTACGCCAATACTTTGACCCTTCTTGCCTCCAGTTTCGATGTGGTCCACCTCCCGGAAGTTGATTATCTTTTGGAGGAAGATGAAGAAACCCTGGGCTTCAGACCTTTGGCCAAGGAATGCACCGCACGTCGATACTTGGATACGAGTGGACGCCAGAAACCTCGTGTAAACGATTTGGGAGTTGAAAGAAGCCATCCAAATATAGAAATGCTCTATAGGATCAGGGAGTTTGTGATTGACGGGCTTGATCTCGTCGTGAGCAGTGTCAGTGACTCTCCGCCTTGTTATATGCAGTCCTTCGCTAACATTCCTCTAGAAAATTCCGATAGCTCTTGTCGACGACAACGACAAGAAGATTTTCATATACCAAGAGGAAGGGCTTCCTTCTCAGTTCTTTGCCAGCCCGCAAGGCCACCATCACACTCTCTCTTCGGCGAGCATAGAACGAGAGGATATCCAGCATGTATCCCAGGATCTCAGTCACACCGTGGATGCCCGAAGTATATTTGGTGATTCTCAGTCAGCCTCGGCCTCAGTCGCTGCCAATATGACCCGTATCGTGGAGGGTGTCGAAAGGCTAGTGGACTCGGATACGTATGAAAGCGCGCCACCCGTGGTTGAAAGTCTTGTCCCGATGAAGAGCAATGGCCCACCAACACCGCCGGGCCATCTGTTCGAGCCCGGCACCAGGATTTCTTACCACGAAGATGGTATGAGAGATCTTGCCACGCCGATCGCTCCTCCTCCTGGTCTTGGACTGCCGATGACCAAATCCCTAACCGGGGTTTCAGCATCATCCCAATCTTACACGCCTCGCCCAACCATTCCCAGCGTTCCAAGTATCTGGAACCGTGTCCCGTCACAGCTGGGTGATGTTCCTTCTCCGCGGACGCCTCCAGGTCTAGGCCAGCAAAATATGTCGAACTTGATGATGTCAGGGGATGGGTCAGCTTTCCCACCTCAAAATAACATGATTACCCCTGAAACCATGTACCGTCATCATTCTGCGGGTCATATCCAAAGCTCCATCGATGGGTTAGGCATGTCAGCTTCGCCATGGACATCTTCGAATCCATCCAGTTCTCTTCATCTCCGCCCCGGAGCCGGCTGGGAACGGGACCCTCGTAGTGCAACGGCCCTGTACTTTGATCCAACCAACCAGCAATATGCGCCTAGCAACCTCACATCGTCGTGGGCCAACGATGCTTTTATTGGCAGCAGCCTTTCCCCCGGATTAGGCTATCACCACAGTTCAGGGTTCGGCAGCAATCGCAGATCTGCGGCACAGCTAGGTGCCATTGGACAAACTCCACCGTGTGGCCAGGGCGGTTGATATTGTCATTCGGACTCCCATCCAGGAGCCCAGGAGGCACACAGTACCTAGATTAGTTGCGTGTGCCTGCGCGCAGAAATATTTGATCCCATCCCTCCCTCATCTCCGATCAGGTCTGTTGCAAAACATTGGTGTTGCTCGATACCTCTTTACCTCTTGAGGCAGAGATAAGACCCCCACCGGGATCCTGCTTTGACACTGCTACCGAGCATGAATGCGCAATTCCCGAGATTCTTATCAGCCTATACGACGCACAGTTCATATCACTCAGTGAGTTCATGTTCAGCTCGTACGTGTGAGCCCAAAGAGGAAAGTATGATCAATAAATCACACTGAAGAGAGCTCGTCGGTTGGATCCTCGAGAGGATGCGAGATGCATTGCATTACATTCCATTTCAATTATCAGTGTACACCTTACCTACCCTGTTTTGCACATTTTCTTTGCGATTCTGGTTCCAGCCAGACGGAAGCCGGTCCTTTTTTTTTCTTGTCGACCATGCTGCATGAATCTTGATCGATTTCGCGGTTTCTTCTTTTCATCTACGATTTCCAGGTCGTGTTTGATTAGCCAATTTTATGCGATAGGGGAGGAAGGTTTTATTTCCCTATTCAGTGAGAGAGAAGACCAGCCACCTCTTTTTATTTTATGTTATGATTACTAGATTGACCCTTTGAATTTATCTTCTTGCTTGACCTCGCTACTCGCCAAGCTTCTTCACGCTGTGTATACAGTACAGTACAGTATACAATTGTACGCAGTTATAGTCTACGGACGTCGGACGGTGGATTCCGGACGGACGTTCTTTTTTTATCTTTCTATATATCTATCTGGGATTCATTCGAATCAAAGTGCGAGACACGAGCGGCCACAATATATTCGTTACATTCGTTGTTGAGAACATGGGTTTCAGCGATGTTTTCTCTTAATCGCTGGACACTGCTATGCACAAGTAGATGCCGCTTTCCGAAAATCTTTTCATGGCAATATTACCTTTGATGTTAAGTAAAGGTTAAGATGGGTATTAAAGGGTTGAATCGTTTAGAAGAGGGGGAGTAAACCAAGAAACGCTGTTGAGGCTTTCTCAGTCAGTACAGGTGGCTACCTGGTGTTTAGGCGCGCTTGGAAGGGACGTAGGTCTGCTTCGGGAAAGGGAACCTAGATTGAGAAGATCAAAGTCAGTCTCGGGGTCAATTGTGCTAAGCGTTGACCGCTCAGATCTCAACAAGGGGGGTCAGGATTCTTACGATGGCCCAAGTTCCTGGATGCTCAAGCTGGCAAGCCATTGGCCAATGTCGACACTCTCTTCAACAGACTTGCTCTGCACGATACCGGCGCAGAAGCCAGCAGCGAAGGCATCACTAAAAAGATAACAAGTCAGCACGCGCCAGCTCAAAAGAAAATTTAGTACTCAAAAGACTCGTTAAAGACTCACCCAGCGCCGTTGGTGTCGTTGATGCTGCTCTTCGGAACCTCACGAACACTGTACTCATTGACCTCAACCTCGCCGTTGTCCTTGACGACAGCAGTGACAGTGGGAAGAGTGCCCTGAGTGACGATAGCAACGCGAGAGCGGCTGGTGTTCTTCTTGGGCAACTGAGCGAGCTTCTTGGCAATCTCCACCACATCATCGGTGCCCCAGGAGTGGCTCTCAGAGTAGGCACGAGCCTCGGTCTCGTTGCAGAAAACGTAGTCAGTGTATGGCATCACACTGTCAAGCTGATCCTTGAAGAATTGAGGGATGAAGGGGGCAGAAAGAGACAGCATGAAGATCTACAGAACGAACGCCTGTTAGTCTTGCTTATCTCAAGAATTCTTGGTTAGTAATGAAGACCGGTTGCTGACCTTGTTCTTAGCGGCTGCCTCTTCGGCGAGAGCCAGGATGGCAGGGACACAGACAGTAAGGTGGAATCCACCAACGTAGTACACCTGGGCCTTCTCAACCAGGGACCAAATATGAGGCTGCTTCAAGTGATCGAGCTTGTATTCGTTGGCGGCAGCAAGGTGTGTGCACATGCTGCGGTTGTGTCCGGTAATAACAACACCGCACTTGCCGGTGGGCTGAGTCTCATCCACACGGTACTCGGTGTGGACACCAGCCTTCTCGCAAGCTTCCCGCAGGACATCGGCATACTTGTCACGACCGACACAGCCGATGTAGGCGACGGAGTTCTCAGGAAGTATGTACTGAGCAATTATCAGCATCCTCGGTATAATCATGAGAGAGGTAAATAACGGGGCTACCGGATGATTAACATACCTGGGCTCCACGGGCAGTGTTCTGAGCAGCGCCACCGGCAATAAGCTTAGCATCAAGCTTCAGCAGGTCGTCGTAAAGTCCCATGTGTTTTTCCTCGGCCAGAATTGCATCGTTGTCTTTCAGTTCATACTTCGCCAGAAGCTCGGCGTCACTGCACAGTCACTGTCAGTACTACCATATGCAAGCAAAACATATTTTTGCCCCAAATCTACTGACCCGACGGCTTGGATATCTAATCATTCCAGGAGACTTAGGTTAGCATAGTTCAAGTGTATGAACTTCCGCAGTTAACTCACCGAGCAGAGGGTTCTCCAGAAGGAGAAAAGGGTAGCCTTGAGGAGCAGCCATTGTTTCGGTTTCGAATCAGAATAAATCGACAGACTCAAACAACTACTTTCTTATGAGGGAAAGAGTGGAAAAAAGAAGCTTGCAGAGGAGGACAGCAAGGTGGTGGGGTATGGAGGGGAAGTCAGGAATATTTTCGGAGTTAACTAATGGTAACTTAATATGATACCGTATCGTCTCTTACCGTAAACTATCGGCAGTTGCGTCAGGGGATCCCCAGCCGACTTCCGCGCAAAGCATTGTTAGGAAACGACTCTCGAACGCAGGGTTATTGTCCTATTACTGTCTAAAAAACAGGTCAGATTAACCACAACACTCGCTGAAAATGGAAGACCCAGCGATACAGATTGCGGAAACCATTCAGACTGCCTCGATCAAGCGAGACCCGTCTCCGGCCCACGACATCAACCCTCCCACCGCCGCTTCAGAGAAGAAGCCTGTTGTCCAAGATGATGCACAGTCGGAGGCCGCTAGCATCGCTTCGGACGTCGTTGACCCTCGCCATATGATCAGGCCCGTCCCGCGGCGGCATAACCTCCCTCCCTTGCCGGATCTGCGCTTCGAACAAAGCTATTTGGCCAGTTTGAAAGGAGCAGACACTTGGGGACGCGTTGCCTGGATTACCTTTAGAGATCAGGTAGGTACCCCCCATTCAAGCCGATGGATTTTGGAAAAAAGAAACCGGACTTGGAGTGGCTTTCTACAAAGCGATTGCTGACATAGTCCCTCTGGAATAACAGGTCCTTCTTCCTCTCGTCCAAGGTACATTATGGACCCTTGCGCTTTCCGGATGGCGGTACTGGAACCGTAACGCTTCTCTCAGCGGGCGAACTCTCGGCAGCAGAGTACGCAGGTGGTGGTACGAGGTGAACAACTGGAAACTTCCGAAGATGGACAGCTTCAGGGATCCCAAGCTTGCTGAACAGGTGGAAGACGTAAGTGGCATCAAGCCAGAAATCCCCTCTTCTCACACCAGAGACATTCAGTATAGCTGACGCTCCCGGAGCTATTACAGTACTACACGGCGCAGTTCTCAAATGCGGGGTCTGACTGAATCTTGACATGTATGATATACCTCGACGGCATTCATTTTTTCTTAATTTTGTGGGATTGGCATCTTTATGGCGTTGGGGACCACGTTTCTTTCAGCTTTCGACAATTGACTGTCAATATATCTACATTACTCAAATCAACACAAGATATAGAATTATATGGCACTGTTTTTGCAACCGCACCTATCTGTACTCCTACTTTATGAAAGATGGATATAATCTTTCTTAATGCTATTGTTGACTCAACTCTGGTCTCATTAGGATAATATTTCTTTTGGTCCCCCCATACATTAATTTTTCAAATGCCGAGAAGGCCTCCTGACCATGGACTCCTGATCCTTGTCTCTCATCTCGATGGATAAAATTTAGCAAAAGCAACATTTTTGAGCTGGGGACTGCTGCCTTAGAGATTTTGCACAAAGGTATCAAGTTCTTCTAATCAGTACCATTTGGTCCATCCACAGGGCCCGCTTGCGACTGGGGGACAAACGGAATGCTAGTATTCTCCTTGCTGTCAAATTTTGACTCTTTCGAGTCCGCTGATTGAGGTGCTGCCAGTTTGTCTTCCATGCCGGGATTGTGTATAACTGAAGATAAAACCCCGTTTTCTAACGGGGTGGGGATCTTTTCTGCATCTGGTTGTAATGTTTCGGGTGCGGTTTTTGGAACTTGGCCTGTGGTAGGTTGCGCAGAAGAGGCCACAGGCTTACCGGCAGTCTCCTCGAGCTCTGTGAGATTCTGGCGAGGAGCTTCAGCGGAAGCAGCGGGGCTGCTCGGTAACTTGTTCTTGTTGTATCTGAGTTGTACAACGAGACGAGGTGTCTCGCCATTCGCGATCTCTTCATCACCACTCAGGTCTTCCTCGTCGTCGCCTTCGAACTCGTTTTCCTCCTCGTCGTCACCTCCCTGCCATTCGTTACCGCTAGAGCTGGCGTCCGAATCGAACTCCGGTTCTTCTGAATCGTGGGCCATGTAGCCGTTTGGTCTGCCAGCCCGTGTTCGTTGCGTTCTTTCCGGTTCTTCCTCCGAGTCCTCCCCGCGTTGTCCGCTCAAAAGAGCTTCGCCGTAAATGCCTCCAGCACGCGAGCGAACTTGTCTCCCACTGGTTGTATATTTGGGCCCCGCGGGCTCTGTCGGTGTTGATATTGTAGAGTTGCGGGTTGATCTTCTGGCGGTGAAATCGTCGGAGAAGAAATCTTCATCGTCCGAATAAGTATACTTCAGCTTCTTTCCTCGGGTTCGGCCTTCATAGAGAGAGAAACCAGGGTCAGGGCGGGAGAAAGCGGCCTTTCGAGCAATCCGATAGTCACGGCGCTTGCGTTTCTTAATTTTTATGATCAGCAACAAGCCAGATGGAAGTTTCGAATCGGACTTACCTCCTCTGATCCTTCAAAACGAGGAATGGCATTATTGATCTTTTCGCTTAGTTTCCTGGAGTGGACATTTTTTTCTTCATCGAGCTTGTCAGCAAGGGTCTTCAGCTCTGGGATAGTCCCCGCTACGCTCCACCAGGTGATGTTCTTCAGTTGCGGATTGCTCTCTCTGTATAGTCTGAAGTGAGTATCATCCTGTCCCTCAACGAGCCAGTAGCGGCGCTTGAGGCTGTCGCGCCCCCAAGACTGAACGGAGAGTGGCTGGTTCAAATCATCATCATGGCGTGTTTGCTTGTATGATTCCTTGATCTTGGCTTGGACGGCATCCGAGGATGAAAGGGACCAGAGAATAAGAGCGCGAAGTAAATTTAACTAAATTAATGTCAGAGAATGTGCGATTCCACGGCCTTGGGTGAAACTTGATAGCATACCCGTTCTTCAGGAGACATGGTCGCAAATGTGATGCCGCCATGAAGAGGGCTCTTGCCCTCCCAGACTTTGGGCCACTGCGAAACATGTGTTTGGATTGCTTCTTCCAATGGCCGTTGGTAGTGATTTCTCCTAATGCCATAATAATATATTAGCTCTACTTTTCACTGCAGTGTCCCTTTCTGGTATGAGACACGTGTGATTCATTGAGGCTCCCACTCCACGTTTTCGAGGTAATAGGTGGCAACCATACTCAACATCTTTCTTTCGATTCAAAACTAGTCCAATCAATGCGCATAATAATCTCTCGATATAATCGCCAGGTGTAATATCTGCGACACCTTTTTCAATGTCTTGGGGTCCATAGTGTGGCAACGATCGCGGAAACACATCATGAAAACGCGCGCGGAACATGACAATGAACTAGCAGCCATAGCTTGTCAGCAAACGTGTTTAATGGGGAAAAAAGCGCGTCGAGGCCATGACTTGTATAGAAACCACTGACTGCAATATTCGGATTGTCTGCTAACACGTATTCATGTGGCGGAGAGGGAGATCGCTTCGCAGGCGGCGACTCGGATTCCTTCTTGAAGTATTTCGCGATCCCCGCGGGCTCGTCCATGACCATGGCAGCTGCCTCATCATCGGTAGGCGGTGCCGAAGACAGCGACGACAGGTCCGAGCCGGAAAGTGACATATCAGACATGTTGTGGTCTGGGGAAGTGTTGTCGAGCGTTGTAGCAAGGAAGGTGTGGTGACGCCAACTGCAAAGAAGCCTATCGACGCTACTATCGGCGCGGCTATTAACGCGCCGGACCTATCTAGTATATACTCTATGACACGGCAAAGCAAATTGCATCACGGCTCTTGCAACAGATCGAGGACTTGTATTCAGACTATCTAGACGGCATTCGATGGATGCCCTTTCGCAAGTAGCTAAGAGCGCGTCAAAACAAAGACAAAAGGATGGATTTCAGACTAGAGTAGCACAATAAGGGATAACAATGGAGTTCATGCAGATCAGGACACAAGTAGCAGGTCACGGACGACAAAGAGAGCCACAGGCAATCGAATAGAAGAGCAGTATTGGACTCTCTGCTGGATTTTATCCACAATTTCTGTTGAAGGTGATGATGGTTGTTTCCCCGCCAATTCAGAGAAAATTTGGAGAACTCAAGAAATCCCGAATATTTCCTGACGCCTTGCCAGATTGGCACTTGCAATTCAAAGCCATGCAAGGAACATTATCTAGATTCCACATCAGCATGCATGTCTGGTGTATATTAATCAGGGTGAAATAGGATGGCTAAATAAATTGTTACTCATTGATGAGGCAATTCGGTCCTTTGAAAGGGCCACTGGAAAAGCCAGACCTGTGCCATTGAGGCTGAATCATTATGACTCTCTAGTAGAAGAGGAGCTCCTCCTGTCCAATAACTCACAAGCAAGCGAGTGAGGGGTATATTTCCATTCCAATACAGGGTTTTTTAAAGGATGCTATAGCTGTGATGAAGAAACCGTTGTTTTCAGTCGAGTACTGGGAAGCCGCTGGAAAGAAACACACAGCAATCTACAGACTCGGCGACATAGAAGTCTCTTGGGGGGGAAAGTAGCCACGGCCAAGTTCGACCTTGAAAAATGAGTAGTTCTCAGAATCTGTCATGGAAATGGCGATCAGCGTCTGTGAAAGTCTCGCGTCCAGATTTAGAGAGTCCAAGACTAAAGTTTGCGCGCAAAAGTAAGGTGATCAAGGACAATAAAAATCCAACAGGGTTGAATCGTCCACTGTTGATTTTATGAGGACTGGTCATCAGCGGCCATCTTGCTGTACGCCAATGAGCTTCCACACATGATCAGAAAATCTGACTGAGCAACATCAATATCAGCTATTGCGTGCATCTAGTACAGTAAAAAAACACCTCATTCAATGCTGGAGCGAGTCCATAGGGGAGAAACACAGGCAAGGCCATAAACACACGTTGGACTTGAAGTGGCTTGGGAAACGACAATCGCGGAGTAGCCGCGCTTCGGCGGCACCAAAGGCGCCAGAAGCGCAGAATGCACTAGTGCCCAGTTCGGTTAGATTAGCGATCTCGCCCTAAAGCCCACACATCCTGCAACGAATTCTCACCACCAACCCGACAAGCCCATATTCGATTTTGAGGTACGAGAACTTATATACTCCCACCACACCGGCAGGCGGCCTTTCTCCCAACAGTACTAACCTACAGGCCACATATAGAGAGTCGCCATGGGTCGTGTGATTCGCAACCAGAGGAAGGGTCGTGGATCCATTTTCAGTGAGTGCGACCGCTGCGAAAAACCTAGCCTCGAAATGTCGAAGAAACAGACCATGCTAATGAGAAACCCTGTACAGCGGCCAACACCCGCCTGAACAAGGCCCCTGCCCAGTTCCGTGTCCTCGACTACGCCGAGCGCCATGGATACACCCGCGGTGTGGTGAAGGAGATCATCCACGACCCCGGCCGTGGTGCTCCTCTTGCCCGGGTCCAGTTCCGTCACCCCTACAAGTTCAAGCACATCACCGAGACCTTCATCGCCAACGAGGGCATGTACACCGGCCAATTCATCTACGCCGGCAAGAACGCCACCCTGACCGTCGGCAACATCCTCCCTCTGGCCTCCGTTCCCGAGGGTACCGTTGTGACCAACGTGGAGGAGAAGGCTGGTGACCGTGGTGCTCTTGGCCGCACCTCCGGTAACTACGTTACCGTCATTGGCCACAACCCCGAGGATGGCAAGACCAGAATCAAGCTTCCTAGCGGTGCCAAGAAGGTCGTCAAGAGCACCTCCCGCGGTATGGTCGGTATCGTTGCCGGTGGTGGTCGTACCGACAAGCCCCTGCTCAGTACGTGATTCGAATTCTAGACAAAAAAAACCCTTCAAGAATTTTTGCGCTGACAGTTCCCTACAGAGGCTTCTCGTGCCAAGCACAAGTTCGCTGTCAAGCGCAACTCGTGGCCCAAGACTCGTGGTGTTGCCATGAACCCTGTGGATCACGTAAGTTTCCTCGCCGCATATATTCCTAATAACCCTTTTGCTTCGTCCAAATTCTCTAACATGCCATTTTGTACAGCCTCACGGTGGTGGTAACCACCAGCACATTGGTAAGGCCTCGACCATCTCCCGCTACGCCGCCCACGGTCAAAAAGCCGGTCTTATTGCTGCCCGGAGAACTGGTCTCCTCCGCGGTACCCAGAAGACCAAGGAGTAAGCGTGTGTTTGTGCGGAGTTTTCTTTTCTGTGACGGGGTTCAAAATGCTCTTCTGCTACGAGAGATATATGTACTTAGGCGACTATGGATCACGTCCTTAGCGAATTAAGGTTGTGGCCACCCTATTCCCTAATGCTCACCAGAACGCCGGGCCCTTGCGATACCTTTTACATGGCATACTCGAGCAGGCCAGAAAAAATCGATGATATCAAAAATGAGAAATTCCATGTCTGTTCTATTGTATGGCTCCGCAGTAGATATCAAAGAGTATTCCCCGTATTTTAGAACCAAAGACCTGCCATGGGAGGATAAATGTGTATCTTCTCGGAACATTCCATTCCAAAGCCATACTATCTTTATACATTCACCCATTCTCTATTTACGTCTTCATAGTACCTAATTCAAGCTATTATTGTATGAGTTATACTCGGAAGCAAGAAATTAGTAACATCCAACCCATGGGATCGCACACGAACAGCAGAATTGAATATTGCTCCAGAACTGACCAATCAGATGTCTCTATGAGTGAGTAATCACGGCAGCCTCATCCCTGCCACCGGTAGTTCAACTAGAAAAAGAGTGCATGATCATCTTCAGCTAGAACCTAACAGAAGCCTGATCATTCTATTCTGAGAAATGGCACAGACTCAACCTATTCCAGCTGAAAAGATCCCTCGTCTGCCCACAGCCGGATCTACCTCGTCGTCAGGCGCACGCTGGCGCGCGGTTGCCAGTCGAGATCCCACAGCCACCGACTTCGTCTACGCCGTCATCACGACGAGGATATACTGTCGCTCATCGTGTCCTGCGCGACTTGCCCGACGAGCAAACATTGTGTTCTTCGACACTCCTGGGCAGGCAGAGGCGGCGGGCTTCCGGGCGTGCAAGCGCTGCAAACCGCAGCTGGGCTCGGCGGTTAGCAACCCCCAGGCAGAGTTAGTACGTGCAGCCTGCGAGAGGATCAGATTAGCGCCCGCGCACGATTTGAAGGCACCAACCCTCCAGGAACTGGCAAGGGGGGCAGGTTTGACGCCCAGTCATTTCCATCGGGTGTTTAAGAAAATCACGGGCTTGACGCCTGGTCAATACGCTGCAGGCAGCGCAGGAAAGGAGCAATGGCCTTCTTTGACTGGCGGTGGCAGCAGTGGTTCTTTGAATGCAGCTGGCGGCCCTTTGAGTGGGATATCGGGATCAGTAGTTGGGCTGCTGGATGGTGTGTCCAGTCCCATAATCGACCTAGACGGCCCCGACGCCATCTTATTAAACGAATTTGATATATTATTGGCTGCTGAGCGCGAGTTCATCTCAACACAGGACATGCATTCGTTGAATGGTGGGTTGGAATTCATAGAGATATAGCCCTTGCATACGAGCAGTGTGGTATCTGTCTTCGTATCTATTTTCGCTACACCTCGACTAGCGAGCACTGGTTTCTCGGTTTTGTCGGTCGAGTGACATGGTCTGATATTTAATAAATCTAGTTCCTTTGCACAATATGTCCGTAAGGAACCCAGGGGGGTTCTCCTTGGGTGGGGTTTTTTTGTAGCATCAAGAGTGTATTTATATACAATGGGCTCTACTCCGTATATTTTTATACCAAGGACCAGGTTAGACTGTTATTCGAATTTACCACATACTAGTTATATTTTGTAGGATAGTAAAAAATATACCTATCAGCATACTGTAAACTAACCACGACAAGGTATAAGCTCAAAAGTGTTTCATTCACCAGCTTGATGGCTTTGGAGGTCTATCAAAATATCGACACCTAAGGCGTCAAAAGGCCTGCACCATAGCCGAAATGAACACGTACTGTGAACGCTGATAGCCCCTATTCCCCCCACCACGACCCACAAACGCGTGTCAGATCTCTTCTTTGACTTCATCAGTCCATACATCAAGCATCTAGACTTGTTCTGTTCAATTCCCAGGTCGTAAGTCGTCCATGAGTGGCGACAGGCCTTTTCTGAGGCTGTGTTTGTGACACCGGGCCCTCGTTACAGACCAGGGTGCTAAGGTTTCAAACACGCTGTAACTAAGGTAGTTATCAACTTTCAAGTTATTCAACTCTCTCATTGAGCGTTTCCCCACCTCCAATGGACGTCGTATTTCGTACAGTGATATTCCCGACGCTCTGCCAAGAGATGGTCGTCCTCTTTCATAGTCGTTATTGGTAGGGCTTCTGAGTATTTATATCCGGACCCCTCAAGCATTCCTGCGGGGCGCTTCAGGAGGTTGCTTCGATCTGCTCGGGGGCTCAGCCTGTTTCGGTTCTCATTAGTTATTTTATTTCATTGCGTCGCTTCCAAGAACCCATCGTATTAATATTATTCATTAGTTGATTAACGGCCTTGCTGACAGGTACTGTCGCGTGTCTTTAGTTGACTAGGTATTATTGTTGACTAAGGGTCTTTCTTTCCCTCCTATATACGCCCTTCCCCCTCCCTCCCCTTTCTGTGGACCACACCCTTGCATGCGGGCATTTGAGCGTCTCGCTTGCTTTACGGCCGTACCGGATTTCCTGATAAACATCCACCTACCCCTCCCAAATAGCTGAGTCCTGGTGACACCCAATTGACAATTTCGTATCTGCCGAATCTTGTCCTGTCGAACGAGCCCCGGGGAGCCAAAATGAACGTCAACAAGAAACTCGATCGTTTCAAACAATGGGCCGGAGAACGGATGGGCGGAGAGGTGAAGACCAACGTCTCCGATAACTTCAAAGCCCTGGAGACGGAAATGAATGTTAGGCATGATGGTAGGTCATTCCTCGTGGGGTCCAGAGAGAATGAGTTGAAAGCAAATACTGACTGTCGACAGGAATGGAACGCATTCAAAAGTCAATGACAGCCTACGTCAAAGCTATTTCCAAACGCAGCGAAGGAGACGATAAAGAAAAGACCTTGCCGGTTGCACACTTGGGTAGCAGTATGGTCAGCCATGGAGAGGACTTTGATGCGAACTCAGATTTTGGCCAGGCTCTCCTCAGTAAGAAGACCATTACTCTGTTTTGAAAGATTGGGTAGAGATTCTAATAGCCACCACTAGTGTTCGGAAAGTCCCAAGAACGCATCGCTCGTGTTCAAGAGGGCTATATTTCCCAGTCTTCTTCGACCTGGCTGGAAGCCCTGGAGAGATCGTTGGCTCAAATGAAGGATTATTATGTAGGGAGAATTGCCCTTTGATTCCGTTTGAATGGGTGGACTGACAATGCTCGCAGAGCTCTCGCAGGAAGCTGGAAAGTCGTCGTCTGGCCTACGATACCTCGCTCTCGAAGATGCAAAAGGCAAAGAAGGAGGATTTCCGGGTGGAGGAAGAGCTGCGAACCCAGAAAGTGAAATATGAAGAAGCCAACGAGGATGTCTACCGACGGATGCAGGATATCAAGGATTCTGAGACAGAGAACCTGGCGGACCTAACGGCATTTTTGGAGGCACAGCTGACCTACCATGAACGCTGTTGCGAAGTGCTTATGCAGTTGAAAAATGAGTGGCCTTCTGGGTGAGTGCTATATTGGATACCGGGCATGCCTCTCTCGAAGGTACTGATCTTTTGAAATAGGAGTGCCCCCAGTCAGTCCACCGGCAGTCGTCGGACCGGACGTCCTCGATCAAACACTGCGCATTCTTACCACGAGCGGTATGAACCTTTGCATGAAGAGCCACCTGCTCAAGTAGTCGAGCCGAGACCCATTATCCGATCACGTCAGCCCTCAGCGCACCCGGCCGAATCTCCTGCCAGAGACTCATATCAAGGCGATTCCCCAATGCGACGTCCGTCGTTCAACCGAGCGCCGACGTTCGAGGGACCCACGCAGTTACGGCAGGAGCAAGCGTCTGCATCGCCGACCTGGCATCGGTCAACGAGTGACACCTTCCCTGTTCGCAGAAGCCAGTCACAAGCTCGACCCATCAGCCGCGTTGACCCGTACCTAGACTCTTCTGAAGACGTTGGTTCCTATGGGCGGATTAGTCCAGATCGCTCCTATGGCGAGGGCTCGGCATCACCATCCTCGTCGCACATCTTGTCTCGGGCATCCAGCGCGACAGCACTTAGAGCCTCGTCAGGGTTGGCAAAGAAAGGTCCTCCCCCTCCTCCACCATCTCGCGCCAAGAAGCCTCCACCGCCGCCTCCTATGAAGCGATCGTTGATCGGCGCTGGAGATGCATGAGTAATGCTTTTTTTTTTTACCTTTGCATCGTACCTTTGTACTTTCGAGCCAGCTTGATCTCCTAAGAGCAGTCATTTCCTCTCTCTCTCTCTCTCTTCCCGTCGTTTTATTGGAATACCGTTTTTGGTGTTGGATATTTTTAGGGATCGGAGTTGTATGGATCAATTCATCAGATAGGAAATAACCACTACCACTACTACTACTCTTTCAACCACCAACCAATGTTTATCTGTCATGTTGAGGCCTGTAATCCTACGTCCCGTGGCAATAACGCTCCGGTGCCACCGAAAAGAAGCACTAACACTAGCGAGCTACCGTGTCTATCCATAAAGACAACTCGACAAGCGTCTCAGGACTGGCCTCCAGGCGACCGAGCCTGTCAAATAACCCGTAAACCGGTCCATTAAACCTCTTGATATTCAGCTGGCCCCTCCCGACAAGCCCGTTCTTTGTCTCGAGCCGCCCAGCTGCAGCCCTCGCCCTGTCTGTCCTCTGGTGTCCCTCCTCTGACTGGCGCCAAACCAAATGCGGACAGTACCGGCTTTGTCAGCATGGCAAGTCACGTGCGTAGCGCGAAATCTTCTTTCAACCGCCTGCCTCCTCTCGTTACAGGCACAGGCTGAGCACAGCCAGAGTCCCCGACCAGCAACGGAGAGTCGCGAAAGAACACCCACCCCCATCACCATTTCATCGAATAGCCTCTCCAACGCGCCTTTGCCACGCGCCCTTTCCGCTTGGGGCCCTCCCAACCCGGTCGCCGTTGCGCTGGCCCCCCCCCTTTTTCCCACGTCTCCTCTTTGTCGCCTTTGGCCCTGTTTCCCGCCCCGGGCCAAACATCATCAAATCGCTCGCCAAGGACCCAGACACAGGACACTCTCAGTCGCATTCATCGACATCAGACGTCCTCTGTCCTCCAGGACCCCACAACATACCATTTATATCGCGCGTCTTTATTGTCTTTGACGCGACCTATTGGTTTTGTTACGTCTTTGTAGCTACAGTCAAGTTTGCTACCTTTTTTTTTTTTTTCGCGACACACCTTTGGCTTCCAGTCGCGTTTCTTAATTTTATTCAACCCCCCCGGTCGCTTATGAGTGAGAGAACCGCGCGCTAGAGCATGGCTTCGATTCAATCAGCTCCCGATATGGCGGCGGGCAATATGGCGCTGCCTGCCAACTTGACGCAGCAGCACATTCAGGAAGTCTTCCAAGTAAGACCCACCCATGCATACCCCATCATGTTCTTCTTCCTACTTTCGCGTCCTGAATTCAGTAATTAAATATGCTTGCTGACTCGCTTAGAAATACAAGCAAATGCAAGTGCAAGGTGTTCGTCAAGATGACCCGGAATACCTCAAAGCCCATAATCTTCTCTCGGCGGTTCAGAGGCAACAGGCTTTTCAGAAGCAAAGGCAGATTGCCCAGCAACAATTACAAGCCCAGCAACGTCAGCAGCAGCAGCAGCAGCAGCTCAACGGCGCCACCCCCGACGCCTCTAGTGCCAACGGTAAGGCGCCCTGCCGTTCTATACTCGCCTCTCTTGAATACAATACTAACAAGTGGAATTGTAGGGCGAAATGGCAACATTTCCTCAACTGGCGCTGCTCAAGATGCTAGTTTGGCACCGGCTATCGCTCAAGCTCAGGTTTCGGGACAAACTTCTGCTTTGCAGCGGAATGCCGCGGTCTCGAGCGGTAGTTTCTCCGCAGAACAATTGGCCACCTTAAGGAACCAAATCATGGCCTTCAAGTGGCTTTCCAAAAACCTTCCCGTCCCGCCTCGCGTCCAGCAACAATTGTTTACATCGAAGAAGGCCCAGACGCCTGTCTCGACCGCAGACAGTGTCGCTGCGGCGGAGGCAGCGATCGAAAATGCCGAACAGGTTTCTGCAGACAATGCCGACAAATCCCAGGCGGCAAGGGACTTGTACGAAAGCTTCCAATCACCTTACGACTCTTTGACAAAGAGTATCAGCTACACAGACCATACTCTTCGCGCCAATCGCCTACGGATTCCTGCCTTGATGCCACCTGGAATCGACCTGGAGCAGGTGCGCGAAGACCGCGAAATGTTAATATACAATCGCATTACGGCTCGCAAGGCGGAGCTCGCAGAGCTTCCCGCAAATCTTGGCGTATGGGATACAAGCAAGAGCGACGCGCCCACAACTGATGACTCGTTGAAGCTCAAGGCTTTGATTGAGTACAAAATGCTCAACCTTCTTCCCAAGCAGAGACTCTTTCGCAAGCAGATTCAGAACGAGATGTTCCACTTCGATAATCTCGGAATGACTGCTAACCGCTCCAGCCACCGGCGTATGAAGAAGCAGTCCCTGCGCGAGGCCAGGATCACTGAGAAGCTCGAGAAACAGCAACGCGATGCCCGTGAAACTAGAGAGAAGAAGAAGCAGTACGATCAACTGCAGGCGATTCTCACCCATGGGGCTGAGCTTCAGAATGCCGCCAATCAGCAACGCACTCGCATGCAGAAGCTCGGCCGGATGATGCTCCAGCACCACCAGCACATGGAGCGTGAAGAGCAGAAGCGCGTGGAACGAACCGCCAAACAGCGTCTGCAGGCCCTGAAGGCTAACGACGAAGAGACATACTTGAAACTCTTGGGTCAAGCAAAGGACTCTCGTATCACTCATCTGCTCAAGCAGACCGACGGTTTCCTCAATCAACTGGCCGCGTCTGTCCGCGAACAGCAACGTAGTCAGGCCGAACGCTTTGGCGAAGAGGACCAGTTCTACGACGAGGAAGAGGAGGCTGACATGATAAGCGACGATGAGGAAGGCGATGGGCGCCGCAAGGTTGACTACTACGCCGTGGCCCACCGTATCAAAGAAGAGGTTACCGAACAACCTACCATCCTTGTCGGTGGTACGCTGAAGGAATACCAGTTGAAGGGTCTGCAATGGATGATCTCTCTCTACAATAACAACCTCAACGGTATTCTGGCCGACGAGATGGGTCTTGGAAAGACCATCCAAACTATCAGTTTGATTACCCATATCATCGAGCGAAAGAAGAACAACGGCCCGTTTTTGGTGATCGTCCCATTGAGTACGCTCACCAATTGGAACCTGGAGTTCGACAAATGGGCGCCATCGGTCTCGAAGATCGTTTACAAGGGTCCTCCTAATACCCGAAAGCAGCAGCAACAGGCTATCCGCTGGGGCAATTTCCAGGTCTTGCTTACAACTTACGAGTACATCATCAAGGATCGGCCGATTTTGAGCAAGGTCAAATGGGTTCACATGATTGTTGATGAGGGTCACCGTATGAAGAATGCGCAATCTAAGCTGAGCAGCACGCTGTCTCAGTACTACACCAGTCGCTATCGCCTGATTTTGACCGGTACCCCTCTGCAAAACAACTTGCCTGAATTGTGGGCACTTTTGAATTTCGTTCTGCCAAATATCTTCAAGTCGGTCAAGTCCTTTGATGAATGGTTCAACACTCCGTTTGCCAACACTGGTGGCCAAGATCGCATGGAGCTGTCCGAAGAAGAACAGTTGCTCGTCATTCGTCGTCTGCACAAGGTTCTTCGGCCCTTCCTGCTCAGACGTTTGAAGAAAGATGTCGAGAAGGATCTGCCTGACAAGCAGGAACGCGTGATCAAGTGCCGTTTCTCCGCACTGCAGGCCAAGCTTTACAAACAGCTGGTCACCCACAATAAGATGGTTGTCAGTGACGGAAAGGGCGGCAAGACTGGTATGCGTGGTCTGAGCAACATGCTGATGCAACTACGCAAGCTTTGTAATCATCCTTTCGTCTTCGAGCCCGTCGAGGACCAGATGAATCCCAGCCGTCAAACCAACGACCTCCTTTGGCGTACCGCAGGAAAGTTCGAATTGCTTGACCGGATTCTTCCCAAGTTCAAGGCGACTGGCCACCGTGTTCTGATGTTCTTCCAAATGACTCAGATCATGAATATCATGGAGGACTTTCTTCGTCTCCGAGGATTGAAGTATTTGCGATTGGATGGTTCAACCAAGTCTGATGACCGATCCGATCTGTTAAAACTCTTCAACGCTCCTGGTTCAGATTACTTTTGTTTCCTCCTTTCGACTCGCGCTGGTGGTCTCGGTCTCAACCTGCAGACGGCTGATACTGTCATCATCTATGATTCCGATTGGAATCCCCACCAGGATCTTCAGGCCCAAGATCGTGCACACCGTATCGGGCAGAAGAACGAAGTCCGTATCCTGCGCTTGATCAGCTCCAACTCCGTTGAGGAGAAAATCCTGGAGCGTGCGCAGTTCAAGCTTGACATGGACGGGAAGGTCATCCAGGCCGGAAAGTTCGACAACAAGTCCACTAACGAGGAACGTGAAGCATTGCTGAGAACACTACTTGAAACTGCCGAGGCCGCTGATCAAGTTGGCGAGCAAGAAGAAATGGATGACGACGACCTGAATGATATCATGGCTCGATCGGACGAGGAACTCACAATCTTCCAACGGATTGATCGGGACCGGATCAAGACGGATCAATACGGTCCAGGACACAAGTATCCCCGTTTGATGTGCGAGGATGAACTGCCAGACATATACATGGCTGAGGAGAACCCTGTCGCGGAAGACAACGATCTGGAAGTGACTGGACGTGGTGCCCGTGAGCGGAAAGTCACGCGTTATGATGACGGCCTTACGGAAGAGCAATGGCTTATGGCAGTCGATGCTGAAGATGACACCATTGAGGAGGCTATTGCTCGCAAGGATGCACGCGTGGAGCGTCGTCGTGTGAACAAGGAGAAACGATCACGGAGGGGACAAGGTGCCGAGTCATCTCCCGAGCCGTCCCGTGAGAGCTCCGAGACTCCTCAGCCGAAGAAACGCCGCAAGGGTCCTATCCCGAAGCGCAAGGCCGAGGAGATTGTCGAGGAGACCCCACAGCCGAAGCGCAAGAAGGGCAGACAGCCCAAGCCAATCGAGACTCTCAGTAGCGCTGATCGGGTTACTGTGCAGAAGATTCTCAACAGTGTGTATCAAAGCCTAATGGAGATGGAGCAAGAGTTACCCGCAGATTCATCGGACAGCGAAGACGGCCCGGTTACTCGCTCAATCATCGAGCCCTTCATGAAGCCGCCCCCGAAGTCGCAGTATCCTGACTATTACATGATAATTCAGAACCCCATCGCCATGGAGATGATCCGGAAGAAGATCAACCGCGAAGAGTACCAGAATCTGAAGGAGTTCCGGGATGATATCCACCTTCTCTGCCAGAACGCTAGGACCTACAATGAAGACGGAAGTATCCTATTCCAGGATGCAAACGATATCGAGGTTTGTTCCCAGTCCTGAGATCCAATTTTGGGGGGGGTTTTCTCAATATTTTACTGATCATCTCAATAGGCCACTTGTCTTGCTGAATTAAAGAAGCAAACCGACCGCCACCCTGAGCTTGCTAACCTTGATGACCCTGCAACCTCTGCTGCCGTATCAGGATCTGCTACACCTCTCCAATCAGGGACACCCGGTCACCCAAAACTCAAACTGACCTTCAACCGAGATAGCACGAGCATGACTAATGGCACCCCGAATGTTGGTGCCAGCGAGGATGAATAATGAGGGAGCAGCCTTGATTTGGTGTCTTTTTTTTTTTACATCTTTGATTCCCACACACACTCTCTCTCGAGTACTGATGACCCTTTCTGCTCTTCTGGACTCTTCTTTTTTGATGCTTCGCTCTACTGTATTCAGACCACATTTTTTTTTTCAAACCTTTCCGCACTGGTTCCGCACTGGTCTTGTTTTCATTTTCATTTTTTCTTTCTTATTAAACTCCTGGGGGAGGGCGTTGTCTTGACTGATAGGACGACGGTCGATGGCGCAAATGCTCTATTACCAAAAGACGAGCGAGTCATTTCCATTCTATGTGCTCGAAACCTGTGGGGGGCACTTCTCTAGATGACAGACGGGGGGGGCCTCCTTTGACGTTTTTACGTGTTTCTGACTTGCATTTTATCTTACCCGAATTCTCTCAATATGTGATGCTCGTCTCCGTTCCAACCCCGTTTTCCCGGGCGGAGACTCGTCAGGTGGTTTTAATTTTGGGCTTTATTATTCTCATCCCTTTCTCTGTTGATGATTCGAGCTGTGGCTTGGTTAAGAGTAGCCTGCAATACAACCATTGTATTTGATAATTTGTTTAAGTCTACTGACTCGTAGCATGTGAGTGAACTGACTGACTGGTCGTATCACGATATTCCAGTTCCTTATCTTTTGATAGACTCATTATTGTAAAGCTTTGTATTCCCCTGTAGGTACTCCGATAATTGGAGCCAATCCTGGGCCACGAATGGCCGCCGATGATACCGCCACGAGATCTGAGCGTCTGGTCTGTGGATCAAATGCAATACGAGGCTATCAGTGCCTATCCAGCCACAGGTGACAGCGGAGAGGATTCAAAGGCACTTACTCCGTAGTCTGTATGTGCTATGTATTACTGTGTAGTATGGTAGTACTCTCTCTCACAAGCCGTATGTCCTCTCCGTATGTCCTAAACCGAGGATCCCTGGATAAAACAGGCAAAAGTCCGGACTCCCTCAGAAGAGAATAAAGGCCATGTGCCTAGAGCAAATGACTAGCATGTCTGTATCCAGGCGTAGAGCTAGCCCTAGATACGTCATCTGCACTGATCCCAAAGACGCGATGGCCCAGCTTTAGCGACCGAATCGCACTTGGATGTTCGACGTCATGAAGTCACGTGACACACCGCACCGTCATCCCGGCGAGGCGCCAGCTTTCGAATCTGCTCTCCTGCCGTCTACACAAACCACATAATCTCCATTCCTCACTCCCCTCGCTTTTAAAAAAACCCCCAAAAAACATCGACTTCTGCTCTCTAACTTGAGAAGAATAAATTAGAACAAAATGGCTTCTTTTCAGGACCGTGCCCAGCACACCATTGCTCAGCTCGACAAGGAGGTGTGTGCCCTTGCTGTCTTCCCGTGCTGATAGGCAAGAAGGACCTTTTTTTTTTACTGATGGCCCATGCCTGCACCGTCTAGCTCTCCAAGTACCCTGTCCTCAACAACCTGGAGCGCCAGACCTCGGTGCCCAAGGTCTACGTGATCCTGGGTTTCGCGGCTGTCTACTTCTTCCTCGTTTTCTTCAACATTGCGGGCTCCTTCCTCGTCAATGTTGCGGGGTTCCTGATTCCCGGATACTACTCTCTCCAGGCTCTCTTCACTCCTGGTACCTCTGACGACACCCAGGTAAGTTGAATTCCGTCGGGCGTGAATTTGATGTTCAGTTCAGTTTGGCTAACTGCATGACTTGGTCTAGTGGCTTACGGTATGTTTTATGGGCACCGAGATTGATATTCCAGCTTCGCTTTGGAATTTTCTGCTCCCCAGGTTACATATCCTAAGTATTCAAACATCCTGCTAATATGTATTTTTTTTTTTTTTAGTACTGGGTTGTTTTCGCCTTCTTCACTGTTCTTGAGAGCGCAATTAGCGCTGCCTACTGGTTCCGTAAGTTGCACCACGAATGACGCAAGCTTAATGAAGCTCAGTGCTAATATTAATTTCCTTAAAACAGCCTTCTACTACATCTTCAAGTTTGTCCTTATCCTCTGGATGGCCCTGCCCCAGACCAAGTACGTATACTGCTAGTTCACAGCTGTCAGGGGTGCCAAAAATACTGATCAAACTGAAAAAAATAGCGGTGCCCAGGTTGTGTTCCACTCCTTCCTCCAGCCCCTTCTTGGCCGCTTCTTCGCTAGCGGTTCCACCTCTGCCAACCTCCGTGCTCAGGCCGATGCTGCTACCAAGCCGCACTCGACCTAAGAAGGAGGCTGGAATGTTGGTACGTGATGTTGGAGAATCGAGACAAGATCGGAAACATGCGTGGCGTGCTCACGTCGCCATGCATCAGTCGGTTTTCCATCAGACCGTGGAAAACGAAGCTATCGTCTCGTGCATTTGCAGAAAACCCATGCATTGAGCGATCAGCAAGGTGGCGTATATAAGGGTGAAGACTGGGGAAGGTGGACAATTGTCTTGAGGTTTGGAGGAGCAGTGAATGATTCTTACGACTGGGATCAGTGGAGCGTTTTAAACTGTTGACAGGGATCACGGAGCGCAATTATGATCCCTTGATGTTTTCATACGCAACGGATATGGTCAGTCATATTTGGTGCCGCGAAAGATCTTGGGAATGCAAAGAATTTTGAGGTTTTTGATCTGGCTTTTTCTCTGCTTTTTCTCTCTCTCATCTTTTATTATATTCTTGATTAGAATTGCAAGCTCTTAGTTCCCATATACTCTTTTGAGCCTGTTCTCATATCACACTTTATCCAGATGACAAGTCCAACAAAGGGAGTAGTAGATGACGAGTAGTTAATATACAGCAGTAATCGACATGAGATCTGCAAAGACAAAACGCCCCCAAGAAGAAAAAAACTCCAAGCTCGTTAGATCATCATTTGGTCTCTGGCGATATCTGGCGATCCCAGCATATATGTAAATGATCCATGGATGAGAAGAGGAAAACCATTGGACAAGCGCCCCGTTAAGATCCATTCAATACAGACCGATACGGTTTCCCCAGCTGTCCGTCCGGGGATTTAGCACGATGCGATAGGGGAAGGGATTGGAGTCACTCGTCGTGATGGGTGGGATGTGATCCTTGTCTCTGTTGACAACGAGGAGAATCTTGAGCGCCGCCTTTTGCAGCATATTCTCCATTGCCCCTCGAACTTTTGCGCGTTCTAGAGAATTAGCTAAGGATAATAAATAATGAAAAATAGTCAACGAATATAAAAAGAATATGATTCTTACCAGATTCTGTCCGAGGTGTGGCAATGGTGACGTCCAACGACCAGATTTCCCAGCAGACCTCTTCCTCGCCTTTGCCCGCCAACCCGCCGAACCAGAGACCTGTGCGCCTGCGCTTTTTCTCGTAGAACTCGACGGCGATGCGACCGCGGACTCCTCCGCCCCCGGCACTGCTGCCGCCCCCATCCTGCGGGCTGGTGGCTGGCGACAGATGCTGGCTTATAAGCGAGCTGACGCGCGATTCGATCAGGGTTTCCAGGTCGACATCGTTGATGACGGGGAGGGAGAGGTCGAGGACGTCGAAGGTCTTGGGGCGAATGGACGGGAAGTACCGGTGGAAGAAGATGAGGTTTAGGACGCCTGTGCAAGGAAAAAAAAAAACTTAATAATTCATTTGATATATAAACGTTTAAAGAAGAAGAACAAGAAGAAGAAGTTATGTACCCTTTAAAACATCCTTGACGGTGGTGGTGTCTGCGAAGATCTCCAAGAAATACTCTGGAGGGGTTTTGCGGGGTTCCATTGTAGGATGAGGAAATACAGTAACTCCTCAGCGAGGGGGGAGGGGATAAAGAAGAGATAGGAAACCCAAGGTTTTCAATATAGAATAACTAGCGTTTTTGTTTTTGGCACTGCTGGTGGTTTATGTTCCGGTGACGACCCAGCTCGTCACAGCTGGGCCGTTCAGCGGAGAGATCCCGTGGTAGGCGTGGGAGTGTAAGCGTGGAAGGGGGACGTGGTGTTGGATCCGGGCGGCGCTCATCGAGGGCCTCCGATGTATGGCGATGCATTACCGGCAGGACGGAGAGGGTGAGGAGACCGCGGATTCCGGGCCAGGTTTTGTTCGGGTTTTGCCCCGCCGCCTTTTTGGAGAGCTTACTAATTATTGTATTGTATGTATGGTATGGTTAGATACATTACGTCAGGAGTACTTTGGCTTAGGCATGGGGTACCTACGGAGTACCTGTGCCAGGTACCTACATATGTACCCCTCAGGAGACTACAGTACCATATATATATATATATATAGTAATTAGTAAATTTATTGTATTCTCGATTTATTGAGGTATGTTTATAATAGAGTGTATACTACATATATATCTTGATATTTGTTGAGTGCTTAGTGTTCACATCATTCAGCCGAGGTGTGGCAGCCGCCCAGACCTGGCTGGGGCCGTCGAGTCTCATGCAAAAGAATAGTACCCCAACTCGAACCCTTGAAATCACACACAACACGGCCGATATATCATGATCAACCTTTCCTTTTGAGCAGAGCTATTGAATTTTATCCACGTGTACTTTATTGTTCCATCCTTTCACGATGATAGGAGCCACGAGGCGCTGGTTTCGGCGCAATCGCAGAGGGCTTGCCGTGGGCGCAGCTGTCGTGGGAGCTAGCTATCTGGCAGGCCAGTACTTGCTGTCTAAGATCTCCGAGGCGCGAGAGCGTATGAGTAGTGATAGGATCGCTCGTGAGAAGTGAGTCGGCTCCCTCCTCCCTCCTTGCTTCTTCTGCTGCTGTTTGAGTCGAGGCATTTATCCTCCTTATCTGCTCGTGTGAGCAATGACTGACGGATGTGACAACGAATCTTCTAGTCTGCGACGGCGATTTGAACAGAACCAGACTGATTGCACTTACACCGTTCTTGCCCTGTTACCCACTGCGGCGGAAGATATTATCGAGGCTCTTCCCGTGGAAGAGCTGACACAGGAGTTGCAGAAGAAACGCGCCGAACGGCTCGCACGGCTGAACGCCGGTGAAGCCACGAGCTCGGATCTGAGTTCGGTGGCGCCCAGCATCATCGAAGATGACCGGAAGAGCATGTCTAGCTTCCAGAGCGAGAACTTCGTGCATGCGAGCCAACTCGGCGAACAACCGGCGGGCGAAGGAGAGGGACAGCCACGGGTTAAACGCAATAGAGCTCAGTTGTGGAATGAGATTAAGATTTCCTGTGCGTCGCTGTGTGAAGAGAGAAACAAAAAAAAATAGATTGGCTGCTAATCCTGCTATTCTTCATAGCTATTACACGCTCCTTTACGATGATCTACACCCTCTCGCTGCTGACGATGTTCACTCGAATCCAATTGAACCTTCTCGGTCGTCGCAACTATCTGTCCAGCGTGATTTCTCTGGCCACACCGCCTGCGAATGCGTCCGCCATCAGACTCGAGGACCACGATGACGAGTTGGCTCAGACGTTTGGAAATGATTTTGAAACAAATCGGCGATACCTTGCCTTTAGCTGGTGGCTACTTCACCGTGGATGGCGGTACTTGATGACTGAGGTTCAAGCAGCCGTGACGGAGGCTTTCGGGGCTCTCAGTCCACGGGAAGACATCACTCTGGAGAAACTGTCCGAGCTTACCCTCCAGGTTCGCCAGAGGGTTGAAGGTGATACCGAAGAGCAGCGACGGTATGTTTCTTGTCTTGTCTTCCGCCCCTAACAATTGTTTTTTCTGGATACTAATCATGGGGGGTCTTTATTAGAAAGAGAAAATGGCTCGCCTATCTCCTACCGCCCACTGACGAAGAGAACAGTGTGCTGCAAGAATCGGGAGTTCTGGGCGTATCTGACCCCTCGTCTCCCCAGACGGCTTCAACACTGCGGACTTTGCTAGATGAGACCGCCGATCTGATTGAGTCCCCGTCGTTTACACAGGTCCTGACCCTGCTCAACAACGAGGGTTTTGCAACGCTGGTCGAACAGAGGGTTGCTGCGGAAGCGTTCCGGTCGACGTCTTCCCTGCGGGATCCGGAAACCGTCCCTCAGTCGTTTTCCTCGGTCGCCACGGTCGTGCCTCCAACTGGCGCCTCTGGCCTGAAGACGAAGCTGGCCAACGTCCTTGCTGTAATGACACGGCAAGCCCACGCCATCGGCAATGGCTCCAATCCACCGAACGACTACCTTGTTGCTATGGAGCAGGGGGTGCGGGAACTCGAAGCCTTTGCTGCCGTCGTATACAGCTCTAATTTTGATATCGGAATGACCGATGCCGCTCGGACAGCCGGGCCAGTCCCGGCTGACGATACGGACGAGGATGCTAGCACGCTTATCCAGGCGCAGCCGCTCTCAACGTCCGACAGTCTCGTGGATTTTGAACAAATACAACCCACCACGAAATCCACGGATGGCCCAGCGGAACCAGCCTCTTCTCTTGAGACAGCGGGCTCGTCGGCTTTCGAGCAGGCCTGGGGGAAGGCCGTGGAGGAGTCATCAGATGGCCATGAAGAAAAATAGAGCCTGCATTACCCGCATAATTATAAGCAATTATATGACACAATGTTTCACACCATGGCACGCCTAACATACTGCGTAAGCAATCCTAGTACTTCTATAGAAGATAATAAGTACCTTAGAGTACTGTTTATTTCACTGCGTCTAGCTTTTATTTATCTTTTATTTAAAAATAAGAAGCTCTAATTCTAAATCCCATCTCAAGCCATCTGCTGATGTGGACATGGCTAAAAATTAGGTCATAACCAAGTATTTTATATACAGGTAGTTAATGAGTAAGTATTAAGTAGGTACTTGCTGACTTATTTTTAATAAAATTTTCCATTTATAAGATCTATTTTCTAGTGTGCTCTAGCTGTGATTAACTATCAGCTCCAGAACCGGCATGTAGTCCAATCACCTTTTATGTGTACTACATAATTAGTGAACTAGTATAACTTAGGTACCTAGATATACCTGCTTACTGTACAGAGTAGGTAAGATCTTCTACAATTATTTACCAGGATTCGTCAATTACCGTGTATTTACTGGAACACTAACTGATTTAGGTTGGGCCCTAGTGCCGGGGCTGGGCCGGGGAACCTTACCTACATACTTTAGGTACTTACCCAGGTACCAGTACTTACTCTGTACTACTAAGTAGTAGACACTGGGGAGCTTAGCTGAGAATTTGATTAAATAGCTTATACATGCCAGGGGAAAAAAAGAAAAAAAAGTCATAGAAAAAGTAAGGGGTTGTGCCTCCTGTCAACTTTCACAAGCATGCTGGTGCCCATGTGGGCGGACAACTCGGTGTAACCCCGGTTAGTGTTGGTGGATCGGAAGTACCCCAAATATTCAAAGTGAGAAAAAAAAGGGCGGCTGTCTGTAATTGGCAACTGCTCTTTGGGGATTGACAATCCCTATCTAACCGAGGGTGATTCATTGCTTTTCTTTCAAATCCCCCCTCTCTTCCCCCCCCCCCCTCTTCTCTCCCTGCGTCTCCTATGCCAGTCTCCTAGCTATAACCCCAGTTATACCTAGCAACATACACCATGGGGCAACCCGGTAACTATACTCTCTTGATTGCTGCAGTTCTGACTGCGCAACACATGTACTCAGCTTCCGGTCGCTGACATGCGCAGAAAATAAAGACAACAGCCAGGCTAGTGAGCTGGCGAGCGATCAGCCAGCGCTGGGGACTGTCAATGAACGCAAGCTGATGGCCAAGATTGACTGGCACATTCTTGCTCCTCTCTGTGTGCTGTATCTACTTGCTTTCTTGGATCGGTAAGTGGTACCAGCAGTCCTTTAGGGTATTTCTTCTCGTTCATGGCTAATAATGCGGCTTTTTTCTTGTCTCCAGGGTCAACATCAGCAATGCAGCTGTCTTCGGACTTAAAACTGACCTCAACATTACCTCGGGTACCAAATACAATGCCGCGTTGACGATCTTCTTTGTGCCCTACATCATCTTCGAGATCCCGTCGAACCTCCTGCTGAAGAAACTGAAGCCTCACGTGTGGTGTAAGCTATTTTTTTCCCCCTATCTTCGTGGGGAGCGCCGTGCAATCTGCTAACCAGATCTCTCCTCCGGTTTTAGTACCCCTGTGCATGTTCGGTTTCGGACTTGTCATGATCTGTCAGGGCCTGGTGTCAAGCTGGGGTGGTTTGATGGCTGCGCGTTTTTTCTTGGGTGTCTTCGAGACGGGCATGTTTCCAGGATGTGAGTGCGGCTCGTGCGCTTCTGCATCAATGTCATACGTGGTCCTCTCTAACTGATGTACAACCTTAAAAGGCTTCTATCTCATGGGTATGTGGTACAAGCGCAGCGAAGCCCAGAAGCGCTTCAGCTTCTTTTTCAGCTCTACAACCCTTGCCGGTGCCTTTGGTGGTCTCCTTGCCAGCGCCATCGGCAAGATGAGCGGGATGAGAGGCTACTTGGGCTGGCGTTGGATCTTCATCCTGGAGGGCACACTCACCTGCATCGTCTCCTTCATCTGGTTCTTCGTCATCCCCGACTTCCCGGAAGATGTCAAATGGCTTACCGCGGAGGAGAGGGAGTTCCTTCAAGCTAAGTTGAGCAAAGATGTTGGGAAATCGGCACATGATACCAAGATTGGGCTGCGTGAGGTTCTGGACGTTTTCAAAGACTGTACGTTGCCCATGAAAACCTGTCAATCTGGAAACAATTTTCCCTCGCTGACTCGGCCTTTATAGACAAGATCTTTGTTGGCGGGCTGATGTACTTTGGCTTGATCGTTCCCGCATATGGATATGCCTATTTCGCACCCTCGATTATTCAGAGCTATGGCTACAGCGGTACTTTTACCCCCCTCTCTCGTTAGACCTCTTTAAATTATATTATGCTGACTCCCTCTAGCCATCACGACACAGCTGTACTCTATTCCTCCTTGGGCTGCCGCCTTTGGATTGTCCTTATGTGTCGCCTTCCTGTCTGACAAGTTTCGGCACCGGTTCGCCTTCGTCATCATTCCGATTTGCATCGCTATTGCTGGTTTCGCGATCCTGCTCACTGTCCATGGAACTGCTCATCGGCATGTCGAATACGGTGCTCTCTTCCTCGTCACTTCAGGCACCTACAGCGCCATGCCTGTGATTGTGTGTTGGTTCGCCATGAATCTGGGTGGCCATCACCGTCGCAGTATAGGAACTGCCTGGCAGGTTGGTTTTGGAAATAGTAAGCTTTCTTCTGTTTTTCTCAATGATTGTTTTCAGAACATACCGTCTAACCATATTGCCTCCTTGTCTCCAGTCGGTGGTATCATCGCCACCTATTCCTTCCTTTCCAAGGATGCTCCCCTCTACCGGCCTGGCTACAGCATCTGTCTGTCTTTCATCTGTCTCTCAGCAGTCGCTTGTACCGTCTATCTTGTTGCTGTGTGGCACGAGAACAGAAAGCGAGACGCAAACATGATCACCAACCCGGAAGCCCTTGGGGATAACACGGAAGAGGATGTCGGGATGCTGGGTGATCTTGCCCCGGGATATCGGTACAACTATTAATTGCCATGAATAAGCAAGAAGGATCTCGATAGGTACAGGCGTTCTGGGCCATTCTGATGTCACGAGGAATCGAGGCAGCTTGGGACGACTTGAATTCTTTGCTTCTTCTCAGATAATCATTAGTTAGATACGAGCTACTTCCGTCCCACGAGATATGTACTTCAGGGGAAAAAAAAAAAGTTAATGAACGCTACGAGTGCCTTGAGAAAGTTAGATTGTAGGAAGTAGAAGCCAGAAACATTTCAGTCCTTTATAGTTAATGCATGGATTGGTTAGGTCCTAGTGTTTCAGATTTGTACACAATCTGGATATATCCGCTAATACACAGTAAATTAAAAAAAGAAAAAAACGCCATATAGAAGAAACACGAAACAGATTTTTCCTTCCTTCCTTTCCATTCTTTTTCTTTTTCTTTCTTTTCTTGGCTCTTGACAAACAGACGAGAGCGGTTTAGCCTAGGGGATTTACCTCTTGGCGCCACCGCGGCTGACTTTGGGAAACTCGACGGGGACACGAAGTCTAGCGATGCGTTTGGTGTTGGCCTCTGCCTTGCCGCCCTTGATGCCGAATTTGGCGTGTTCGGATTCGCGGGGCTTGTCGACCCGACAGCCAAGTTCGCGGTAGTACTGAGCCGCGGTGGCGGAGTCGACGCGTAGGTCATCGCGCAGATCGGCCGGGTCGGTAGCCAGCTCGTTGGGGGAATTGCCGCCCTGGGTACTAGAGCCGCCGTCCTTGGCTGGCTGCGGGGGGATATGCAGGGTCAAGGCGCAGATGGTGGTGTGCAGCAGGGTGACGTCGAACTTGGTGAGGAGGGAGCCCTGCGGGGCGAACTTGCGGCGGATGGCGTCGATGACGGAATCCGGGATGACTGACGAGGAAGAAGAATCGTATTCCAACTGTTCTGCGGCAGCAGCTTTGGAGGTATTGGCTACACCTGTAGAAGTGGAGAAGATGCGGCGCAGTTCTTCTCTGGGCGGGAGGCGCTTGCTGCCCGGGCCGGCGGATTTGGCCGAGTCGCCGCGCGGGCCGGCGCGAAGGGCGCGGTTGAATTCCAGAAGCAGGAGGATGAAACGAAGCACCTGGAGGTGGGTGGTGTTGCCGGAGCGGACGACGGCGTCGACGCGGTTGGAGACGTAGCGGGAGCCCGTGGAAACGCCCTGGCCGGAGAGGACGCGGTCCCGCCATTCCTGGACACCCGGGAGCTGGCGCAGGGTGGACACGCCGTTGGGGACCAGAACCTCGATCGGGTACACGTCTGACGGATGCGTGGCGGCCAGGTTGGCGGCGGGGATGGGCTTCGCGGCCTGCACGGTGGCCTGGACGCTGGCCGCCTTGGAGGCCATGTCCAGTGACTCGACGGGCATCGAGGACAGAATGGCCGACTCGGCTGCATTGGCAATTCCTGTGGGGGCGTTGGACAGCTGCGCGTTCTCGGCCATGGACTGTACGGCCTTGCGCGATTGCTTGGTTCCGAACGTGTTGGTAAGGGCATTGCGTTGAGCACGCATGGTTTGCTACGAGATTAGCCATAGTTAAAAAAAAAAGGGAAATAAAGAGAAAAAATACCATCTCTTCTTCAGCTTCCTCCTCGTCGTCGTCCGTAGGTTTATATCTCCTAATTCCTCCGCGCAGAGTAATCTTGCGAACCTCGACAAACTGCCATGTCTTTTGTTCCGGATCCACGACGGCAACATAATGTTTCAGCTGGGCGTCGGTCTGGTCCTCGGCCTCGCGGCCTAGGAAGTCTAGCTTTGGGTGCTCGGAGGACTGCAGCAGGACCTCTTTACTCGCAATACCACGGTTGTGGTGGGAGTGTTTCCGGGAGGAGGCGGATTCTTCATCGCGGCTCTTGATATACGGCGTCAATTGGAGATTGCGCGGGGGTACAACGCCAGGAGTGATTGCTAAGAAGCAGGATAAGTCAGAGTTCTTCCATTCTCATGTAAATATTCTCTATCAAAGTCATTTGTTACCAATTACTGGCGCCAGCTCGTTGTGATCTTCCACCACGCTTGAGGCCAGCGGCGGCAAGTCCTGCAATTCCAGGGCAGGCTTTTTGCTCGGCCGTTCGTGGCGGTCAGAGGCGCGCTTGCGCTTTTTTTCCACGTCGACGGAGGGCATGGTGAGGCCGGTTTATTCTTTGAATATCAGTTGATATCCACGGCAGAGACTATATGAAATCTGATGCCCGAAGAAAAAATCCAAGTGGATCTGCCGTAAACAGAAGGCGGAGAGAACGTGACAATACCGTACCGACGATACAATACGACGCTGCCTCGGCCGCACAAATGATTCCTCAGATTCATCGAAAAATAATAGCTACAAAGATAACAGCCGCTCAGGAGGAACTGTAGCTTCTAATGATTACGCGTAGAATTGATGGATGTCAAGCATGACGAACTTTTTTGTTATTTAAGAGAAAAATAAACTTTCGGACTCTCCATGGCTCTTGAATCCCAAGGCATCGAGCGTACCCGATGGGGCGTCCGTGAGAACACCGTAGTTGTTGACAGGAAACATAAAAAGAGCAAAATTGACCAGGTCCACATGCCAGACTCGAAGGGAGGAGGGAGGGTGACGCGAGATGAAAACGAAGACAAAGAAAAGAGACCACCCAATACGTAAACCTTGGCTTGATCGAAATCATTTCTTCTTCATTCCACCACGGGAAACCACTACCCGAATCCCTTCTCCAACCCCCTCACCGAAACACACAAAAAAGACCACATTCGAGTTTTAATCGAGCGAGAGAAAAAGAGAGAAAAAAAAATTGTGCATGCACATTTCTCCCTTCTCCCTCAAACCGTTGACTGGCGTAAAGAGTAATAAAAGGAGGCAGATTTATCGAAGACGGTAACGAGTCCTTGGAGGGAAGGAAACACGTTGAAAAGGGACTCCCGAGTTCGAAAGGGAAATAAGACCAGTCAGGGCACCCTGAGTAGCTTAACGATCATCAATCATTCTTTTCAGTTTTCGTGATATCGTCCGTTGTCGTGTTCAGCATTCAAACGTGGGTTGGCATGCGAAGCTGAGATGGAGGGGCGAGTAGTTTATTTGCTGCAATAATTAGTAAAATATTCGAAATATATTTTGGGGTGATTGTGCAAAACTCACCTGCGAGCCCTCATCTTTCTACGCTTACGCTTCAAACGGCGAACGCGCTTCTTTCTCCACTTGGCTCTCATCTTCGAAGATGGTTCGAGACTATATCAATCAGAAACTGCGAAAAGAGAAGTCTTTCTCCAAGAAAAGGGGAGGGGGGGGGGGGACTCACACTTCTTTGAGGATGAGGAGAGATGGTTGCAAGAATGATGCAGTGCCCGCAGCGGAGAAGCTCTTTGTGTGCGCTGTGGCTGACTCAGCAGTGGCTCACACTAAGGGTTCGCTTGGAGGAGGCTAGTCCTGTTCCGGACACACAATACTAGCAAGTCTGAATTAGCTGGGCCGATATACATGCCTGAGGCAGCGAAATACGAGGCAACACGAGAGGCAAAAAGGCAAGCTGCCAAACCGACCAGGGAATAGATTCTGGTGACGAGATTTCTGTGGGTCAGGATCAATTGGAAATTTTCTCTATATATGCCCGATCTGGGTAGGAGCTAGAATCGAGGGGCAGTCAGAGCGACGCAGAGCGGAAAGGGATTGTTAAGGAATTGCTCTCTACGGAGTACGTAGAGAAGACTAGAGTGATTATTTACTATTGCATTATTGCCTGAGAAGGCCTCTCTATAGATACGTAGATCATGCTACATTACTGAGACTGATGGCTAGCGCCTGGCTTCATATTTCAGGAATGATTGGTCAACATATGGACTCATGATTCAAATATACTTGAAAAAATAAATAAATAATGTAATGCTTGATATGACAGGACGGTAACGACCGGACGTGGGAGAAACTATCTACGACCACCTGAACCCAGCGCACGAGAGCCAGTTAGCGGTGTCAGTCAGCTTCAAAAAGCGACACCGGTCGGCGAGGCAACAGGAGCAGCAGGAGCAGCAGGAGCAGCAGGAGTAGCTGCGGTAGTGGCAGTACGCATGCGCGAAACCACCTCCTGCTGCTTCTCGGCGGCGTCGGTGCGAAGCTCGCGGGCGACAGCCTCCTCGACGGACTCGGCCTGGTGCAGGCCGAGCTGGGCGTCGGTCCAGATGGGCGAGTTGGCGGCTTGGGCGCCGTCGACGCCAACGCCGACAAAGCCACCGAGAGCCTTCCAGTCGGAGGTGCGCTTGAGGCCGAGGTCAGACCAGACGGCCTGCACGGACTGGACGAGGTGGTCGCGCAGATGCTTCACGTGGCCGGGGGTCGGGGTGATGCGGAGGCGCTCCTCGCCGCGCGGGACGGTGGGGAAGTTGATGGCCTGGACGTAGATTCCATGCTCGTCGAGCAGCTTGTCGGAGGCCTGCTTGGCCAGCTCGGCGTCGCCGACGAGGAGAGGGATGATGTGTGACGGGTTAGGGATGACGGGGATGTCGAGGTCGGAGAGGGACTGTTTCACGGCGCGGGTGTGCAGCTGTTGCAGGACACGGTCCCGTTGGTGGGTTGCCTGGTACTGGATGGCGGTGTCTGCGCCGGCCATGGTGGCCGGCGGCAGGGAGGTGGTGAAGATGAAGCCCGGGGCCAGCGAGCGGATGGTGTCAACCAGGGCGGCGGAGCCGGCAATGTAGCCGCCGACGCAGCCGTAGGCCTTACCCAGGGTGCCTGTGATGATATCGATGCGGTCCATGACGGTGCCGCGGGTGGAGCGGGGGGTGGGGGTATCGAGGGACTGGTAGACCTCATAGTCGAGGTGTTCAGCGACACCAGCGCCGTGTGGGCCGTACATGCCGACGGCGTGGACCTCATCGAGAAAGGTGATGGCGCCGTACTTGTCGGCGAGGTCACAGATCTTCTCGATCGGGGCGACGGAGCCACACATGCTGTAGACGGATTCGAAGGCGATGATCTTGGGGACATGGGCGGGAAGGGAGGCCAGCTTGGTCTCGAGATCGTGCAGATCGTTGTGCTTGAAGACCATCTTCTTGGCTCCGGAGTGGCGGATGCCCTGGATCATAGAGGCATGGTTCAGGCTATCGGAGAGAATGACACAGTCCGGCATCTTGCTGCCCAGGGTGGCCAGCGTGGCGTCGTTGGCCACAAAGCAGGAGCTGAAGACCAGGGCCGCCTCCTTGGCGTGCAGGGTTGCCAGCGTCTTCTCCAACCCCACCGCGTGCTGATTATGGCCGGAGATGTTGCGGGTGCCGCCCGCCCCGGCCCCGTACGTGTCCAGCGTGCGGTGCATGGTCTCCAGCACCTGACGGTTGCGGCCCATACCCAGGTAATCGTTGGAGCACCAGACGGTCACCCGCTCCTCGCGGGAGGCCGTGTGTGCGCGCGGGAACTCCTGCGCCAGACGGTTGATGTTGTTGAAGTACCGGTAACTCTTATCCTTGTGCTTCTTGGCCAACTCGGCCTGGTAGAAGCCATTGTAGTCGAACCGAGGGCTCACGGGGGCCTCGGGCCGTGGGCCCGCAAAGGTTCCCGTCGTGCCAGCCTTTGTATTCAGAGGGAATTTACCGGAAGGTTGTTCAACTGAAACGTTAGCACACTAAATATATACATATATATATATAGAGAGAGAGAGAGAGAGAGAGAGAGAGAGAGAGAGAGAGAGAGAGGTACCCTTCTTGTAGGACTCTGCCTCAACACTAGCCCCATGATTGCCAGTACCGTGCAAGCCCCGACGACCAACAGGCTTGACCCCCATGGACACACCGGCGGCAGACGAAGTAAACCGCTTGGTATTTGCCAGACGGGCGCTCTGGACAGCCAAGGCCTTGCTCATCACAGGGCACCGACGAGCAATCACCTGCAGGTTGGACATGGTGCCTCCCCCGGGACTGCCCTGGGGCCGGGTAGCCGTGGCCAGCGTACGCAGGGCAGCGGGCGAGGTGCGCTTCAAGAACGGGCACATGGCCCGGGACTGCTGAAGGAGAGACTCCATGAGAAGGAAGGGATGGTCAATTCTGCTGTCTGTGTGTCTGTATGTCTGTTCGATCTGCCGGTCTTGACACTTGGCAATAGTGACAAGGGAGTTGCTGCAGAGGGAGAGTTGAGAACTTTCAACTTAAGGGAAGGAGGGAGGAGAGTCTGACTCGGCCCTCGAGTGGGTGGCGTGTGTGTCTTCTGATTGGTGGGAGGGTGCCTTGACACCTGATTTTGCAGGCGGGAGGTTTGTTACGGCTTATGTCAGCCCGACGCTGACATTTAGCGTGTCTTGATTGGTGGACATTGATACTGCAGTATGGTTTGGTATGGCTTGGTATGATACCATACGGTACAGCGAATACAGTAATCATGATAGAGGTGGACATCTATATAGATAGCTACGAGGTAGAATTGAACTGAAGCGACAAATCATACATGCATCACTTTTCTGATAACTGCCGTCTAACAATACAGATTTTCCGAGATGCGGGTGGGCAATCGAAGAACTCGCAGCCAGTGTGCTCCTGTCCCAGCGGGCGAACAACAGTAGAAGAGTAAGAAAGAAAAGAAGAATAGAACTGGAACGTGAACTGGAAAGTGATAGGAGAAAATACAACATGGCGTCACGGAAGAGGAAACAATAAGAGAATACAGCAGTGAAAGAAGAAAAAGAGAAGAAGAAGAAGAAGAAGAAGAAGAAGAAGAAGAAAAAGTCAGCCAGACACCACCACAGCAGACAGAGAATCATGACAGCCCTGCCACGCTTGGAGGGTTTGTAATTCGGGGGTTATTATCGGCTGGCCGAGTCTTGGTCATTAGGGTAAAAAGCTCTTTCAATGATGGTACACGGCAGCAAAGCTGCCAAAGAAATTTCAGACAACCGGCAAGAACAGGGAGGGAATGAGACAAGCGGTAGGACAAGGAATAGACTGTCAGTTATCTGCCAGGCCGCCATCGCCGTCGATCAGACGCAGACGCTCCTTGGTGGTTTTGGCGCGCTTCGAAGTGCCCTTACCGGGTCCTCGTCCACGGCCTCGTTTGGCCGCCGGCACAGACGACGAGGTCGCCATGTTGTCCGCGGCAGAGACTGGAGTGGCTGTTCCGGATGGTTTGGCGCTTGCGTCGTCAAAGTTGCCTTCGCCTATAAAAGTTAGAAAAGAAGAAGAAGAAGAAGAAGAAGAAGAAGAAGAAGAGGAAGAAGAAGAGGAAGAGGAGGAAGAAATACCCTCATGATACATATCATCCAAGGTGACATCACGCTTGCGCTTCTGGCTGGCCTTCTTCCCCGGCTTGCCGGCGCCAAAGACTTCGCCTCGGTCGAGGGCCTCGCGCTCCTTTTGCTCAAGGATCTCCGCCTGCTCATCGTCGGCCAGCCACATGGCAATGTCCTTGGTGCGGCTTTCGCGCGTGCGCGTGTTGAAGTCGACGCCGCCGGCCGCTCCGCCCGAGATGACCACCCGCTGCACCTCTTCCTTCTGGAGCGCACGCTTGCGGATCCGCTCCTCGATCGTGCCCCGCGTGATGAGCCGGTACACCGTCACCTGGCGCGTCTGGCCGAGTCGATGCGCACGGTCCATGGCCTGCGAGTCGATCGTCGGGTTCCAGTCCGAGTCGTAGAAGATGACCGTGTCCGCGGCCGTCAGGTTGATCCCCAGCCCACCCGCGCGCGTCGACAGCAGGAAGACGAAGATGTCCGACCGCTGCTGGAAGTCCGCCACCGTGTCGCGCCGGTCCTCCAGCTTCGTGCTGCCGTCTAGCCGGCAGTACTTGTAATTGCGGTACGTCAGGTACTCCTCCATCAGGTCAATCATGCGCGTCATCTGGAAGTACAGCAGCACGCGGTGACCGCCCGCCTTGAGCTCCCGCAGCAGCTCGTCCAGCTTGGCCAGCTTGCCGGAGTCGGTGACAAACCGCCGCATCGACGGCACCTCGATATGCGTGTACCGGCCCTTGCGCGAGATGGGCGCCGGGAGCGTCGGGGCGAGGCAGAAGGGAGCCGGGTCCATGTGCTTGGCCAGGATCTCGGTCTCCAGCCGCTTGCTGCTCGGCGTGCCGTACAGCGCGTTCCGCACCGAGATGTTGAACAGCGTGTCCCGGGTCTCCGTGAGGGCGCCCTGACCGGAGCACGATATCGACACCGGCGGTGCCGAAGCCGCGGGGCTTGCACAGGGCTCGATGACGCCGAGTCCCTGGCGCTCAAAGGCTGATCGGGAGACCGTCATCAGATCGCGCAGATAACCCTCCCCGGTGATCTCCTGGAGGGCGTGTCGGTCATTGCGATCGACAACGTTGAGCATCGAGTGCGGCAGCGCAGATTTCAGGAGGTGACTGTTTCCACCATCGTCATCGTCATCGCCGTAGATCACGCGGAGACGGGATAAGCGGTTAGAGGAGGAGGTAGGTTGATGATGGCGGGCGATCGCGCGCTCAAACACGCCGAGCCGTGAGGCTTGCGAGGCCTCTTGGATTGATGTGTCTACAAACCGTAGGAAGGAAAAGGCCGCATTGTCTTCGACGCTGCGTTTGATGTTCTCCGGCGTCCAGATGTTCATCATCTGGTGGAGATACTTGCCGCGGAACCCCGCGGTGAGATTGTTTGGCCCCGGGATGTCGATACGACCGGCGGACTGGAAGAGAAGACGCGGCACCTCGTACTCGATCAGGCTGCGAGTCGAGTAGCCGACATCGACTTTGGGTCCTTCGCGCAGGAAGGAGGCCGTTTCGGCAAAATGAGCGACGGAGAAGGGGGACCTGGTCTCGGCCCGCTCGAACAGGTCCGGGTGGTTGCAGACCTTGCGGAACTGCATGACCAGGTTCATCAGGGTGGTGCTGTCTGCCTCATCGCCGATGGCCGCCTTCTCGATGAGATCCATGATGCTGACGCGGTTGCGCAGGTTCGCGTAGTAGGCCCGTTGGCGGTAGGTGAGGTCGCAAAAGATGTCCTTCTCGACCTTGTCGCCGAGCTCCTGCTGGACGTGCTTCTTGACACGCCGCAGCATGAAGGGTTTCAGAATCATATGCAGACGGCGCAGCTGGTCTTCGTTGAGCTTTGTATTACTCTGCGCATGGGACTCGATGTCCTTGGAAAACCACTCGCTGAACTCGTCGTGGGAATCGAAGAGGGTGGGCATGATGAAGTGGAGGAGAGCCCACAGCTCTTGCATGTTGTTCTGGATGGGGGTGCCCGTCAGGAGCAGGCGGTTGCGGCAGTGGAACTGCAGCAGGTTCTTCCAGCGGGAACTCTGGGACGACTTGATGGCCTGCGCCTCGTCCAGGATCATGTACTGCCATTTCACCTTTTGGAAGTACTGGGAGTCCAGGACGACGAGTTGGTAGGAGGTGACGAGCACGTGGAACTCGGACTCCTTGGTGTAGGTGATGTGCTTGCGGTCCCAGAACTTGCGGAGGATCTTGCGGTCCTTGGCGGAACCCCAGTAGGGGAGCACCTTGATGTCCGGCACGAACTTGGTGATCTCCTGCTGCCAGTTGTGCAAGGTGGAGGCCGGGGCGATGACGAGGAAGGGACCCCAGATGTTATGCACCTCGGCCAGGTAGGCCATGACGGAGATGGACTGGATGGTCTTGCCGAGACCCATCTCGTCGGCCAGGATGCCGTTGATGCCCTGCTCGTACAGATTGACCAGCCAGTTGAGGCCCTTGAGCTGGTACTCCTTCAGTTTCGCGGTGAGCATGTTGGGCTGCGAGATCTCGATATCGCCCAGGCTGGTGGGGTTCTGGAAGTTCATCTCCCCTTCGTCAAAGGCGGCCATCTGGTCCTGGTCGGTGTTGAAGGCGCGCGCGCGCTGCTGGGCCTCGTTGACGGCGTTCTGGGCGTTGGCCATGGCCGCCTGGCGCAGGGCCGTCTCATCCTCGGCGTCAAAGTCGAGATCCTCGAAGCTGGTCACCTTGGTGTGGAGGTCCGCCACGCTGTCGGGCAGGTCGACGGTGTGCGCCTGCGGCGGCTTACCCCGCTGGGCCACGGTCTCGCCCGTGGCCTCGGCCTCTTCGGTCTTGATCTTGCGGCCGATAAAGTGCGAGTACAGCTCGGTCTGGGAGATGAGGAAGTTGAGCTTGCGGCGCTGGCGGTTGGCCTCGCGCTCGGCCTCGGCCTTCTTGGCCGATTCGAGCTCCTGCTTCTCGGCCAGGCGGCGCAGGTCGCGCTCCTCGCGCTCGTTGCGCTTCCAGAAGGACATCATCTCGCGCATGGTGCGCTTGGCCCGGGCCTGGGTGTCCTTCATGCTCTTGTTGGTCCGCTCCTGCCACTTGCGCGACTGCTTGCTGGCCAGCTGGGCGGTCTTGCGCAGGTTCTCCTGGCGCGTGCTGAGCGACAGGACCTTGACCCGGTACACCTTGGGGATATCTTTGCGGGCGATGTCGCGCCAGATCTGCTCGTAGATCTGATTGTAGCCCTTGGTCTCAAAGGCCGAGAGAGGTGTGGGCGTGGACTCCTTGGAGCGCGCACCGGCACCAGCACCACCACCACCAGCACCACCACCACCTTTGCCCTCCTTCTTGAGCGCCTCCTTGCGCGGATCGTCCCGCGGGGCCAGCGGGAGCGGCTCATCCTTCTCCATGGCGAGATATGCCGCCTCGGCCTGGTCCTTCTCCGCCTGCTTCTGCTCCTTGGACTTCTTGGGCCGGGTGACGGGGCCGCCCCGTCCGGACTTCCTGCGCGAGGGCGAGCTCTTGCTGATATGGAAGGAGCCGGTCGTGCCGCCCTCGAGGTTGGGTGCCAACGGGGTGACCTCGCCGATCTCGTCGGGGCTATCACCACCTTCGAGCGCACGCTTGGTCGTTTTGATCTTGCGCTGGGCGCGCTCTGCCTCGCGGAGGAACTTGGCTTTCTCGGCCGAATCCTGGGCCTTTTGCGCCTTTCGTTCCGCATCGAGTTTCTTCTGCATCTCCAGCCGGACCGTGTTCTCTCGGCGCCGCTTGCGCTGCATGTCCTTCTTGCGCTCTTTCTCGTCCTGGATCTCCTTGGCTTGGACATCGGCGATGACGATAGACTCATTCTGCAGTCGGAAGCGATCCGAACCTGTCGCTGCTTGCTTCTCAAAGGATTTGCCCAGTTTCGTCAAGAAGTCGTGGCGACGTCGCTAGACAGTCAGTACATTAGATGCGTAGAAAAAAGAGATAGAAAAAAAAAATTACCTTCCGTCGTAATGCTTCCTGTTTGTCGACCACCAGAGTGCGCTTTTTGTTCTTCATCAAATAGCGTTCCATCTCATCTTCAAAACCGGGCCCCTCGACGTCACTTTTCTCCGCATTGTCGATATCGATCATGATCTTATTGATAGCCTCTAGTTCCCGTTCGGACAAGGTCCTCCGTGGCTTGACGACAGGCGGCTGATGATCGGAGACGCCATTTGCAGACAGAGCGGCCGGGGCGTGGTCCCCAACGGCCCTCCGCTTGTCCACACTCGGTTTCTTCTCGAGTTTTGGTAACGGGGAGATCGGACGAGGTTCCGGCTCCCTGACCTTGCTGTGATCAACGTATGATGCCGGAGGCGGCGAACTCCTCGCGACAAGGACAGCCTGAGGAGCCGGGGCGATGACTGTGGCCGTGCTGGGCGTCGGTAAAGCGGCCAGCGCAGAAGTCACCGCTTGAGGGGGGGGTGACGGACGTCTCGGGGAGCGTTCTTCCGCCGGAGTGGAAAGGATACTGGCAAAGGACATAGGGTCTGCGGCTCTAGCAGGCCTCTATCAATTGGATTAGCGTCAGACAACTAAATCGATTCCTGTTTGAAAATCCCGGGGGGGGGGGTTCAATACCTCTTTCGGGGGCGATGCAGGCCGGGATTCCCTTAGAATCGACTGCCCCGAGTATCCCGCGCCATTCCCTCTGGCATCAAAGACCGACTCCGAATCCTTCTTCGGCGACTGCGGATGAACGGGATGGGCGTGCGAGGAGTAGGTACCTGGCGCACCATTGCCAGTCAGGACCGAGGCGGAATAAGGGCGTGAGAGGAACTGCGGCGGTGCAGCAGAGGCATGATATTGCGAAGCGACTCCGGAGTCTGGATGTGGTGGTGGTGGTGGTGGTAGTGGTGCGCTTCCGTTCAAAGGGGGCAGAGTGGTAGGTAAAGGCGACTGGTGAGAAGAGTATGAGTGCGGACTATGCTGGGCGAGAGGCGGTGGAGGAAAAGACGGAGGCGTCTGCGGCGGATGCTGATGCTGATGCTGATACTGCTCATTATTGGGATAGAAGGGGCGGGCGGAGGAGGCCTTGTTGGGGGGGGAGTAGATGGGATAGCGAGGCTGTTGTGAGGGCGACTGCGCCGGGTTATACGGCGGGCCCGTCATGGTCGTAGAGATGAAGTTTTTGGATTAAAGGAGACTGGAGATGCCCATGAGCTGTGTTAGTTTGTTCTTCGTGAAATGTGTAGTAGGAGTAGTAGGAGTAGGAGTAGTAGGAGTAGTAGTAGGAGTAGCAGTGGTAGGAGTAGTAGCGGTGGTAGGAGTAGCAGTAGTAGGAGTAGTAGGAGTAGGAGGAGTAGTAGGAGTAGGAGGAGTAGGAGTAGTGTAGAGGAGGCTGATTAAGAGGTGTAGAATCGTCGTGATGAGGCTTGGGTTCAGGAGACTCACTGGTTCGACGGACGCCCTTTTGGACCCCGTTCACGGAGCCGCGACCTCGTTTGCTGGATAAGATAGGAGTGGGAGGATGCGAGGGGAGAGAATAGGGTGAGAAGAAGAGAGGATGGAGATGGGGAGAATAGATGGATGGTATGGATGGGATGGATGGGAGAGAGAGGGAGAGGGAGAGGGAGGGAGAGGGAGGGATGGGCGATGACCGCGACGTGGCGGGCAAAGATGGACTTTTCTCTCTCGCTTGCTTCATGGACGAACGTCTCTGATCCAAGCGTTGAGGAACGCGTAGGGGTGTTTGGCTGGGCAAACGGAGGGTTCTCTTTGTCTTTATTGAGTCATTCACTCATTTACTGTGGGCACTGGGGCTGGGATGCTTTCTAAGTATATTCTGATATTATTCTACTGTTTTGAATATTGTTGCAGTCCTTGCAAAGACAATATCTCATTGACATCGCGTGTTTCAATACAGGCAAGGCTCAATAGAGGTTGTATTGTGTATGGTATGGTATGGTATGGTATGGTATGGTGGTATTGATAACCATGCTTATGTAATAATAGCCTTGTTTTTCAGGTGTCTTTTATAATATCAATAATATTCACCATGAAGGTGTCATATACTGATATCCTTTATTTATCCAGCGTTTGCTATATGCAGACAGGCGGACTACATAACACACATACATGTATACTCCGGAGAGAGAGATTATAGGTACAACTGATCTATTCCAAGTTGGTCTCAGACGGCGAGGACGAGTCCTCTCCAACAGTCGTCTTGGGGCCTGTAAATGTCTTGCGTGCATACAAGAAATAGTACAGGATTGCGCCTCCCCACAGAGCCCCGTTGATGACGACCGTGTAGTTCATATCTTGGGCTATTTCAATTAGAATATGCTAGATAGAAAGAAGAAGAAGAAGAAGAAGAAGAAGAAGAAGAAGAAGAAGAAAACTTACGCGACGGATTCCCCCCCGTGGTGGGAAACATGGACAAGATAATGGCAAAGGTCAAATAGACAATGGCCGTGATGGCGATGGGCTTGCTCAGCCAACCGGTATAGAACTCGCCCGGTTGGAACCGTTCTTCCCCCCAAACGAGTCGGGCCAGGATGGGAACCAGCCAGGCGAGATCGTTGCCCGCGACGGCGAGGGAGAAGAGGGCGTTGGACGCCGCGCTGTCGATCAACGCCAGCAGGCCGAGCACAATCGCCGCCACCACCACGCCCCAGATCATTCGCACGGGCTGGTACATGACCCGTTTGCTGACGTGGCGGAAGAAGTGGGAGAAGGGGATGCCTCCGTCACGGGAGAAGGCCCAGCTCTGTCGAGAGGCAGCAATTACCTGAAACCAGCATAGAATTAGTATCCTTATAAAACAACTTAGTTGAGAGAGAGAGAGAGAGAGAGAGAGAGGTACCAAGCTTAAGCCCATAAAAAACTGGACAATCGCCACGACAGCCATAAAGCCAAGGGCACCTTTCTTGCCCAAGGCATCATAGTAGATCTGGGCCATGGGCTGGCCGAATTTGGAGTCCAGCACGTTGGTGAGGTTGGTATCGATGACGGCGGCGATGACGGCCAGCGAGAGCCAGCCCAGGATGCCGCACAGAGCCGTCGACCAGATGATCCCCAGGGGCACGGCGCGCGCGGCATGGGTCGCCTCCTCGCTCATGTGCACGCACGAGTCGAACGCCCCGATCGTCCAGATGGGCGACAGCCAGGCCAGCATGAATGTCCAGCCCGTCGGCCACTCGGTCAGATTCTCGACTTTCCCAAACACGTAGCTCCCCGGGTTGATCGGCTCGTGCCGCATCGCTCTCCCCACCGGCAGCGCAATCACAGACGCCACCACCAGCCCGACGTTGGTGAAGATGCACGCCGTCTGGATCTTGGGCATGATCCGTCCGAAAAACGTGGCGATCACCCCGTGCGTCACAATGCACGCGACGTACGTGCCGAAGATGGCCGGCCGCGACGCCGTCCAGTTGCCATCCCGACTGAGAGAGATCAGCGAGAGAAGCATGGTGGCGAAGCCATCTACACGTACACCGTTAGCTAATAGATTTGAACAAGTAGTGCTGGGTTCCGTACAATCAATCGAGCAGACACCTCCTACCAAGCCAATGGTATTGCTGCAGCCCACCACGAAGCTCAACGGGTTCTTCCACTTGCCACCACTGAAATAGTGTGTCCAGAAGTATAACCCTCCGGCCGTGGGCATCGCAGAAGCCAGGTCGGCCTAGAGTGTCTTTAGTATTACCCCGTAAGATAAAACGATGATTATAACTATACACACCATTGCAAGACCGACGATGAAGATGAAGAAACTAGCAACCAGCCAACCTATCCCTTAGCCAGATATCCTCGATAATCCAAGCGTTCATAGTTACCCTACTCGATCAGCAAATAGTTCATCATCATCATCATCATCATCATCATCATCATCTTTCTTACCCAAACCATCCCCACCGGCCCAGCAGGCACGGAAAACGACAACGTCGATGCGATCGAAGGGAGGAGCCCCATGATACTGAACGCGATGGCAAACACCTGGACGGTCGAATAGTGACGGCGCAGCTCCTGCTTGTAGCCCATCGCAGCTGAAAGAATCACATTAGCCAATAGCTCCAACATAGTAAAACATCGTGGATGGTAGAATGGGTACCTAGAAGCTGCAAGTCCCCCGTTTCAACTACACCATCACCGGACGACTCGACCTTCGAGTCGACAGGGAGTGGTTCTTTATCCATGATAGAAACAGAGAAGAAAAAAAGTATAAAAATCCGGTGAGGTTCGACACAGTGTGGAGGACACAAGGGTACACACTGGTGACGAGGGGGGGGGGGGGGGGGCAGCCCGTTTATTATATAGTACCTTATAGTATGCGATCAAGGAAACCTGATAAGAGCAAATGACGCAGCCTATCTGAGCACGGAGTAACAGAATACTGACAAGGTACATTTGACTCCGTGCTCATGTACCCCATAGAGAGCTAGGTCATAGGCTCCTAGACAAAAACCCTCCAACGGCGTCCGCCGATGGGAATAGGTACTATGTAGTACATGCTCTGTCAGTAGCATCGCCACTCGGAGCGAACGGCCTACCAGTGCTGATGTTGCACCAAAATCAAAGCGCCACAGGAGTCCAGGCAGGGGTGTGCGTATAGGGCAAGGCCATGCGTTTTCTCTCTGGATGTTATCATCCCGGCTCGAGATCGGCAAGGCTCATGGGCGGCCTTATCTAGGGGGGCGTATTCTGGACTATCAAGAGCATCTGTTGACTGCCAGAGTTTACCTCATTTGAAAAAAAAAAGGCAGAATCGTTTGCGTTCTTTCCAAAGCTCTCGGTATCTTTTTATCTTTTTATCTTTTTATTGTTATTGTTTGCAGGGGGATTTGGGCGATTTCTTTCCGTCAACCCGAGTCGTTTGACTGACCACAAACTAAACCCTGCAATTATCTTCGCGCCCCGTTACATTGCAGCGGCTTATCAGTGCGATGTCCTGTTGGAATTAGCAATTGAATCGGCGGGTTATCAGGATCGTCTGATGACCAGTGGAGATCTCTAATTGACTCTAAACTTACTGCCGGAGAGGTTCCGCTGGATGCCTTGTCCATCCATAGTGGTTAACTACTCGTCGGGTATCAAACCCCAGTTGTCCAAAAGAAAAAATCAAAAAAAAAAAAAGATAGATAGTCCAATGGTTTTCATGCTCGTTTCTCTCTTCGAATAACAAATACAATTCATCCATCCAAACACCCATGCGTCATCAGGTACCAGACCCTTCGATAAGATGGTATAAAAACGTCTAGACTCATCGCTTTGGCAGCGGCGAGTATGAAATCAAGAGGTGTAATAGTGAGAAAGAGGGGATCAGAGTACAGTGGTGAGTATAAGAAGAACCCAGAGGGTATGTATGGCGACCTAGTCGCTCAAGATCCTTAAGACAGGTGTGGAAACAGGTGTGAAACAGGTCTTATGAAAAGAAAAGAAGGAAGGAAGAAAGAAACCACCAAGAAAAAAAAGTCATACCGCTCCAGGTCCTTTATGGTTCGACTGGTCGAGCAGCAGCTTCGGTTTGATGTAGTCCTCGTCCAGCTGGCGGAACCAGGCCGCATGGTCGCCTGATGGCCCACCGGAGAAAAAGTCGCGGATGGCATCGCGCGCGCTGAGGCCTGGCTGATGCTGATGCTGCTGCAGGGGGGCGGGAGAGACACTCGCGGATGCGAGAGACCCTTCTCCCTGTGCAGTTGCCGCAGGGTCGAGGTACTGCGAGGGTTGCGAGGGAGAGCGACGCATCCGGGTGGTGGCGACGGCTGGGGGCAGATCATCATCATCCAGGTCGTCATCAAAGTCAAGATCGAACTCGTCGATCGATTCGGCGGCGGCGGCGGCGGCGTGGTTCTCACCGCGATTCTTGCCCGCGGCGCCGCTACCGAGCTCGTCCTCGCTTCCACTGTGGCTGCCCGCCCCGGGGCCAAGCAGGGTCGAGGTGGAGAGACGGTCGCGTCGCGCCTGGGTCTCATTCTGGGCAAAGTTGGAGAAGCGGCTGGGTTGGGTGTTGCGGCGGCTGCCGTTCGATTTGCCTCGCGCCTGCGGAGTGGGAACACGACTGTTTCCGCTCGAGTAACTGTCTGTACGGCGGGAATTGCCTCCTGGGCGGCCCCTCCCTGTTGCTGCTGCTGCTGCTGCTGCTCCTCCTCCTCCTCCTCCTCCTCCTCCTCCTCCTCCAATGCCACTATTGTTGACACGGTCGAGCGGGATGGTTGAGTCCATGTGGCGTGGGGTGTAGCCGAGCGACGTGTCCGACCGCTTATAGTAGGTGCCGCCATGGGTGACCTCGATGTCAAACTCGTCGTCCGATTCGATCTCCTCGACCACGCCAGTACGGATACCCATGATCTCCAGCATGCGCGCGGTGGTACCTCCGAAGATGATGACCGTCAGCACGACGACGACAAGGACCGTCATGCGGAGGGCGGGGCCATTGGCACCCTTGAGGCCCGCCGCCAGGGCGACCCCGACGGCACCACGCAGGCCCGCCCAGAAGAGCATGGCCTGGTAGGCAAAGGGCAGTTCGTCGGCCACCTCTTGCCCCCGGCGCCGGGCGCGGTAGCGGATGAACCAGTTGATTGCCTTGGACAGCGGGAACACAGCCAGGTAGCGAGCAAAGCAGATGCCGAGCACGGCGACCAGGATGAAGAGCGGCTTGAATTGCAGGTCTGTATCGACGAACAGGTCCAGCCCTAGGTAGATGAAGATGAAGTTCTCTGACAGCTGCGCCATGACCTGGAACAGGTACTTGGTGGTCAACTGGGTACGGCGGGACATGTTATAGTAGGCGTAGTGCTTCAGGGTGATGCCACAGAAGAGCAACGAGACGATGCCTTTTTTCTTAGTTATTGGTCATTAATCATCGAGAGAATTCCCTTACCTGACAAATGAACGCCGTTGGAAAAAAAGTAGCTCGCATAGGCGATGAGCACAATGAGGCAGCTTTCAATCTTGGGGACGCGGCGGACATGGGTATACTTCAAGCCGAGAGCCGTTGCGATGCCGACGATGATTCCGACGACCATACTGCCGAAGAAGACGAGCAAGAAGACGCCGATGGCCTCGAACAGGTTGAGGAAGGTCAGCGAGCCCGCATCGTTGTCGGCGTACTTCTGCGCGGTCTCAAACAGAACAATGGCAATGGCATCGTTGAGAATGGACTCGCCGAAGATGACGGTATACAGTTTCGGCTCGACCTTGTAGAGATTGAAGATGGCGAGGATGGTGACGGGGTCCGTGGCGGATAAGGTGGCCCCGACGGAGATGGCCTCGACAAAGGAAATGTTCAGCCCGTCGAGCGGGATCCGCGTCCAGATATACAAGACCAGCCCCAGCACGATGGCGGAGATGAAGGTGCCCGCAAACGCAAAGGTCAGGATCGTCCCGATGTTGCGGAAGAAGTTGGCCTGGTGCAGCTCGTAGCCCGAGGCCAGGATAATCGGCGGCAGAAGCAGGTTGAAGAAGAACTGATAGTCGAACGTCACGCTGTCTTGGATGGGGGACGCAGGGCTCAGGCGAATGATCAATCCGACAAACATTCCTATTAATTAGACAAAATAAATAGAGAGAGAGAGAGAGAGAGAGAGAGAGAGAGAGAGGAATGAATGTACCAGCAAAAATAGACAAGACCGTTTCATGTACCGCCTGAATCTTCCTCTGTTGCAAGATATAACTCGTAAACAAGGCGAACATCAAGAGCATGATGAGGATGAAGAGCGCCCAGGAGCTGAAGATCTCCTTGGTGCCTGCCTCTGGCACTTCTATTTCCATCAGAACTGTTATAGCAAGGTAGACGTAGACACGTATAGCATCAGATGAATTGCGTACCATCTTCCGGGTCGGTATCAGAGTCCACCGCTCGCCCTAGTCAAGTCAGAAGAACAGCAAAAACAGCAGTAGACAGTAAAGAATAGATGAACAGTAGTAGACATCGGTAGAAGACGTACGTAGCAGCTGGGCGACAAGTTGCGTCGCCATCGTTCACTGAAGCGCGTTCGCGCAGGTCGAAGAGCACCAAGCGAGCCCCGGAGAGTCCTTCGCCCAGGAAGCGCGGTCGCGCATAATCCTCCGATGGCAGGTCGAGAATAGTTCCACTTTATTTGACTCTCTTCACAGTCGACAGGGCAGAAGGGGGGCTTGCTGTTGCTTCTGCCAGCTCATTCGGAACGTTGAAGCTGTCCTTCCTGAAGCTGCCAGGGTCGTGACCCCCACTGAGCTGACTCAGCGAGCCAACCAGGGCAAAGGCCGCGTACTACAAGAATAATCCTAACAATACTGATAATACTAATAATAATAATAATAATAAAGAGTAATAGTAATAGTAAATATATTACCTTAGAATTCGGTCAAGTCAAGGATCAGACAGTTGCTTCGCAAGCCATGCCGCTACTAATCCCGCGCACCCTCCAAACCGCATCACCCAGCCAACGCTGTTGTCCCACGGCTGTCCTCTCGGCTTCTGGAGGGCCTTGAAGATCGCGCTGCTGAGCAGGCTCGAGATGATCTGAGGGAAGGAGATGGCCACATTGTGCAGGCCGAGAATGATCCCCGCCTGCGCCACAACCTGGTCGTCGTCTTGACCAGACGCTTTAGTGTCAGGACCGTTCTCCAGATCAGAAGAGGAGGCGCTTGCCATATCTTCTCCCCTGGGCGGTGGAGTTCGCATCTCCAGTTCGTGGCGACGAGCCCGGCGCTGGGCGTCCAGGCGGGCCACTTCGCTCGAGATCAGGGCGTATGGCGCCCATAGCGCCAGTGCCCAGGAGATGCCCACAAAGGCGATCGCCACCGTCGCGGCCTGGTAGCTGGTGATGAAAAAGGTGGTGAACATGCAGATCGAGAACAACAAATGGGACAGGAACCAGGTTCGGCGGAGCGTCAAGCCCGGGATCTGCAATTTCGAGAGCCACGAGCTGGTTGGTCCGGTTGGAGGGTGAGGGTGAGGGTGAGAGTGTTCGGGAAAGTCCAAGAGCGGGTCCGATGAGGTCCCCACGGGAATGTTGGAGATAGACAGTCTCCGGGAGTTGGAAAGAGATTCTTCCTCCTCTTCTTCTTCTTCTTCTTCTTCTTCTCCTTCTTCTAGAGTATCTTCGATCCCGCTCTCGGTGATTACCGGCTTATACGTGGTGGGGACGACCAAGAAGGGCAAGATGATGTTGGAGGCAAAGGAGATGATTGCGTTGAGAAGCAGGGCAAACGTGGCGAAGCGGGTGGCCTCCTCCCAGGTGCGGTCGACCTCGCTGGCCGGGAGATCCGGGTGCTCATCAAAGATCGGGTTCACGTACAACTGGCCGATGTAGGTGGTCGCATAGAACAGAAACGGGAACCAGCCGACCCAGGCGGCGATCTGGACCTGGCACACTTTTCTGACCTGCGGCGGCAGCCGGCGGATCGACCAGAGCACCTGCTTGAAGAAGGAGACCACGCCGAGCCCGTCCGCCGGGGGTGGGCCTTCGGTGCGCGGGTCTCGTTCCTTGATGTACGAGCAGCTTAGGGCCAGCGTGCCGGTGAGGGCGATGGACGAAATCACACAGAGCACCTTGAACTGCGTATTGCCGAAAAAGGGCATGACCCTGGGCAGATCCAGGTATCCACAGACGTAGCCAAAGATGTTTCCCACACCAGTCATTCGACTCGCCCAGGCGTTGGCCGTTTCCTGCTGATGTGCAGGGGCGTTGTCGACAATAAAAGCGCGAATCCCAGCTTGTACTGACTAGTTAGTAAAGTAGAAGTAGAAGTAGAAGTAGAGGGTGTAAGGTAAAAAAGTAAGTACCCGTATTGATGGCAAAATCAAGACAATACATCAACAGCGTCGCAACAACAATAGTCACAGTCTTGACCCCCCCCGACTGCGCCTCGACCCCAAACAAGCCCGACACCCCCGCAACGATCTCGCGCACCCACGCCAACGCCAACAGCGCGACGATGGTCGCCGCAGCGCCGAAGACCATAAATGGCTTCCGCTTGCCCCATGAGATCCGGCAGTTATCACTCCGGATGCCCACGTACGGCTGCACCAGGGTTCCAGTAAGGGGGCCCGCGATCCAAACGAAAGCCAACAGGGATTTACTCATTCCGAGAGAAAGTAGATATGGCTAAACGAGTATAAGTGAGGAGTGAGGAGTGAGTGAGTATAAGTGAGGAGTGTCCTTACCGACCCATTCGACAACTCCACCGACCAGACAATCTGTAATCTAGACCAGTTAGCAAGTAGGAAGTAGATTGATTATTGACGAAAGCCATTCTCTCGTACCCTCCTATCCCCACCGTCAGGAGAAACAGATACAACCCGCTCATGGACTCGGGGTGTCGGACAACGCGCTCCCGAACGGGGCGTTCGTCGTTAATCACCCGGGGCGAAATGAGAGGCGATCCTTCATCATATTCTGCCATGATACTGTTCATATACTGTAGACGTACACTATACTGTACACTGTACACCGTAGACGTACTTAGACGTACTCTGTACAATCAACAAGGTAGACAGTCTTAGGCTCGGTGATCAGGATGGTTCCAAACGAGGATATGTAAAGAAGTTCAAATCGTACTCTTTCCTCAAGACATATTGCAAAATGAAACCCTTCTTCCGAGGAGTATTCGGTGTTCAGATGGATGGACGTTGTTGACGTTGTTGACGTTGGGCGAAAGGAGTTGGTCGTACGGAGGATGCACGTGATAGATCACAGGTCCACCAAGCCTATAGCCTATAGCCTATAGGTACGGTCAATACGGTAGAAGTATATTCCTACATATTCCATTCATCTCTTATATTATTTCCTTGACTCGCCGGTGTCATGATTTCGAATATATGCGAGAACTACTCATGTCATTCAGCTAGTATGTCATTGATTCTCATAATTCTATCAATCAGCTGTATCTACAGCGATATGCATCTCTTTAGCAGTCTTACAGGGCTGATGGGCTCCATCAGCAGACGCCGCTTTTCCAAACCCACTACCCGTGAGTGCACATTCTCTTTCCAGCCAGCCAAGAAGGAGAGAAGAAGGAGGGGATTAAAAAAAAAAAGAAAAAGAAAAAGAAAAAGATGGGAGAGTCCCGAAGTTGAAAGTTGACGATCCAACATTCCACATCAAACCGGAGATGATACCACAGCAGGTGGGAAACCAAAGAAGAGGGGGAAGGGGAGGGGAAATACGACAACCAAGATTACAGACAGGAGATCGTGATATAATTAGTCCACAACAAGAAAGTAAAAGAAGACCAAGGAGAGAAGAGAGAGAGAGAGAGAGAGATAGGAATCAGGTGGCAGAGGAATGAGAAAAAGCACCAAGAACCGGCCTTCGATGGGGAGGGGGTAGTAGGGCCAAGATAACAGGCTAGATAGAAACAGAAGGAATTCAAGGGGGTGAGGGCGAAAAACAAGAGAAAAGGAAAAAAGAAATCTCTTTGAAGGAAATGCCATAGCCGAAGACGCTGTCGTCGCTGGGTGTCCAATTCAGAAAGGATTGCGCAAAAAAGGACCAAGGAAGGGGTCCAAAGGATCGTCAAGAAAAAAAGAGAGAGAAAAAAAAAAAAAAAAAAGAGTATATGATTAATTTATATCCTAAAAGAGAAAAGCAGCCAGCCCTAGATCTGCTGCTGCAAGACCTGCGGTGCAACCATATGCGGAGCAACCATGGTCGACATGGTGGAGGGCATGCTCATCGCAGATGGCATCGAAGCCAGAGGGTCGGCATGGGTGGGCATGTAGCTGCCATCCGATGGTGAAACAGCTTCTTCAGGCGACCCGTATTCATGCTCTTCCTCGTGAGGGGGAAGCTGAGGTTGCCCATCATGCTGGGCCTCGTGTATGCGACGATGCCTGCAGGGAAAGATTAGCGCCAGCGTTTAAATGAGATAAAACAAAAAAAAAAAAAAAGAATAGGTCACATACTGGGCAAGGTTGTCCGAGCGCGAGAACGCTTTATTGCAGTATGGACAAGGGTATGGTCGTTCCTGGGTATGGGTCCTCACGTGCCTAAGCGCCAAGATTAGTGGGCGGTTACAGAGATTACAAGACCACACAAAAACACGAAGAAGATGGAAACAAAGGATAAAAATAGCAGCATACCGTTTCAGATGCTCTAATCGCTTGAAGAGACGGCCACAGGAGGGAATGGGGCACGAATGGGACTTTTGCGGATATGGACCCAGTTCCATCATGGTGGCGCTTCGCGCGCGGCGAACCGGCCCTGGCGCCGATCGATCAGGGCGACTGACGGTGCTGTTCTGCACGGTGGCTTCGAGGGTTTCGGTGTTGGGGAGGGCCGCTAGCTCATCCTGTCCGTGCGAGGCGTGCTGCTGCTGCTGCTGCTGCTGCTGCTGCGGGTGGTTTGGTTCGGGCGCTTCCTCGAGATGAGAGAGCGAGGTGTCCGTGCGCGGCATGTCTTGGATCAGATCCTTCTGGGGCAGCAGGGCGGACGGATAGATGGAGGCGGCGGTAGTAGCGGTGGTGGTGGTGGTGGTGGTGGTGGTGTTGGTAGTGGCAGTAAGAGTAGGAGGAGCGGTCGAAGTGAGGGGGAGCATCACCTGGGAGGAAGATTCGTGCAATTGTTCCTCGGCAGCCTCAGGCACGGGGGCGACCGAAGTGGACATTGACCGGCGCAGGTCACTGGGCCTGTGAGCGGCGTAGGCGACTGGTTGGGAGGATGGGGGGCCAATCGATGACCCAGGATGATGATGATGATAATGATGATGAAGATTGTGTTGAAGATGTTGTTGTTGGAGGGGGTGACCGCTGGCTGTCACGGGGGGGACAGAGGGCCGCCGTCTGCGCTGCTTATAGGTTGGGGAGCCCTCGACGACGGAATAAACGTTAGACGGGTAGGATCGCGCGGTTGGGGGATACTGGGCGTTGGCGAAGTTGGACGGGGGCAGAGGCATCATGGGGTGGTTGAAGGCGCCGGCGGAAGTGACATCGGGGATGGCGGTGTAGAGACCGGTATCTTCGTTGGCGATGTACGCGGGTTCGGCACCAAGGGGCATGGAGTGTTGGGGGGGAGTGAGCGGTTCAAAGGACAGGCCACGGTTGCTGTAGTCTTCAAACTGGGAGGAGACAAAGGAGGGGGCGGGCGAGTATTCGATGAAGGTGGGCATGGAGGCGTGGCGCTGGTGGATGCGGGCGATGGGCATGCCGTTGCGGTCGTACTGCAGGGCTCCGTAGTCCTGCTCGCGTTTAATGATGCTCTGGACGAGGGTGTTGGACATGGGGATCTGGGCGTAGGCGGCCTGGTGAGCGACGGGGTCGTCGGTCAGGATCGGCATCGTCGGGGGAGCCATCTGCGGGGGAGGAGGCATCGCGTCAACGGTCCGAACCACGGGAGAGGCAGATTGGCCATATGTCGTACTTGTGTGAGCAGCGGAGAAGGAGGATGAGTTGGCCTGCTGGGCCTTGGTGAGCTGCTCGTAGAGAGACTGCGACGAGTCGAACTCAAAGGAGAGGGCCGGCTCGCTGACGGCAACGGTGGTGGCCTCTTGACCCATCTTCTCACGCTTGAGATCGCGCTCCAGTGCATCGAGGAAGAGCCGGTCGTGCGGGACGCTGTACCAGTAAAAGACCTTTTGCTTCTTTTGCGTCCGGATACAGTTGTTCTTGTACAGGAAGTCGAGAAACGGGCTTTTCGGTTCCTCCAGGGTGGCGTCGGTTCCGGCCTTGAGGTTTCGTAGATCGGAGAAAATCCCTTCTTCGAATTTCTTCGAGTTCTTCACTGGCCGGCCAAAGGCCTGAAATCGAAATGCCAGGCATCGGACGATATCGGTCCCTGAAACGTGGAAGAGATTGTTCCTGTCACGACATCAGCTCCAACTCCTTTTTTTTTTTTTCTTCTTCCTCTTTCTTTCTTCACTAACCAGAGAACACACGAGACGTAGTCACCGGTGGGAAGCAGGAAGCGCCGAATCAGCTGATCGGGTTGCCAGTCGACGGGGGCGGAGAGAAGGAAGTATTTCACTAGCAAAGGTCAGTCGGAGAGCCGAGATGTAGGCATTTCAAGCCGGGGAACCAACAGTTATCGACTTGTTGGAGAGCCACCTGCGCGTCCTGCGGGAGACTCTGTTGGGCTTCGCTGGAGAGCATAAAGGTCTCTGGCTTCTGAGGGGGCGCCATAGGCGCAACATGCTGGGGGTACATGGAGAAAAATCCGGCACGGAAAGAGGGCCCTGCAGAATGGGGGGGAAAAAACGTCAGTCAAAGTCAATTGATCGGAGGGACCGGGAAAATGGGGGAAAGGGTTTTGATAGAAGAAGGGAGCGCGAACAAAGGCGATGTCTCCTGTTTCAAGGTCGAAGAGTCAAAAGGGAGCGGGACGTACGTACCGTGTAGTTCAAACCGGATGATGCAGAATAAGAACTAATAAAACACTGACAAGACTCACTCACAGCGGAGTGAGCGAGCGAGCAAGCGAGCGAGTGAGTGAGAGAGTGTTGCCAACGAGCGACCATTCGATGGAGGATGGAGGGCAGCGACCAGACACCAGTTGCTATTCCCAGCGCGCACAGACTAGAAGGCGGCGGCGGCGGACAACAACGACAACGACAACGACAATAATAGAAGGACCGGCCTCTTCTTTTCTTTTTTTCTTGTCTTTTCTTTTCTTTCTTTCGCCTTTCCGCAGCTGCAAACTCGTGATGATCTAAAACGATGATCTAGTCTTCTTCAAGAACGAAAGAGAGAGCGT